TCGTACAAGATCAAGAAACTATATGATAAACATCAACATGAAACAACTGCAAATATTAGACACATGCGTCCATATTATTCTGCAAGTTCTTCGTTAGGAGGGGATAATGTAATGGCTGGAAACTCCGCCATTGGCCAATAAGGAATTACCTAGAAAATACTAGAATGGCGTAGCAACTCATTAGTAACGGATATTTACTCAAACTTGCTAGAAATACTGCGGTTTACTATCTTTTAGAAAAGTATAAATAGGATCGAGTTTTAGTCATTTAGAAAATAGTTTTTTTTGGAGAAAAAGAATAAAGTATATTTCACACTCCTAAATTACATAAGCCTCAACTATTACAATCATCACACTGCGTTTATGACTGCGTTTATGACTGCGTTTATACCTGCGTTTATACCTGCGTTTATGGTCTCGTTTATGCCTGCGTTTATGTCTGCGTTTATGTCTGCGTTTGTGTATGGGATATAATCACTAATGAAATGGTCAAGTGTAGAAGTCAATTAGAACCAAAACGGCCAAAAAGAAGTTCTCTTTACCAAAGGTTATATTTTGTATTGTATCTATACTGTTTGTATGGTGATTGATTATACCTGATTTGGGACTGAGTGTGTATACACTAGCTAATCGGTTGAGTGGATTAAGGTACACAAGAACTGGGTACATGATCAGGACGCAGACCTCGTCTACCATTGGTATTGATGCAGATGTCAATTTGTGATTATGTGATGGTCTGATCTTTAACATGTTTAAACTAAGATGGAAGACATCCATCGAAGCTGCGGATAAAACTGTGATCGAAAGATATATTTATACATGATATTAATACTTGCTCTTTTAAGGCATAACTAATGTAAGAAGGGATGAATAATGCTGTGTATACAACAGCGTGGAATGATTGAAGAAAACTTGACGTTGCTACGTAGTCAAATGGTGGAGGCTCTGCGTGCTTTTGGTGTTGCAAGATCTGCGGGTGATACTGAAGGCACTGACAAGGCTCTCAAGAATATTGAACAAATCAAGTCAAGCATCAAATGCATTGATGAGTACAAGTCTATGTTGGGAAACATTGAAGGCACACCATGGGTTAATCACTCTGATGTCAAGGTAGATACTACCTCAAGATTGACAAGCGGACTATCGCTAAACCGAAGAGACCTACCAAAGTGCCTGCTACTATCGAACTTGCACAAGCCTTTCCCGGGAGAAGAAACCTTTGAATCTGATGAGCATTTTCTGCAAATTTTTGAAAGTGTAGTCTATTCATCATCACAAGATATAGAAACGGTCTGGATGTTGTATACACAGCATTATTCACCCCTTCTTACATTAGTTATGCCTTAAAAGAGCAAGTATTAATATCATGTATAAATATATCTTTCGATCACAGTTTTATCCGCAGCTTCGATGGATGTCTTCCATCTTAGTTTAAACATGTTAAAGATCAGACCATCACATAATCACAAATTGACATCTGCATCAATACCAATGGTAGACGAGGTCTGCGTCCTGATCATGTACCCAGTTCTTGTGTACCTTAATCCACTCAACCGATTAGCTAGTGTATACACACTCAGTCCCAAATCAGGTATAATCAATCACCATACAAACAGTATAGATACAATACAAAATATAACCTTTGGTAAAGAGAACTTCTTTTTGGCCGTTTTGGTTCTAATCGACTTATTGATTTGACCATTTTATTAGTGATTATATCACACACGCTCTTGCATAGCAGAAGTACCGTCTATTTCAGGCGTGACCAGATTATCGAGATCAAATTCTAGCTGCTCATCCATCTGACTATCTTGATTGTTGACCAAGCTAGGAGCGGATAAAGGAGAAGACTCATCCAGGAAGGAGTGACCAAAAGAATCAGTTGAATTATTTGAGTTTATAGGAGTATTGACCATGATAAACAACCAAGCAATTTGTGGTGATCTGAGCACTTTCAATACAAAATATAATAAATAGTCTTTCATCATATAAATGAATAATCACTTATAGCACTATACATTATAAATATAAAGTAAGCACTGTATAATGACAGTAAATAACGGTAACTGGGATAATATGGATATTTACAAATAAGGAAACCATAATTGTACCTTTTAGGTAACAAGGAGAATTAAAGGAGAATTTACATAGTCAACTCCCAGGCACAAGCTGTCAAGGTGTTAAGTAATCAATAATCAGTAATCATAATTAGTCAATAAATCAAGTAGTATAAAAGACAACCTGGAAAAGATATATTTTAGACAACAATCAATTTATTTTTGTAATAAAGAAGTACTGAACAGTCTCACTGTATTTCTTTGTTTTCTTTCTATCTTCTATTATATCTTCATTTCACAACCCAAACATCACACAATTAATCGAAAAAAATGTTGTGATGTAAGAGAGAAGATAAAAACAAAGAAGTCGATTAGAACTTGTATAGGTTTATTATCCAAAAATTTATCTAGATCTATTTTCTAGCTCTTCATTCTTTAGGTATTTATACATGAAGAGATGTCGGAGTAAGTAGTAGTAGAGTTCATGCAAATGACTGAGTCTCTATCATCATAGACTACTTTAAATTAATTAAATAATGTAAATTATGGATTTCGGTTATACGTCTTGATCTATTAAAAGATACATTGTCTTATTTAGTACAAGAGGTTCTTTTATGCCTATTTCTGATGTAAATTGATTATGATATATTTTTAGTATGTAATTGAAGACTTATTTAATGTCAGATCATCATATGCATATAGATTCTATATGTTCACAACACCAGTTACCGTTATTTACTGTCATTCAAGTGACGAATAAATTCTTCTAGAATTTGATGAGACACTCAAATACAAAAATAAGTCATATGATTGCTATTTCTTCTTTATTTCATTGGTCAGCGAAAATAATGAAATAGATTTTTTGTTATATGTTAAAATAATTGATCTTCTTTTTCGCTGGTCAGTACCATTAATTTGTGGACGTTTGTAACTAATGATTGAAAATTATAATTAAAACTAACCAAGTGATGCTGGTAATAAAAGCGATAATTATAAAAGTAGTCTTGAGGTTGTATGTGTGTTTTTTAGAAGTTTTAGAGAAAAATGGGGAGAAATGAAAGTGAATGAAAGAGTTGTAATTAAGAGTTACACTCTTGGTTACACGTAAATTTACATAATGACAAAATAATGAATCTCAAAATAAAGGTGCAGATTGCAAAAGTTCAATATTCAGGTCGTCACAAATCAGTGTGCTAAATCACAAGAAAAAGGTTTGCCAATTTTTATTTCTAAGTGTGCCAATAGTTTCGGGAAATAGTGTAATATAATTTCATATAGCTCTCTAAGTTACATTTTGTCAGATATGGAAACATCTAAAAACACATCTTACAAAAGGCCTGGTTGATTCAGTATAACCATCAAAAAATAAGACATCTGCTCATAATATATATACATGTGAGTTTAATAACAGTGTGTTCTTTTCAATGTATTTATGTAATATACCTGGTACATGAATGATTTCGTTTGTTTCATAAGATAACTGATCAATGACTGGGCTATTTAAACCCCTTTTGAAGCCAACTTTAGTTTTAATTCGTAATAAAACTATGAATCATTGCGACAAGTTCATTTCTACTATGTAATGCAGAAGAACCAGCTCCCCAGCTAGCCAGTCAGTTGAGTGTATGGCGACCGATTGCAACAAGTTTCAGCTCTGGCAGGATGCCTCCACAAGCACAATCATGAACACCCATCTTCTGCCGTTTAGAGTATAGTACACTTTTCACCGTTAAGCTTGTCCAGCAGCTCTATAAACGGGTCGCATTGTTAGTTGTCGGTCGTCAAAAATAAACATGAATGTTTAGTTACCTTTTTAACGTTAACAAAGCCATAACAACAAGAAGTAGCAAACGTAAAACTACCAGTTGATACCTTCTAGGATTTTTGCAATAATCAGGAAGTTTCTGGCTAGAGAACTATAGAGAACCTAGAAAAAAACCCTATTAGGCTCCATAGGTTCAAGCATGAGATGTTGACAGATAAAAACTCGACTTGATTGATTATTGTCAAGACATTGACATAGGTGTTTGGGCCAAGTGCGTGAGTAAACAATTAAAAATCTTTTCACTACAAATTCAATTAAGAGTGACGTAAGATCAATGTTTAAACTCAGATTTCGTTACGTGTACTACACTTCTTTTTTTTAACAGGTTTTATTTACGTAACGATATCCTATTTTTTCTATTTATTTATTACAAAATGCCGCTAGAAAAAAAAACAGAAAGTCATAGTTTCAGATCTAGATTGGTGTATAAAGCATTCAGATACTTTAAACATTCAAACGTTTTCCGAAGTCTTTAATTACGGCGATAAATCCTCAGCAAATCAAAGATATGTGCAGATCTTAGAAACCAAGCGATTTAACTCTTGTGTTTCTAATGCAGAGCAATTTCTTTCTGCTTTTAATAAATGGAGGCGTAGCCAGCAAGAGACTACATTTTGGGAAAATCGAAAGGTGGAGTTGGCAAGACAGTTAGCAGAATCTAGAATGCGGGTATCTGCGATTGGGGCACTAGGACGTCTTGGAGTAGAGGAAGGTGATAGAGTAGCAAATGAGAAGAGCGCGTCATCAAGTGATTCTGAGCCATCCCAAAACCATGCCCCTCAACCTATGAGTGATTCTGAACCATCTTCGAGTCGTTCTTCTGTAAGCTACATACGAAATAAAAGGTAGTATACAATGGACAATGCGATACAGACTTTAAATGTATATCATGCTAATGTATGTCGCTGTATTGTTGATATGATTAGAAGAAGAGAAGATGATCAAATTGTAAAGGTTTGTATTATAGGAATGACGAATAGAAAGAAGTATTGACTTGGTTGTTTATCAGAAACTAGATTTGACTCAATTCAAGAATACATATGAAAGAATGGACAAGAATTTAATGTGGATATTGGAATGTAGTGGACGGAAAGTAGAAGAAGTGCTACCAAAAATGCAGTGTTCTTACTATGGAGGAACTGGATGAAATAAAAAGTTTTAATCTTAAAGATCTGCCATCTATCAATGCCAAGACTCACGACTATTTAAACCTATATAAAGAGGTAAATAAAAAAATGAACTTGATTAAAATAATCGTAAACTAACACTATCTCAGGCGAAGATTGCAGGAGAAGTACGCAAGATCCTTACTTCAAAACAGAGTTGGGACGATGAATTTGATCGAAAAGAATCTCATGATCTTGACTGGATTCGTCACAGTTATTACACACTGTAAGTTAAGATGCTTGATAATATTTATACTTGCGCACTGAATAAAAGAATATAGGACGAGAGAATTAGAATGCGGTAGTTTGGATGGTACTGACAAGTCAGAGACTTGGTTGCTTGCTCATGTTTGGGCAACTATTGATCGTGTCTTTGATGACGTAGAGTTGGATGTGGTTCGGTAAGCATATATATATATATATATATATTATTCTGCCTAGCTTTACTAAAATAAATCGCAACCAAATAGTGGAGAGTCTGCAAGCTTGGCATCAAGCTTGAGAAAGAACAAAGATCGGATTCCTCAGGGAGTGGAGAAACTGGAACGAAAAAAAATGGGTAGACGCTTAGATATGATCTTGCGAAAGAAGAATTTGGAACTAGGTGCAGGAGAAGCTGGAAAGGCAACAGGTGACAATGATGCAAAGTTGCTTCGTGAAAGGGACTTGAAGCTCCCGAAGGCATTAAAGGATATGTTTCTATGCTTGAAAAACGAAGGAGGGGATGGTAAAACTCAAGATATCGAGATGGTTGGTTTATTGCAATATGGTATGGAGCTTAGTTCTATTCTGTGAACAAGTACATTCGTTTGTGCTCATAGATTGCTAACAATTATTTTCTAGGATTGACGATGTCGATGTTAAGGATGGATGTTCCGGTAAACTATGTTCACAGAGTCAGACGAACTCGAGTGGCCCAGGTTCCTAGTGATTGGAAAAAACTCCCTGATTTTCGAAAAGTGTTGTACATGGCATTATCTGCAAAGGCAATCGTGAATCAAACATTGAACATCTTACAAAGTGACTATAATAACGATGATGGCAGTGTTAGTTCAATTATGGATCCGCCCATAGATGATGACTATGAATTACCAGTCACCTTTGATTCACAATAATAATGCATTAATCTGTTAAACTGTGACGTTATTTGAAATATAAAAAAAATGTTTATTGTATTTTTCAGCAATTAAGAGACAGTCTCAGAGAAAATAAGAGAAAATTATTGGATAAAATAAAAAGGGGCAATTAGTAGAAAGCACTTTTCTCACTATTATTAACAAAAAATGGATATTGACTATGATATGAACGAGATCTCTCTACGCGACGAAGATATTGAAGCTGTACCCGAGATTATTGTCAGTGTAATGTCGATGATGAGAAAGAAGTGGGAGTATAACATCACTGCATCAGCCATGGAGTTAGATGAAGATGTGACGATGGAACTGAAGGAAGGGCACGAGGGTGATGAGCCCAGTAATAGCTCGGACGAGGAGGAAAATGAAGCTGATGTGCAGAGTAGTGAGAGCGATTTGAAAGAAGAGAAGCCTCTCAGAGACCTGACTGAAAAAAAAGACGACGCTAACAATGCTAGACGTGTATACACTCAGCAGGATATCAACAAGCTTATTGCTCTGTTAGTTGAACAGGTACCTATAAAGGATGCAGCTTTAAAGACAGGAATAAATGAAAAATCAGCCTACCGTTTCAAATCGCAGTGGCAGAAAACTGGGGAGGTACCTCAACAGAAGAAAAGAGGACGCAGAATGGGAACTGTCTCTGAGCTTACTGAGAAGCACTCGAAGTTTATTATCGACCTTGTTGATGAGCGTTCAACTACAACTATAGCTGGAATACACGAGTTGTTGATCATAGAGTTTCCAAGTCTCTCTGCAAGCCCATCCGCAGTATACAGACATCTTAGGACCAGCTGTGCACTATCTATGAAGAAGTTGGAGAAGACTTCAGTTGCTAGAAATTCAGAAGAAACTTTGAAGAAGAAAAAGGAGACCATCCTTCAATGGCTAGCTGATAGAGAAATGGACTTTGAGAACAATTGCGTATTTTTGGATGAAGCAGGATTCAATCTTCACATGACACGCACTCGTGGCTGGTCTAAGAAGGGAGCACCTGCTAAGACAACTGTCCCTGCTTCAAAAGGCACTACAATAACCATCCTTGGTGCCATCTCAAGTGCCGGCGTTATTGACATTTCTTTGAGAAAGCCAATAATGGTTTCGGGAGCCAAGAAGAGAAGAGTAGATGGTAAGGTTGTTACAACAACAGCCAAAGTTGGAACAAGGGCCGAGCATTATCTAAATTACTTGAGTAATGTGATGGATGTTCTTGACCGAAACAACATGAGGGGCTTTTACTTGGTAATGGACAATGCTCCCATACATAAGCCAGCTACAGTAAAAAATTTGATAGAAAGCAGAGGCTATAGGTGTACATATCTTCCACCATACTCACCATTCCTAAACCCAATTGAGCTATTCTGGTCGAAGGTGAAGTATGGTGTCAAAAGAAAACCTTTCGAAACTGGTGAGACACTCACACCCAGAATCATGGATGCCTGCTTCAAGGTAACCAAGAAAGACTGCCAAGGCTGGATCCACCATTCCCTCGGATTCTTTGAAAAGTGCTTAGCCCTGGAGAAAAACTTATAATGAGATTAAAGCATAAATGAGCTTTCTACTAATTGCCCCTTTTTTTTCTCTTAATTTTTCCTGTGTTTTTCTCTTATTTTATTGGTCAGTTTTCTCTTAATTGATCTCTTATTTTATCCAATAATTTTCTCTTATTTTCTCTGAGACTGTCTCTTAATTGCTGAAAAATACAATATATTGAAAAGGAAAAATATCTTCGAAATATTCTTGCTCGCTTTTATACTCCTCATTTTCCTTTGCTCTAGGATTCCCATGGTCATGTAACATGCTGTGCAGCACACTGATAACCGGCCCTGTTGGTTGGAACTAGAGTGTTGTTTCTTGTGCAGTTGACGCTGCAACCCACTTCATTACGCTTGCCGTAACCTTCCATTCTATTGATTCTCATGTCTGGACATTGCACATCATCTGGCATATCCCTTTTTTTCGTATGATCTCATATGTTTTCCGTAAAATAGCAACCTCTTAAATAAACATGTTTTCCAGCCAATAGCACAAATAGTGTATTGAGAAAATAGTCAACGACTATCGACAACAAGTGTACAGTCAATGGATGAATGATGAATAAATGGATGGATGAATAAATGGATGGATGAATAAATGGATGGATGAATAAATGGATGGATGAATAAATGGATGGATGAATAAATGGATGGACAGACAAATATCAGACTAAAACACCGAGACGATTCAACCCACCCAGTGGATGAGTGAGTGGATGGATACATATACGAATGAATCAAGCACTGGTGTCACTCGTTACCCTTCTCAAGTCTTTTATTTTCTGTATCAAATAAACCTATGCTTCTGTTCTACATGTTATCATACAATTTCTCAGTTTTGTTTGCTTTTTAGGATAATAGCAAAATGTTTTACACAGACTTTTTAGCCAATAACTCGTCACCATTTCACACAACACAGGATGCAGCACAACAGATGGATGGGAATGAACACATGAAAGTAATGGAGGGAGTTCCTTTTCTACTACAGAGTTCATATATGTCTGTCTTTGGAGATCAACGTCTTGATTTATTTGTTTATTGAAAAGGGCAAAGATACCGTTCAAAAGCTCAAAGTGCTCATGCACCCTCTCAAGAATGCCTTCAGATGGCAAGTCGGGCGTGGCAGCTTGGGACACCACCAAAAAGGCGAGCGGATCCGCGGCAGAGGAGCCGATTGGGTGCCACACAGCAGGTGGCGTTACTGCAATCAAGGCTTCAGGTTCAGGTACGTCTAAAGACAAAATTGTAACACAATTGCTCATTCAGCATTCGCCCGGAAAATATTGACTGTTGTGGTGTTGTAAGAGAGAAAATAAAAAACAAAGAACTTGTATAGGTTTACTATCCCAAAAATAAATATCATTTTGTTTTCTAGCTATTCATTCTTTAGGTATTTATATCTTTGAGATCGGATAAACTAACCTTCTTATCAAAGGAGTCGAAATGGAACTACTTTAGTTTATATGGATCAGGAACAGATTGTCAATGGACATGCCTTAGAAATATACTTGCTTCAGCCAATCAGGTAGGATCTGATATGAGATAGCACAATGTAAGAAATTATTTCTTGTCATTTTCATTGCAATTGTTTATCCATCATGATAAGGCCTGAATAACAAGAGTCACTGAGTCGATTACCACCGATCTAAGTTGTCTCTTGATTTATCATTGGATTAGAATCAATCTCTTTAGAATGAATAGATGAAGCGAGCATAAGATCTATTACAACTACTGTATCTGTATTCTGGTCAGTTAGCCATGAATATCTGTACGTGATAATAAAGTCTGATACTTACTTGTAATATGTATATAGATTCTATATGCTCACAACACCTTTAGTTTTCTCATATAATGTCATTTCACTAGCTCAAAGGTATTATATTATAGTAATGAGTATTTTCGAGATCTTTTCACTAACTCTATAGCATAGACAATACATTGGTGCAAAGGGACTAAGACCATGTACGTCAGTGCTAAACAGAATGTGATTACACAATAAGGTAAGTGAACAGCAAGAGGACCTGAAGGCAAATATACTGGACTGTACTATTGCTACTGGCTCAACAGGATAAACATTGGATTAGCAAGCAATACAGGCGTAAAAAATTGCCTGGTGGCTAGTAGAAATAGAACCAATCATATAGTATTAAAAAGTAAATAAACAAAGTAATATGATTGGAATAAAACTATTATAAAGTGTACGTTTTTATAATAAACATTGAGCGAATCAAATGTAGATATTTATCAATTGAAAAGACCTGAAAACGATCATTGACAACCGATATCAAACTATCAGGTAGAATTCAACCAATAACTGAATTCAATTGAACAACCTGATATCAACTAAACTAATCTGTAAGCGGTTATCAAGTCAATTTCACTCGACAGCCTGACATCCACTGTAAAACCTGATCAGAGTGCTGTTCGTCCGAAATCAGACTATCAGGTGAGATCGATACCGGGCGAAGTTCAATGGATATAAGTTAATTTTTCAAGTCAGTCGCTTGATAGCGGTTGAATTCACTTGATTGCTGGGTGATCATCCCTGTGACTTCATCTCCTAAAAATTCCCAAACAAAGTAACTCTATCTTTGTTTGTTTAGTTTTTTATGCTTAAATGTGGATTGGTATATGACTCAAAGGCAGAGCATTTCAGATAGTTGAAAATATATAGGTTCGACTCCTGCTATACCATATCTACTTTTTCTTTATGTATAATAAATCGACGATGTGAATTGCATTGCATACCTTAATGCTACTGGAACAGACAACAGAGAGAAGTTTGCTACAGTCACACCTGAATATAGTCATAGGATTTGGCCCTACCGACGGTATGACTATATCCAGGTACGACTGTTATCTTGGTAAGCTATAGCATTAGCATTTCTAAGTCTTCCTTATTAGCCCTTTAAAGTATGCAGGTGGGTCTCTCAGACCGAAACTCATGAGATTAAACACGTATGAACTGTTGACTGTGACTAGAGCGGTCTTAGCTTTGTCTCGCTTCTTTGTTTTCATCTGATATCCATAAGCAAGATCTATTTTAGAAAAAATGATTACTTTACCCATGAATTGAAGGGCACAAATGTAGATTGACAAAGGGATACCTGACAGTTTTTGTTATTTTATCAGGCTTGACGTGATTGCCACAGACTCTAATTGGCTTGCCAGCCCTGTTGTGTGCGTAACCTTGGTGAGTTGTAATACCTTTTGACCTTATGAATTTCTCTCTTCTTGACTATATAATATTGTCTTATTTTTATTATGTTGTACAGTTTATAATAGTTTTGTGGCCACCTAACTTTAAGTAGTTTTTGTGTCCTATATGACTAGTAATAGACTTAGAATAAATGCCTTAGAACAACGATGAGTAGCGCCATCTAAATTCAAGAAGTGTCAGGTACAGCTCCTAATCTGACAAATCAATCCGTAGTCAAGAAACTAACCTAAAACAATATTTTGACCGAGAAGAAAAAGTAGAGATACCTCGATATTTTATAGCAATTGAAAAGATAATCATTTTTTTTTGGGAAATAAAAGCTTAAAGTTCTAACGGACTTTGTGTTCTTACCTTTTTTTTCTTATTCTATATCTATTCTCTCTTCATTTCACAACAAACAGGATCCATTGGATAACCTTGGCCCTTAAGCTCTTAATTAAGATCACTTGGCCAGTAATCAACATCCTTTACTCTCAAGTCACGCATGCATTGAAGAAAGATGGTAAAATCAAACCGTTTTGGAATAGACATTTGTCATTCAACAAAAGCCAATAAACCCACATTTTTCATGATTTGAATGCATAATTGCTATACTGTAAACAAAGAAAAAAGTCAAGTCGATGAAACATCATCTTAAAAGGGATAAGTTTAGGAATGATTTTTTCTTTTTCTTTACCTCTCCTCCATCCTAAAGAGGCACATTCAATATAGAAACTACAAAAAAAGTATGTTGTTAGACTTATAAATTATATTTTACTAAAGTTTCTAAAACAATAAAGCTTTACTGAATCATACAAATTCTTATTGGAGGTCATAATTCTAAAAGATTTCAAAAGTCTGATTCAGACTTGACTTGATTTACTTGATTGCGAAGCCTAGATACAATGATTACATTTCTTAGTGACAAGAGATCTACATCACACCATCAATGCGACTACGTCTCATCTCGGAGGGGGAGTAGTGTTCTATACAAACATAGAATATGCAATATTTGGATACGCATTACACTTGTAACCATCGTTACAGAATATATGCTAAGCAACAAATACGCATTGAACATGTTACTCATAAAATTCCTCTTTCTCATTTAGACAAATGGCAACCTACACATCTTAAATACAGATGTTGTAGGTTAGACATGCAATTGCACCCAATGGCCAAGTAAACACATACACTCATATAGTAACTACTTATCATTTGAAATAACAATGGTCACATACAAACACTTCTTCAATTCCGTGTTTCTAAATCATATCATTCTCATCACTACTAATTTACGAATTTAACTACTATTTGCCTATAAATACAACTTATTAAATGAATAAAAGACAATCATTTTTGAATCTCACGAACTTCCTCGTCCCTTCTTCTTCTTGTTATATTGTTATTCAATTATCGGATTGAACAAGTTGTTGGAAATAAACATTTTTATATTCGCTTGTTAGTATGTGAGAATAGAAGGCTTCAAAATGCATAAATTCCATACCTCTTCTACGAATTTCCATTTAGTATGACTGTATGAAATAAAGCCAATACATGTCCTAGTATGGTATATAAAACAAGAGACTTTTGTTATATTAACTAACTGTTTGAATTTACGCTTTTCTCTTTTCCAGGTATCATCTGTCAATTCAAGTCTTTATTGAATACGAGTGATAGCGGTAGTTGGGTTTCCTCGAAGTACATAAGCAGCAGACCAAATGATACTCAGACTGATTAGGATAATATGTATCTATTCAACAATCAGTATCTTAAAAATGGCTATAGAAATTATTACCATGGTTTTAAGTGTTAATCCATCAGAAAATGCATTGGCCATGTCAGCTAGTGTCTCTGCCAAGATTTGCGATTTACTAACAGCAATAGGTCGATGCATGCATTGTTCCCATTCTCGACACAAATGATTCACAGCTGGAAGACGTGTTTCTGGTCCACAACGATTTAGACCATATTGTTGTTGACAATAGATTTGTTCACCCAATAAATCTAAATAAACGTATATTAGAAAGAAATCAAATAGATACTGTTGATACCTGACTCATAAGACGTTATTTTCACTTTCATATCATGGCGAAATAGAAGGGTCAACTGTATGATTAGATACATAAAACTAGTGAATACAATCGACATCAACAACACCTTGAATAAGCCAGTTATGTAATGAATGCTACTCTTACTCTGACCTAGATGATCAATAGGCGCTTGGTGATAAATAAATGTTGGGGAAGAATGAGCTGTTTGTTCTGTTGATGAAGGGAATAATGTGGGTGTCACTGGTATGTTGTTCTGATCGACAGAGTGTATGGTTGATAATGCTGTTTCTATTTCGGTGTGTTTGGGTGATAAGGGTGGACTGATGAGCACAGATGAAGGCTTATGTCATATATGAGTTATTTTTTAAAGCACATAATGATGAACTTGCCTCTGGTTCTTGAATAGACACATTGCTTAGGAAGTTACAAACTGTGTCTGCTAATGATTTTTTATCTTTTTGTTCATATAACAATGTCTTGTGTGCAAAGAAAGGGTTCGTGTATTCAAACTCCATAGGATCAGAGTGTTGTTCTTCCATCCTGAACTGATTGAAAGGAAAAGAGAAACTACAGAATTTTTAAAGTCACACATATACACACACAAAAAACGCGTATAGAACAATCGCGTTTCTTGAATGGTTTTTATTGGATACACTCTCTTTAAGTAAAGACTTTTGTGACGTCAATTCAATGCGAGAGGCGCGTAAAATTAAAAAAACACGTCCTTTATTTATTTGTCTGTGTTTTGTCATGACAAGTAGAAAGATTGAACTCTCTCAAGATATTTTATCTAACCTAAAGACATCCAAAGTTTTTCCTGAAACCAATACCTTGACTTCTATTTCTTTTAGTGACACAGGTGAATACTGTGTGACTGCCGGACAAGATGATAGCCTTCATATTTATAACTGTAAAGAAGGAAAGCAAGTATTATTCATCAGTTAAAGTATGTGTGTATGTGTGTGTACTTATAGTTCTCCCCTCCATTCGTTTAGTCTACGTTCAACGTTGTATTCCAAAAAGTATGGTGTGACTTTGGCTCGATTTACGCATCATAAGAACAATGTTATTTATGCATCCACTAAAGAAGATGATACTCTAAGATATCTTTCGATACATGACAACAAATACATTCGTTATTTTCGTGGACACAAGAAAAGGTAACTCCCTTAGTCTATAGAAGAGCTATATTTAATACTTGTAGAGTGACAGCAGTGGAAATGTCCCCCATTGATGATACATTGATGACATCTTCTTTGGATCAAACTGTACGTTTATGGGATTTACGATCGTCTACTTGTCAGGCAAGTATCGCTTATTAGACTGACTCGACTGATAATGACCTATAGGGTGTATTGCATGGTGAAGGTAAAACAATGGCCGCATTTGATCCTCAAGGCCTTGTGTTTGCTGTTGGCACTAATCATGATACCATTCGTGTCTATGACTGTCGAGAATATACCAATGGCCCTTTTGCTACTTGGCCTATACCTGATACAGGTGTTGAATGGACCAGTCTGAAATTTACTCCAGATGGCAAAAAAATCATTATCACTACAGTGGGCGATGTGTTGTATGTGATTGATGCTTTTGAAGGTACTTTATTACAGCGACTTGTGGGTCATGTAGGCCCCCAACATCCCTCTACGTGTGGTGAAGAAGTCTGCGTGACACCTGATGCTCGTTATGTCATGGCAGGTGGTAGGGATGGGCAATTAAGAATATGGGATTTAAATAAGCAGGAAAATATGCCTTTTGCTACATTACAGACACCGCATAAACATAGCTTAAAGATTGTAGGCCATAATCCAATGCATGCCATGTGTGTCACTGGTTCAAGTGAATTAGTAAGTAAAGTGACTATCTGTCTAAATGAACTCAACTATGTTCTATATAGGCATTTTGGTTACCCACTGTGTAACTAGACCGGAAAGGATATAAAATAGATAAATAAATAAATAAATAAAATGGCTTCTTTCTTTTTTAAACCATGAACAACAAACTTATTATTTGTATTGACCGTGGAGGTACATTTACTGACTGTATTGGCTTTCGTGGTAAGCCAGGAGATAAAGATTATTGTGAATATGTGGTCAAGTTGCTTTCAGAAGACCCTGCCAATTATAAAGATGCGCCTACAGAAGGCATTCGTCGTATTCTAGAATTGGCTACGGGTCAGAAATATCCACGCTCAGAACCTGTGCCTACTACGCTTATTGGTATAATAAAAAATGCGTTGTTTATCTAGGCTGACTGCAGGATATACTCTAGAAAGTGTGCGTATGGGAACTACAGTCGCGACAAATGCATTGTTGGAAAGAAAAGGTGAAAAGAGTGCATTATTGATCACAAAGGGGTTTGGTGATCTTCTGACTATTGGAAATCAAGCACGACCCAAGATATTTGACTTGTCGATTAGTAAGCCAGATGTCTTGTATCAAAAAGTCATTGAAGTGGATGAACGGTAATAGATATCCAACAACAACAACAATAACAACAACAAAATTGTCGTCTCACTCATTTTTACGATAGTGTGGTTTTGTTGAATTCAGCTGCTTCTAGCGAGAAAGTGGATCCTAAACAAGTCAGTCATGCTCAGCTAGGTATTTCGGGTGAATATATCAAAGTAGTCAAAAAACCAGGTAAATTGTAGGCTTAAAACAAGAGGGTGGACTAAACCAGTTAGACTTGAACACGCTTCAGTCCCAATTGGAGTCTATTTATAAAGAAGGTTATCGTAGCATTGCTATTTGTTTACTTCATGCATACACATTCCCTGAACACGAAACCCAAATTGGTCAACTAGCTCAATCGATAGGGTTTGACCATGTTTCTCTCTCTAGCCAAGTAATGCCTATGGTCAAGATTCTACCCCGTGGCACTTCAGCTACAGCTGATGCTTATTTAACGCCTTGTATTCAAAACTATATCAAGGGATTCAAGACAGGGTTTGATGATGGATTTGAAAAAGACACTCAGCTTCAATTCATGCAAAGTGATGGTGGATTAGTGCCTGTGGATCGTTTTTCTGGGTTCAAGGCTATTTTATCGGGTCCTGCAGGTGGTGTCGTAGGTTATGCACAGACTACATTTACAGGAACACCTGTGATTGGGTTTGATATGGGCGGTACAAGTACAGATGTATCTCGTTTTGATGGTCATTTTGAACATGTGTTTGAGACAACTACAGCGGGTGTCACGATTCAAGCACCTCAGTTAAACATCAACACAGTGGCTGCAGGGGGTGGATCGATGTTGTTCTTTAAGAATGGCATGTTTGTTGTGGGTCCTGAGGTAAGAAGGGAAGAGGAGATACTTGGACTGATACACTGTAGAGTGCTGGTGCTCATCCTGGTCCTGCCTGTTATCGAAAAGGTGGCCCATTAGCCGTGTCTGATGCCAACCTTTTCTTGGGCCGTTTATTGCCTGACTACTTTCCTCGTATCTTTGGCCCAGATGAAAATCAGCCTTTGGACTGTACTGTCGTTCAAGAGAAATTCACTGCTTTAGCAAACGAGATCCATCAAGCCACAGGCCAAGCTAAATCGTTAGATGATATCGTCTATGGATTTATCAAAGTAGCCAACGAAACCATGTGTCGTCCTATTCGTGCCTTGACCGAGGCCAAGGGTCATGATACCAGTAACCATGTCTTGGCAGTCTTTGGTGGCGCAGGTGGACAACACGCTTGTGGTATTGCACGTAACTTGGGTATTCGTAAAATTGTGTTGTATCGTCATAGTTCGATCTTGTCTGCTTTTGGTTTGGCTTTGGCAGATGTAGTGCATGAAGTGCAAGAACCCTCTGCTCAAACACTCAGTGATTTGTCTCGCATTCAAGAACGTATTGTGGAACTAAAGCAATCATGTGTTGGCGAACTGAAGCGTCAGGGGTTTGCTGAAAGCACGATTAAGACTGAACTGTATCTTAACTTAAGATACGATGGTACAGACTGTGCTTTAATGACCTTACAGCCTGAAGATTGGAATTTTGAAGGTGCCTTCAAGACATTGTATCAAAAGGAATTTGGCTTTTTGTTGAAAGACCGTGACATTCTTGTGGATGATATTCGTGTACGTGGTATCAGTAAAACAATGGAACATCACAACTTGACACCGGATCAAGAAATTCAACAGTTGACAGAGGCAAACCAGCTGCATGTGGTATCTCCAGACAGATGCGATTCGTTTGCTTCCGTCTATTTCGAAGAGACAGGACGTGGACAAACGCCTGTTTATCGACTTGTAAACCTTAAGCCTGGAAGTCAAGTAGAAGGCCCTGCTATCATTATTGATGCTACAGCTACTGTAGTGATTGAGCCTTCTTGTACTGCTCTTATTACGCATAACCATATTACCATTACTGTGGGTCGTGGCGAAAAAAAGAAAGTGACAAAAGACATGGAGCCTATTCAACTGTCTATTTTCTCGCATCGATTCATGAGTATTGCTGAACAAATGGGAAGAACGTTGCAAAAGACAGCGATTTCTACCAACATCAAAGAGAGATTAGGCAAGTATTTAGAGAGTGGTATTGCCTATAAGCTTACACAATGACTTAGATTTCTCTTGTGCCTTGTTTGGTGCAGATGGTGGGTTAGTTGCCAATGCACCTCATATTCCAGTCCATTTGGGTTCATTGAGTCATGCTGTTGTCTACCAAATGAATTATTATAAAGGTCAATTATCTGAGGGTGATGTGATTATGACAAACCATCCTCAAGCAGGTGGTTCTCATTTACCAGGTAACTGCTTTTTATTATAGGAAAGATATTGATATATCATAGACATCACAATTATTACGCCTGTGTTCGATCAAGGCAAAATTGTGTTCTTTGTAGCTTCAAGAGGACATCATGCTGATATTGGTGGTATTTCTCCTGGTTCTATGCCTCCTCATTCCAAAGAACTTTATCAAGAAGGTGCAGCCATCAAGTCCTTCAAAATTGTTTCCAATGGACAATTTGACCTGAAGGGATTGGAAGAGCACCTATGTACTATTCCAGGCTCTTATGCAGAATGTTCAGGCTCACGTGCATTCCGAGACAATATCTCTGGTAAGTAAATGCGTCGCACTTTAAGCTAGACTCAGTTCCATTTTAGACCTGAAAGCACAGATTGCTGCAAACCAAAAGGGTATTGCCCTTGTCAAGGCTTTGATTGAAGAATACACACTGGAAGTAGTCCAGGCTTATATGATGCATATCCGTCGCAATGCCTCTGATGCTGTCAAATCCTTATTGAAAACTGTAGCAAAACAACATCAAAAAGAATTAATGGCTGTAGACTATATGGATGATGGTACACCCATTCAATTACGTGTCTCCATTGATCCTGAACAAGGCACGGCCCTTTTTGACTTTGAAGGCACAGGACCTGAAGTGTACGGCAATACCAATGCACCTGAAAGTGTGTGTCACTCTGCTATTATTTATTCTATTCGTTGTCTTGTTAACCAAGACATTCCTCTTAACTCGGGTTGTTTAGAGCCTATTGACATCAAGATCCCACCTAACTCTATCTTGAGTCCCTCTGAACAATGTGCTGTGGTTGGGGGTAATGTATTGACCAGTCAGAGATTAGTGGATGTCGTTCTCAAGGCATTTAATGCATGTGCTGCTAGTCAAGGGTGCTGCAATAACTTGACATTTGGCAAAGGAGGTAAATCCAAAGATGGGCAAGTGGTAGCTGGGTGGGGCTATTATGAGACCATTGCTGGTGGCAGTGGCGCTGGTCCTACATGGGAAGGTGTCAGTGGTGTTCATACGCACATGACAAACACGCGCATCACAGATCCTGAGATCCTGGAGCGTCGATACCCTGTCATTCTACATCAGTTTGCTATTCGACCTCATTCAGGTGGGCAAGGTCACCATCGTGGTGGTGATGGTGTTATCCGTGAAATTGAATTCTTGGAAGATGGTATTCAAGTTTCTATTTTGTCTGAACGACGTGTGTATAGTCCTTATGGTCTTGAGGGTGGGCAGGAAGCTCAAAAGGGGTTGAATATTTGGATGCGTCATGTCAATGAAAATGAGGTGCAGATGCTTAATTTGACAGGCAAGAATTCTGCCTTGTTCCATCGTGGTGACCGTATTATTATCAACACACCTGGAGGAGGAGGTTATGGTCATGCTTAAATAAGACATTTTGAGTACGGGTAGAAATGTTTAATAATAATAATAATAATAATCTACACAGGCTTTGATGATTTCTTGCTATCAATGGCGTTAGTTTGGTTTGGTAAGCCTTCTTCTTCTTCTTTTCTAGCATTATGTATAGCAGTGCGTTGAGAGGATTCTAGCATAGCCTTTTCCATGGCCTTGAAAGCAAAGTATGACACCCGAGGTCCATTTCTTCGGACTCGGGTATGTTTCTGTCTAATGCGAGGGGTAGTTTCTGAAGTCATATGAAAGTAAAGAGAACAAAAAAAATTGTTTTTATCTATAATCTTGAGATACGATTGATTATCGGTAGACATAAGAGCATTGAAATCAAGGTTAGTGGCAAGGTTCAATGTTTAAATATTGAAATCAATGTCAAGAACTTGCATATTCAAGATTGAGGATTTTATTCAGAGACAATTGAGTTTAAAAGAGACAACATTACCATTTTATGATCAGTCACTGTTTACTATGCTATTGAACTATAAAAGACTTAGAGCATGTCACATTCAATATATATATATATATATATATATATAGTTTTCTTCTTTGGTATTGTTGATTTTATCTCAAGTCTTGTTGTATCTCTCTCTGTACTTGATTCTTACAGTTACTATGCTATCCTGCATAAGAATATGCAATGTTCCAATTGGCTCACCAGATTTCTGGTTCTAGCTTTTTACTTTAAAGAAACATTTCTTTAATCTCATTTGTTCTTTTATCATGAATGTCGATGCAAATATATTATTTTATTACACATATACACGGTAGAAATGACTTTATTTTTCTTTTTATTAAATTCGTGATTATGTTTGTTGGATAATGAACTATCTGCTAAACAGGCGAAAACGAAGAAACTATTGGCCAAACTAGGCTTGCCTGATTTACCTGGTGTTGATGCTTCTCTTGATTTAATGGACACTGAGACACGGACAACCTTTACAGATATACGTAACTTTACATTGAGCCTAGCAGAAGAGTCAAGCAAGACTGCTTCCTCTGCTTCTTTGAACATAGTTGATTATGAAGACCACACTACTTTAGACCAAATACATGATCTTGTACGCGTGATAAAGCCTTTAAAAGAGACTAATTCTTCTGGTCATTGCGCTTATTGCTCACTCAAATCGAATCACGTTGATTCTGTTAAAATGCCTGGCTGATAAAAAAAAAAAAAAAATTGAATGATGATGTTGATTACTTGTCTGATGAAATGAGTCTTTTTAATAATAAAAGGGGAAAATGGATATATCTTTCTAGTCAAGAGGAATCCAATCTCTAGGATTCTTCAAAACTTCTTCTAAATCTTGTTCTCTTGAACCTTCTTCTGCTTCCTTCATGTATTCCCAACGCGATGTAAGTGGCAAAGACATCAAAATGGCTTCAATACGAGCACCGGGTGTTTGTAAACCAAACTTAGTACCTCGATCCCATACAAGATTGAACTCAACATAACGACCACGACGAATTTGTTGCCACTCTTTCATTTCAGGCGTAAATTTCATATGCATACGCTTTTTCATGATTGGAATATACGATGTGGTGAATCGATTGCCCATTTCCTTAATAAATCCAAAGATTTCTTCAGCAGGTTTATCGTCTAAATCATCAAAGAAGATACCACCAATACCACGGGCTTCTCCACGGTGCTTGATGAAAAAATATTTGTCACACCACTGCTTAAATTGACTGTAGTATTTCTTGTCATACTTGTCACAACCATCTTTCAACACTTGATGGAAATGAATTGCATCGTCTTCAAACAGATAAGAAGGCGTCAAATCAGATCCACCACCAAACCACCACATTTTAGGTGTACCATCAGGATTCTCAATTTCAAAATAGCGATAGTTCAAATGGACAGTGGGTGCATTGGGGTTATGAGGATGCATGACAAGAGAGATACCAGCAGCAAAGAAAGGGACAGGGCCATCTGCACTAATATCCTTACCACGATCATGTCTCATTTGTTCCACAGCAGCCTTGGGCAGTTGACCATAGACGATGCTGACACCCACACCTGCTTTTTCAAACACATTACCGTCTTGCAAGACACAGGTAATGCCTTCACCTCCTTCTGCACGTTCCCAAGTGGTACGAACAAACTGCTTGCCGTCCAATTGTTCAATTTCGTTCACAATACGGTTCTGGAGACCCTTGACAAAGGCTTCCATACGAAGACGCATAGGGTCTCTGTCTGTGATAGGGCCTTCTGCTCTCTATAGGCAACATCAATCAGCAACAAAGAGATAGGATAGACTACTTACACGTTGTTTATCATCAGAAATAGCATCACAATGGGCCTAAAAGAAAAAGAAAAAGAAAAAGAATCAGCATAACCGATAACAATAACAAGCCCTTTACTTGGTTTGTATTCCAGATACCAAAAGCTAAAGTAGCGCTAGTAACAGCAGCAGCACCTAATAAAGTCTTGTTTCTCCAACCACTGCTGACAGTAGCTGTACGAGAAGTAGCATAAAAGCGTGGACTAGTGCAAGTAAGTAGCTATTTTTTTTTTGTTATAATATACACTTACAGTAAAGAAGGTCGAATCGAGCGAACCGACTTGATAACTATAACAATGTATGAATATCAACACAGTATGTGTATTTCTTACGTGTTGATTTGCCTCGAAGCATATACAAGCAGAAAAAAAGAAAAGAAAATTATCACCCCATGAAGTGGAAATATACACCCAAACAAAATCGCAGTCCCCACTTTGATGTGCATTAATACAACGATAAGACTGAGCAAGATACTTCTCGGGTATTATTATACAAAGCAATAAGGGCACATTGACAAAGTTAGCTACTATTGTACTTTTCGAGATAAATTCTGCTTCTTTCCTTTGGCCTTTATACACACTCTAATTCCACCCTTTCTTCATACTCTACTAAAACCAACCATTACTCTCTATGTTGGACTATTGGTTGTACACATGGTATCAGCAAACAAATAACCGCATGCATTTGATTGGCTAACTTTAGCCGTCGCGTGGGCCATGCTATTTGAGCACTTCTTTTTTTTTTTCTCTTATTCCTCTTCTTTCCCTTCTTTTTTAGTAAGAAACTACAATGGCTTTAAAACGTATCAACAAAGTAAATAACAAACTAGTTGTGTGAATAAAATGGACATGACTAACGGCATCATAGGAACTCAAAGATCTCGAACGTGACCCACCTTCTTCTTGTTCAGCAGGTCCTATTGGCGATGACATGTTTCATTGGCAAGCAACTATTATGGGTCCCGTAAGTGATATTGATACCACCACTACATATCACTCATGATACTATAGGAAGATAGTCCTTACCAAGGCGGTGTCTTTTTCTTGTCTATTCATTTCCCTACTGATTACCCCTTTAAACCACCAAAGGTAATACTCTATCTGTCATCCGCCATGGCTCATGCTATTGATTAGATTAACTTTACCACTAAAATCTATCACCCTAATATCAACAGTAATGGCTCTATTTGTCTTGACATCCTGAAGGATCAATGGTCTCCTGCTCTTACTATTTCCAAGGGTAAAGAACACGCGGCCCGTTATAAACTCAGAAGGGGAAATTAATGTCATTTTTTTTTTTTTTTTTTTTTAGTGCTCTTGTCTGTCTGTTCTTTGCTTACTGACCCCAATCCTGATGGTAAGTAAATCATGTATTATGTAAATGTATTTATCTCTCTGGATAGACCCACTTGTGCCTGAACTTGCTCATATCTATAAAACGGATCGTTCTCGTTATGAATCCACAGCAAGAGATTGGACCAGAAAATATGCCAGTAAGTGTATATATATATATATATATAAAAAGGTTCTTTGTTGGCTCATAGTTCTCTCTTCTAGTGTAAAATAAGATGGTGTGTTTCTTTTTATATATACATAAAATTTTATTTTAAAAGAAAGCTAGACTCGAGGTTTAAAGCTATTGGCATTCTGTTCAAAAAAGAGTTGCATAGGTTCACAAGGTGATTTTGTCAACATGCTTGTATGTGGTACACAAATACTGCCAGATGTTTGAACCCAATCAAAGTAATCCAAATACGTTTGAATCTGTTTATCTAAGAAAGATGAGTCAAGCCTTAGTAAACTTGTCTATGTTATGTTACCTGTAGGAGTAGCATAAGCCTTGTCTTTATAAGCTTTTCTATCAAATGTGTCGTGGTACATGTGTGACATTTCTTGCTTTAATCGAGCATCAAACCAGATATCTTTACTGAGCCCGCTCAAGTAATAACTGAGGTCCATAGGTCGACCATGACGATACTTGAAATGAGCATAGCCTGTGCTTGAAGACAAGTATTCGACCAGTTGTTTACCATTGATTTGAGGACCTGTGAGTGTATAGACTTGTCCATCATGAGCATCGTCTAAAGGCTTTGTTTGACCATCTTGTACCAAAAGACTTTCAATCACTTTACATACATCAGAAATAGCAACAGGGCAGATCTCCATGTCTTCAGATAAAGGGAGTAAGACTTGGCGATGCTTTTCAGCGTAATTAGACCACAAATGAAAGTATTGTTGTACAAAATCAAGTCTAAAGATAGCATTAACCTAGTTGCTTTACACTATCGACATTATACCTGAGAATCGTGTGTGGGCATCCACTGTGAAGAACAGCAGACTCAATCTGACCATAATCTTGAAGTGAAGCATATTTTGAACTAGCACCCACATGAGAAATACAGATAATGCTCGATACACCCGATTGAGCAGCTACAGCACAGATGGATTTGGCATGGTCAACACGGTTCAGTTCATTCCCAATAGCCAGGATGACATGATCTACGCCACGCATAGCCAATGAGAGTTGATGAGGGTGTAAATAATCAATTTGGCGGACATCCATACCAGCTTTAGCGAAACCATGGCAACGAGACTTGTTTTGACATAGCACCCGAAGTTGAGATCGTAAGGCTTGATGTTCAGCCAAATGAGATGTGATAGCGTATCCAATGTATTGGTCAGCACCTGTAATAAGAAGCATAATGGGGTTTTTTCTAATTGAACAATTTGAAAAAAAAAGGAGGACAGGGATGATGTTCCTATTTATGTAGCTTGCTAATTTGTTTAGTCGGAGGAATAAAAGTAAGGTGAAAAAAGATGAGGTCCTGAACAATTTTGTCAGGGTTCAGATGATGATAAGCTCAATCGGTGTATTTCCATACAAGACGTCATGAAGTCCAATCGAAAAAAGAGGGATCGACCACGCACCTACTTTTTTTGGGTACCAAACAAACTCACCGAGTCAAAAACGGTGAATATTATTCAATAAGCACTCTGATTTGCTGTTCATTCTGATTGACAGCTGAATTGAGTTTTTATAAAATAAAAAAAAAAAAAAAAAAACTTTTTTTTATTTATTTGTTTTTTGAAACAAAATGCTCCAAGTAACTTTGTTGCCTGGTAAAGGAAGAGGATATAAAGCACTAGAGACGATTGAAGTAGGTACAGTGGTTCATGTGTCTGAACCATTGGCCACTACAGTATCTCAAGAATGGACACCAGAAACATGTAGCTGGTGTTTTGATTTTAGTTATCCAAAGAAACAAAAGACAAGGATTCATGATCAAACTCAGTTAGCAAAAGCATGGAACATACCTTATAAAAAAGACTCAAATCTATTTAAAGATGTCTTGTTTTGTTCAGAAAAATGCAGAGACGCATTCCAGCAACAACAAGATCAACGTCTTTTGGCTGCTTATTATAGATTGGATACTGAATTCAAACAACAGAGAGAGAATACACTATGTCAGTCTATGTCATCTATACCCACTGTCGATATCCAAGATGACTCAATGCTCTCAGAATGGCTAGAAAAGGCTTGGGATATGGCAACTCATGATCTAGACTTAGTTAGGCCTATGGAAGATACAGACAAGGCCATGTGTCGATTGATTGCTGCCTGTGTGATTAGCAAACTGAACGGAACAATAAAGCCATCGTTTGATAGTCTATGGGTGATACAGAACAATGAACTATCTCACTTTAAGAGTTATTGTGATGCAGTACCTGATCTAAATCAGATGGACAAGCAAACACTGTGGAGTTGGTTGCCTGAACAAGTACTTCATGTCATGGCACTCTATTGTTTATTGAAGCGTGCCTTTTCTAACCGTTGCTTTGGTGTGCCTGTGATTGAAGTGGACCATGCATTGTTTAGAGCCATCTATTTCCGCGAAAGAGCCAATAGTTTTGGGTTATGGGAAATGTCGCCTGATGGCACAGTAACAGACGATCTGGAATTGCTGGGATGGGGTATCTATCCCTCTGCTGTGTATTTTAACCATGCATGTGATGCCAATGTCAACAAGATCAGAGAAGGTAGACAACTCAAGTTTATTGCGAATCGCACCATTCAAAAGGGACAAGAGGCCTGTATCTCTTATGGATCTGTCCATGACACAGTAGACATTCGACGTGCTCGTTTATTTGAACATTATCATTTTATGTGTGCATGTACTCAGTGTTTAATGGAAATAAATTCAGTAGCCTAAATACTGTTTGCGAAGCACCAATGCGTTTTTTCTCAAGTCTTTCCATTCGTCTGTCAATCGACCTGTGATCGGATGATTGGATTGCCAGTCCTCTTGATCATCGATCCAGCCTTCTGCCCAAGCACCCAGTTGATCGTCATATTCAAATTCGCGCGCAACACCCATCACAAAATCAAGTCGATCATCCTCTGCTTCTGATACTTTCGAAACAATATGAGGCATCATGGGGATCTTGCCACTCCAGTATCGGGCCATCACCGTACTTTGTCGCTGCATCAAAGGCAAAGGTACTACACGAATAGGCAATCCCAAAAAGCACAATGTGGGGTTCTTTTGATAAAACATGTAATGGTCTACATGATGTACTTTCTGGCCTGTCTTGATCAATTCATCAGCAGCAAAAGGCAAAAATGGGAAACTGTATAGATAGCCTGTGCCGAAAATGACGATATCAACATCGTTTAAGACCTGGCTGTCTTGTAGTTCAATCTGTCTGTCAGAACAAAACTGCTTGACAAGGGCGACTTGATGTACGTGTGGTGGGTTGAGTTCGATGGCTTGACGCGAGAGTTCTGTCTGTGTTCGAATGGACTGATAGACTTTGGTGGCGACAGACGATATTTCGCGTACAATATCATTCGCAGAAGATCCACCGCCAATGACCAGCACCACTTTGTCTTTAAATGCATTGGGGTGACGATAATCTCTTGAATGGATCAATTCAAGCTGAGTGTCTTGAATACCAGGCAAGTCGGGAATAAAAGGGACTGCATAATGTCCTGTTGCCACAACAACCGCATCAAATGTCTCGGTTGTGGTGGAGCCATGGTTGAGATCTTTGATGGTTACTTGCCATTGATCATGTTCGTACTCCACACGGGTGACGAGTGTTGAGAATCGTACAAGGGATAACAGGTCTTCTTTCTGAGCTAGAGAAGACAGATAGTCCATCACATGTTGGTGTGTTGGATAAAGCGGTGTTTCTTTCGGAAAAGGCACATCATGAAAGCACATGACAGAATGAGGTAGGTTGGTATGAAGATTAGCATAGATGGGGGAATACAGTTCTCTTGTGTTGAGTGTTGTATCAACTACAAGGGCATTGGTAGAAGGTATAGGCGGAGGCGCGTTTGTTTCGGGAGAGTATTTCCTATGGATCTATTAAACCCAATGAATACCATAGCTATGCTTACCAAGTGCCTCCTGTATGATTATTTCTTTCAAACACCACAATTTCTGCAAAATGCTGCTCTTTACGCAATGCTCTAGCAGCAGCCATGCCTCCAGGACCACATCCTATAATGGCCACACGCTGAATGGATTTCTCAATAAAGGATGTCATGGTTTTATTTACAAGAGGAAAAGAAATAGACTAAAATTTAAAAATCAGTTAGGCTAAAATGATGGTAGGATGTTGATCTGGTTGAGATAAGGTCATGTCTCTTCTTGGGGGTCGAATGGACATTTCTGGGCCCATCATGACGAAATTTCTTGAATCAATTATAATGACCGAAACCCAATAGACCTGTCAATTCAGTATATCTATTTATATGGACATGCACTTACATAGATCAGTATCATCAACACAAGCGAGGTAAAAGCAAATTTAGCCTCGGCATCAAACAGTCTGTGACAATTGAACCAGACATCAGGTTGTTGAATACGGATTGGCAATGTAGTACTGCTGATACACCAGTCAATAAATTCATGCTTGTTGACTGAAAATAAGATACAGTTGATCAGAGTATCCAACAGGACAATGGCTACTGAACAAGCAAACAGATTGGCATAACGGTGATATCGACTAATGGATCGCTTAAACTATAACTTTGTCAGTATTACACACACACTTTTTTTTTTTCTTTACCCAATGAAGTGTATATCCAAATAAACATAAGACAACAAACACAAGGTGAATCACTCCAAACACAATCAATGCTGTAGGATTAAAATGAGAGAAAAAGGCTATGTCTATCAAGAAGTTGTATCTCTATTGATATTTTACTTACGACTGATGCCTCTAAATGCTTGAACACTAAAATACATGCTTATGCCCTACTTGTAGTCAATACGACAATGATGTCTGTATTTATTGTTTACCTACAATCCATATAGTTAACATTAAAATGACACCGTACCTGGATGGTATGATGAAGCAACATTTTGGATTTGTAAAAGAAAACATATATAAAAGAAAGAAAGAAATACAAAATAAACAAGAAGCTAAATAAGGATGGCATCTTATGATCTTTGTTTATTGTTCTTTGTGCTACATACAATTCTTTATTTTTGACTGTTGATATCCTGTGTATTCTTAATGGCTTGAGTGGGTGTATAACCAACAGGTTCTGACAATGCTTGTATTTGTTCAAGTACATTCTCACCCAGTTTGATTTGTCTGGCATACAATCCTTCTGCCTATTCATATATATATATATATATATAAAAACATAAACCAGATAGAAGTGTCTTTATACTTACATTCATCACCATCCAGTCATGATCAAGAGCACCATCAATATCTAAACGTTGTTTTGGGTCAACTGTCAGTAATTTGTTAATCAAGTCTTTAGCATTGTCTGATATCTTATCCCACCAAGGGGAAGGGAAAGAATAAGCTCCCGTCTTGATCTGCATCTTCATACTGGGTGGACCATTCTCCTCTATGATATATATATATACAAGTTTATCAATATATATGTATATGTATATATATATATATATATATATATATTTCTTTTACCTGAAAAGGGTGGAAATCCACATAGACAGATATACAACATGACACCAAGAGACCAAAGATCACATTTCTTACCATAAGAACGGTGTTTAGCAGGGTCAAGGATTTCAGGGGCGACTAAATAAAGAACAAGTTAAAAAAAGAACAACAATACAAGAAGATCTTACTGTAATTAGGTGTACCACATTGAGAATCAAAGGCTTGATTACGCTCTTCAGATTTGGCCAGACCAAAATCAGATACTTTAATATGAAGTGTTTCTCGGTTGGCAAGTAACACTAACCTGTATTAGTCAACAGTAGGGATGTTGGATAGATTACCATTTTCAGGCTTCAAATCACGATGAGCAATATTGTTTTTATGAAGAAACTAGACAGGTCAGTAAGCGTATCAAACCGAATGGCTTACCTTAATAGCAGTAAACAATTGCCAAAAGATAAAACGGGTTGTATCTTCATCCAAGAATTTATTGTCTACCACGTACTGGAATAATTCACCATCAGGCACATATTCCAAGACAAGGTACATTTTTTGTAATTCATTAAAAGTTCGAATCATTTGTACTACTAATGGCTAATAACCATTAGAAAAAAAAAATAGCAAAGAATAGCCTGTCACTTACATGCTTTGTCATGCTATTCATTATACCAATCTCATTTACAATCGAATCTAGCATTTTGGGTTTTTTTGAAAAACGAACTTTTTCAAGGATCTTGATAGCATAGTTACGCTTTGTGATTCTGTGGGTAGCAAGACGAACACTAGCGAAGCTGCCAGAACCTAAAAGTGATCCAAATTCATACTCTGATTCACACGTATTGGCTTCGTATTTTGGAGGAAACAGAATACGGAAAACTAATAAGGCATATCAGACACCATGATAGACACACACACACACAAACACTTACATTTGTATTTATCAGGATTATGGAATTTAGGACTTCTTAGCAATTGAATTTCATCTCCATTTCTTAACAAGACACGTCTTCCATTGCCAAGGTGTTGACCGTTAACAAATGTACCATTGAAACTAGATAATAATTAGTTAAAACAATGTTTTGTGGTTGTATATTACCTTTTATCTTCAATATAAATACGAATACCTTTCGCTTTGTCAGTGGCGCCTGTTTCCTATAGACAAAATAAGATATCCGTATTATGTTTTGGCTATCATGTACCATATAAATCAAACAATGCTGTTTACTAATCGCATCCATTTTCACTCTAGAACACAACATGAATAAGCGAGTCTTTTTTATCCAGTTTAGTTTACCTAACATCACAATCTTCTGCACGACCAATCAAAAATCCAACGCGTCCATTATGATCAGGTTCTCTTTTGGTCAAATATTTGGATGTATATGAAGGGTCTAGAGGCTGCAGAAATGCCCAAGCTGTATTGTGTTTTTCCCAATCAGGACTTTCTAAAGAAAAGTTACTGACAGGGCGTGGAGGCACAGGCCTTGGTTGTTCTGTGGGTTTGGATGTCTCATGCGTATTATTCTTGGGGGAATCATTGTCGGATAGTCGTGACATTTTTCTTGTCAGTTCTTGTTCGTCTGTAGTTTGTCTCTTTTTGGTAATGCTGGTGTCTAGAGAATAAAAGACATCGCGATCAGAGTTGGAAGACTCATTGTCTGGAGAGATCAAAGTCTTGGTTGTATTTGTACTTAGAGGACGTGTTGTCATAGAAGAGTGGTAACAATTTATCAATGAAAAAAAAAGGGAAAAAAAAAAAGAAAATGTATCTCTATACGCTTAATTGGACTAAAAAGTATGTTGAGTGTCCGATGACTCTATACACTGAATTTAAGAGAGAAAGAGTATGTGTGTATTTTACTTTTTGAACTGTAAACTGTTATCCTATACAAAAACGCCAGTAGTCAAGCCACTTCAAGCAAGAAATGAGCCACTAGAAAACACCCTTTGATGATTCAGAAACAAGCAGTGTAGACAACAATCAAGGTCTTGATGAACAGGTCAACAGAAATCCATTGGGTTTTATGTCTCAAGGTGACCTAGCAAAACATCGCTCTTTAACCCAAGCCCTTATGTAAAATGTCTTTTATAACTATCAAGATATGAAGCTAGGCTTACTTCTTGACCAAGAAAAAGCTTATAGTAGAGTGACCATGGGCTATTTCGATAGAGACCTATTTCAATGACGCAAAGCTTTTTAGAGACAGTAGGAGTCAAATGCATAACGAAGAAATCTCAATGGGTACTTTTCAGCATTGATGCAAAATGCTGATTCAAAATACCTGCTTGTAAACCATAGAAAACTAGTTTTTATTATCCCGAGTGCTTTGTTCTTGCCTCAGAGGCTTATAGTATTAGACTTGTTTTCTATAGACCAGTTTCAAAACCAATTTTTATACAACTCCACCCTTTCCACTTCTATGTGCTGAAACTAACAGAAACTAAACTACCTCCTCTTTTCGTCCAACACAAAAAAAAAACTCACACTTCCTTTAATTCAGAAGAGTATCCTAACCAATTCGATTCTGAGAAAAAAAATAATAAACATGTACATAGCTTATTCATACTTAAATATACGCTGGTCAGTACCAATGCCTCTATCGTGCTGAATAGATCCAGTGTTTACCATGACATACTTTGCTTATCACATGACTTTTAAGAACTAACCAATGAAAAATTAGATTGTGTAATTCATATGAGCTGGAATTGCATAATTTTTTTGTTTTTTTTCTTTCACTTTCTATTTAAAATGTCTTATGGAAGTACAAACTACCCAGTTCCTCCTCCAGCTTATGATGAGGAAAATCAACCTTTTCTCGGTGGAAATAATGCTGGCGATGATATGTTTAAAGAAACAGTAGCTAATAGTTCAAAACAAGTTCGTTTACGTAAGTAATCTTGATATCTTTACTTTTATCTGATGTTTTACTTTAGAGTTTGTTAGAAAGGTCTACTCCATTTTAGCTGTTCAACTCTTGGCTACAAGTGCCTTGTCTGCTACCTATATGTTTAATCAGACTGCTAAACATTGGGTACAAACAAAGTAAGTATTATCTTTTAGGCGTAGCCAATAAAAAAAATATTGACAGTAAGTAATACACATAGTGTCTGGATGCTCTATGTTTCCATGTTTGGTACAATTGGTGTATTGTTTGCTTTATTCTGGAAAGCAAGATCATTCCCTTTGAATTATACCTTCTTGGGTTTATTTACATTACTTGAAGCACACTTGGTAGGCGCCATTGGTAAGTTATGTGTAACCAAAATGGACTAGGGGGGCTGAATCATGTTGATGTAGTCACTTTTTATGATCAACAAATTGTCTTGAAAGCGTTGCTTATTACATTGGGTGTCTTTGTGGGTCTGACACTCTTTACACTTCAGTCAAAATGGGATTTTAGTGGATTAGCACCTTTGTAAGTCACTAACAAAACACCATGAATACTCATCTGACATATGATTAGCTTGATGGGTGGTATTTGGGTCTTGATTATTGCAGGTCTTATTCAAATGTTCTTTCCATTTTCTAAGGAAATTGAACTTGCACTTGCTGTGGGTGGTGTCGTGATATTCAGTGGCTACATCTTGTTTGACACATATCTCATCTTTAACAAATACTCACCTGAAGACTATATCCTTGCCTCTGTCAGTCTCTATTTGGATGTGATTAATCTTTTCCTTCGTATTTTGGAAATTCTTGATTTAACAAGCAGAAGTGATTAAATAGTAATAATTATATATATGTATATATATATTTTAGAATGATGTTTATTTTTTAATTTAAAGACGAGCACCTGTAGGGAATTTCTTCATGGCTTGTCTGACACCCAAATCAGCCATGATTTCTTCAGAACCACCGAGAATAGAAGAGAATTTGTAGGTTCTTTGAAGTGTTTCAATGGTTCTACCCATGCCAGTCTTGGTAATAGCACGACCACCAAAGATTTGACAGGCTTCATCAGAGATATCATGCATGACACGGGTGATTTGGTATTTACACAAGGCAATAGGACCAGCCAATTTGTCAGATTGTTCACTGTAACTCATGTTGTTCATTTGATAAGTCAAATGTTCAATCCATGCATGGACACTTTCAAGACTAGAGATCATCTTGGCCAGTTTGTTACGGATCACAGGTTGATCAATCAAGCGTTTACCAAACACTTGACGTTGATTGGCCCATTTGAAGCATTCTTCAATGACCAAGCGACAGGCAATACTGCCACCGGTGAGCATGACCCAACGTTCATGGTTAAAGTTGGAAAGGACGACCAAGAAACCCTTGTTTTCTTGACCCAACAAGTTTTCAACAGGCACTTTGACCTATAACAAAATAAGTGATTGTTATAGAGAACATATGACTTACATTTTCAAAAGTGACATAGGCAGTACCAGCACTAGGAGAATAAGAAGTCTTGATCAATTTGGTTTCAACACCTTCACCACGTTCAATCAAAAGCATCGACATGCCCTTCTCTGTCTGAACAGCGACAGAGAAACAATCAGCCCAACAACCACCTGTGATCCATTTCTTAACACCATTGACAATAAAGTGCTTGCCATCGGCTGTACGCTTAGCTGTGGTACGAATACGAGCAACATCACTACCGGCATAAGGTTCACTGATTGCAAGACTGATACGCTTTCTACCAGCAAAGATCTCAGGCACAAGTCGCTTCTTGAGTTCAGGAGAACCAAAGTTGAGCACAGTAGGAGCAGAGATGATCATACCACCTACGACACCATCATCAAAACCACGTACTTTCCATCGACCAAATTCTTCATGCAGAATCATCTAAACAAGAGTCAGTATCTAGATATCACAAGCACACATTACTTCATGGAAATAATCAAAGTCTTCACCACGAACACCGCCGGGAAGAATCAAACCAGCAAGGGCAGGTGAAGGACCAATGTTGGCAGCAAGCAAGTTGTGCTTACCCAATTTTTGCATAAACTCATCAGAAGGTTTGGTACCAGATTCCTCGAACTCACGAGCTTCAGGTGCCAACTCATCACAGATCTCGCGAATAGCACGACGAAACTTGAAGTGAGATTCACTATAGTAGCGATTAGAAAAACAAAAAAAAACTGTATTACATATATACTTGCGTAAAGTAAGGGGACTTGAATCCCATCCAAGCACTTGATTCAGCGTAAGGAACCTTGGACAAGTCACCAGGTTGATAGAAATCAATTTGAGGTTGTTCAGATTGAATAGTACCAATCTTATATCTGTTGTATTTCACAAGGACTTCTTGACGGTGAAGACCATAGAAAGCATCTGTGGCATCCTTTCCAGCATATTCTAGAATAGGAAATACACCTCCAGGATGCATATCCTTGAAGGAACTCATGTTATATACACTGGTATCAATAATGATCCATAAATCATCTTCAGAAGCATGACGCCTGACTTCTTCGCGAGTGAATGCTTTCATTGCAAGTATTAAAAGAGAGAGGGGGATAAAGAAAAAAGAGAAAAAAAACGAATGGTTTGTTTATTTTCAATCTTGTTTTGTGGGGGAAAATCAAAGCATATATGCTTATTAATGAAAAAAGCTGAGAAGAAAAAAAAGTTTTTTCTTAACAATCTAAATAAAACGCATATGAAGATTATGTAGACTGTTCTAAATTCTACTATAGCGGAGATGTATTTCTTTACAAGAAAAGCCTTAACAATTTTACCGAACAGTCTTCTAAAGGAGTATCATGATGGATAAAAACTAACTGAATTGTATGAATGTTTATATTGAACTGTGTGAGAGAATTGTACGGCTAAAAAATGGCATTTATAGTTTGGCACTTGACCTTCATAGAGTGACCAACAACGTTTCTCTTCTTTTTTTCTGAACATTAGTAAAGCAATATTTCATTGATCAAATTAGGCGAACACTCCGTCCATTTTTACATAAGCATATTGATCATTGCTTCAAGTGTTTTATAAAAAAAAGTTTATTTCAATCACCTTTAGTGACAAGGCTCCACTGGGTCCATACAGCTTGAAATAAACATGTCTTTTTTTTTCTATAAAATAAGATGTACGAATTCTATTGATGCATTAATTTGACCAATGTTCCATTAAAAGAACAAACAATTACACAGGGTTACATAATCATATAAAGAGGTGGGGTATAGAGTATGTTTCGGCATAGTAGAGCTTGCTGAATGCCTAAAACAGTGTTTATCAACATCCATGGTACCTTTGGAGTCGAGATGGACCAGAAAAAGCGACTTGTAAAATTTGACCTAAAATCTCTTAGAACCCAAGGGTACTACTCAGGTCATTCCGCAACTTTTGATTTTCTTTTGGACGTTACAAGACGAAAAATAAGGCTAACAATGAGCTTAAATACTCAAAATGAGCGCCAGACGCTCTAGTCTTTTATCAAAATGTTTGCTTGTCAATTGTACTATGAGAATGGTATACTATGAATGAAAAACCTCTAAAATGTTTTTGCCTATTTTCTTAGTAGTCAATTACTAGATTTTCTGTATTCTCTACGTCAATAAACTTGTAAAGTAACAACCTAAGACTTTTTTAATGCATTAAAGACGAATAACTGCGTCTTCAGGTAGTTTTGAGCAAAAGGTCGATTTTTTGATGTGGCTGTTCAATCTCCTATACACGGTTATTTTGAGTGCATGCATAATACTTCAATGCATAAAGTAAAAAAAGACTAAGGGTAAATGCGCGAATACGAATTTTACATAAAATATAGAAATTTCAATGACTTAGACATACAGATAAAGGCTAAAGGCTTTTTAAATTACTCTGCCTTTAATCTATAGATGAGCAAAGCTTACAATGACATTTGACATTTTTGAGTTTGGAAAGTGTAGCTTTAAATAAGGTGAAGAAAACTAGGATTTCTTTAGTCCATATTAATCAAATGCAGATGACTTATCTCTGCCAAGAAATAATATTGCGGAATAAATTTAAGAAGACCCTGTATATTTTGAAGCTTATGATAACTACAGAGTTATTATATTCACACATAGACGGCTAACTTTGCTTTCTGCTTTCATTTTCTTAAAAAGCTTTATAGTTTAACATAAGAGTAAAAACCATTTGGATATACATCAATCTCTGAGTGCGTGTCAGAACATTGGTGGGCGCATAGTGTATGAGATATTGTTAGCAACTACTACTCACTGAAATAAAATAGTACGAGTGAAGTATTTTATTTGCTACAGATTATTAAAGAAGCTTGTAAGATGTACGACAGTTGTCAAATAGGCAACATCATTTAGTCTACTTCTATACCATGTTTTGCCCTAAGATGCTCAATGTAGCTTGATTTGCGTAAATAAGTTCTTTCATATGCTTGACAGTAGTTATTAGCATCTTTAGGATCAGGTTCAATATCTGGGCTGACAGTATTATGACCTAGTTCTATCTTTATGCCGTGCTTTTCACTAAGTTGGGTAATGTAACTTGACCTAGCTATAAGAGCTTTTTGGTATGGTAGGCGATACTCTTTAGAATCATTAGGATCTAAATCCATTTTAAGTTTAGTGGTGTGTTTTCTCCTAAGATGAAGACGGAAGTGCAACCTGGATGCATAAGTCCTTTCGCATGTTTGACAGTAGCTGTTAGGATCATGAGGATTAGGCTGAACTCTTGGCTTAACTATAGTACGACTTGGTCCCTTTCTCACGCCATGTGTCTTCCTAAGATAGACAACAAAGAGGGGTTTGAATGAATAGGTTCGTTTGAATGAATTGCAGTAGTTGTTAGGATCATTAGGATCTGGGTCAATCTTTGGCACAACGACTTTCTTCATTGTGTTTAATAAGCATTCTTTTTCTGCTTTTCAATAGCTCAAACTGTATATGTCTGATACTACCACTCTGTAAGCCTTGGCGGCAAACAAAATCCATGATTATGCAGCTATATGAAAAAGATTGCTTTATAAAATAGTGCTATTATTACTGTGTCAACTCAATACACTAGGAGAACATAGATTATATGTTTTTGTATTCGATCATGTAGTCTCTATACCTCTAAAGCCCTCAATAAGCCCTTAAAACAGGGGTTTAGAAAGTTAGCTGAGTATAACTGAGTCTGAATAATGGTTAGGGAACTTATCAGAATATAAAAACAGGTTCCCACCCTTTTTTTCTTTGCTTTCTTTTTGCAGCGTGTTTGTTTTCTGTCCTTTCAGGATAATGTACCAAACGTACTTGAGGGGGGATTTACCACCTGGGTACAAGTGCATTCTCTGTCAAGATAGTCTGCCTTTTTTCACTAAACGGGTCTTTGCCGAATTTGATAGAGAGTAAAACAGACGCGTGTAGAGGGTTAGCTTATGGTCCTGTTCGAGGGGGTATTCCATCTTAGTTATGCGCACTGGCAGTCCAAGTCCAAATATTCCCAACGCTGGAAGGCTACTATCTTTTCTTGGCGCCTTCTTCTCACTTGTGGGGAGGGAGGGGAACCTATCGGATAGTAATAAGTTTAACCCTATTCGTGGTATCTTGGTAGTCTCATCTCTTTGTGTGTGTGGCTATTAGGGTATTGCAGCAGTCTTGGTCGTTTGCTACTGTGATAGTGCTAGAAAGCGGTAGTGAAGGTTACTGGGATTGATAGTCATTCGCCTTTTCTTTTGTGAATGCCCTTTAGAGGGGCTTATTTTAGTCTGATGGCTAGAATAGTCTTTCTAAAGTTAAGCTTCACTTTTGAAGGGGTATCTGTCTATTCGTGGCAAGCTCTATTCATTTAGGGTCGACTATCGGACAGAGTAATGGCTTTTTATATATAGTGTTCGTCCATTCATTCGTTTGAGCGGATCATCTATTGAAAATGATAGGCATTCCATTTTTTTTGATAGTGTGAATACTATATAGTGGGGGTCTGAGGGGCTTTGTGCGTACGTGCACCATCTTTTTGGGAACTCAATTGAACTGGTTTAGGTCCTCGTCCTAGTTCCTGGAAACAAATACTCACAGTATTTGGCTAAAGTACCAGTTTCTTTTTTATCTTTTTCTTCAATAAAGTATATATACTAGTATTTAAAATAATTGATAACGCGTCTTTTTTTTTCTTTTTTCTCTGTCCTTCACTTGTTATATAATATGGAAAACAGGCTTAATGAGTGTGATTAAACCAACAGCCAAAATCAGTGGCCATAAATTTTGTAGTCAATCTTTGCTGCAACAAAAAAAAAACAATGATCCTCATTTTGTTTGCTTAAAGACTGCCTGTGTATGACTCTTTCTAATTGTGTACTAACAGTTCTATTGAAGGGTTGTATGCAAAAGCAGGATCAAAAGAGAGAAAGTGTTAAATCTTCGCTCTAGAATGGCAGGCATTTGTAACAGATGTCCTCTAAGCAATCTGGGTGTTTTTTTTATGCATGGAATCCCCTCTCAATCTGAGCTTTTGTTTTTGTGTAATTCAAGTTTTTCTATACTTCAACCAAAGAAATAATCTAAAAGATATGTCTCAGCATAAAGAAATGTTTCAAACTATGTATATAAATATGCATTGATTTTTTAGGACCTTTCCCTAGACAATAAATTATTGACTTCTTCGAATCATCCAAATAACATTGTGCTCTAAGCTGGATATATCTTTTACCATACAAAAAATGAGTAATTGATGTGGAGCTGTGAATATAGGATAATTTGCATTATGTTTAATGTATGTTCTAAAAGCTGCCCTTCACTTATCATGGATCATAAAGTTAAAGTTTTTCATCACTTTGACATTTTCATTTCTTTCTTTCATTTAAGAGGGGATCGAGTGCCTTTTTAATAAGGTATTTATATGTGAGTAGCCAATCCGATATGACATTCATGTGGCAAAGATACCAGGCAAATACAGGCTTCAACGATCCATAAAAGTCCTTGTCCTTTTCTTATACAGTATAAAGATGGTTTAAAGCCTGCTTATGCACGCATAAGTGCTTAAGATACATACAGACTATGTTTAATAACATATAGGGTACATTTGGAGTTGATTTGAACCAAAAAAAGCGATTTTGTAAAAAATGGCCAAAATGACCTTTCGACCAAAGGATATTAGTCATGAAAATCACTCGTTTGTTACTTTTGGGTCTTCTTTTATCTTGGGGTGTATTCCTCATCGCAAGTTGTTGCATTTTATTATGCCTCAAGTGTTCGATTCCCCTCTTTGCTCAGTTTGCATATCTTCAAAAGACTCAACCATCCACTTGTTATTCCACTGTCCAACTAAAGAGAAGGTAGACAGGAAATAATTTTCGAGTTTCTATGGCCTACCATATCTATTTCTGATATCAAAGAGGCTCTTCTGTCCCTGAACTTCTCGTACATCTGGTACTGCCAATGGAAAGGAATCAAACCATACCGAATCCTCATAATAACTCTTTCATAAATTTGGCTTGCTCATATGAGATTTATCTTTGACAAGACCCCCATTGTATCCACAGCAATATTGGCAAACATCCGATCCAATGTTTGTCAGACCATTGAAGAGGATCAATGCCATTCACTCCTATAACCTCTACATTGTTCATTTTATTTTAAATTTTTGTTTTCTTTTATTTAGTCATTATATTTTATATCAGTTCTTGGCATTATCTCAATTACACCCGCCTCTTCATTTTAATTAATCTCTGCACACTGCTATCTAGTATGTTTTATGCCCATTTGCTCCCATATTTACAGCATAAAATGCCTTTATTTTTATTCTTGTATGTTCTTCAGCACTCGAGATAGCATAAGATGCTTTAGAAAGATCCATTACTCACAATTTTCATATAACATCTAGAGCAAAAACGCTCAAAACACGGCTTAAACAGGTCATTCTTTGATGGACCATTGCTCAAAAACTAGAGTATCGAAATTTCCCATTTTTTCGTTTAGAATATGTTCTTTTGATCCCAGCAATTGAATAGTACCATTGGTTTGGCAGCTACATAAATTTCATTTTTTGACCCATCAAGGGTTCGTGGAGAAAGAATGAGAAGGTAGTTGAATAATCTTCAATTGCATTACATTCATACTACAACATAATATGATCAACCAATACTAAGCTGTGATTGATGTCAAAGGCGGTCATACTCGTTATTCATTTTTTTCTACTTATATTACTCTAAAGTAGACATCTCAACAAATCATCTACAAAAAAATTGGGCGCGTTTAAGTATCATCTTGGCATATTAAAGGGCTCTTGGATCATGATACCTTTGATGTTGATTTCGAATGACAAAAAAAAACAGAGCTGATTTTTATTTCGGGTCAGTGTATATTTGCATGCTTTAAGCTGTCATTCCTGCAGTATCGTTCAAAGTGAACTCTCCTATAAGTCTCACAAGCGTTTGAAATAATTTTGCAACAGTATAAGCGACAGCCAAGTTATTTTTATACGGCTGATAGGATAGACGATATTTATTGTTTAACTCAAATCAATCTTGAGTGTCAAGATTTGGAAAGGTTTAAGTGTAACAGAGAAGCCATGATGTTTCTTGGCTAATTGAACACCTGTGTCATCTTCCAATATGTTTGAAACTTGGGCATGTTTGATGTTCAAATGGCTAAGAAAAATATAAGCTATGATGTTTGTTTTTTTCTTTTACCTTGACAGGATACCAGTGCTTTTGCCGCCATAAGCTTCATAAAGACGTAAAACAATCTGTTTTCCTTTACCTTGATCACCTTCTGAAAGTTTGACGGTATCAATAATGATCTGTTTAGATCCTTTTATCTTGAACAAAGAAGGCAAAAGTGTACCACTCTTGATCTCTTTGCCTTTGGCAGAACTAATATGATATATGAGTAAAAGAAAACGGCAACTAGATATCTCACCGAATAGACAGAGGTGTATTGAACTCCAAAGCAGCTTGCATGACATCTGAATTGCTGTAACTACCTTCGTGTGGATAAATAGCATATTTGAATTTATGTTGTCCTAATAGAACAAAGTCAATAGGCAATCCTAGACAAGGGAGCGCTTACCCATATCAGCAAGTTCATCAGGACCTTTGGGTGACCGCAATAACGAAAGTCTTTGTGTCTTTCCATGAGTAGCGTAACCATATTTACAGTCATTGATCAATGCAATACCGTAATTGGATTCTGACAAGTCTGCAAATTTATGGCCACAAACCTTTCAAGAGGTCATAAGTAAAAACAGCATGCATGTTCAATTTACCTCAAATTTAGCAGAATCAATGGTTGTATTGTAATGATTGGGTCTTCTAACAACACCATACTGGATGTCGTAAGTGGCCTTTTTCTTTTGTTAGTCATATATTCTATCAATCTTATACCCACAAAATCAGTGACAATATCCCAATTAAATTCTACTTTCTAAAAACAACTTGTAAGTTGAAAGAGCAAGTCTTTTTTGTTACACTTGCCAAAAACTGATGGCTTTCATGCCAATCAACAGTATTCTCGAATTCAATGCGATGACCAATACAAGTAAGACTGATGATTTGCTTGATTGAACTAACATCAGAAATCTTGTGTTCAAAGCATAACTCGGCCTTGACAGGACCTTCAGATAAGATTTCCAAGGTACGTTGGCCTTCCAGTTCAACATATTTCTGAAGATGATATATTTCAACTAATAAGAAAAAAAAGTTATTGATTTGACATTGTGTGTTTTTTTTTTACCATCCCAAGCATCCCAATAAGTAGGCTACATAGAAAGAAATAATTTTCTTAAACAAAAAAGTTATTTTTACTGTATAACTTACCACATCTTCATAGAGCTGTAACACATTACCCTTAGTATTTTCGGGTACAAGATTACCTCTAAACAGAAAAAAAGTTAAAAATTGAGTGTCCTTCTTTTTTTTTTCTTTTAATACCTGTCTGAATTTTTATCGAGAAGTTCAACAAGTTGACCATTTGCATTAAAGACAGCCTTCAAATTCATATTCTCGAGTATAAAGTGGCCCTTCTTTGATTTGTAAGCTAAAATAGAAAAAAAAAGAGTTCAACACTATTGAGACTTCTTCAAATCATTTACCTTGGGCAGATTTTTCCAAAGAAACTGACTTCAAATCATCTGTAGACTCAATGTAACCAGAAACACCTAATCCAGGAATGTCGTGTACTAAAGCAATCATGTTTATGTTACGCTCCATACGTACAGATGCCAATTACCTAAAAGATATTCATATTCCCCCTTGTATTGTTGATTTGTCCATTTCGTATTCTTTTCAGGACAAACAATGACTTCGTTACGGGTCCAGGGCAACGTATTAAAAACAATAACACCCTTTTGGTCTGCACCTTCATCCTCATGGTGCTTGCTTTCAGAGATTAAGACAGATTGAGCCATGTGTCGAAGCAAAGAAGATTCTGAGATCACCTGTCGATGAAACTAAAAGAAAAAATGAGGCAATTCTATATTTCACTGCTCTATGTACCTTGTGAACATCCACATAGGCTAGATTGATAGCTGAACCAGGTAAACAATCGTGGAACTGATTGAGACATAACAACTTCCATAACCGTTCAATATCGTCAAATGGATACTCGTATTTGGCACTTGTTTGGTTTGATAAAAGCTTAGCAGCAGTAGCCAGTAACTCAAGATCGCGAAGGATAACTTCTCCTTTACGATTTCCTCTTTTGACTAATGCTTGAGTGGTATAAGTACCTCGGTGGAATTCGAGATACTATGAAAAGATTAATAAACAGTGATGTTTTTGGAATCTTACTAATTCTCCTTTGTAAGATTGTAAACGATCAGAATGCTTTTCTAGACCTTCAAAAAATTTTGTAGCACTACCAGGCTTGACAGAAGGCAACCCATCCTAAATACACTTAAGCATCTGTTTTTATAAAGTAAAATCAAGCTTATACCACATCTTTCATTCTTTCGAGTCGTTCGAGCATTTCTGGTGTGGGACCTCCTCCTCCATCACCATGTCTAACCAAGTAATTAATACAGTTAAAATGATAAGCTGTTATTTACCCATAAACCAAGAGGCTTTGGTTTGAACTTTCAATATCGTGATGATTTTTAGCACTAATGGTAAAGAAAATGAATGTCTATTTTCCTTTTTTTTCTTTACCATTTATAGACTTCACTAGGTGTTACAGAAGCAGTATATCTATAGACTTGAGTCAATATAAGGCTATGCTAATCCTACCTACGTTTCTGCTGGCGTCAAGTGAGCTAAGATGCTTGTATCATCAATGCCTGTCCACCAAAAAGTAGACAAAGGAAACTTGTTGATATTGTTCCAGGATAATTTTTGAGTAAAGAAATAATCACAGCCAGATTGACGAAGAACTTGAGGAAGTTGAGCAGAATATCCAAATGAGTCCGGTAACCAAAATACACGAGTTCTTTTTCCAAAGTTCTTTTCATAGAATTTTTGACTGATTTAAATAAAAAGGATGAGTAAAATTATGATTATCGACGCTAATTACCCTAAAAGCATTTGTCTACAGAGAGATTCACCCGACTAAATGTCATGTTAGTTAATTCACTTTAAAAAAAAAGAGAGATACTTACAGGCATGTTTGTGTCTATATAGTATCATAAAACGTATTAAATAATAAATACTTATTTATGATTATCTTACCATGCTCTACCCAGCTCTATAAAAATAAACGATGAGACATGTAGACTCTATCATCATAACTTACACCACCGATGATTTCCCATTGACCTGTCTTTTCCACTTTTTGAATTTTGTCAAAGATAGTAGGATACAGTTCCTTAAGCCATTCATATTGTTGTACTTGAGAACCAGTAAAGACATAATCAGGATATCTTTTGATCAAATCCAGTTGGCTTGACCAAGATCTTGCAATCTTACGTTTTGTTTCATCATAAGGCCAAAGCCAGGCAGTATCAATATGACAGTTACCCACAGCCGTGACTTTGTGTTGACCATCGCCAGTCTTTGCACCAAGAAAGTCTTGTGTCAATTTAAGACACGATTGAATGGCTTCTTCATCGTCACATATAAATCGGTTAATCACCTCGTTGATGACCCACAAAGCCTTTCTTGCACGAGAACTAGTTTCATCCGTATCATAACCAATGCCACGAATCACACTAGAGCCTTATGAGCGTCTTATTAATAGATTAATACCAACCTTAAGTCATGGAACAGGGTTTGAATAGGCTTATTAGGCACCACAAGGTCCGCTTTATCAAGATTAAAGTATCGGTTTGGATCGGCAACCATAGCATCATTGGCACCTACGCCAAACATGCCATTACAAGCTGCTTCAATATAGAATTCATGTTTATCGCCTGCTTTGGCATGTTTGTCAACAATGAATTCATGACGTGCTTGATCAGCTAATAAAACATGATAAGTGCGAAATCATACATTCTGAAATGCTTACACCCTCCTGTAAGTCCTTGAAGCGGGATACCCTTTGTATCCCAAACCATGCCTTCACATCCCATATCCCATTGAAGAACAACTTGTTGACCATCCATTTCTCTTGGAATCATAATAGATACATGAAACCAATGTGTAGACCAACTAGGACCAAAGGAGCGTTGTCCCATACTAAATTTTTCAAACTTTTGTGTAACCGCTTCCTATTTTTTTTATTTCATGCATTTATATACACACATGCATTGTTTTTTTTTCTTACCCTGAAAGGGATACGCTACATACACAATATAGGGTGAGCTTAGTATACAAGCAATTCAAAGATTACCTTAAGCTCAGGTACACTATAGACGCTTAATTCAACATGAGGAGAACCAGTTTTATGCATACGCCAGAGACCACGCTGAATGCCCATCCCATAAAATTGTCCTCCTCCCGCCATAAAATTATTAATGCGAGAGTGTGCGATATTTTTAGGCACGCGTGGAGCATGATCTAAAGCAGGCACCATGCTATGATCTACATGGTGACTGTGTTTATGGCCATAAATTGTCATATAAAGATGATAAAGAAGAGAAGAAAAGACAAAGATTTAAGCGCGTCTTGTTTAAATAGTATACACATCACATGACAACAGAGATGTTTATTTTGTCTCTCACGACAATGTGACCCTTTTTTTTTTCTTTGTTTATGGTTCACTTTTCTTTAAGCAAGACGTGGCAAGTTCTCGGCCCTTTTCCTATTGGCACAAGAGAACAAGACTTTGGTGCAGATATACTTGAAAACTATGGTTTGTATGTGTTACTGTTTGTATAAAATTGAACCGAGTAGGTGGTTTTCAAAAATTAGGATATACTTCTGGAGCCAAGTATCCTTCAGAACTAGTGGAAGGTGGCTTTGTGAATTGGATAACATACAGTGCAAGAGATAATATAGTAGGACCCATTGATTTTAGACATGTCAGGCAAGTAATTCATGCAAAAAAATAAACATTAAGTGCGTCCTTAGATGGAAAGACAATGGTATACCTTTTGGTTGGTCCATTGAACAATACCAAGCATGGGCTAGAGGCATTCTTATTACTCATGAATCTATGCATCTATGTATGCAAATCAATGGCGTAACTGAATTTTATGTCAACGGTAAACGGTATAGTGGTGATTGCTATGGTTACAACACAACATCCCATATCATTTATTTCGAAAAGGGTAAGCATCACATTGATGTTCGTATAGTCCATGATGTGCGCGTATTTGGGGGAGGCAAGACACCACCTGCATGTCAATTTAAAGTGTATTTGGATCCTCGCAATGAGACATTGGTGTATCCGGATGATTGTGCTGTGATTTTGCCTTCACTGGCAACACCGTCGAGACAATCAGCTTGTGAGCTGTTGATGCCAGACTATTTAGTGGATATCGGATTTGCTGGATCGTATGGGAGTGTTTCTCTTCAGAATGCAGGTGATGATCAAATCAAATTAGAGTCTATTACACTCTGTATTGTGGACGAACAAACATTGACGAAGCATGGCTTGTTTATTGAGTACAAGACAGAGTTGCTCGCTGAAGAGATTTACATTCTCCCCGGTCAAACACGGCCTGTGAGTTTCCGTTTTCGAAAAGAAGGCGGATCGCTACCTTCTACTTCTATCTTGAAGTTTTGGGTTCGCATTGGACTTGTAATGGATGATCAAGCATTTGCTATTCGTGCTACAAGCCATGTTCAGTGTGTGGATTGGATGAAGACGACATTTAAATATACGTTTCTTGATTATGATGGTGTTGTGCAATATGGTAAAATGCATAGGCAAAATATGCGATATTGAATGAAAGATAGCCATGGCCAAAAGACCACTTGCGTTGAATGCAGATCAAAACAAGCCTCTTATCGTTGCTCTTCATGGAGCAGGTGTAGAGGCCGACAGTAGGTTTTGGACTGACTCTATCCCTGCACAAAAATCATCTTGGGTAAGAAGTAGGAACAAACTCATAAGGTACTGATAGTTAGGGATAGATTCTATTTCCAACTGGAAGAACGCCTTGGTAAGGTTAAAAATCCTTGATCTATATTTATTTTCTTTTTTAGGGGATATGATTGGCATGGACCTAGTACAAAGAACGTATTCAAGGCCATTGATGGCCTCATTGAAATACAAGATTTACTTCCACCGCATTTTGAATGCATGGAATCAGCTGCTGGAGAAGACTGGGTGGATGGTAAGACAAGTCTGAATTCAATACACGTACATAAATCATTGTAGTTTCTATGCCTTATGAGGTCTTGAAAACCTTAAAATCAGAAGATAGTCGTGAATGGGTGATTGGCAATAAAGACCGCCTCATTATGATGGGTAAGAAAAGACTTTATATCACGAGACTCATATGATTGCAGGCCATAGCAATGGTGGGCAAGGAGTTTGGCATTTTGCTGTTCATTTCCCAGACAAGATAATTGGAGGTAAACAAACAAATAAACAAGCACAACTCATATTTTTTTTAGTTGTACCAGCAGCAGGCTATACAAAAATACAAGATTATGTGTCTTTTCATCACTGGATTGGTGATTCTTTTAGTGATCCCATATTAAGAGGAGTAAAATAGAAATTCAATTTGACATCAAAATTAATTTTGACTGTAGATTCTAGAGGCATCTATTGCTGAATATAATAATGATCTTCATTTAGCAAATATGGTATAGACCAACGAACATGACTTGCTACTAAAAATACAGGCTGATCTTTCAGTCTTGCCACGAGTAGGCACTGAAGATGATAACGTGCCTCCGTTACACACTCGAAAATATGTTCGCATCTTGAATGGACTTTTAAAAAGACCCACAGCGATCAAGTAAGGCGGCCAGATCAATAAAGAAAAACAGATAGACTCATACTGAATAGAGTATTGGAAGCTATAGGACAAGGTCATTGGTTTGATTCTGTCTTTTCAGACAAGAGTGTGCAAGACTTTTTAAAAACGACGACGACAAAGAACGAGTCAAATGAATTTTGTGTTACGTTGGTCAATCCAGCTGGAATTGGCAGTGTCCATGGTATTCAGGTACAACAGATGGCAGTACCTTATAGGTTAGTATAGATTGTCATTCATATCTTACATCTTTATCAGGCTGGGTAAAATATACGGTACAAGAACAACAAACGGCAATAAGACTAGAGTGACTTTAAAGACAACTAATATTGCTTCGTTTCGTTTAACTAAACATTTCAAAGGATGTCATACACTGATTGTAGATGGTGATGTATTTTCTAATCTAGAGTCTCAGCGTGGTTTTTGTTTCGCACTAGATATAAAAAATAGCAAGCGGTGGAAGGTAACCCATACTTTAATAATGCTTTTTTTTGTTAACCTAGTGACTTAGTTGGATAACGTCAAAATAGGGGAGCGTAATATTGCTCATTATGGCCCTATTCATCGTATGTATGAATCATGTCATCCTTTAGTGATTGTCATTCCAAATCATGAAGTCTATCGTCATGCAGCATTGCAAATTGCCCATGACTGGCTTTTATACGGTCGAGGTGACACCATGATTCTTTACGATGATCAACATCCTCCTGCAAGTCAGTACACCCTCTATTTAGGTCTGCCAAATGAAAACAAGGCAATGAGTCGAGTACTTGAATCTCCTTTTGATATAAGTCTTCAAGTGAATAACGGTACCACTCGTATTCAAGTAGGGGATCATACATACGATAGTCCCGGCACTGGTAAGAAACCACACTTTGACTGGCTATTTACTCTCTTGTAGGGATATTGTTTATGCGACCTATACAAGACAATCAAATGGCTGTGATTATATCAGGTGTTGATCTGATTGGTTTTGATTCAGCATGGCGTCTATTACCCAAGAGAACAGGCATGATGATACCTGAATGGAGTAAGTAAAAACTCTACGGCTATGAACTGACAGGTAAAAAGTTATCACGAGTAAAGAAATGAAATCAATAGGAATAGGGGGCGTCTTAAGCGCTGGGTAATTTCTTTTGAAAAAGACAGCACGTGTACTCACAGAAAGAAAATACGCTTTAGATACTTTGATAATGACTGGAAGCCATTTGGATACTTATAAGTAGGAGAATGTTGGTGTAACTTTTTACGCACATGGCTTAAATAAAAAAAATGTTGGACAACAATGTTCATTTGCAAATTTGTAACTTTGTGTGACTTTTCAACAAGAGTTAAATGGGAGCTTTTTTTTTATTTTTATATCATTTGTCTCTTTTCTTTTTCCTTTTTTTTTGTGTGTGTGTGTGTGTGCCTATCATTATGTCAACTCAGCTTGTAATAGTACGATATATATATATATAAAAAACTGACTCTTTTTTTATTAGTCTCAACAAATACCTAAATCAAATAAATTTGTTCTTAGTGAAGACGAAGAAGAAGACAACAGCAACAACAACAATAATAATAAGTACCTTTCAGACGGCGACAATGACGATGACGAACATATTACTGAGCCAGTATCAGCTGAAGCTTTAGAATTACTCAAGACTGAAAAAGTATTAAAATCTGGTTATTTGCTTAAGAAAGGCGAAAAACGAAGAGTAAACACTCCTCCTATTTTTTAAGATAGAAAACTTATTCCTGTACTTTTTTTAGACCTGGAAGAAGCGTTGGTTTGTTTTGAGAACAACAAAATTAGCCATGTATAAAGACAAAAAAGTAATTTTTTTTTCTCTTACTTAGAAATGCAGTATATTAACAAATCATATAGGAATATAAACTACTGCGAATTATTGATCTACATGAAATTCATAAAGTAGTCCAAGTGACAACAAAGCATAAATATAAATATGTGTTTGCTTTTGTTACTGCCAAACGAATGTATTATGTCCAAGCGAATGACCAACAAGACATGGATGATTGGTTTAGTTCAGTTGATAAGGCAAAAGAACAACAACGACTGTATGATGCAGACGACGACACAGGCTCCACAGATCGTGACCAAGAGTTTGCCAAGGATGTCATTACTTCATACAAATCAAACCACGCTGCCAATGTCATTCAAAACACAAGGCATAAGCCCAATGCTGACAAATCACCTCCTATTGATGCAACAAAGCCTATGGATATTCCAACAATGACCAAACAGCCCAGTTATCGCTCAGCAAGCTATTCAAGCGAAAACTCTTATCCTTTATCACCTAATTCAGACCACCAGCACCAGTTAAGCATGATTGAAGGCGTGGCTAGCTCAGAAGACGATGAAGAATATAGTGTAGATAAAGCTAATATTGAATCTGAAGAAAATAGAAACAGAGTCCTGATTGAGGGTTATTTATTAAAACTAGGCAGAAATAAGGTATGCATAGAATGATCATGACATCTTTATTAAACACAACATAGGGTTGGCGAAAGCGTTGGTTTGTACTGCGAACAGATACGTTGGCTTATTATGAAGATGACAAAGAATACTCACCCCACCGCATCATTCCTTTGCACCACATTATTGACTCTTTAGAAATTGATCCAATCAGCAAAAGCAAACAATACTGTTTCAAGATTATCATTCCCAAAAGAAGTTATGTTCTTTGTGCATCGAGTGAGGCAGACATGGATTCATGGCTGAATGCGCTTGTTGTTGCTATCAAAAGAGCCAAGAAAGATGCTGCTGATGTTGGCCTTTCGCCTGTCACTCCTCATCCATACAATCATCAAAGAACACTTTCACTTATTCCTGAAAACTCATATAGCCAAACGAATTCGACATCCGAAGTAGAGTCGTTTGAGAATGTGAGCCATATTTCAGGTGTAAGCGGTGCTTGTGGATGTGGTGGTGCTGGTGGTGCCTTAGGGGCTGGTACTTCAACAACTAATTCTCTTGTCCAATTACACTCAAGAGCTTCAGAACAACGATTTGGTTGTGCTAAGTAAAATGCTATACCTTTCTTGAACAGAACAGAAAAAAAAATTACAGTAATACTTATAACAATTTAATGACTAATAAACATTTTTTTATCCGTGGAATACTGGGCACTTGGGCATGAATTTTTCAGGGCCTAGTTCTTCAATACGATAGCCCTGAGTGTAGATGGGCGGGTTATACACAAAGTAATGTGGTACATATCTTCCATTTTCGTCTGGATAAAATGGTGTTCTCAGGTCATAGTGTTCTCGAGGAAGACAAAGGTACCGTATGAAATGTGCTCTTATGGTAGTAATGGTGTTAAAGACAGCCTGTGCCCATGAAGAAGGAGTGGAAATACCAAATGCTTTGCATTCACCTTCTTCTAATAAACATGGGAGCATGGTATAGACAACAGGTAACATAAACCCAGGAAATCTTCTGGCCAAATGCTTAATGGTAGGGTCAGCACATCGCCAATTAGCAGGATGATATTTAACCGATGTTTGCTCATAATCCTTTTGAATCTTGTACCATTCATCAAGCGTGTCAGGAATATCTTTGATGTTCATTCGAGTCCCAATTTCGTGCCAGACCTTAAAAATAGCCTAAAAACCTGTGTTACATTCACATAAGTTTAGCAAGTTACCTACTTACATTGATCTCACGGATATCAAGCTTGCGCCACTCCCAATTGTTTATCCAACGAATAGGTTCAGCAACAAACAAGACCAGGGTATAGAGATAGTCCTCATTGGAAATGTTGTATTTGCCATGAATTTCGTTCAGTCGCTTGATAGATGCGTCACGTCGTGCGTATTGCTTTTGGATTTCTTTTTCGGAGATATGAGGATTACGAATAAGTTCGTTTTGAATCCTTGGATAAGGGTCAATGATTTCTGACAAGATGAGTTCTGTATCTTCAGCACGACGAGGGCAATGGTCCAAGAACTCTCTTGTGGACACCAACAGTTTACTCACTGAAGGAGTAGCAAATGGTTTAAACAAGGCAAACTCTAACGAAGAGCGAGCAAATACTAGTCAAATGTGTGAGATACATGCCACAAACAGTAATAGCTTACATGGAAACTCTTTGCGAAAGATATTACTATAAATTTCCATAGCAATAGCATGGTCTTGAAGCACAACGTCAGGATTTGGATACTTTGCAATCAAATTGTTCACAAACTGATATCGACGATAACGTACGTATGCTAAATAAGACAGAAAGAAGCACCCTGCAAGCACTAAACTTGACTCTTTAGGTAGATATTCTGTTAGTGAAAACATGAAGAAACATAAAAAAGAAAAAATCAAAACACAAATTTGCCTGTTATTTTTAATTGACACTCAACGCTATTCATGCAGATACTTCCTTCCTTTTACCCCTCTAAACCTTAATCAACTTTTTTTAAGCAATAAACTGCGACTTGTTTATCAACTTTTTTTACACAAACAAACGATAATGTGTTGCAAGAAGAAAAAAGGAGGTGTAGTTACTTTCAAAGTGATATAGAGTTACACTACCTTGTATGTTGTGTCTTACTTGAATCAAGAACCTTTTTAAAAATTTAAACGCAGACGTCTAATTCCTGTTCTTTCTTTTTAAAATTACTGACTGAAAAAAAAAAAGATAAGCACTTTTCTGTTGCTATCACAGTGTTTTTCTGTAAATTCTTGTTTAGGCAAAATGTATTTGTGCAGTGTTTATGGTGTCAAATGACGTTTTTAAAGAGTCCAAATGGCTGAGTTACAACAGCATATCGGATGATAGAATTGTCTATTAGCTCACTTAAATAAATCTAACTGGTGATTTTGTAGTTGGCGTACAATTATATCTTGTTTATGAAATTCTGAGTACGGTGTCTCAAAGCATGCATAATCCTATATTAACTTATCATATTTTTTTCATCACAAATATCCAAGACTGCCTAATTGGAATCAGGAGGAAGATAAAGTTGCTTATACTGTCTACTGGTAACCAGATTATCCATCGATCTATATAGGTGCATTGTTCATAACAAGACAGAGCCTCCTTTAGTCCCGAGTATCTATAAGACCGAAATCAAGGAACTTTTCACAAATGTTAAAGCAAAGGCTATTTCTTGTTACTCGTTTTGTTCATCCTTGTACTTGTATTTTTGCGGGCCCTAGTAGCTTTGATTATATAGATTGATGGTGCAGGAATACTTGTGTGTCACTTTAGTTCCTGATATGGGTGCCCTTAAGTTGTCTTCGTCTTCGGCAGCTATAGTAATATCGCTGTACTTAAAGTGTATTCTCAAAGCGTCCTTGACAACTACTTTACAACGTAATTTGAAACTCACAATTGAACTGACATAAAGAACGAAGAAAGTTTCAAAAAATAACTGACTTGAGATCCCCTTTTCTTTAGAAAACTTGTTTCCATAAAAAAGGAACAAAGGCAACCACAAACTGCCCAGTTTCTTGTACTACTTTTTACTTTATTACATGAGATCATGTTATCCTTGTCTGGTTGAAGTTTATGCCGTGAGTTTATAAGCTGGTTTATAATGTCGACGTCAACTGTCTTGAATATACATTCCCTTGTGTCCTGATTCTCTAAATGACCAGCAAATCGGAAGGCTTGCGGAGAATTCTTGACGTCATGTTAAATGTTGACTAGAATGGCTCTTTTCTGTTTTATTTATGCTTGTATTTCTTGATCTATTGTTTATGCTCTTTCCTTTCCTATTGTTATGGTCAAGATCAAAATCAACGTGTTCTATTTTTTTTTTGATTTGTTATAGATGATCTTTATTTTAATGCTCATACAGAAGACAAAAAAGAATGAAGCGTTTAACAAGTAGCGGAACTGTCATTGCCGTCATTTTTTATTGTACCCCACATTTTCCTATTTGACGGGAAAAGAAAAGTGGCCCAGTCACATCATCTCCCAATATTTCCTTCGTCTCCAGTCTTGTAGATTCCCAGGATATAGTAATATATTGTATGAAGGAAGGTACCACGGTGCTGTTCAAGTTTTTCTGTGTGCTATATCGAGTATAGCTTCATTGTTGAGACATGTATATATAAATACAGCTTTAAGTCGATTCTTTTTTTTTTTTTTTTGCATCAATTGTATAAAGAAGATATGGTCAAATTACAAGGAAAAGCATTATTCAATGCTTCAACATTACTAGCTGCTACAGGGTTTTTACTTTTTGGCTATGATCAAGTAAGTTTTGATAACAAAAATTTATGTGTATCTCATCATCAACAGGGTGTTATGTCTGGCATTGTTCCTAATGAGCACTTTCTTGAACTCATGGGCAACCCAAATTCAGCTACTGTGGGTGCTATGGTCGCCCTTTATGAGATTGGTTGTATGTTTGGTGCTCTCTTGACCGGCAGAATTAGTGACATGATTGGACGTCGAAACACAATTCGCTTAGGCTCTACCATCCTTGTCATTGGCGCCGTGATCCAGGCAGCTACTCAAAACCTTGGTATGACCATCGCATTCCGTATCATCACTGGTGTTGGTAATGGCATGAACACAGCTACAGTGCCTGTCTATCAATCTGAAGTATCTCCACCCAAGACCCGAGGTGCTCATGTCTGTTTTGAATGTGCTTTGATTGTTGCTGGTGTCGGTATTGCTTATTGGTTAGAGTATGGTCTTCATTTCGTGGGAGGCGAATTTGCATGGCGGTTTCCTTTAGCTTTCCAGAACTTGTTTGCTTTAATTTTGATTGCTGGCACTTTCTTTTTGCCCGAGACGCCTCGTTGGCTTGTAGCTCATGGTAGAGATGAAGAAGCAAAAGAAGTCCTTGCTCGACTTTGGTCAGAAGGTGATGTCAGTCATCCTCGATGTGTTTCTGAATATCAAGAAATCAAGGATGGTATAGAAGCTGAACGTCGTGAAGGTGTTTCTTCTTATCGTGCTTTGTTCTCCAAGGGCAAGTTTAATAACCGTAAAAGAGTTTTGATTGCTATGCTTAGTCAAATCATTCAACAGTTGGGTGGTATTAATGTAAGTCAATCGCACTAGAATAATTTTTTATTTACTTGGATGCGTAGGTTACTACCTATTACCTTACTGATGTCATGATTCAAGCTGGTATGAGTTATTCCATGGCTATGTTAATGGCAGGTGTGGATGCTATCGTCTATTTTATCGGTGCCTGTTTCCCTATTTTTCTCGTTGAACGTGTGGGTCGAAGAAAGATCATGCTATGGGGTCTCATTGCTCAAACAGTAACACTCGTATGGATCGGTGGTGCTCAAAAAGCCAATACAGATAACCCAAGTTCCTCTGCTGCCAATGCTGCTGTCGCAGGCACTATTTTGTACAACTTTGTATTTGGCTGTAGCTGGCTAGGTATGTCCTGGCTATACCCTGCCGAAATCTTCTCTACAGGTCTTCGTGCTAAAGGCAATTCACTCTCCACGGCTGCCAACTGGATTGGTAACTTTATTGTGGCCATGATTGCACCTGTCTTGTTTGAATACATTACTTTCTGGACTTATATCCTGTTTGCCTTTATGAACCTGTTATTCTTCCCTATGGTTTACTTTTGGTTCCCAGAGACAAAAGGACTTTCTTTGGAACAAGTCGATGTTTTGTTTGCTGTAGATGATGTCAAGAATGATATTCGATCTATAACTTCAGATCGTTATTACCACTATGATGGAGAAAAGAAGACAGATGTGGAGCATATGGCTCATGTTGAAAAAGGGCTAACTTCATCTTCTGAAGAAGCTGTTGAGCATTCATCTTGATATACTTCTTTATTGTATCATATTTGTTAAATAATTATTAATAAAATACACTTGTAATTATTTTAATATAAAAAAGTGGGATATACATTTAGACTGGTATTAGAATTCACAAGCAGGAATATAGTCCAATTCAAACAAGGAAGTCTAAAATTCAATATGAGTGATAAGCAGTTTTTCATCTAAATACCTGTCGTGTTGGATAACATGAACTCATGATAGCGATTTGACGGGTAATTAGCTGCAACACATCAGCAAGATCAGTGTGCATCTCCGTATGCATATGGGGTGACAAACTCACTAGCAAATCTATAGCTAAACTGTGTGCTTTACGATACTGTGTACTTTTCTAACAGGCCGTCAGTAAACTTTCCCAATAAAAGCCTGTTACCTCTCTCCTTTCTTTTTCTAACACTACTTTTTCTTTTAAAGCCCGTTTGAGCTGATGTTCCAACTTGGAGTAGCCTCGCTCAAGTGTATTGGTCTTTTCTAAAGCGACAACTAATTCGGCTTGGTTTTGTTTGCGTCGTACGATCTCTTTTCCCAATCGATCTTTCACCACTTCTATCTCACCTTGAAGTCGTCTGATTTGCTGCATAAGCTGAGCCTTATTTTCTTCTAATTTTGATTCCCAATGCGCCTGGATCTCCTTGGCATCTTTGGACATAGAAGCTTGTAAATCTTGACTTTTATTCTTCCATTCCTTATTCAACAAACGTAAGGCCTCTTGCTTCTCTGACTCTAACTGGCGTCTTAACTCGTCTATTACAGCATGCTGACTGATTTGCCATACTTCTTTCTCAGTCTCATGTTGTGCTGTCAGTTCACGCAGCATGTCAGCATGTTCTGATTGTAAGTTTTGAAGCTGAGCTCGGTTAGTTAATTCAGAATGTTGCGCTTCTGACATGAATTTCTCTGTGAGTTCTTTAACATGAGCATCATGTGTAGCTGTGATTTGATCAAGACGCTTTTTGAGTATCTGAGACTGTTTTTGTGCTTCTGCACAACTGGTTTCGAGTTGTTCGATCTGGACTTTGTAAGCCTGTAGCTGAGATGGTTCTAACGATTGTTGATGCGTGCCTGAATGGTTGCTGTTGAAATTAGATTCCCGCATTGAATCAGCGTCGGTGTCTTGCTTGGTTTTGGCAACTTTTAAGGACTCAATCGTTTCAGGCACATATTCTGGTAACTTTTCTAAAAGTTCAGCGTACGCTTCGTCTTTTGCATTCAATCGTTCCTGAAGACTTGTCAATCGACGAAGGTATTTTTTATCTTGGGCTTCCAAGATTTGTTCATGCTGAGCTTTCAGACTGGTAATTTCTTCGTGCCGAGCAAGTTTTTCATTGTCTAAGCTATGTTGCAACTCTAGCATCTAATGCCGTTAGCCGTCTTGATTAGCGAATGCATTTACTTACTTGAGACATGAGCTGTTCCTCTACATCTTTGAGTTTCTTTTCCATGAATGCTTCTTTTAGTTTGACTTCTTTCAGTAACTAAGTGGTGTGTTATTCGCACTAGTGCTGAAAAGTGTGCACTTACACTCGCTGTATTCTTTTCATACGTTCGACGTTCCTTTTCAAGTTCTTTTTCGAGGCGTTCTGCTTTTTCTTTGCTCTCTTTACGTTCAGAGAGTATCTATCCAGGATATCATGAGTATGATTATGTATAGGCTTGTATCATTTACAGTAGCTCTTTCTACTTCCCAGTCATGAATAGGTGAAGTAGGACCTAGTGTCTCTTGCCGTTTAGGTAGTTTCGTTGTAGCAGATAGTTCCATACGGTTTTCAAAAGAAGAAAAAGAAAAAATCTTTGTTCTCTTCGGCTTTTAACCGAGTACTAAAATTAGAAAAAAAAAGTGTATCCCAAAACTTAATTGCCATCATCAGCTAGTAAGGCAATAACAATAATAATGTTGGCCTCTTTTTCTTTTTCTTTTTCAAAAAAAAAAATGTAGTACTTGAGAATTCATGTAGAATGAACAACCTATTTTTCAAGACTCTTTTTCGCTACAAGATCAATACATTGACGTTTTTTTTTTAGCATAAATCCTATACTAAACCAAATTGAATACGATACAGTTATCTAGTGTTATCCTGAGAGAAAAGAATGACTTTCTGATACATCATAACAATCTCTTTTCTCTATATGTTTTTGAAAAAGAATGCTATTCAACCCTATAGCTCATCCTTCATAAGCACGTGACTATGCTCTATCCTCCAAAAAAGGCAAGATTGAAAACGAATTCGGATATTGAATCAAGGTTTCTGTGACGGTAAACAGGACTGCTAACAAGACTGCTATTTATTTCTTAAAAAAGATATAAAAAGGCCACTTGAACCTTCAATTTTTTATTTCCTTTGTACTTCTGTCCTGTGCTCAGATCGGATAAATCTTTCGCCTTTTACTAAAGATTTCCGTGGATGCGGGACATTAAGGAAGTTTACCCTAATTTTTTGGTAACTCTTTAAGCACAGCAATGTGTTTATTTTTTTTTTTTTTTTTTACAAATACAAAGAAAATGAAAAAAAATAATATTATTATTCTAAGTAACAGGCATAATAGTCTCTTGTTTAGTAGATACAGAGCCTGCTCTCATACGATTTATTGCTTTGACTGCACTGACTGCACTTCTGAATTTACGACGCGCATTGAAATTATCGCGTACAGTGTCTAATAAATCAATATCTGTTGCTTGTTGACCTGTCATCCAAACATGATTTAAGGCTTCTGTTGCTGTATGTCTTTCTTTGGGGTCCAATAAAAGACATTTTCGTATGAATGAGCGTGCTATTTGAGTTAAATACAGATCCTTCCCTTATTTTTTTTCTTTTTTCTTTTACCATCAGGTGAAATATTTCGCCAATATCTTTCATGAAATTCATAACGACAATGAACAATATCGTCTACAAGTTGAACATGATCTTCAGATTGAAATGGCTGATAACCACATAAAATAGTAAATGTAACCACACTAAACGATAAGGTGAATTCACATACTCTTTTTTTTTTTTTTCCGTTTTACCCAACTCCCCAAATATCCACAGGATAACTGTACTCTTTGTTCAAGAGAACTTCAGGTGCTATACAGATTGAATACAACATACAATTCTCTTTCTTTCTGTTTACTTTACCTACATAGCCTGGTGAACCACATACTGTCTTGAGTCCTAAATTATCTTTGCCCATAATTTTGGCAATCCTAACCGTATTATTTTCGAATTCTATTTTTGTTTGTTATTTTTACCCAAAATCACAAATAACTAAATCTGAAGTAGAATCGGGTGTCTTGAATAACAAATTCTCTGGTTTCATATCTTCTCTTATTAGTGAATGATATTATCATGAAAAAGAAAACTAATACCTCGGTGCACAATGTTGTGTTGATGAAGATAAGCCAATCCTTTCAATACAGAACGAATCACTGTAATAGCATCTTTTTCTGTAAATCTGCCTCGATCAAATAGCCGCTCAAATAATTCACCACCCGTCGCTCTAGGACATAAGTCAACACTATACAATTAAGAAATTCTTACAGTTCAAACACTAAATAAAACTTTTCACTAATCAGAGTCAATACAAGCATATTCTATAACACACTTACCGAGACTCAAACCAGTCATAGAGATGAATCACATTAGGATGATCTAGTCCTTCTAAAAGGTTCATTTCAGAATAGACCATATCAAATTGACCTTTGACTCTGGCTTTAGGTATAATCTTGATAGCCACTGGTGTTTGATCTTTGATTCGAACTGCTTTTTTGACATAACCATACGATCCACTTCCTAATTCAGTGCCAAAATGATAGTTTTTCTTGCGTTCATAAGAAGCTGGTTTCTGTATACCGCCATGAACAAATGTATCGATGGTTTCAATAAATCCCATTTTCATAAGAAACAAGGGGAAAGAAAACGGTTTTTTTTTAAAAAAAAATAGCTTGAATTGTGTCCGAAATTCATGCCATTTGGATCCATGAAATCTGTCCAATCAACAGAAGCCAATTGGACTGCCATTTTAGAAAACATTTTTTCCTTTCTTTTTTTTTGTTTTGTCAATCTATATATGAAGATCAAGTCAGTTAGAGCAGCACTCATCAGTAACTATGAAGTTTTGAAACTATTAGAAGAAAGTCAAGAAGCACAAAAACAATCACAAATAGCAGATCCTTTGTTACAATACCCAGAACAGTTACGTACAGTTCAATTTGAGGTAAACCAACACACATTGAGAATCATTATTGACAGTTGATCAAGTTGACTGAATACTTGAAACAAACACCTGTTGGAACACAAACATCAGAACAAGTACAACAATTCTTACAGGCCATGTCTACATTTGACTTAACCAAAGCAGAGAAATTACAAATTCTTAATTTGAGACCCAAAAGTACAGTGGAAATCTATTTGGTAAATAGAGCATCTTGTTGTATTCTTACTGATGGTTTATTAGATGATTGAAGAATGTGAAGAACGATTCACAGAAGAAGATTTAGAGCAAATGTTGTTACAGATCATCACTACTTTACCTCGAGAAGATGACTATGCTGAAGAAGAAGAAGAAGAAGAAGAAGAAATGGAAGAATAAACGTTTATTGAGGACAAAAGACAACATGATATACATGCGTTTTACATCCATAGACACTTGTTGCATCATCAAATGCATAACTATAAACATCAGGGCAGGCTTGTTTGACTTGTTGTGCATAATAATTTAAAGTACACGTATTGGATGTCCCAGATGTGCCTGTACAACAATAGTCGTCTGTTCCATAGACTGAACAAGGACTAGCACAGGCAACCAATTGATGCTGGTCAAATACTTGCAAATCCTTGGGGCATGAGGGTAATTGAAGACAGCCAGAGGGTTGACAGTGTCTAAGCTCAACATGCTCTGTTGATTGAGGTTCAATACGCAAAGGCAGATTAAATCCATCCACAAGCGATACATCATAATAATCTAATTCACCCAATCTAAATTCAGCCAAAGTGGCAGGGTAATCCCCACTCGATGCTTTGGCCCATATTCTACCTGCCCAATGATGGGCTACTGTCAGTGTATGTGTATCTTGTACTTGAATGATGTGATGATGAGGTGCATTGTTTGTCTGATAGCCTATCTGAAGTGTATAGCCACATTGATTCACTAGTTTAATCTGTGTATTCAAAGGTGCAGCAGAAACAAGAGACAGGATCAATACAAAATAATACATGCAGAAAAAAGAAGAAGAAATATGAAGAGTATGCTGCTCTTTAATGATAATGGTTTTAATATGTACTCCTGAATTCTTTATTATTCCTTTTTTGTGTCTTCTGCTTCTTGCAAAAGGTATTCTTTTGCTTTTAATAAGACTGCTTTTTCTGATAAAACATAGTCTTCATCAATGGCTTCACCTACAACAAAGTCAACTGGTTCATCTGTCTCTTGTCGTTTGGCATGCATCTCTTTATAGACTTCTTTTTTATAGTTGTATACACTGCGAATCAGCAATGGGTGTTGTTGATACATGAGTCGAACAGACTGTAATAAGGCACCATTGGCATAATCAAATCGTTCTTTTGAGGGATCTAATGAATCATCTAATTCAGCAATCGATCGATCAATCACTTCAATCGCAGAAGGCAATGGAGGACGATCCCTAAAAAAAAGATGTTAGTCTCATTAAGCCTCATGCTTTTTACTCTACCGCATAAACTGAGATAAGGGCACACTGGGTTTACCGTACAGTTTAGAGACTTCAAAACTACCATGTGAATATCTGTATTTAGGGGGTTGTGCTTCTAATCGAGGCTTCTTGTTCATCCAACTCTTTTCTAGATCCTTCATACTCATGGGTGGTTTTTCAAATTTGGGACATCCTGATGCTTTCCAAATAATCTAGTGCATGTCAGACGAGGATTGCATCTGATTGACTTACCCAATGACGTTCATAGTCCAACATACTCAAGATGATGTCTGTATAGAGATTACCATGAGGCTTTGTGGCTCTTAAGAGTGTCAAGAGTGTTTCTTGTACTTGATGAATCCATTCTGCTTGTTCTTTAGACAAGGTATAAGTAGGAGGTGCAAGACTTGTTTTAGCATTAGGACGTGCTTCTATTAATTTGGTTGTCTTTTCTTTCTCTTCTTCTGTAAATCCAAGTAGATATTGAAACAAGATCAAGAACTGCACAATCAAATTTCTTCTAAACCGAGCGTCTTCCATCTATAAAGAGTGTTATGTAAGCATTCCATAGTCAGGGATATTACCTCTAGGCCAAGTAATCGTCTGCTACTCAAAAGTCGAGGAAATTGATAATCCTTGTTGATTTCAGCCAACATAGACTCAGTCAGACTGGGATCTTCTTGCATACTCTCTACTTCTTGTTTACGCTTCATGATATCTTTACGTGCACCAGCTAATTCTGCTTCTTTTTCACCAATCACTTGTAATTTATCTACAATCAGTTTCGTGCCTTCTTGAAGTTGACTGAAATGATCTGCTGCAAAAATACTAGGTGGATTTGAAAAGAAGACTCGAGTAGACCAAAACACTTTATAGAACGTCTTTTGGTCATCTGTCAATTGAGGATCTGCATCCACCACTTCATCAGAGTCATATTGAACCATGTCTGTATTGAAATCACCACGTAAATTAACGCCTGATCGTTCATCCAGAGGAAAAGAATTGGCAAGGAACATCAAGATACGACCACAGAACACTGTGTTTGTCTCTTTAGACAGTCGACGCAAGAGTTCATTACACAATCTCAGCAAAACAAGGCCTTTACCCTTGTTTGGTTCCAATCCCTAATACATTCAGCAACAAAGACATGGGTCTTATACTTACGAGTGTAATGCGATTTTTGCGCTTTTCAATGTATTTAAAGATCATTTCACATCCACCAATACTATGAATATCGAGTATTTCTTCAATCGCATTCAAATGAAATGTTGTGTCTAGCAAATCAGCCTCTATTCCATAATGGAGTTACTTTAAATGGCTACACATTATTCTTGCTTACCACCACAATAGAGAATGAAATCAAGACAATCACATACTTGATAATATCTCTCTTGTGATTCCTCCATGTTTTTCTATAGATCATGAGTTTCTTCTTGTTTTTGTACATCATACACTTACAACAATATTCAATAAGACGCGACGAAAGATGGCTTCTATGCCTGGTCTTCGCCAATCACTACGTTCCTTTTCTCGATGGACAATCACTACACCCAACGTGTTCTCTTTGCCTGCTAAAGGTGCCAAGTGTTGTTGTGTAAGGTCTTGAATCAAACTCAATGGTGCTTCTGTGGTATTATGGGCCATTCTATACTGGGCTACTTGTTCAAGGCATTGATTGATGCCATGACTTAACTTGGCTTTGTATTCAAGAAACATGGACATCTTGAACGAAAGAGAAATGAAAAAAAAAAAAAAAAAAAAACTAAATAGTCGGAGATTGAAAAAGTCGAGTGAATTTATTTTGATTATGCTTCTTCAAATAACTTGGAAAGAGATTCACCAAAATGAGTACGACGAATAGCCTCTGAAAACAAAGAAGTAACATCAAATACTTTGATTTTAGGATGCTGTCCTTGAGGCACTGAATTAGATACAATCAATTCATCGATAGCACTGGCATCAATATGATTCACAGCATCAGCCGAAAGAATAGCATGACTCACTAAAGCATAAATCTTATGTGCACCCTTTTCTTTTAATAGTCGTGCTGCTTTTGTGATGGTGTAAGAAGTGTCGGTAATATCGTCAATTAAGATACATTCACGTCCACGTACATCACCTACAAGGATAGATTCCTTTTTTTGGGATTGGATCTTGGGTCTTTCTTTATGGACAAGTGCGAAATCCATACATAATTTCTCTGCAATGGACGTGGCTCTGGTAATGATTATCATTATCATTGTCATCAATACAACTCTCTGTATGTCCCCCTTTTTTTTTTTTACCTTTTAGCACCACCTGCATCAGGAGAGACAATGATGGCTTCAGAATAATTAGGAATATTAAGACGAATATAGTTGATGGCTGTATAGATACTGGTCAAATTATCCACAGGACAATCAAAAAAGCCTGGATATTGAGCATCATGAAGATCCATGGTGATCACATGATCAGCACCTAGTAAGCAACTTAGTGAGATATGCACTCTTTTTTTTTTTTCTGATTCTTTACCTGCACAAGTCAATAGATCAGCAATCAAGACACCAGGACGTGCTCTCCATTCACGATAAGGTGCATTTTCCTTTTTTCTGTCTTGAACAGATGCTTGTCCTAATTGGCGAATAAGTTGCTTAGACACATCATCCACTTTGACAGGATGTGTTTGAACAGGAGGTGTTTGAGGAGGTAAAAATGTCAAGGGTGCACCTGAGGGTTTGAATGGCACATCAGGTTGACGTGAATAAGGAAAATAAGGGATCACGGCTGTAATACGCTTAGCAGAGGCAATCTTGCAGCCATTGATCATGATCAGTAGTTCAATGAAATTATCATTGACAGAACCACAAGCACTTTGGATAATATAGACATCTTTACCTCGTACAGATTCTTTCATTTCCACACTGGTTTCGTTATTCGAGAATTTGCCAAGACGGGTTTTACCAGGTGAAATACCCAATCGATGACATACTTTTTCGGTGAATTCTGGGTGAGAAGAACCGCCAAGGACAACAAGGTTACGCATAATAATGATAATAATCAAAAAAAAAAAAAAAGAAAAAATCAAAGAGAGATCTGAAGGCTTATTTAAGATGGAACAGTCACAAGATACAAGAGCATAAATCCTTATCTCTATTAGGCATAGTCGAGTACAACAACAACAACAAATAAGGAGAAATAATCAAAAAGAGTGTGCATGATATAAAGGGAACCATTTTATCTCTTTTCTTTATTCTGTAGATGATGTATTTATTTAACTTGACTTGTGCTATCTTTTCCTCTTTCTTTCTGAGTGTGTCTTCAACAATGACAGACAGTATCACAACACGCATGATTGGTGCACCCAATACCTTAAATTATTCTCTTTATTATGGTAATCTTATTATTTTGTTGTAATGCATCTGTTGACATACATAATATAGAAAAAGAAGGTCATCTTATTTCACCCTTTCATGATATTCCATTGTTTGCCAATCAAGAAAAAGACATTTTCAACATGATTGTTGAGATTCCTCGATGGACCAATGCTAAAAATGAAGTAAGTATGATTTCATGATATCCTAGAGTACTTATAACCCGTTCATAGATCAATAAAGAAACACCCTTGAATCCTATTCGGCAAGATATTGAAGACAACAAACCAAGATTTGTGCCCAGTGTGTTTCCATTGCATGGTTATATCTGGAATTATGGTGCTTTTCCTCAAGTAAGTCACTCGGCTGATTCTATCTATCTTATTCTTTAGACTTGGGAAAACCCTGCTTTTATTTCACCTCATACGAACAAAGGAGGTGATAATGATCCTATTGATGTGATTGAGTTAGGTAGACGTGTGGCTACTACAGGTGAAATCAAACAAGTCAAGATATTAGGTATTCTCGGTCTATTAGATCAAGAAGAAACAGACTGGAAAGTAGTCGTGATTGATATCAGAGATCCATTGGCTGATCAACTAGAGGGTAAGCTATGTTAATATACAGATATTTGTTTGCTTATATTTATATGTTAGATATTGACGATGTAGATAAGTTTATGCCGGGTTATTTGCAACAGACAAACCATTATTTCAAGACGTATAAACTTCCTTCAGGTGGTAAAGAAAACGACATTGCATTTGATGGAAAAGCACAGAATAAAGTAAGTTCAATACTCAACATTGGTTGACTGATGACATAGTCATTTGCTACTGACATTGTATTTGGCACACATGAAGAATGGAAATTATTAGTGAATGGCACTACACCTAGAAAACATATTCAAACGTAAGTAAAATCATACAATGTACATAAATAAACCAATATCATTAGTATCAATTTGACTGTCAAAGATTCGCCTTATCGAGTGGATCCTGACCATGATATTGTCACTGGTGTACCAAAAGCCAATCCTCTCCCTGCAGCACCTATTCCTGAACAAGTCAATACATGGCATTTTTATTAAATAAAATTTTATTTCTTTATTTTATTTTATTTATTATGGCAATTATAGAAGAAATCATTCAGGATAAACCAGGTATGTTTCTGTTGTTCTCTCTATTTCACATGCACTCATTTCATGAGATAGTAGAAGCAGATCAAGATGGAGATGTCTTTTATGACAGTACAGACTATCAGACAGAAGAACTACAAGTAAGACACACGTAGAAAATGCATCTGATAAAACTCGATTAGCAACTATTGAAAGAAGCAGCTGAATACAAGTCCAAAGGCAACACATTGTTTGCTCAAGCAGAATACAAAAAAGCCATTGAAGAATACGAAAACGCGCTCATGACTTGTCCTGCTTCTCAAAACAAAGAGCGTGCTGTTTACTTTGGTAATATCGCAGCATGTCATCTCAAGCTAGAAGCCTATAAGGATGCACGTGACATGTGCACCCAATCACTCCAATTGGATCCACACTATCTAAAAGCCTTACTTCGTCGTGCTCAAGCCAATGAGAAACTAGGGACATCCAGTGCTTTATCAGACGCATTAACAGACTATCAAAAACTAAGCGCCATGGCTACTGACACCTATACCCTTCAAGCATGTAAAAGAGCACAACAAACACTCCCTTCTCGTATTCAACAAAAAGCAGAACAAGAAAAAGAAGAAATGATGAGCAAACTAAAGGATTTAGGCAATACCTTGTTGGGTAAATTTGGTTTATCTACCGATAATTTTCAATTTACGCCTGATGCTAAAGGTGGTTACAGCATGAATTTTGTAAATAAATGAAGATTTATTATTATTAAAGACGATTTTCTTCAGCAGTAAAGATGCCGGGTGGAGGAGGGGGAGGGGGGTTATTTCTAAATCCCATAGGCATAGGGGGTCTCATCATACCTGGTGGAGGCATTCGGCCCATCATACCCATTGGAGGAGGAGGAGGAGGTTGTTCTCTAAATCCAGACATAAAAGAGGGATGGAAAGAAGGCTGTTGTTGATGCATCATCATATTATTAAAGTGTTTAGGGCCTAAGTCATGAAAGCCTCTTTCTTGAGGGTGCATCATGCCATTCGTAAATCTTGGATCTATTTGTTGTGATTGCTGTTGCATATGTTGCATATGTTGCATATGCTGCTGTTGCTGTTGCTGCTGTTGTTGTTGTTGTTGTTGTTGTTGTTGTTGTTGTTGTTGTTGTTGTTGTTGTTGCATTTGCTGCTGTTGTTGTTGTTGTTGCATTTGCTGCTGTTGTTCTTGTTGTTCTTGTTGTTGTTGTTCAGCCATAAGAGGAGAAGGTTGTCCACCCAAGATTTGAAGTATTGTGTTCTGTGAACGAATCATTTCATTTGTGTTATTGTTTGCTACACGCACAGACATAATAGCAGGATCTTGAAAAGGCAAGGGTCCTAATATACAGCAATTCAATAACTCAATCTTTTTTTTTCCCTTATGCTACTTACCACTAGGATATTGTTCTTCTCGTTTAGGTGACATGTCATGATTAGAAGCTGCTTTACGAAGGAATTCGCCAAAAAAGTTTTGTGCTTCTACACGTACATCAGGATCTTGTCTCTTTTCTTCCATGGGTATGTATTCATTCAGTCGCTGCATTTGTTGTTGACGTTGAGTCAACAGTTGCTTTTGATAGAATTCTTCTGCTCGCATCTTTTCTTGGAAATTGTTGAAACTGATGTTGACATTGGGTAACAAGGCACGAAGATCGTCACGTGATTGTTGTTCATGAGGACCATTGATTTTGAGACCACCAAATTCGTTTCTTAATTCATCCATAGGGTCATGCATAGGTGGAGGATGGAAAGGAGACAACATGTCGGGTGGAGGTGGAGGAGGTCTCATCATAGGATGAGGTGTAAACATACCCATAGGAGGAGGAGGGGAGGAGGGGGAGGATGGTGATGGTGATGGTGGTGGTGGAATGCAGGATGAGGATGATGAAGGTGAGGATGGTGAGGATTGAAATCAAAGCGAGGAACAACAGGGGGAGCAGGATTAAATCCACCATTACCAAACAAACCACTGGCTTCCAACATCCTTTGAGAATGTTGTAAACGACGAGCAGCAATAACAGAAGGATCTTGACCATTAAAGGGATCAAAACCACGGTTAAACCATTCAGGTAAAGGAGCAAGTGGAGGAGGTGGAGGAGGTGCTTGTTGTGGGGGAGGATGAGCAAGACCAGGTGGAGGCATACGCTCAAATCCAGTATCCAATTGCTTAAGTGGCTGCATATCCATAGATGGTGATGAATCTTCTAGTTCATGTTGAACAAGAGCAGACAATCTGTCCATAGCAGCCAAAGGAGAAGAAATAGGTTCAGGCTGGTCAAAGGATAATTCAGTATCACTTGAATCAACCAATTCTTCAGACTGTTCTTGCACTTTTTCATTTTGATGAACAGCAGCATCATCAAAGGCTTTAATGATCGTATCATTCAAACAAGCCAAATTATCGTCATCCAAGACATGTTCTTCTTTCTTGAATTCCTCTTCAACAGGCATTGGAAGGCGTTTGATTTCAATCATTTCAGGCTTCTTTTCTTGCATGACTTGTTCTTGTTCTTGCTTGGATTCCTCTACCTGTTCTTCTTCTTTTTCTTCTTTCTTTTCAGGCACTTCTTGCTGTTGTTCTACTTCTTCAACCACAGGCTTCATTTTTGGTTCTTCTTTTTCTTGTTCTACCGGCATGTCAACAGGCTCCACTTGAGATGCATTCTCTTCTTTTTCCACCACAGATTCAACAGGTTTAGGTGCCTTCGTCTTGAGAACAGCAGCCAACTTGGCCTCTCTCTCTGCCTCTTCGAATTCTTCTAGACGCACCATCTTACCTTTACTCTTCTTTTCCTTCTTGACCTTGAGGGAAGGCGCATGTTTAGGCTTTTGAGGTGCGTTTAAAGCATCAGATAAAGAAGGACCAAAGTTATCAGGTGTGATACTGGAGGTAGGCAATACAGGTTGTTTATTAGCCCAAGATGCACTTGCAGGAAGAGCAGGCTTTTCATCTACCTCCATAGACACCTTTTTCACAGGTGGTGTGGACTTCTTGGGCTTCTTCACGGTGGTAGTAGTAGTAGTAGTAGTGGTAATAGTAGTAGTAGTAGATACACTGGGTTTAAGTGCTGGTTCTTTAGGAGCAATAGGTTCTTCTTTGACAACAGGCGAAATAGGAACCACTTTAGGAATAGGTGCCCATGCTCGGGGTGCTGGCCTGGCTTCAGTAGGGGCAGGTGAACTAGCAATAGCAGCTGTAGAAGAAGGTGAACTAGCCGTTTTAGTGATAGTAGGGCGTTTGTTGGGGAAAGCACTCGTTGTAGATGATGCACTGGCATGAGCATGTTTTCTATAGAGATAATTGTCAACAATACCTTTAGGTGGCTCAACTTACCCTATAGAAACAGCAGGAGAAGCAGCAGCAACAGTAGCAGCAGCAGAAGTAGCAGAAGAAGAAGCAGCAGCATCTTTACTATAGCTATCGACGTCATCCCCAGGTTCATGGAGATACATACAGTTTGGGTTAGGACAAGCCATATGTCTCAAATAATAAGTACAATATTTGGTTGTACCATAAGAAGCCCTATTCAACTGTCAAGACCTTTTCTGACTTGAACTCCATCCCCTTTTTTTTTCTTACCTGATCGTTTTCCCATCGAGTTCCATCCCGTTCATACCTTCAATGGCCTTACCCGCATCTTCTTTTTTAGCAAAAGTAACATAGATGCCAACTGATGTCGATCCAGAAGCAGCAGAACGTTTACTAACCACAACTTTTTCAATACGACCATATTTTTTAAACAAGTCGTTCTAACAAAAAAAGAATCAGAAAAACTAGACGCGTATAAAGATTAAACTTACCTCTGTATTGGCATGTTTTGAGCCTAAGCCAAGTACATACACCAGATTCTTTTGAACCACACGCACGTTGGAAAGTTGTCTTCGACTAGGGTCACGCATCTCTCGTGTTTGACGGTCTTTCTCCTTCTTTTCTTTTTTGAGGCGCATGATTTCTTCAGCACTCACAGGTATGAACTCTACAATTTGGTCGGTGTAGAGTCTTCGGCAAGCTGGACATCGTCCATTCAAGTTGGTCTTGATGTGATGCCAACAGAAACGACAGATCTACATCTCATGAGTTCATGTGTCTAGCATCTTTTCTATATTACCTGATATCCACAAGGACAAGGTCTAAAGTTACGGTCGGCAATGTCCAACTCTTCCATACATAAAGGACAATCGGTATCCTCTTCGTCAGAAGACATGTTTTTGGTGTAATAAACTTTATCTCGCCCTTGTCAGTAAGTAGTTATGAGTCTTTCTCTCTCTTTCTTTTATTAATAGCGTTTCTTGCTTGTGGAGCCAGTAATCGGATTACAGCTCTTGCTTTTTGTTGTTGTATATGAGAATAAAAAAGAGAGAAAAAAAAAGCGTATTCGTGTAGAGCCAACGTAATTTTGTAGTTAAAGAGAAGTCACGTGACAGTATCGAATCTAGTGCGTAGTTTAAAAATATCCAATCAAAAGATAATAATGGTAATTGAGTAATTTATGACTTTTAAGAAAGTTCCAGTAGTCTGCTTGTTTTTCTTTGGTTTAAAGGCCAAGTTTCAATGGAGGTAATAGTGCATTTCAGTATGAAGATAAAGAGCAAATAAGAACTTGATTTTTGGAATAAGAACAATCATTTTATTTTGATAAACATTAGTAGTTCTCGATCTAGAAGAGTTTCCCAAGAAAAATAATAGGTGTTCTTAAATTAAAGTCCGAACAAGTTCTTCCTAAATTTACTTGAAATTTTATAGTGCAGTTCAACTCGAAATCCCTCTCATTGAACGTTGGCTCAAAATCATATACAGTATTTTCGGAAAGTATTCGTGCACTAATAATTTTTCGTTTTGTGCAAACTTAAAAAAGAACACTTTCGAGCAAAAAAAATTAAAGTCAATGGTGCAAAAGTAGAAAAAGAGTTGGGTCAAAAAATTCATGCAAGGTGCACGAAAATAATATGTGTATTAGATTGGCTTTCTGTTCAAACAATCATCAAACATAGACATAGAATGTCTACAGAACCTCTTCAAATCGCTCAAGAGGACTTTGTTACAGGCGTCTGTTATTCTGGAGGTGAGTGTTTCCTCTTTCAAAAGTTTCTCTCTTTTGACCTTGCTCTTGCAAACGGCCCAAAATCCTTCAATGGGGTTAAGGGTTGGTGAGTATGGAGGAAGGTAGACGCAGCCATATCCTCTGCTTTCTATATACTTTCTTGTGTCTTGGTGCGTATGGATAGGCGCATTATCCATGACTATATAGCTATCCTTGAAGATCTCGTGACGATCCAAAATATCCAAGGTACTAGAAATAAAGTTGAAGTAATGGCCAGTCACTGTTCCTCCTTTGCCCTTGTTTGCGACAGTTGAGTTTTTTCCTGTCAACTTTCTTTTCTTTGCGGGCTCCGCTACCTTGGGCTGTTTGATCTTGATATTGACAACACCGTGAGCAGATATAGCACCAAGAATAGTCGTGGTCTTTGCTCTTGTCTTTGGGACTGTGACAATGGCAGGATCACCTTTTTTAGACCAACCATAAGAGCGCTTCAAGTTGATATGGAATGCAGATTCATCAATAAAAACGCAGTTGCTCATATAATCCATGTCAGTCTCTTCCCAGTGTTTCACCCATTGATATCTAGCTTCAATTTTCTCAGGAGAATTTCGCTCAACTGAGTAAAGCTTTGCTCGCTTGAAGCTGAGATCGCACTTTGTAGTGACAAACTCATACAAAGCAGTCTTTGAGATCTTCAGACCCTCAAAGCTACTCGCAAGACACTCCATCATCTCTTCCAAGACCATTTCAGGCCTTTCATCAATAGCTTCAATCAGATACTCCTTATGAGCATCATTGAGGATTGCAGGTCTTCCAAGCTTCCGCTTTCCATCTACACTCCTTTTCACAGCGACCTCACTGTCCTTTTCCAAGCTCGCCTCTCCTTGCTTAAATCACGTTTGTGCTGTCGTTGGTGGTATACCAAGCTGCTTAGCAGCACCTCGGACACTCATATTCTTTTCATACACCAAGTGAAAGAAGTTACTCTTGTCCTCAGGGTTGTACTTCCGATACGCCTTCTTAGAAATCCCACCAACATCTCCCGCAATAGGGTTTGTGGTGTTGCTTGCAGACTTCATAACAACATCTTTGGCTACTTTTTCAGGAGGCTTGAGATCAGTGTACATTGCGAAATCTGTAACATCTCTTAAGGGGTAAGCTTCGTCGTCCACTTTCATTGCAAACTCAAGATGCTCTTCTTCATTCTCATTCGTTAGGCTTCCGTTTCCATCTTCATAAACAAAGTTACTCACTTTCAACTACGTAAAATATAAAATTGCGAACTTGGAAAACAATTTCGAGCAAAAAAATTAGAGTTGGGCCAGAAATAGTTTTTACTTAGTGCATGATTTATTTATTTTATTGCACAAAACGAAAAATTATTAGTGCACGAATACTTTCCGAAAATACTGTATTAGTTCCCATTCAGAGTTAGGTTCAGAAAATTTAAGTTCTCAAACACAGAAAAGACAAGTTGTATAAACTGGTGTCAAAATCAAAGGCTTTGCTCTATTGGTAGAAAATGAATGTTTTTTACAGCTATCAACTGCGATATGAATGTTTACACTCATTGTTCAAATCAATCCAAAATCCCGATGATGACTAATTGGTATAAGTTTGAGTATATACAAAGTGTTATGTATACGAACAAATAAAAGAAAAAAAAAAAGACAGAGTTGTGCCAAACAAAGCTTTGCATACAAGAATTTTCCATGTTTATTCCCGAAAATAGTTGTACCTTTTGTGACTTATTATAATTTGAATATTATAGGTTTTCTCGACTATAAGTTCAACTACTAAGGATGTTACAAAGATATAACTATTTCTATAGGATAAAGATTGCTATTCATTCAATATACTAAAATCTGATATTTATGAATATGTGTACCAAACAAAACCCATTGTAATTCCTAACGGTTTGTTCTTCGCAACTGTTTCTTGATACCTTGTTTGGAGTTTGTGTTTATGAGGGATTTCTTCAGCTCAACCACATAGTGTGAAGACCGGAAATTCAAAATGAAACAATAATTTAAGAAAAAGTATGTATGTCTTTGTTATCTTTAACTCCATTGTATAAACCTTTATCCTAAATTCGTATTCTCCATGATCTTTACTGCTTACTTCTTTTTTTTCGCTTTTGCTTTCAAACAATACAAACGCACGCACACATACACATATATATATCTGTTTTCTGTTATTACTTTATGAAGTCTAGAGTATAAACAAAAGAAGAAAAAAAAGAAAAATATACACTTGGAGTATATTCAACTTGATCGTGCGAAAGTTGGTTTAGTCATGAGAGGGCCATGAAAAAATTAGATTGTATTATTGGTGTATTCAGAACAAAGTTTTTGTTTTACTATATACATGTTAGGGAGGCACAGTTATGAACAACAGCATGTGAAATACAATCCAAAGTGATCCGAAATAAAGCGAAAGTGATGTAATTTACTTTATTTGACAGCATAATTTCCCCACAATGACTTGGTAACACAATGGAATAAACAAATAGCATAAGCATTTTGCCGAATATTGGATATATAAAACCAGTTGGCTTTCTTTCTTTCGTTTCTCTTTAAGTTTTTTTATATATGTCTACTTCCACTCATCAAAACGTAGATAGCGCTGTAGCCGGTGTCTCTGTTTTAGCACCTGTTAGCCGAGATCAAGCTCAAATCTTATCTCCTGAAGCCCTTCAATTCCTGGCTACTTTACAACGAAGTTTTAATCCTACCCGTAAAACCTTATTACAGAAACGCAATTTGCGTCAGCAAGAACTGGATCGCGGTATCTTGCCTGATTTTTTACCAGAAACTGCTCATATCCGTAGTGATCCCAATTGGCGTGCCGCTAAACCTGCTCCTGGACTTCAAGATCGTCGTGTTGAAATCACGGGTCCAGTGGACCGTAAAATGGTCATCAATGCTTTAAATTCGGGTGCAAAGACTTACATGGCTGATTTTGAAGGTAAGTCCAAACAAAGAGGGGCTTCTTTGATCGCTCATAAAAAAAACAACAGATTCCACCGCACCTACTTGGGATAATGTATTAAATGGTCAAATCAATCTTCGTGATGCTGTAAAGGGCACTATCTCTTTTACCAATCCTGCTGGTAAAAAATACGAATTAAACAAACAAACAGCCACATTGATTGTCAGGTAAGAAACACCACACTTCTTCTTTCCGAGCTCATATCTTTGCATAGACCAAGAGGTTGGCATATGGTTGAAAAACATGTCCTTGTTGATGGTGAACCCATGTCTGCTTCTATTTTTGATTTTGGCCTGTTCTTTTTCCATAATGCTAAAGCTCAAATCAACAATGGTTTTGGCCCTTATTTCTATCTTCCCAAGATGGAATCTCATTTGGAAGCAAGGTAAGTGCTGGATGTATTTGAAATCATGACTCAACATGTACTTAGATTATGGAATGATGTATTTAATACGGCTCAAGACATGCTTCATATTCCTCGAGGTACAATCCGCGGCACTGTCTTGATTGAAACCATTCTTGCCGCATTTGAAATGGACGAAATCATTTATGAATTACGCGATCATTCAGCCGGTCTGAACTGTGGTCGTTGGGATTATATCTTCTCATTCATCAAGAAGCTGCGTCAACATCCTCAGTTTATCTTGCCTGATCGTACCGACGTGACCATGACCGTTCCCTTTATGAGTGCCTATGTGAATTTGCTGATTCAAACATGCCATAAGCGTGGTGTACATGCCATGGGTGGTATGGCTGCTCAAATCCCTATCAAAAGTGATCCCAAAGCCAATGAGATCGCTATGCAAAAAGTGCGTGCTGACAAGCTACGAGAAGTGACAGCAGGCCATGATGGTACTTGGGTTGCTCATCCTGATCTAGTCAAGATTGCCTTTGAGATCTTTGATCAACATATGCCCCAGCCCAATCAACTGCATGTTCGTCGAGACGACGTCTCTGTCACACAAAAGGATTTGCTCAACATTGACTTTAAAGGCAACATTACAGAAGCTGGTATTCGTGATAATATCCAGATTGGCTTGGCTTATATGGAATCTTGGTTACGTGGTGTAGGTTGTGTGCCTATTCATCATTTGATGGAAGACGCCGCTACATATGAAATCAGTCGTTCTCAGCTTTGGCAGTGGGCTCATCATAAACCCAAGACAGCAGAAGGCATCAAAGTCACTGGGGATTATTGTCTCAAGATATTAGAAGAAGAAATAGCCAAGATCAAGAAAGAATTAGGTTCAAAGTACGAAAACACAAAGTACGAAGCTGCTAAAAAAGCCTTTGCCACTAATATCACGGGTGAACGTTACGATGATTTTGTCACCACTATGCTTTATGATGATATTCTCTCTATCAATTCAAAACCTCGTTTGTAAAGAAATAAAAAAGCTAATTATTTATTAAACTATGTAATGTATATATAATGTGTATGCAAAGGAATAGCGAGAAACTTAGTCCACTTCTTCCATCTTGGATTCAACAGTTTCTTCCTTGGGTGCTTCTTCAACGACTTCTTCCATGGGCTCTTCTTCGTCAATAGAAAGCCCAAGTGAGATCATACGGTTAATACGAGTAGCAAATGAACTTGGGTTATCTAAAGTAAAGCCAGAAGTCAAAAGAGAAGTTTCAAACAACAAGTTGATCAAGTCTTTCACTGTGCGGTCATTAGCATCTACATTGGACTTTTGCTTGAGCGCCTTGATGATAGGATGGTGAGGGTTTAACTCGAATGTCTTCTTGGACATCATATAGCTTGACATAGAAGCATCACGAAGAGCTTGAGCTTTCATAATACGTTCCATGTTAGCAGACCAGCCAAATTGACCTGTAGTTAACACACAAGGAGAATCCGTCAAGATATGAGAAAGCACAACCTTTTCGACCTTGTCACCCAAGACGGTCTTGACATTTTTGCATAAGTCTTCAAATTCCTTTTTTTCAACCTCACGGGCCTTCTTTTCTTCTTCGTCTTCTTCAATATCAGTACCTTCCTTGGTGATACAGACCAACTTCTTGCCATCATATTCTTTGAGTTGAGTAATAGCATATTCATCAATAGGATCCGTCATCAACAAGACTTCAATGCCCTTCTTCTTAAAGCCTTCCAAGAAGGGAGAGTGTTCAACAGCCGTACGAGATTCACCAGTAATATAGTAAATGTTCTTTTGTTTTTCTGGCATGCGGGTCACATAATCCTTGAAAGAAGTCATGTCATCACCAGACTTGGTAGAGTAATAACGCAACAAGTCAGCCAATTTGTTACGGTTCTGAGAGTCTTCATGGATACCCAACTTGATGTTCTTACTAAAGGCTTCATAGAACTTGTCAAAGTTATCCTTGTCTTCAGCAATTTCCTGGAACATCTCCAAACACTTCTTGACCAAGTTCTTACGGATGACTTTGAGAATCTTGTTTTGTTGAAGCATCTCACGCGAGATGTTCAAAGGCAAGTCTTCAGAATCTACCACACCACGAATAAAGTACAACCAGTCAGGCACCAATTCATCGCAGTCATCCATAATGAACACACGGCGAACATACAACTTGATATTGTTCTTCTTCTTTTTGGTCTCAAACATATCAAAGGGAGCACGCTTGGGAATAAACAGGATGGCACGGAACTCAAGTTGACCTTCAACAGAAAAGTGCTTGACAGCCAAATGGTCTTCCCAGTCATTTGTAAGGGCCTTGTAAAACTCAGCGTATTCTTCTTGCTTAATGTCTTCAGGGTTACGGGTCCAAAGAGGTTTTGTCTTGTTTAATTCTTCGTTTTCCACAATCTTTTCTTTGATCTTTTTCTTTTGTTGCTTGTCATCTTCGTCAGTGACTTCTTCAATTTTGGCACCACCTTCAGTCATGTCTTCATCTTCAGCGACTTCCTTTTCTACTTCCTTTTCGACCGTCAATTGGATAGGATAAGAAATAAACTCAGAGTGCTTCTTGACAATGTCCTTGATTCTTCGTTCTTCAAGGTATTCTACTTGATCTTCTTTCATAAACAGGCGTATTTCAGTGCCACGGCCAATGGATGCGCCTGTATCCCGAGTGATGGTGAATGAACCACCAGCAGCAGATTCCCAGATATATTGCTCATCATCGTTGTGTTTGGTGACCACTTGGACCTTATCAGCCACCAAATAAGCAGAGTAGAAACCAACACCGAATTGACCAATCATAGAAATATCAGCGCCAGAAGACAAAGCCTCCATGAAGGCCTTGGTACCAGACTTGGCAATGGTACCCAAGTTGTTGACTAAGTCAGCCTTCGTCATACCAATACCGGTATCTCGAATCGAAAGGATCTTGTTTTCCTTGTCAGGTGTAATACGGATAAAAAGCTGCTTCTCAGATTCAAGTACAGAGGGATCCGTTAAGGATTGGTAGCGAATCTTGTCCAGAGCATCAGAAGCATTGGAGATCAATTCACGTAAAAAGATTTCCTAGGCCATGTGTTAATGTCAATGTTGAATAGGAAGAGTAAATAAACCTACCTTGTTGGAATAAAAGGTGTTGATGATCAAACTCATCAATTGAGAGATTTCAGCTTGAAAGGCAAAAATTTCTGTTTCAACGCTCATTGTGTATTGTATGTAAAGAAGAAATAAAAACTAAAGAAAACAGATAGATGACAATGCATGCTTTTATATCTTCTCTGGGATTCAAAGTCAGAAATTGCTAGAAAAATCAGGATGTTTGCATTAGAAGCACACTGGAACTCTCTCGAAATTTCTTAAAAAAATGACACAGCCAAAAAAAGACATATATTCCAAAAATAAGCATATTGTCTTAAATGAAATAGAAAAACATAAAGGCTTGCTTACCGTAATACATGTTGTTAACAATAAAGACATATATCAATGCCTAATGATGTTGAAAGCCTAGCGCATGGCTTTTATGTTTGTGATTATCATGTCAAGAATAGCTGGCTGTTGTAACAGACGGAATCCCTTCAAGCGATTTTAAAAAAAAAATACTTTCCCTTATGTCTCTGCTGACATATTTACAGCTATTTCAGCGCCAACCATTATATCAGCTATTAAGCTGGTCTCTTTATTAAATTGGTATATTTTGAAGCATTAGCATCCATTTAATCAGTTACTAAAGCTTGGTCTAAGTGGAGTGTTCCATAGAGAAATTCTGTGTTTGAATTTGTGTTCCCATGTCAAAAACTAAAATGAAGAAATTTGGACATTCAAGAGAAATGATGGACTAAAAGCGTCTAAAAACGAAGAGCTATCAAGAAAGTGTGTTAGCAAAACTGGTAGATATAGATATGACAGATTGAATGATACAAAGAAAGCAGCATGTTCAGTATCGGGACAGTGAGCTATCTTTCAAAAACGTTTCCTCTGTTTTTGAGCTCTAGCGTACACTTTTTATAGTACTTTTGCAGATATAACACTTTGAGTGTGCTTTATAGACCTAGAAAAAGCAATTCGTACGAAGACATGCTATGTCTACAATGTCTCTATCGATCACCAATCGCAAAGTAGTGAAAATTGAAGATTTCGTAAAGGATATGATAAAGGCAAAATGACAATTTTCTCATTTTTTTCAAGACTTGCTATCTTTTTGTATAAATATGTTCTTTTATGTATGCTCAAGTATAGCAAACTCAAAGGGAATTGGAAAGCAAAAATGACAGTTTATTCTGAAACACACTTGCGCCTGTAGCAGGCTGTCAATACACTATTGATGCTATTATGCTAAGAAAGGTAACTTATATTGAAAGTTTGTTTAGCTATGATGTAAGATCATATAATAAGCTTGATGCTCGAAAAAGGCATGCATTGAGGATCAAAAGCATATTAAGTGCGTCAAATAGAATCAAACGCTATTTAATAGTCACAAAGTATGTATACTTTTAATATAATGGAGCCGTTTGCCTACCAGATAACATTATATCTAATGTACTACTTAGTCGATTTCTTTTCTTGCAGTAATCGTTGAGTAATTTTTTGAGAGACATTGTATTCATGCACTGCGAAGACAACCTTGGTTTATTGTTTCTACAGATGCTAGACTGCTTCTCTAGCCTTAATTAAGTGTAATCAGTGAACAAAGAGCACACTATGCTTTCAAACAAAAAACTAACAAATCTACTCTCCCGCTCCCCCCTTTTTTTTCGCAGTAGCCCATGAATAGTCGAGTGTCATGTATACAAATAAAATGTGTTTTTTTATTATGATTGATCTAATAAATCAATGGATTTAAGCCTTAACAGCGTACTTGCGGATAGGGAAGTGAGCTTCCTTCTTTTGTTGACGAACAGTCTTCTTGGACTTTTCGAAAGGAGTCAAAGCTCTACGCATAGCACGGGTCTTCTTGACACGGAGATCCAAAGGAGTGAAACGCTTCTTTTGGTAGAAAAGACGGAGTTGTTCACGTTGGGTTTGGTTGATGACAGTCAAAACACGGGCAACGTTCTTACGGGCTTCACCACTATTTTCATAACTTGTTATTTTTCTGACTATAGACACACATTCATGACTTACATTTCTTGGACACGGCCACCGGCAACCTTTTGGACACGGATGCTGGCAAGTTGTTGCTTTTGTTCATCAAGGATCTTGAGGAGCTCGGCCTTGTTCTTGTTACGGAGTTCGTGAGCTTTGACGGCAACCTAAACAGTAGTTAGTAACTTGTTCTCTCTTTCTCTCTTCATCTATGTCTTCAATGGATAAACAGTGTTTGATTGTCATCAAGAATGATAGTTGTCATGCTAAGATCTAGCTTTTTTCTTTTCTATGTCTTGTCCAACAAATATCATATACATCGATACATGAATCTTTCCACTGTTCATCTCATTGTTCATGATTGCTTCTATCAACTAACCATTTGAATTGATGGATGATTATTAAGAGGAGGATCCTATGGATGGCCTCCTCTAAAGTCTATAGTCATTCATTTTTTTTTTCTGCTTCTCTATGTCCGGACCTTCATTTCGGACCGAACTGTGTAACACGTTCACACGCATGAATTACTTTTTATTAGTTATACCATGTCATCATCCTCTTCCTCTTCCTCTTCTTCTATATGCTCTATAGGATTCAGTTCATCATCGTCTAATGGTACTTCTTCTCTGTGTATTTGTTTAACAATAGCTGCATTAAGTGGAACATCATCCCATATTTGAAATAGAACAGAAGCAGGCAATTGTCGGAAACCTTGTGTATGTGAGACAGCACCAAAGTGTTGAAATATAAAATGTAAAGAGGCTTGTTGAAGTCCTCTTTGCTCAGATAGACTAGCAGCATGGTATATCTTACTGACTGACTCAATCTCCATCTGCTTAAACAAGTGACGTACACTCAGAGCAAGTAAGCGAGGCAACAGATAGATATGAGCCATGACCATCAAATCAGCAATCAAATCAGTCGTAAAGCTAGGATCACTAAGTGTATCTGTATAAAGATACCGTACAAAGCTTTCAAGCGTAGAGATAGGTTCAGACATCGTAATCGAGTTTGTGACTGATTCTGCCATACCACTCTCTATCAAATGAACAAAATGAGGCCAACGAGCATACAATACCAGTCGATGCACAAGGATAGGCGGTGCCTGTGGCTCTGTCGAGGAGTAAATGGCAAAATCTGTGCCTTGCCTTTGTTGATTGAGCAATAAACTGATTAAATCTGTGCCTAGTTGAGGTGGAGGTACAGGCACGATCCCTAATTCTTCTAATTCGACTTTAAGTACCATACTAAAGTATTCATCAGGCTCTGATTCATTCGTGCCAAACAAATAGAACCAAGTATGATGTTCAGCCATAGAAAAGCAGTGCCAGTTACAGCTTTCATATCTTGCACCGGATTCCTTGAATTGCCATTGCATGGAAGGCAAGTCCAGAGACCATAGACCAGTCATAGGCGCTTCTAACATAGCAGCTTCACGAAAGGGTAAAGTGACCAACACAATCAGTTGATCGCCACAAATCTGAGCAAATCGCTGACCTGCTAAAGAAGGTGCTAAAGGTGAACTAATGTCCAACTGTGTTACACCAGGCTGAAAGAGGTCCATAAAGGCCAAATGATTCGATCGACTCATGTCTTCTCTTAAGCCACCAAAGACATACAGACGCGAGTGATAGACAAAACTCATATGTTGCACACGTTTGACAAATGGAATCGGTGTTTCCCATTCCCATGTCTTGAGATCCAATGTCAATAAAGTGTCTGCAAAAGAAACAGTGTCGCTGACACACATACCACCCGCTACATACAGTTTATCTTGATAAATAGTGGCTGAGTGTCGAATACGTCCTTCAGGTATAAATCCATGCGTCTGAGGATGCCACCATGTCATGGTAGTCAAGTCAAGAATAGCCACATCATTAAAGTAATTGTCTTCTTCTGAGTTGCCACCAAAGATGACCAGTTTATTGTTATCCCATAAAGTGGCTGAATGGTCATTGCGTTTTGCAGGTGGTTCTCCTTTTGTATAAATGACTTGTGTCCATTGACATGATTCTTTATAGTCGAGCTTGTATAGCTTATTATAGATTTCATCTGTATATTGATCGAATCCACCGAAGACATAAATGGTGTCACCTACTGTAGTTAATGACGCGCCAACAAGAGAAGCGAGTCTTTCACCTGTGGTTTTAATAGGCTGTGAGTAATATATGACAGGTTGGCCATTAGAAGAAGGTGTTCTGTCTCTTGAAGGTGTATTAATCGCAGTACGTGGTGAATTAGGTCGAGACATGATTTTATGCAATGGTTACCAGAGATCTCGGAAAGAAAAAAAAAAGAGCAAAAGAGAAAGAGAGAGAAAAGCGTGTCGTTTCTTTTCTCTAATTCAATGGCTATATAAATGACAAGAAAGAAAAGCTCTTATATTGCTCTTTTCATATAAATGTCTTTGATTATGCACACATGTAGTAGAGAGTCACTCTATCTTAGAGCATGTCCGGTCTAGATAACTCCGTCTTTCGCTGTCCGATGCGCATACCGGACCCATGCACATTAGCGCCACTGCCCAAAACCAAAGCCAGAGTTAAACCCACTTGGCTTCCTCCTCTTTGGTACATATTAAACATGGTAATATACATCCATCCATTTTGATGAACATCATCCATTGATACGTAATCGTTTAGGTCAAGCGCACTAAGAAGGTCGGAATCACCGGTAAATACGGTACCCGTTATGGTGCCTCTCTCAGAAAGACCGTCAAGAAGATGGAAATCACCCAACACAGCAAGTACACCTGTACTTTCTGTGGTAAGGATGCTGTCAAGCGTACTGCTGTTGGTATCTGGAAGTGTAAGGGTTGTAAGAAGACCTTAGCTGGTGGTGCTTACACCGTCTCGTAAGTTATTCATATCCATATTATTTGTCTCTAATCAACTTGATAGTACTACTGCTGCTGCCACTGTTCGTTCTACCGTTCGTCGTCTTCGTGAATTGGCTGAAATCTAAGCCGTTTTCTCAATGTTTATACGCAATAAAAAAAATGATGTTTAATACACTCGGAAAATTTTATTACATTTCATCCAATTGCTTGCTAAACTCTTCCAATTGCCCACTCAATTCTTTGTTTTGTTGTGCAAGTTCTTCATTTTTAGTTTCTTGTTCAGTCAACTTGAGTGTCAATTGCTCAACTTTCTTTTCAAGTTGTTCGACTTTGACATCCGCTTCACGGAAACTAGAGATGTATTAGCACAGAATATAGAGACTGTTATGCTTACTTTTGAGTGGTTTCTTTTAAAGACTTGTCAGAGTCTTCTAGTTCTTGTTCAAGCATGGTAATTTTACGCATAGCAGCCTCATGCTCTTTCTTGACATCATTATCTTCTGCTTCGTTACCCTTTAATTCCTTGATTGTATCATGAGCTGTTTCCAAATCTTCTTCAAGTTGTCTGTTCTTGTTATTCAAAGATACAATCTCGCGTTCTTGTTGTGTATGTTCATGAGTCAATTCTTTCAATTTCTGTTCTAATTCTTCTACTTTGGCATTGGCTGCATCAGCTTCAGCACGCACTGCATTAATTTTCTATTAAGAGGGGTTAGCATTTTGTGTAATCAGTTTAGTGTAACACACCTCACGGATTTTATCCATTGTTCAAAGAAAAAGAAAACAAAAAAAAGAAGAAAAAAGAGAAAAAAAGAACAAGTGATTAAATATCAAAAATAGGTGACTTTTTTTTTCTTTATTCAATAGGTTGTGATTTAATAGCTGTATGATCCACCTCTAAATAAAGTTGTAACAATAATTGCCATTCTTGTGTGAATCGATGGACTGCTTCTCGGTGACTCCATGGTTTCAATTGATGACGTTTGGCTGCCATCCAGGGTAAAGAAGGTTTAAATCCCATCGCTATTTGTACATGCACTACAGAAGTAATTGATTCTGCATGCAAGATATGTAACACAGTGGATCCTTCTCTAGGATGGCTGTTAAACAATGGACTGACAGACACTGAGGATAAGGGTCGGCTGATATTAGGTTTCATAGGGGAGTGACTACTGTCATGATCAGAAAAGTCATGGTTGGAGACAGAAGAAGGCGAAGAAGGAGGAGGAGGTATATGGAGGCCTAGTCCACACGTTTCTTCTGTATCTTGCACATTGATACGAATGGACGTATGACGAGGTGGAGAAGAAGGTGGGCCACCCCAACTCTTCCAGCGTGTCATGTGACTACCACTACTACTGTGATGTGGTGAATTATGAACAATGCTGATCCGAGGACTCGGTGGTGCATACAGTGAAGATCGATTATGGCTACTATTCCCTCCCATATGCAACAACTTTTCATGAATAAAGTCCTTGAGCAACACAAGCAATGGACAACGATAGATTGTCACAAACTCCAAGAATCGCCAGGTGGTAAAATCGTAAATAGTGCCTATATTCAAAGGTGTTGTGAATGAGAATGCAGCGGATGATGAGTGCTCTAGAGGAGGTAGACCAGGAGACAATGGACCCTGATGAGGACTGGGCGATAATCCTGCTGTTACAGGTGTAGAAGGGATAGGTGATTTATCTGATTTTGCCTTGAGAAACTTGAGTGTCTGGCCAAACACAAGTGCGTTCTTGATGAAATAAGCCACTTGGACCCAAGCATCTTTTAGCTTGTTAAAGGAACTACTTGCACAGACAAGAATAATTTTAATGGCCACAAAACTGAAGGAGAACAACAGGGCAACAGACTGAGGTGTCTGTTTACGGTCCCTGATATCAGTGAAATCAGTATCCGAGTCTTGGTTGGTTGTCAATTGATACAAGAAACCTGATGTTTTACTCTTGAGTAAGAAGGCTTGACTGCATGCTCTTGATACATAGTTTAATAACCGCATCCAATTGCTGGTAGGATCAGGTCGGAACTTGTTTGACATAGGCATATTGCTATAATCCCATTGCAGATTGTATTGAAGACAAATAGGCACCAAGATATAACAAATCAAACCAGGTGTAGGTGTCTGATTTTCTATTTCAGCCAGTACATCTTGCGTTGAATTCTCCATGATAGCAATCACAAGTCGCACAAGCGCATTACAAAATCTATTATGGCCTTTTGCATCGTTTTCCCAGTTAGAATGGATGGCTGCATTCATACCAAATGGCACGAATTTCTCATTGATAAATCCAGCAATGTCATGCATGTTGACAGGTTTGCCTTGTCCCTTTTCAAGCACAATGGCCAGTCCATGATAGAGATCAGAAGCGTCCATGTATTTCCATTGAGATCTGTATTGTGAAAAGATAATATTCAATACTTTCTTAAAAGCCTTGGTATGGTTGCGACTGTCAACCATCGAATGCAGACAGTCCACCAAATAATCCTTGAGCCAATCTGTCTTGAAATAAATGCCTTTTACATGACTATAATCACGCATGACAGTACGAATAATCTGAGCCATTTTTTCATGCGAGACTTCAGTCAGTATGCCTTCATGCTTCAAGTATTCATGAACAAGTAACACGAATTCCATTCTTACTGTTAATTTATCGTTCTGTTGCCATTGCTTGCCATAGGCATGTTGTGCTGATTCAGTCCGGTTTGCACTTCCAGGTGCACGGGGAATGTCATGTTCGCCAGAAGAAACTCCTTGGTAACCACCGCCTGTGGTGGATGGTGAAGGAGTTGTCACAGCCACTTTGGCATGTTTACTAAACTTGACAAACACATCAATCAGGGCAGCAATGCCTTCATCCAATATGTCTCTCAGCAAGACCAGTCGATGAAACCTAGGAATCATATGACGAAATATCTTGACAAACTGTTCTGCACGTAATGAACCTACATCATAAGCAATGATGGTCAAAAACAGTTTAATAAAGTTCTGTAGCTCAAAAGAGCGGTTGTTATAGTTGTGTACATCCAGAGGAGCAATGGGTGTAGTCACACTTCTGGCTAAGGGTTTGAGAATCGTAGTGGAAAGAGGAATAGCCATAGGATTACTGGCTGCATCAATGCGTTCTTGAATGGTGCGCTCATGATCATCGAGCTCGACCTGTAGCTGTAAGCCAAGAACATCGGAAGTAGCGCCCAAACTAGGAGGATCATGCATAGCTTGCATCAGGACAAACATGTTATCCAACATCCAATCACCAAGTTCATCAGACTTGTTAAAAGCATTCAAGGTGGTAGGTACAAGTGTGCCCAACATTTGAAACACAAACGATTCTTCATGCACAGCGTAAAATCGACACCAAGCAAAGATGATGGCAGATCTTATTTGAGGAAAACAATCGGCTTCACAAAAGATCTTGAATAAGGCAGGCAAGAAAATGGTATAACCACGATTAGAGCTAAACAGACGTTTGAATCGAGTGACCACACGCGTATAAAGAATCAAAGCTTGACCAAGGATACCAAAATCACGATTGTGTTCCGTAATAATCGTATTGATGCCTTGCAAGATACGTTCTAGTTCATCACGGTCGTTGTAGTTTCGATTGAGACCGTTGAGTAAGTTATCAATGAATCTTAACCAAATACGTGCACGAAGCGCAGACAATGTCTCTGTGTGTTGCTTTTGCTGGCCTTCTTGACGATAGGGCTTTTCATCATGCTGGAGTACATGTGTCATTAAGTTTTCTTCTTGTTGATAGAGATAAGTATCTGAATCACGCTTCTTTCGTCGAGTGGTATCTGGATAATAGATTTCTTCAGACACCCATCGTGGTTCACGCAGTCTCCCAGGCACAGGCATGGGCTCATAGTCTTGCAGTGTCTTTTTGACAGCATAGACTTCACGAGGATAGCGTATCAAGTAATTCGTCAAGAACTGAATATGACTAATACGAAGCATACCCACAGAAAACACTTCAGGTGGAATGTCTAATATTTGGAAAGTTGATTTTGTATCTGACATGTATCGAGGAAACAAGTTGGCAGGCTGTTCATGCGTAAACCAAAAGCGACCTGTACTGACTAGCAAGTGCTCAATTTTGTTCTTGCGCAAGTCGCGAATGGACAGATCATTGGTAGACAATATCAGTTCAGCCAAGATGGGATGGATCAAGGTCATCAAGACAAGACCATCCGGCTTATTTTCACGCACTAACCATTTCAGCATACCAGCCAAGTAATTCAGCAAGATGTGCGTGAATCCGGGAGGTAATTTGTGCTGTATACTAATCAATGAACGCACACGCGTTAACATATCTCGATGGCGGTCAATTTTGAACTTGCCCAAGTCATTAATAAATGCACGCGAAAACAAAGCAGGATCATCTCTCAGATAATGCTCCAGTAATTCACGTAATGCGTTTGCAGCACCGCCAAAATCGTCATTCAGTAAATCCACCATACTTAAAAACGAAATGGTGAATGAATGAATGGTGGTAGCTCGTTTTCGACGCGCAATAATCTTGCTGATATCAATGGATTTCTTGTGCGGTGTTGTTGGATTTTCGTCTTCATTCAGTCGTTCTTCTTCTTCCTCTAGAAACAAGGAAGGTAAAAGGGCCAAGGGAATCAAGACCTTCTTGAGTGCTTCGTGTTCTTCTCCATTGTCATCATCGTCCCAGCCGAGTTCTTGAATTTGACGCTTGAGTTCAATAGGAAAATTACTGGCATTTTTTAATTTGGCCATCCAACGTGGTTCATCAAGTGTGAATTGATTACTACCAAGATCAGTAGGTACAAAAGGCGTGGAAAAAGCACCACCGTCACCTCGAAAAGGTCTTCGCCGAGATGAAATAGGAATGTATTCTTGACTGAGCACATTGAAACGAAAAGCTTCAAGTGAAGAATGCTTTTGGATCACAGTCAAACGACGCAAAGGATCGCCACTAGGAAGACAAGTGAGTATTAAAAAAATGCCTATATAAAGACATTACCTATAAAAATCATGGGTGGACACCTCAATCATGGTTTTAGGAATCTTTTCACCGCATTGCATTAATAAAAAGACAGCAGGAATAAACGATTGAGGTAAACGATCATCCATATGTCGCTCCCATAAAGGCTTTACAAGTCTTCCAAATTCATTGGATGATAAAGTCGTAAATACAGCAGCCAAAAGTGAAAACACAGAGCCAAATGGATCTTGGTTGACTTGTTCCATATTTTCAAATCGGTATTTGGCTAGTTTGAGTGCAGGGCCCTCAGGCTCAGTTTCTGGATCATCTGTGATGGAATGAGGTGGGTCTAAATTAAGTGAGAGAGCAGCAGAGCGACTGATAGGATACATGGTCTGAATGGTTTGTTGGCGTTGGTGGCGGGGTACATTGGCTTGTTCAGGGACTTTATAGACAGGCTTGAGCGAAATAGTTTCAAACTGTAATTGTTCGACAACATTTAAATATACACTATGGATGCGTTGAAACATGTATGAAACATCCGATATATGGGCTGCATGCAATGCGGGCATGGCATTTTCGGTCAAGGATAAAGATTCCTCACTCGAATGGATATCTTTCACAGGCTGTGTTGCCCACTCCACCATACGTGCTAACCAACCAGGTCGATGGGTTGTGTTACAAAAGAAACGAATGTCAAAAAAGATGTTGCAGAGTATAATACGCAATGGCATAGGCACCCACCGGGTCTTTTCTTTAGCAGCCAAAAAGACAGCCAGACGACGCTCAAGATCAATCAAGAACTTTTTAGCAATTTCGTCCTCTTCCATATCACGGTGTGGGTCTTGTTGTTTGGCACGTAGGCTTTTGATAGTCCACATAAATTCCATAGCAATCACGCATTGGCCCAAGGTAGTACTTCCCCACTGCGCTTCTTGGGTAGATTGAGGTGAGGAAGATGCACTTGACACATCTCCCTTCTTTTTAGACTGACCAATGTCACTGAGTAGTAATACATTGATCATTTCTGCATCCTGCATCCAGAATTGGACACCCGTAACATAGCGATACAAACAAGTGATGAGTGCTAATATGTGAGTCACTTTATCTTCATCGTTGGAGGCAGCACAAGCAACCACAGGTTTATAGAAATACAGGCGATACTTCTTAGAGAGTGCATGAATCATGGCACAAAAACCTGGCGTGATAGGCGGATAACTATCGACTAGTTTTTCAAATAAAGTAGGCAAAGTCTTTTTGGCTATTTCATCACCCATAACAGGGTCAAGGTGGAGTACCAAGTTTTGATATGCACATGATGTACGATCACTAGTTGTATCTTGATGCATAGATTCTACACCTTCAATCATGAAATCTTTATAGCCTGCATGCCAAAACTCTTCTACAAATGACTTGATGGTTGATATAATTTTGAGGGCAGCTGTATCATTTGTATTGAGCTCTAGATTGCTGTGTATACTTTGTATATCAGAAATAGAAAGCTGATCATTGGCAAAGTCAGGCATGGAAGGACGAGGGCTTAGGTTGGGTGAGGAAAAATGGCTTGGAACCGAAGGCCTTAATGGCTTTTCTTCAAGACTGGTGATGGATAACAATGCCAATAACATATTGACAATATTAAGAGCTATTGTCTTTTGTGATTCATTCGTGTGTCTGTCTACAAGGCACAAATGAAGTGTTGTAGGCGATAGTCTGTTATGCAACAGTGATAATAACATGGAAGCAGTTGACATTTTGTTTTTGAGATCGTCTATGGTCGACACAAAAAAGGCTTCGCATGCCAATTCTGAAATCAAAAACACAATCTTTAAATACGCTGGCTTAGTATCATTCTCTGGTTCAATCCAATATCGCTCAAGCAAGTCTTTGAGTATAAGTCGGTCACGGATTTGTTTTGCGTGAGTGATAGATGTTTTGATATGCGGATTATGTTGAGTGCAGTCATCGACCATGATAGATTTTACTAGACCTTCTATAACACAAAATCTGGCTATAGAGACTGGTACAGTCTGCCCTGAATGATAAGCAGACCATGATTTACCCATAGGAGGAATCAATGTGCCATTGGATAATGAATCGAGAATTTTGAGTATATCAGATTGAATATGAGATTCTTCAGCACTGAGATCGTTAATCGTGTGTTCTTTGATAATATCGTTGTTGTGATATTTTTGCATATCGAGATTAACGAGTGCATTGGTGAGGGTATAGACAATGGAATGGTATGCAGTAGGTGTGGATGGTAAAAACGAAGGGTTTCTTGCGCAGGGTAACAACATGATGCGAAGTGTATCTAAAATGCGCTTCTGTTGTATGGATCAGTTCGAATTCTTCTCTTTAGGCATCCACTTACTTTCAGGTTAAGGTTGCCTAACCCTAATAAACGACACAAGAATTGCAATTGCTCAAAATATTCCTGTATATAATAAGTATCGCTTTGAACTGTATATAGGCGCACTTACTGTTACATCCAGTTGAGTAAATCTATCTCGAATATAATCAAACATATCTAGTGCTTGTTCACAATCAGAGACTATAGGCAAGTTAATACTCAGCTGTCAAATAACGATATCATTTTCGGCTACCTAGCAACGGTGATCTGTCAAAAGGGGTTGCCAAGACAGCCAACAATTCACCTGTCAATGGTAATCGAGTAGCTGATTTATGCTTCTTGATAGACTCAAGAATGGCTGACATAATAAATGAAATCTTGGTGACATCTTGGCGCTTGTTGTTCTCCTCTATACCCGATGCCATAAGCGTAGCTGTTGTTGTAGCAGGTACAAAAGTCGAAAGTGATTCTGCAAAACTAGCATACTGAGACCGAGCATTTAACTGAGCGAGTAGCTTATCAAGATCGCGTTCAAGTCGATAAGTGTCTTGTTGAACACCAGTCAAAGTAGCATAAATCACACCATTTTGATGTCGAGTAGGACGAAAGTTTCGAGTAAACTGGCTCATGCCGGCAGCTTGTGCTGCTACAAGTGCAGTGTTGGCCAAGGTGGGGCGAGATTCAGGATCCAACGTAGCTGATCGCATAAACGGATTCAAGTGTTTGTTTTTGTTGGGTGAAAAATTGTTGCGAGATGAGGATGAACTCGACGATGCCACTGAAGAGACAGTAAACAAGTTGTTTTCGTGCAAGTCGTTTACATTTTCACGAAGCTTCTCCCAGTGAGATAATGGATTCTTTTTGCCTTGACGGGCATGTTGTTTGGCAAAAGAATATGTGCTAGAAGAAGGTTCAGTACGCTCTTCTTCTGCTGACATTAGAGTTGGACTGTTTGTCAGCTATGGAGAAGAACAATAGGTTATCAAAAAATGGAAGAAAGGCGATCCAATAGCGGGAAGTGAATGCGCCTATTTTTTTTGCTTCATATCTCGAACCAAGCCCGATTCAGAAGCACTCCCTTTTTTTTTTGTTCGTTTAATTGCATGCATTGACAGGATAAATTTTATTTATAGTTTAAACACCACCTTTTTTGACATTGAAGAAGCTCTTAATAACAAAGACCTGTAAAGCAGCCATCACAATAATGGAAGCACTTTCCAAAAAGGCAAACCAAAAGATACGGCTTTCAGTGGAAGCAACAGTGGAAGAATTGCGATTTTCTCTGGTACGGAAATACTTTTGTGTACGTTGAATGTTGGTCAGATGACCAGACAATCTAAATATCGATTCTTCCATTTCACTCATAGTGGCTGGTTGTTCTTTGCTGGTTGGGTTTTGGAAGCTAGGACGAACTTCATTTTCAACAAGAATTTCGAAATCTACAAGCTTTTCTGCCCAAGTAGACATGTCATTGGAGAAACAAAAGGCGTATTCACCAAAGTGATTGGCTGTAAAGACATAATCAGCCTGCTTTTCTTGTTCTCCTTTCAAGATAATGTCATTGTCAGGTCCTTCGACAGTATAATCGATATCAAAAGAACCACCTTCTTGAACCTAATAAACAGCATCAGTTTCCAATGCCGTTGCATTTTATCTACTTACTGCAAAATAAAAGCCAACTTTCTTGCCGGGTTTGTCATTCCAAATGTAAAAGCATGCTTTTTCGTTTGCAAGAAGACTATATGTAAGAGCTGTAGCACCCACTTTAGAGGGTAAACTGAATAAGGCTGCAGCAAGGAACAGTAAAAAGGAAAGGCTTAAAGAGTGACCAGACAACATAGGAACGCGTCTTTGATTTATGTAAACGAGAGAGAGAAAAAAGAATGCTGTAACTTTATACACCAGACCATCCATATTTAGAAATTTGACTTTGAATTTTGTTTTTTACCAAAGAACAGACAATAAGGGTAGCCAATCATAGCTTGTCACTCAATCATAGGGAGCCAATATTTACAGTCTAGGAAACAATTGTTATCTTGTCTGTGGGTTCTACTTATACAACTGACTGAGATTAAGTTCTTTGTTACGAAAACACCTTGGTTTAATAAGCAGGGAATTTCACTACCTTAATAGATGTGACATTTTTTATTCAAAATATAATATGGTAGAATAGATATTAAACTTAGTATTGGAGAGGTGATCTAGGTATTTGATGTTGCTGATAAGGCGCTGGAACCCAACCAAGTGAATTTCCTTGCATAATGGGTGAAGAGATGCTATCCGCAAAGACCATGTGTTGTTCAATGGCTTCTTGTTCACGCTTTTGTTTGCGAGAGCGGTAGACCTTGACACCAACTACAGTAGCGGCTGCATACACACAGGCACCTATACCGACACAAATACCAATGATGGCACCCTTAGAGAGGCCTCCATTAGAATCAGAGCCACTTGAACTGGAATTATTTTGACTACTTGTTTCACTGTTAGGATCAGCTACTGTAGAACCAGAACCACCATTTACAGCTATAAAAATGTGAGTTCGGCTTTTCTTAATTGTCATGAACATACCTGCTGCAAGATTAGTAATGTTATAACCTCGATCAATAAATGCAGGAAGTTGGCCATTCTTTTCGCTATATAATTCACTGCTAGAGTTTGAGATTACCGATTGAAGTTCACTGATCTCAGTTTGAGGAACAGCAACGGCGACAACAATACCACTGTTATCACTTTCAGCACGTTTTCTTCGTTTAGCATCGTCGTCTTGTGCGTTTTCTATACTTTGTGTAATTGACAGAACAATAACATCGTCGGGAGTGATACTCAATGCGTTACTAAACAAAGTAGGCAATTCTTGAACAAGTTGAGCAGCCATAAGTGCATTATCTACAAGAGCACTATAAGAGATACTGTTGAATCGAATATGGGTCACTTTGCTTGTATCTATAAATCACTTATGAGTGGAATTGAAACAAAGAATATTAATATTACCTGGAATGATGGCATCAATGTTAGCTGTAATGTATTGAGGCAAAGTGTTATCAGTTGTACTGCTAGCAGACTCAGTGTGGGACGAAGTGGTCACTGCATTTGTGGTAGTCGTTGGAACTTCTGAATTTCCTGGAGTTTTTTGGCCTAAGTTTTTAGAAGCATTGTTATGCTCATTATTGTGTGTTGTGGTTTGACTTTCAGGAGCTGTAGTTGTTGTTGTGGCTGTTGTCTTTGACTCTGTGGAATAAAAGAAAGAGCCAGTTAACCAAGACAACGTTTCGTACTTGTAAGTAGAAGTAGGTGTAAACATGGTTGTAGTAGTAGCAGTGTTTGAGGTAGTAGTGGTAGTAGTAGTGGTAGTGGTAGTGGTAGTGGTAGTAGTAGTTGTTGTCGTGGTAGTTGTAGGAGTTGTAGTGGTCTTTGTCTTCGAGACATCTGCTTCAGTCTTTGACTCGGAAGTTGATTTATGAGTAGCTGAATTAGTATCTGTAGCAGTTCTTGATGCACTATTGTCTTCACCATGTGTTGTAGATGAGGTAGTAGTAGTAGTACCAGCAGGGCTTTCTGTAGAAGATGTTGTAGTAGTTACTGTTAAGCTACTAGTAGTAGTCGTAGTGTCATTAGAGGAGCCTTTTGTTTCTGATGAGGCCTCTGTTGTATTGGACTCAGAAGCTGTAGTACTTGTGCTAGAGTCATATGAGGTAGTAGTGGTGGTAGTTTCTTCATTCGATGAGTGAGCGGAAGATTTATTATAGACGCCTCGATCAGACGTAGAAGTAGAACTGGTACTGGAAGAAGTTGAATCATGCACTGTAGTAGTCGCTTCATTGTCTTCTGAAAGAGAGGAAGTAATTGTGGAACTATGGTTGCCCGCGGTCTTGGTTGGCATAGCGCTAGTAGTAGTAGTAGTAGTAGTAGTAGTAGCAGTAGTAGTAGAATCAGATGTACTAGTTTCTTCTGAAGAATGGGTAAAAGTAGTAGTAGTTGGTTCGCCATCATCAGAAGAAGAGGAAGCTGTCTTGATACCTCGAGCACCTGTGGTTGTCGTAGTACTAGTTTCTCCAGAAGAAGTTGTCTTTGTGTGAGAGTTGGTAACGGTTGTAGTTTCTTCGTTATCTTCTGAGGACGTGGTTGGATGCGATTTGGTACTAAAGGTACTTTCATCATCAGCTGAACTAGTCTTTATGTGAGAGTTTGTTGTACTCCTCTCTGCGGTATCATCAGATGAAGTGGTACTAGTATGAGACTTAGTAGTAGTAGTTGCCTCGCCATCGTCTGAGGAAGTGGTAGTCTTGGCTTCTCTGTCAGAAGTAGTTGTCTTTGTAGCTGTAGTTTCATCAGATGCCTTGGTCTTTTTACCGCCCTTATCTGTAGTAGTGGTAGCTTTGCTATTATCTGTTGACGTTTCGGTAGACGAAGAGCCGGTTGTAGTTACATACTGACTAGTCAAGGTCTTGGTAGACTGCTCCTTGGTAGTACCAGTGGTTTCATCGTCAGTAGATGTAGTCTTGGAACCATGGTCTTTAGTAGTAGTGGTAGCATCCTCATCGTCAGTGGATGTAGTCTTGGAACCATGGTCTTTAGTAGTAGCAGTAGGCTCATCGTTAGTAGATGTAGTCTTGGAACCATGATCATTAGTAGTAGCAGTAGGCTCATCGTTAGTAGATGTAGTCTTGGAACCATGGTCTTTAGTAGTAGCAGTAGGCTCATCGTTAGTAGATGTAGTCTTGGAACCATGGTCTTTAGTAGTAGTGGTAGCATCCTCATCGTCAGTGGATGTAGTCTTGGGACCATGATCATTAGTAGTAGCAGTAGGCTCATCGTTAGTAGATGTAGTCTTGGAACCATGGTCTTTAGTAGTAGTGGTAGCATCCTCATCGTCAGTGGATGTAGTCTTGGGACCATGGTCTTTAGTAGTAGTGGTACCATCCTCATCTGTCGAAGAAGATTTAGTGGAACGGTCTTTAGTACTAGTAGCAGTAGGCTCATCGTTAGTAGATGTAGTCTTGGAACCATGATCTTTAGTAGTAGTGGTAGCATCCTCATCGTCAGTGGATGTAGTCTTGGAACCATGGTCTTTAGTAGTAGTGGTAGCATCCTCATCGTCAGTGGATGTAGTCTTGGAATCATGGTCTTTAGTGCTAGTGGTACCATCCTCATCGTCAGTAGATGTAGTCTTGGAACCATGGTCTTTAGTAGTAGCAGTAGGCTCATCGTTAGTAGATGTAGTCTTGGAACCATGGTCTTTAGTAGTAGTGGTAGCATCCTCATCGTCAGTGGATGTAGTCTTGGGACCATGATCATTAGTAGTAGCAGTAGGCTCATCGTTAGTAGATGTAGTCTTGGAACCATGGTCTTTAGTAGTAGTGGTAGCATCCTCATCGTCAGTGGATGTAGTCTTGGGACCATGGTCTTTAGTAGTAGTGGTAGCATCCTCATCGTCAGTGGATGTAGTCTTGGAACCATGGTCTTTAGTAGTAGTGGTAGCATCCTCATCGTCAGTGGATGTAGTCTTGGAATCATGGTCTTTAGTACTAGTAGTAGTAGGCTCATCGTCAGTGGATGTAGTCTTGGAACCATGATCATTAGTAGTAGTGGTAGCATCCTCATCGTCAGTGGATGTAGTCTTGGGACCATGATCATTAGTAGTAGTGGTACCATCCTCATCTGTCGAAGAAGATTTAGTGGAACGGTCTTTAGTACTAGTAGCAGTAGGCTCATCGTTAGTAGATGTAGTCTTGGAACCATGATCTTTAGTAGTAGTGGTAGCATCCTCATCGTCAGTGGATGTAGTCTTGGAACCATGGTCTTTAGTAGTAGTGGTAGCATCCTCATCGTCAGTGGATGTAGTCTTGGAATCATGGTCTTTAGTGCTAGTGGTACCATCCTCATCGTCAGTAGATGTAGTCTTGGAACCATGGTCTTTAGTACTAGTAGTAGTAGGCTCATCGTCAGTAGATGTAGTCTTGGAATTATGGTCTTTAGTGCTAGTGGTACCACCCTCATCTGTCGAAGAAGATTTAGTGGAATGATCTTTAGTGCTAGTAGTAGTAGGCTCGTCTTTAGTAGATGTAGTCTTGGAATCATGGTCTTTAGTGCTAGTAGTAGTAGGTTCGTCTTCCGAGGTGCTAGTCTTGGCAGATCGATCTTTGGTGGTAGTGGATACATCATCAGTAGATGTTTTCTTTGCAGATTTTTCTTTTGTGGTAGTTGTTACATCTTCATCAGTTGTAGTGGCCTTGGTAGTATGCTCTTTAGTGGCAGTGGTAGAATCATCTTGTGTTGTAATTGTTTTTTTTCCAACGCCAATAGAGATACCTAAACCATCAGAATCATCTATTCTAGTTGTATGATGACTTGAGGTAGTGGCTTTGCTAGTATGCTCTTTGGTGGTAGAAGTAGTAGGGTCCTCTTCTGACGCAGTAGTCTTAGTACTATGATCCTTGGTAGTAGAAGTAGAGGTAGCCTTGATGGAGTGATCTTTAGTAGTGGTAGTAGGCTCATCTTTATCATTAGTCTTAGTATTATGATCCTTGGTGGTAGTGTTGGTAGACTTTTTATGACTCTTCTTTGTGGCAGAAGTATGATAATGATCTGATGTACTCGAAGAATGATCGTCGGTGCTTGAAGATGAGTGAGCGGTTCCTGCATAAGCAATTAAAAAGGTTAGTCCAAATAAAAAATTCTAATTTATTTATGTAGTATAACCTACCTGATGTGGATCCTTTTGTACTATCATCAGTTTCTGACTTGGTTGTGTGCTTGTGTGCTGTGGTACTTTCAGTTGTCTTTGAATGCTCAGTAGTCGTGCTACTTGTCTTTGATTTGGTAGATCTTTCTTCTATTGTATTTTAAAATGAGTTAGCTTCGTGGTCCCTTTTTTCCAAATTAATACCTGTGGTACTACTCTTCGAATGCGTAGAATGATGCTTTTCGATAGTAGTTGTAGTGGATCTAGACTTCGAGGTTGTAGGCTTCTCTTTACTGCTACTATGAACGGTCTTTTTAGTTTCCGATGATACGGGAGTCGTTACACTAGACTTTGATTCATGCTTTGTCGACGTAGTAGGCTCTTCCTTTGTAGTGTGCTTACTAGTCTTGTCCTTGGTAGTAGTAGTAGTCGTCTTTTCGGTTGTATGTTTCGTTGTTGTAGGCTTCTCTTTTGTAGTTGTGGTATGAGAAGACTTTTCTTTGGTAGTATGATGGGTTGTCGTGGGCTTTTCCTTTGTGGTAGTGGTGGTAGCTTTGTGTTTAGTGGACGAAGACTTTTTTGTTGTGGTTGTTGTTTTCGAGGACGGTTTTGTAGTTGACTTTTCCTTGGTGGTGGTAGTCTTTTTCTTGGTACTAGTCTTTTCTTTCGTATTAGTTGACTTTTCCTTGGTAGTAGTTGACTTTTCCTTAGTAGTAGTTGACTTTTCCTTAGTAGTAGCTGACTTTTCCTTAGTAGTAATTGACTTTTCCTTAGTAGTAGTCGACTTTTCCTTAGTAGTAGTCGACTTTTCCTTGTTGGTGGAAGAGTTCTCTTTAGATGATTTGGATTTGTCACTATCTTCATCCTCTTTGTCGTCGTTCTTGTCCTCGTCGTCAGCTCGTTTTTTTATCGTATGCGTAGGTTGTGGAAAGGGAATTGGTTGAGTTATTGTTGCTGGCACAGGAGTCTGAATCTGCTCAAATAAAGATTGAGTTTTAAAGGTCAATAGAAGTTTATTATTTACATTATTACATAACACAAATATTTACATTTAGAATTTCATCTTTATCAATGGCATCAACCATGCTCAAAAATAGCAGTGCATAGAAGCATACTGCAATAATAAATACATTGCACCTGCCCATTTACATTCGCTTTTAACGGTAAGGAAAGGAAGTGGTAGATAATGAAAGGAAAGAGTGAAGAAAAAAAAAGAGAAAAAATGAGAGAGAAAAGGAAAGGGGCGAGAATATATGGGACAATTAAAAGCTCATTAATGATTATTTATATTTTCTTACACATTGACAGGTACAAAATAATTATTTAATCGAGTTGTGTTACCACGACTCTAGAAATTTTTCTTTTTTCTTTTTTTTTTAAACTTTTTTCTTTTTGATATAAATGAAGAGAAAGGATGATCATTGAAATTGAGGAAAACATGTAACATGGGACAATAGACAAGATTTACATATTCTCCTGGTTGTAATTTCAGACTGATATTGTTTGTTAATTTACTCTGAGTTTTTAGAATTGGAAAACAAGACCTCGTTCTTGGTGCGTCTCTTCTTCTATTTTTATACTACCTACACGTCTATAGAACATGATGAGCTTGATTAAGAATGCACAAAAGACTTTCCTTTTTCTTTCTGTGACCGTGGCACTATACAAAGTTACACTGTCATTCTATCTAGCCCTGCCTGCGCGCTCTTTTTTTTTTTCTTTGGTACAAGAATAATGAAATTCTATACTGTGTGGAATTGCTTCCTCCTTTTTTTTGTTACTTTCTAGTAATGGAATTGAATATCAATACAGTGCTTATAGGAAATTCGGATATGGTCAAATCAGGCTTATTGATTGGCTTCGTATGAGTTCTAAAAGAATATATTGTCTTGACAATAAAGAATAGTATTAAAGTATATGTATAATTAGGATACAGTGATAGGCACCCATGAATCAAAAAAAGAGTAAGCATAGGTTCTAGAATACTGCTTATAAAATATTAGAGGGAAAGAAGGGGATTCGTTTCAAGATACAGCGTTTAGGAACTTCATGAGCTCCGGGTCAATCCAGTGTATACAAGCAATAATTGGTAATAAGTCTGATCTAGAATCCCAAAAACAGCAGTAACACAACAAGAAGCAACAGCATTTTGTAGAATAATACGGCATATAACCTGTTAGTATTGCCTACTTTAAGTAACGTATTAGATAGCAAACTCCTTGCATGAGCATCTCCTATTTGTTTATTTTGCAGAATTCTATAAAATTGCATTGTGTTCTAGTTACCATAAACGAACGAAACTCATCAATTATCATGAGTGTTTTGTTATATATTGAAATGGGTATCTCATTGTCCAAAACACGCCCATATCTTTGTCCTGTAGACGCGTGTGTCAATAACTGAAATGCAAGATGATCAGCAAAATAGCCAAACTTGGATAAACGATATTTTCGATGCTCAATTTGATTGTCTGTTGAATTGGGAGATAAATTGTCTTTGTATAAACCCAATAAAGTACGTAATGGAAGCATGGTTTCTGAATATCCCACAAGCACATTAAACTTCACCGCAGATAGTGTGCTGTTCATTATGGCATCGATATGATCTAGTAGGTGTTTCGCTAAATCATATGTCATATTTTGGTTAAGATGAGGAAATCCATCCGAGTATTTATAATAGTGCTTTAAATCGTTGATATACTCTAATTTCAGTATTTCATGTTTCGTAAACAGTTTTCAGAATGTGTTTACGCGTTGATGAACAGGCAGTGAAATAATCAAGTACATCGTCTATCGTGATATCTAAATGAAGGGCATGACTCAGACGATGGGCAATGGGCCTGACATACTGATTTATGATCGGAGCAGTCCAATGCGATGTCAATGGCTTGGCCTCTTTTCGCCACCTTGGACAATCCTTATGTGGCGAGACGATTGAATCATTCTCCTTACTAAAGATAGGTACAGGAAGCACGCGAGCTGGCTCTCAGAATCCTAATCCTTCAAAAGTACCTAAACAAAAGGCTTGGGCTAACTGTAACGCACGGCTTAACAGAGAGGTAGAAACTTGTATCACTGATAAATTTAGTGCCTTCATGAATTCTGGATACTGGCGAGTCCTGTGTATGTCCAGTTGGCCTGTGCGATGTGGCAAATAGTCGTTTTGGTAAGTATCTATCCAGCCAATCAAATCTCTGTTGGTACTTGTGTTGAGTTTTTCGGAATACATGCCACTTTGAATTGAGTACCGTGTACCGCGACGAATGACGATCTGTACTTGTTCAAGTTGATAGCCCTTTATGGGCGTATGAGATGAAAAATAAGGATGATTTTCATTTGACTCAGTATGGCCTATCATCCACTTTGAAATGATTTCAGACGGATTGTTAGTATGAATCAAGTATTTAACTTGTAGAACAGTCTTCAATACAGAGGTAAGCAAAGACTTTATTTTTGTTATCATTGAGAAAAGAAAAAGAAAGAAAATAGGTCTGTGTGACATTTTATGCATTTTTTCTTTCTGAGCCAGAAGATCGTATTCTTTTAGCAAATTCGGCAATATCTTGCGAGACAAGATGAGGAACTTCAAGACTAGCAAAATGACCACCCTATTGCAATGTCAATGTAAACAAAAATTTCTTAACTTATTTACCTCATTATGAGTCTTGTGTTGAACAAGGTTTGTGTTTGCTTCGATCCAATCACGAGGAATCTAGGTCATATTATTAGCCATGTCTTAATGCGCTTATGGCTTACCTTCATAAGTTCACCAGCAAAATAAGTGGTACCAAAAGGCACATGCACTTTACTTCCCATAATATTCGACATGTTCTTCTTGGCTTCATAATATAAGCGAATGGAAGAAGACATAGAATTGGTAATCCAATAAATACTGACTTGAGTCAAGAACTCGTTTGATGAGACTGTGTGAGGAAGAGCCTGTGTTTCATAGGCTTCCTTAGAATCGAAATGTGTCCAATTGTGATATTTCTCCAACATCCAACCTAATAAACCCACAGGGCTATCCGTCAATCCATAAGCAAGTGTATATGGACGTGTGGATTGAATAGCACGGTAACCAGCCTCCATGTCTTTATCCACATTGGCAAAGGATGTACTCTCCAAACTCTTAAAGTATTCACCATAAACACGAGTCATACCAACCAAGATGGCGAAAATAAAAGTAAAGACCTTAAAGGGATGATTGATCAAATTGGTCAAGGTAGGTAAAGGAGGACCCACAGTTGGCATGCTTGTTAAGAATCCCATACAATGTTGAGGGAATTGCTGCGCCATAGAATAGCCGATAATAGCTCCCCAGTCTGTACCAAAGATCACTTTTTTTTAAGATTAGCTTAGTGGCTCATTTTGTTAGATTAAATCACTTACTATATTTATCATAGCCGAGTGTCAGCATGAGCTCATGCATAGTACGTGCCATTTCCATAACACCACAGCCTTCTTTTTGAGGTGCCTCGGAGAATCCATAACCAGGTAAGCTAGGTACAACCACATGAAATGCCTATATTTGTCAGTCAAAGTAATTGATACAAAGCTATATTACTTGAGAATTGACACTTCCATCACGTAAAGGCTCAATCACCTTATGAAATTCATAAAAAGTAGATGGCCAACCATGCAATAAAACAATAGGTGTTGCATTTTCAGCAGTAGTAGGTTCATGAACAAAATGGATCTTCAAGTCATGGATACGCGTATGGTAATGATGCCAGCGACTCATTTCTTGCTTTGATGTTTCCCAGTCAAACTGCTTCCATTTTTCTAACATTTCCTTTACTGCCCAAGAAGGCGCACCTAATTTCCAACCGATTGATTCTTGGTCTTGATCAAGTTCTTGAGGAAATCGAACATGAGACAGTTTTTGAGAAAGTTCTTGAGTATCGAGTGAGGGAATAGTAAAAGGTTCAACCATGTTTGTTAAAGAAATAAAAAAGAAGAAAATAAAAAAGAAGACGTCTTTTATTCATAACTCGGTTGTGTAACTTGATAAATCACTACGCATAATGAATTCTGTCACTCCGAAGCAAAGAACAGCATTACGGCAATCTTGTCCGTGAAACATTTTGTCAACATCAAATACTTGCACGCAAGTACCTTTTTAAGACAAGAATTACGGCGATCTCACCCGCAAACCATCTTACCAAGGTCAAACAAAAACGAACATTACGGCAATTCTGCTCGTGAATCATTTTGTGAAGGTTAGATACTTGAATGTAGGCGTCTTTTAAAAGTGAGTCGATTGTTTCTTTTGGCTTACACGATGTTGTCTGGTAAGGACCAAGTTTTATTATAAATAAATAGAAGTTTATGGTTTATATGTGCCATGTATTTTGTCTGATCGATATCTGGTAAGCATAATGTTCTCAAGACAATACTTTTTTGTGACTTGGCCACGATAGCCTCCTTTTCTTAAAAGAGATTCAATGGCCTCTTCTTTTGTCCAGCCTTGTTCTCCCATGACTTCAGGCAAGTAAGTAGCTGTCTCTTTTCTTCCGTCTTGATAAAATTCGATCCAAATACCATGAACACCTATTTCCCAATCAAGATAGTCTTTGGCTACTTCAAAATTCACCAAGAGAGAGACAGCACATTCTAAATGAGGTACTTCGGATAATGTGATTGGCGGGAAACGGTGATCCTGCAAAGCACTAGACAGTTATCAGTCATAGCTATAAGATGTCATTATACCTTATCAAAGCGTATCTTGCAAGTCCCTCGTGTAAAGACATGGGCTGAAAGTTACCAATGCAGCCTCGGAGTGTTGACCCATTTCTTGTTTTTTTGTGCCAAGTAACAAATAAGGGACTAATGAATGAATAATCATCACAAGTCAACACCACTTACTATCCATCATTAGTGAAAGTAGGTTCTGGCTTTGGTTCTTTCTTAAGGTAAGCCACTAGCACCTGAAAGCAAAAGTCGACGTGTTCTTTTGATACAGTCATCGAAGAAAGAATGAAAAGAGAAAAGAAAAGTAACTGCGGACATTTAAATTAGCATAATTTATTTATTTATTTTTTATTCCCAATCACTATCACTTTCTTGCTCTTCATTCTGCTTCTTTTCGGCCTTGACCCAATCATCATCTGCAGGATGAGCAACTGGAGGTGAAGTAGCATTTGAAGAAATATGACTGAAATCGTCTGTATCCTCTGAGCTTCTTTGTTTTTGTTTAACAGTTGCATTATCATCTTCATCAGAATCCCACTTGAAATCAGCTTCATCATCTTCGTTGGATTGAACAATAATTTGACGCTTTTGTTCATCTTGCTCAATCTTCCATGCATGATAGAAATAACGCTGCCAAAATAATGGATAGCTGACTTGAACAGGCACTAATTTGTCCATCATGTCTCTTAGATTAGGATATTCTTCTAATAATTGAGCAATCTCGTCTGTGTATTCCTTAATATCAAAGCTTGCATTGAACGTCTCGAGCACTTTTGTGTCTTTTGTGTCTGGTTCTTTTAAATAAGTGTCAGGGTTGTTTTGCATTTTAGCTATCAGAGCATCTTTGCGGGTAGCACTAATCATGAGTGAATATACATGAATGAGCAGAGTATGACTTACTAGACACGAGCAGCAGGTGTGCTTGATTCTGCTTGTTCAGGTTGCTCAGGTTCCAATACAGTCACGGTCTGTTTGAGGGCGGTGATCACATCCGTACCAAACTTTTGAAGATATTGCTCAGCTGAGCGTGTACCGTTTGTGAGGCCTTCTTTAAGCTGAGTAAGGTCCATGTTCTCTGGTAGATGAACTGATTTAATTTGATTAGGTAAAGTCTGGTTGAGTGTTTGAGTAAGGCCTTCTCTCAGACTTGTCAAGTTGACTGTGTTAATCTTGGCCAGGTTATCACGTATGGCTGAAAGTGCACCATGTTCTTCTTCATCTACTCCTCTTGTCTGCTCTTGTTCTTCTTCTTCAGCGTCTTCTGTTAACACTTGAGCAAACTCTTGAAGATCCTTTTTGGTTCCTTCAACAAAAGCTTCACTCTATTCTATGTTTAACTAAAGTTTTATTTTGGCTACTCCTTGCCTGTTTCTTCACAGTATCCACTAGGTTAGTCCATTTTTTACCCCAGCCAAAATTATTAAATGTTTTGATAATCACATCATCTTCTTCTGCTACTACAGGTTTATTGTCCACTGCCGAAGCAGCATATTGATACATATCATCCATTGTTGTTTTTTTTTTTTTTTTTGGTTAGGAAAGAGAAAAAAAAAAAGAGGGAGTTTGAAAAATGTAAGGAAACATTATTTTTTTTTCTCTCTTTTATTGAGATGCATAATCATCTAAACTATAATATTCTGGATATTTTTTTATCAGTTCTTCCAGTTCTTTTTGTTGTTGAATCAAGTTAGGTGTTAATTCGTCATAGACATCAGTAAAGAGTTGCTTTACATTAGGCTTCTTTTTCTTTTCGGCTGCTGTAAAGCTAGTTAAGATATCTTTCTTGACTTGTTTACGATAAGCTTCTTCTTCTTCTTGAGTCCACCAGTCCTTGAGTTCCATATAACGTCTCAGACGAGTCATAGGGTTATCAAATTGAGCTCTTTCTTCTACTTCTTTTCTATCACGGTATTTTGTAGAATCGTCTGAAGTACTATGGTGACCAATACGGTATGTCATGGCCTCAATCAAGATAGGCTTTTGTTCCTTAATAGCCATTTCTCGGGCAGCTTTGGTGGCATTGTAAATAGCCCAGATATCATTACCATCTACACGAATGGTATCAATGCCATAACCAATACCACGGCTAGCAATACCGTCTCCTTTGTATTGTTCAGAAGATGGTGTAGAGATAGCAAAACCATTGTTACGACTGTATCATATGTAAGCATAACTTGTTTGTATGATCAAACTTACCAGAAAAAAACAACAGGACTCTTCAAGGTAGCAGCCATGTTAAGACCAGCATGGAAATCACCTTCAGAAGCAGCACCTTCACCAAAGAAACAAAGTGTACAAGCATCAGCACCCGACATTTTTAATGCATAAGCAGCACCAGCAGCTTGTGGGATTTGTGTACCCAAGGGAGAAGAAATGGTTTGGAAATTAAGTCGCTTTGATCCATAGTGCACAGGCATCTGTCTACCTTTACCATAATCTAACTCGTTAGAGAAACATTGGTTGACAAACTCGTCAATGGTAAATCCACGATAAACTAACATAAAGGCTTCACGGTATTGTCCAAATACCACATCTTGAGGTGACAAGGCAGCAGCACTGCCAATCATGGCTTCTTCACCATAATGAGTCATATAGAAACTAATACGGCCTTGACGCTGAGCATCGTACAAGATGCCGTCCATCGTATGTAACAGTATCATGTCTTTGTAACACTTGATAACTTTGTCTTTTGATAAGAGAGGGTCATGATCTGGATTTAAAACAGTGCCTGTGTGATCCATGACGCGATAAGCTTGAAGTGTCTGCTGCTTCTGAATAAACTTGAGATTGTTGGTAAATTGGTCAATAGAAGACCATGGTGCTGTAGCAGCTGAATTAGCAGTGGTTGTCACAGTGTTGGTATTGGGTTCAATGACTGTGGTGGCTGCAATATTGCCCAACTAAACATACATGAGCATACATATGTAAACATTTTCTCCGCCTTACTTTAGAAGAAGCAGCAACAAATCTCTTTTGTTGACAAATAAGAGTACGCTTCAAGACGTGTCTTCCTGATTGAAGCATTTAGGGTAAAGAAAAGAAAAAAGAAGCGAGAACATAAACAAAGAAAAAAAGAAGCATTTAAAGGTATCCATTTTACCGTGTGAAAATATGAGCCAGTTTCCTTCTTGAGTTACTTTCGTGGGAAAATCTTTCTTTGACACATTTAAAAAATGCAATTGTTGAATTCTTAGTGATAGTAAAAAAGACAAGAAGCTCTAAGGCTAGATAGAATATTATAACGAATAAAGCATTATTGATTAGAAATAATTCTAAAGTGTTTCATTCTAGTATTTGAAAAACAATCTTGTTATGTGTATCCTTTTGTTATTTTATCAGAGCTCATAGGAATAAAAAGAAAAAGATTGTTTGCTTAAAGAAAAGATAAGTATCTTTTTATTGTAATTATCACTCGGGAGATAGATAACATTTTGCTAAATTCGTTTGACCGTGCAGTGCTACCAGTGCCAATTAGCGGGTCTCAAAAAGCAACTAACAGACATGACTATATCGAAAATATAATTTATTGTATCTCTCTGACTTCACTCTAGAGTGATTGTATATTTGATTTACATAGACTGAGCTTTTTTATGATTAGCACATCTAAAGCTGTTTTCTTCAAGTGCTATAGTATGATATACTCGACTAGAGTGCCAATAAAATATTCCAAAAATAGGGGTTACTTTGCTATTCAATATTGGTTGAAAAGAGCTAATTGTAGTTTTTTTTTTCCCTAAAATCATTTTTTTAATCTCAGATACTGCAAGATTGATTTATTGCGTTAAATTAAAACTTTTTTCTTTGTTATTATGCGAACTGGAAAATCAATAGACGATACTCGACCAGCTAAACGCTTCAAGTCAGAAGACATAAAACTAGAAATTACTCAAACTGGATTTGACTCTACTGATGTGAAAGATGTGGTTTTGAGAGAAGAAGATAGTGTGGTTATCAAGCAAGAACCAGAAGAAAAACTTGACTTTTCACCATACAATATAGAAGGTAAAGCCGCTATAAAACAAGAGCAAAGCAATAATCTCTTTTAGAACCATATTCAACCGAAAACCAGAAAAGCTACTGTCAAAGATGCAATCAATCATTTGAAACAAGTGCTATTTGCCAAGAACATATCAAGACAGCACACAGCCAAGGAACAACACAGACAACGCCAAATGAAAGTGTATCTTCTGATGCGCCACTTGGTCTCAGTAAACCTACTTATTACTGCGATGCATGTAATCTGTCCTACAAGACAAAGACACACTATTCAAGACATCTTGCTAAAAAGCATTCTACAAATACAGAGCAAGGCAATACCGACCTTCAGTCTGATATCAGCAATCCTGACCTTTACTGTCAATTATGTGAAAGAATGTTTTCGTCCAAGTCAAATCTTAGCACTCATCTTAGAAAGAGACACAACATAGACAGAAGATCACGTACTTTTTCCAACCCAAATATTCAGCCGGACCCTAATGACCCCAATTACTACTGTAAATCATGCGAAAGAAGCTATTCAAACAAGATCAGTTTCCAAAACCATCTTAAACACTTGCATGATATTAAATTCTCGCAAAAACCCATTATTGTCAATCCAAACATTCAACCATATCCCATTGACCCCATTTACTACTGCAAATTATGTGAAGAAACATTCGCATGCAAGGAGACCTTTAAGTGTCACCTCAAAAACGTACATAGTATGGCGCCAATTCCAAGTCGTATCACTGCTGGTCCTAACATTCAGCCGGATCCTAATGATCCCAATCACTACTGCAGGTCATGTCAAAGAACTTATTCATCCAAGTCAAATTTCAATGCTCATCTTAGAACTCTACACAGCATGACTATAAGATCACGCAATATTATCAACTGAAATATTCAGTCTGATCTTAAGGATCTCGGCTATTATTGTCAAACATGCAAAATGTTTTATAAATTCAAAACAGGGTTCAAATATCATTGTAAAGTAGAATACCGTAGAAAGACTATGTCAAGATGTGCCCAATTCCAGCTCAGACATTCATCCTGATCTTGATGGTTAGAACGATAACTGCAATCGATGTGAAAAAATATATGGAAACAGGAACAGTTTTGATGATTATTCCAAAAAAAAATAGATGACATAAAGTTGGCATCAAAGAGTTCCATTGTCAAACCCAATATTCATCCTGATCCTATTGGTTCTAATTTTTAACGCCTAGCATACAAAAAAACTTTCCCTTAAGCCATTTTTCAAATTCCATCTTTCAAATGCCATCTTATTAAAATTCATCGCATATATACAAAAAAGATATTTGAAGCATTCGGCCTGACCCGAATGATCCTAACAACTACTGCAAATCATGTGAAAAAACCTATTTACGCATACCAAGCTACGATGCTTATCTTAAAACAAAACACGGCATAGAAGTGAACTCAATGATTCCATTTGATCGCTAAAATTCCTAAAACTGTAGTTGCTTGTCTTAAAAACGCCTTAAAATAACCTCCAGTTAATAAAAGCACCTAACTTACATGCTAAATTTGTCAAAGACTTTGATGCTTTGAGCTGATTTCTTATGTCCGAATAGCAAAATTACTAATGTTTCTGTGTATGATTGAATTTTATTCTATGTGCAGCTTTTATAAGTGCACTTACCTCTAGTCTTTTTTGACTCTGTGCATCTTTAATAACATCAAGGTATTATGCAAGCACCCGAAATGGCCATATAGCGGATATTGAACACTGAAAAATCTATCTTTCAATTCTTGAACAGCCACATCAAAAATCGACCTTTTGCTAAAAACTGCTTGAAGACGTAGTTATTCGGCTTTAGTGTATTAATAAAAGCTGTAGGTTGTTACTTTAAAAGTCTATTGATGTAAAGAATACAGAAAGTCTAGTGATAGACTACTGAGAAAATAGGCAAACATATTCTAGAGGTTTTTCGCTCATAGTATACCATTCTCATAGTACAATTGACAAGCAAACATTTTGCTAAAAAGCTAAAGCGTCTGGTGCTCATTTTGAGAATTTAAGTTCATTTTTAGCCTTATTTTTCATCTTGTAGCATCCAAAAGAAAATCAAAAGTTGCCGAATGACCTATTTTCCTGAGTAGTACCCTTGGGTTCTAGGAGATTTTAGGTCAAATTTTACAAGTCGCTTTTTCTGGTCCATCTCAACTCCAAAGGTACCATGGATGTCGATAACACTGTTTTAGGCATTCAGCAAGCTCTACTATGCCGAAACATACTCTATACCCCACCTCTTTATATGATTATGTAACCCTGTGTAATTGTTTGTTCTTTTAATGGAACATTGGTCAAATTAATGCATCAATAGAATTCATACATCTTATTTTATAGAAAAAAATATGCTTATCTCAAGCTGTACGAGCCCAATAGCACCTTGCCACTAAGAGCGACTGAAATAAACTTTCTTTTCTTTTTTTCTATAAAATGCTTGCAGTTACGACTCTCTTAAAATCAATATGCTGATGTGAAATGATTGCTATTTGAAGCAAAGAGTGTGTCGTTTTTTTTTTTGATTTTCAATAAATATTGGTTTGATCTCAGCAACTTGGCTTCTTGAGCTCATGACGCTTCTTTTTGAACATCGTCTTTCTTAAGTTTTCAAATGGCCAGCTCTTCATCTTCTTTACCTACAACACAGAAATGCATTTTTTTTCTCTTAAATTTTTTAGACCTAGAAGACCCTGCTACAGTGAGGGCAGTTCTCATACTGAAAAAACATATCAGTAGCACCTTAAAGTGGTCCTTGTTATTTTCTATACATCCATTGTGCATTTGTCATAAGTTTCGTTGATAACCGCTTTTAATGACGAATCCTTAAGGATGACGATTGTCAGAGCAAGTCTCCACGCAGCCTAAAATTTGATTGGAAGCGCTGATCTGAGGCAATATTCTATCAATTGATTTGAGCATGGAGGGCTTTGTAGTATGTGACGGGATTGCTCAGAGGAGAATCATCTCGAGACAACAAGAGTTGGTTATGGAAGGAATCCCACAAACAGTTGAATTGTCGGTGCATATAAATTCAGCGATTTAGGTTTTGTTTATTGAATAAACACAGGATCTGAAGTACATTTGACAGATGACAACTGCATTGAAAAAGCATTGAATTGGGTTTTATGATTGATACAACTCCGTTAAGTGAATTTTTACTCAATCATACTATACGCCCTGTGATAAAAATGATGAAAGTAGAAGAAACTGTCTCTCGTTCAATAAAGCACTTGCAGGTTTAATATTAAAGCATCTGTTAGCTTAACATGTCTAATTTAAAAAGAATTTATTAATATTTGGTGGTGCCATCATGAACTTCAATGACAGCTTGGTATCTGTCTTTCATGCTGGACACCAAACGTTCAGCAAGATCAAGGCTGATCGTCTTCCATTCATCAACAAGCACTACCTTCAGTTCGGCAGTGTTGTTGATGCCAGCCCTTCTGCTTTCTAGCTGCTTCTCGAGAGCCTACCACAAGTGCTTGATAGGGTTCAAATCAGGATTTTGAGCTGGCCAGTACTCAAGGCCCTTCATATGATGGGCCTCCTTTCAATGTCTTGACTTGGCACCTGTATGGCAGGCAGCGTCATCTTCTTGAAGTGGAAACAGCTTGTCATACTTGGCCATCAATTACAAGTACCAGGGCTGAAACTCCTCTGCCAAAGTCTCAATGTATTTGTCTTGGTCGATAGGGCCAACACCACTAAACCAAAAATAACCCCAAATCATCACACTACCCTTACCTCATTTGGTAGTAGGGATAATATTGGTATCCTTATACCTCTCACCAATCTTTCTAAGCAATCAGATGCCACATCATTGCCTTTTACAGAGTAGCGAGATTCATCCGACTAAATCACGCTTCTCCACTGGTCTTCAGTCCAATTGACGTGATCCTTAGTCCATTGCAGGCGAGTCTTCTTATTCTTCTCACTTAAAGCTGGCTTCTGAGCAGTGTAGTAAGAATGGAAACCCGTCTGGTCCAAATAATGAATAACAGTTGGGCGATTAACCTCGACTTCTTGAGTCTTTTCATTTTTAACTCGTCAACGGTGAGGAATGGATCCTTCAAGATTGTCAACTTCAAAAGAGCAAAACCCTTAGTTATTTTGGACTTTGGACCTGGTGCTGCTCCCGGCAAAGATGAACCAGTTTTCTTGATTTATTAGCGAAGTTGCTAAAAGTGGACGCGTTTAGTTTGAGGTTTTTCTCAACTGACGTACCTGTGTTTTTTGTGTAGCAACTGTAGTTTCTGTCTTTTGTTTGCTCTCTTAATCTTACGACAAAGTAAAGCTTTTTTTTGTTTTAATTTATGTCGCTCTCCATTTGAGTTAGCCAATGCAAGTTAGCATTTTAGTCCGCTTGGATCATTTCAAAGAGCTTTTATGTTGAACTTTAAGCCTTGTTTCACTAATGAAATCTTATAATAACATTTTTCAAAGCGACACAATAACCTCTCAAAGTGGACTCTTTTTTTTTATTGTCTTCATCTATTTTCAAACAAGTGTCACTGTAAATAAATAATTGAGTATATTAGTTTTTGTGATAATTGGATTCAACAAAAGGCATTTTGGTAACAACAGCATTTTGGACTTTGTTTCTCACTTTGACACTGAGTTCAGTGCCCTTTTTGTGCGAGCCGTTTTTGACATAGGCGATAGCAATGTTCTTCTTCAAAACAGGAGAAGGACAACCTGATGTCACAGCACCAATCGCTTGTCCTTCCTTGTTCAAGACTTCAGCACCTTGACGAGCAGGAGCGCCTTCGATAATAAGACCTACACGACGACGAGAGACGCCCCCCTTGATTTGAGGTAAGATGTGTTCAGCACCCAAGAAACCACCGGTCTCACGACGAGATTTAGCTATGGATCGAATTAAACAACATACGCTAAATACAATGACTTACGAATAGTCCATGTTAAACCAGCTTCAACAGGTGTAGTAGTATCATCAATATCATTACCGTAGAGACAAAGACCAGCTTCAAGACGGAGAGAATCACGGGCACCAAGACCTGCTAACTCAACATCAGGATGAGCCAATAATTTCTCTGTCACATGGATAATTTCTTCGGTAGGCACGGAAAGCTAAGACACATAGCTATAAGTTATGCTCTCACCTTGTTGTATTCTCCACTTACCTCAAAACCGTCTTCACCAGTGTATCCGGAACGAGCTACATGACAAGGTGTACCAGCAACATCCATATGTCTGCCATGCATGAAGCTGAAATCATTCAAGCTTTTACCAACCAAACCTTCAAGAGCAGCAGCAGCTTTAGGACCTTGGATAGCAATCAATGAATGATCTGTAATGACATTGAAATCAACATCTCCACCCTTGTTTTGGAATTCAGTAAGATGTTTGCGAATATGAGCCAAATCCTTATCAGCACAGCCAGCATTTGAGACAACATACAGGCTGTCTTGTTGTTGCATAATAATAGTATCATCAATGATACCACCTTGTTCATTCGTAAAAACAGATAAAGTACCTTGTCCCACAGGTAAGTTTTCTAAATCAGCCACAACCAAGGTCTCAAAGAACTTCTTACGGTCTTTACCAGTAAGGCTAAGGATAGAGGTCAACAATCCCATTTTCTTTTTCTTTTACTATGACTTACCGTGTTTGAAGCATATGAGAGACATCAAAGATAGAAGCTTTTTCACGGGTATGAAGATGAGAAGCCAGCATACCCATATTACTGTATTGTACAGGCATAGAGTAGCCAGCAAATGGAACCATCTTACCACCATGGTTGATATGGAAATCATATAAAGCAGTCTTTTTGATAGGCTATAAAGAAAATCATCAACATGATTTTTCCCAGGCTTTAAATAAAGCGGCGATTCTATTCTCGTACCTCATTGGTGGCAGCGTAAAAACGCTTTGTGATAATGTTGATCAAAGAGGAACGAGGTGCCTTGGTAAGAAGCATGATAAGTTGAAAGAGAGGAAAAAAAGTGAGTAAAAAAAAGAAGAAAAAGAAACGAAAAAAAGAAGATAAAATATATATATATATTTTTCATAGCCATCTATTTTTTTTTTAAACAAGTTTTTATAGGTTATCTAATTGACTCGGTGGAAAAGAAGTACATAACGGTTTGGGACTGCCATATTGTCATACTATTTTATTTTTATTTTTTTGCATAGATTTACATATTCATACATTTTTTCAAGTCAGATAGCTTTTGATTCAATGTATATCGATCACTTTCACTTTGAGCATACTTTAATTTCATTTCAATCACTAGGGACTCAAGATCAGCCAATTGATCTTGCAATTGAGCATTTTTCTGATTCAGGGTTTGATTCTTTAAGCAGAGTTTTTCCATATCTGATTGAACTTGATCTTCAATTTGACTCGGTAGGACTTGAATGACTTTACGAAGTTCAATTGTCTTTTGCTTGAGTGCGTCATTTTCATCATAAATGCGCGCTAATTCTTGCTTTTTCTGAACCAATTGTTCTGCGACCCGCGCATGTTCTTCTTTGACCTGTTTATTTTCATTTTCGAGTGACTTGAATTGTTCTGATAACAAGCGGTTCTTTTTCCGCAATGATTCAATCACACTGGCTTCTGTGTCTGCCTTGATGGTTTCGATTTGATGCTCTTTGGCCAGTCGATCTAGTCTCTTTTTAGAGATTTGTATTTGAAATGATTCACTTAGTAAATCCGTGATATTGTCCTAGAAAGAAAGTTAGTTTTACTATAAGAAAAACATGTTTTTTTTTTTACTTTATAAATGGTGAGCATATCATCTTTCAGGTAAGTGACTAATGCTTCAAATTCCAATGATAACAGCATGGATTGATTCTTGGCTAACAATGCTAATCCGATACGGAATAAGCAGTCAACACCTTCTGTAAATAATGTGTCATAGATACGATAGACAACATCCAATGGGAATTTATAGGCGTACAAGGTCAAGAACCATTGAGAGGCATACATGTTGGATCGTACGCCTTGTTCATTAAAGTGCCTGTGTACATGAGGTAAATGGTCCAACAAGAGACCATCAAATTGAAACAAACGCTGTCGTAATAGATCCAATTGAGGTGTATAATGGCCTCGTAATTCATATCGCTGCATCAATTGAACAAGAATAGAAAATGCTTCCTCTTCTGGCATCTAGTAAGAATTAGTCTTACAGTAAAACAATGCTTGTTCATACATGTAAAAGCAATGGTCCAGCAACAAAAGCAATGCCTTGACAATAGCCGACTTCAGGATCATAATTCGAATAAGCTTTTACAACGTTAAACAAAGCTTCTTGTCCTACGCTGGATTGAAAGAAAGGGTGATGTGGAAATGTGCGATGCAGATCTCTTGTAATGGCTTTTTCATATACAGATTCTTGCTTTAATAGCTCGATGTATTGTTCAATATCTGTCATTTTGGCTAAAATAGGCCAAACAGTGCCTCTTAATGCAGAGGGAATACCGTGCTGAATTTGAAACGATAATTGCTTTATTTCTAATGCTGTAAACTGATGGTGATCTGCAACCACTTTAGACCAGAACTCTAAAGTTTCAATCCTAAGTATTCGCAATTTATCTATAGAGAAACTTACCCCAATCTGTTTCGTGTAAGACTGTATGGGTTTGCTGTATCAGTTCTTGTTCTTTTAATTGATGTTGTGTAACATGTTGTGATGTACTTAAAGGCGGTGTCATTAGCTTGGAATCGTCTTCTTCTAGTGAATCATAAGAACATGCACTGTCATCGTCTGAAAATGCTGGTATTTTATTAATGATATCGGTATCATCGTTTGTAGGCGATAAATGATGTTTATTTACAAATGGCTCGACAATGACTTGTTTTTCTTGAAGAAGATAGTCTGTGCTGGACGTAGTAGTGGCTGTCATAAATGTGAAGAAAAGAAAGAAAGAAAGAAATAGAAAAGCAATATTTTTTTTAATTGATTTATTTATATCAAAAAAAAAAGCGGGGCGCTTTCTGTATAAAATCTATTTTTCCCCTTACATAAATAGTCATCAAAGAGTATAAAATTCATATATAATATGCGTTTATTGAGCTTATAGTCATGATTCTCCTATCTTTCTGATACAAAATATAGTGGCTCTACTATCCTCCTGATATGCTAAAAGACTTATGCGTGTGTAAAATCCAATCATGGAAATCAAAGCTGCGTTTTATACAACCTTCTGGTTATAGAAAACACTCGTGATGACCCACTGTTTTTGTTGGCGGAAACGTAAAATAGTTCTTACTAGGCGGGGTGTCAACTCATGTCTTGAAGTAAAAGAAAAGCAAAAAAAAAAAGGGAGGAGAGGGGGGTTGTTTAGCGCGCCAAGGTCATTCATTATTTGTAGGGTGTCAAGAATAGTTTCAGGTGTAAAGAAAATCAATATAAACGTTATTTTATGCTTTATTATTTGTGTATCTGTCACCAAATAAAGGGTGATACATGTAAGCCATTGATTCGGGTTCGTTGAATGGCGCGCTCTGATGGTTATAAACAACACATCTTTTTGGGCAACTCTTTAGAATTATTGTAGGGGCCAATTTACCTGATATAGGCTACTTTCTAAAACCACAGGAGAATGAGTTGTGTTTATGATGCTTGACTCCTTCAATCTTTTGGTTTCCCTTATAGTGACCAAACATGATTTCTTCACTTGGCATGAGTAAATCAAGTTGGGCCGAGAATAGATGCAATGCTGTAATTAACTTGCACCCACAAATGCACACACATATATATAGACGATTTTTTGAAGACAATCAAACTAAGGCCCCTATCCCTTGTATAGCAAGGTAAGCATGAATGGACTACAAATACAAACAAGGATAACAAATTCGCTTACAAATGTCTATTTCACATGCAAACCATCCTATTTCAACAATGGTAAGATTTATCTCGGAGCTAAGACCCCTCCCTTTTAAAAGGACTCGTGTAAGGCAATTTTTTTTTATTAGACAGCTGGAGGAGGAGAAGAAGATCCAGCTTGATGTTTAAGATGTTGAGTACAGTTGAATTCCAGAATACATTTGTTTGTCCAATCAATACGAGTGATGGCTGTATTGCCCTGAGCCACAAGGGCTATTCGAAGGGTGCCTTTTGCCTTGAGACCTGCTTGATGAGTCCAATATGAGGTCAGTTGTTTAAGTGGTCCTCCGTGTGTGACGATTAGCACAGACTTGTACTGTTTTTGAATGGCGTCTTGAACAATAGACTCAAATGCATGAATCACACGTTCTCTAAATATTTGAAGGCTTTCTCCTTCATGGTTCGTTATCAATTGGTCTATAGATATACCTTGTTGACTGGATTCTGATGTAAGGTAGCTTACATGTTGACGCACTAGAGTACCGAAATCTCTTTCTCGGAGTGAAGGGGAATATTCAATCGATGCATGAGGATGATATGTCATAATGGCTGCAGCAGTCTACTTTGTTCTATAAGCAGCATGTTGCCTTTTTTTTTTACCTGTTCACAACGGGTTAAATCACTGCAGTAAACATGGTCATAGCTCGCTTGTGCTAACCGTTTGCCACAGCTTTCTGCTTGACGCAAGCCATTTTTGTTTAATTCAGTATCTAGCAAATATCAACACATAAAGAGCCATGTTAAAATCGAGTTACCAACATGTCCTTGTAGCCAGCGCTCGTTGTTGGCATCTGTATTTCCATGCCGAACAAGTGTGATCTCTAGATTCATAACAAAAAAAAAAAAGAACCCATATTAGCCCTTTGTAAATGACCATGAAATTCCGACATTTCTGTGCAACGAACAAGCAAGATTCCTTTTTTGGACAAAAGAAAGGGGATGCATGTCTGTGTTTGAAAGCAAAAGCAATCGTGTTGAATTGCTTTCTGTTTATACCAAAGTTAAAAGTGACGAAAATTCACGTTGGCTTTGTAGTAGTCTGAAGCGATATCTCAAGGCAACACAAGATACAGAGAGGCCTAATTGACAATGAGCATTTAAGATCCTGAATTTTTGGGAATGCAATAGGACATGGCAACAGAATGCATTCTGTTATTACACGATAAGAAAGAGATTAGATGCAACAATGCAACAGACCCAACTTCTGAAGAAGACCAACAAGAAGAGGGTGCTATGAACGGAAATGTATTCAATAGTAGTTCTGAATAGAATTATTTCATCGACCCATTCTATCCGTTCAAGAATATCAAGACAATGATTATGCATACGGTTATGGATGGAGATAATGATATGACATCAGAGAGAATGATGAAGAAGATTTCATATGTTTTCAAATTAATCTTGATTGTGGCAGAAAAGGCATTCAGAAATCGTCTAAGGATAAAGTTACCAACAATCAACACTCTAATGCGTTGTCAGACGTAGAGCTGAAATGACATTCCCCAAATTGCATCCCAACCTGTAGAAATTGTCTTGAAAGATGACGCAAGAGTAGAGGTGCAAGTCAATTTGCCTTCAAACTACCTTCGTCTTTTGGCAGCAAACCCTAAGAGGGAAAAGGCTATCTTTTCACTCGCAATGGAAGAAAAATGAAAAATGAACAAGTTTTTTTCAACAGTCGATGTGGACTCTTAATAGCTTTAATATCTGGTCTTGTGATAATGCTCTTGCTACCCACAACAGCCGTGTAATTTAATGAAATCAATGATCTATTGTCTAGAGAAAGGCTCTAATAAACTATGTATATTGACATATGTAATTCAAAACATTTCTTTATGTTGAGACATGTCTTTTGGGTTATTTTTTTTTAGTCAATATAATCATAAAAAGTGAAGCTATACGAAAACAAAGATTCAAACTGAGGTAAAAAAAACTTCATGAACAAATACAGAAATAAATCATTTATGTCTTCCTAGTGTATTCAGTTGATACAGTGATAATAGCACTATTTTATATAGCAATCTTTTTCATATAGCTGCATAATCATGGATTTTGTCTTCCGCCAAGGCTTACAGAGTGGCAGTATCAGACATATACAGCTAGTAGTCCAGGTAAAAAAAGAAGATGGGCGTTTGAATAGCCAATCCTCCTTTTGTATGGTATTCGTCATTTGCCATATCCAAAGCTACTCTCTTGGGCCTCAGAAATATCATGTATTATGATATAGTTTGTTCATCTGTATTCTATACATCAAAAGATATTATAAAGAGTACCCATTTAATAGCCAGTATCTACTGAATTGGGCTTTTTTTCTACCATTTATAGTGTGTAATGACCTTTGATTGAAGATTTGAAGGCAATGCTCAAATCAAGTCGACCTTTCATCTTAGTAAACTCGTTCTCTTTTCATCAGAAGTACTTGGAGGTGATCTTTCCTCACATTGGTTGGATCAGGCCTACATTGGGTCATTCCAAAATTTTCTGATCGAGTTTTGTTTTTTGTTTTTCCATCTTCACAGACCTCCGTGGATCCTCCATGGGTCAAAAAATGATTTTCATAAAGCAGCCAAACCAATGGTACCATTCGATTCCTTGACTCGAAAAAACAAGTCATATTATACCAGATTGATTATTCACGTACACTATCAAATCAGTTGCTGCGTTTCAAAAATACAACGACAGCTTTTCTTTCTCCTGTTTCTTTCACGCAAGACGATGCCAGCACTTGATATTCGAGGTTGTCTCGAAGACTCACCTAATTTTCGAAAACGGATCCAGTCTCATGAAGAATCGATTCAAAACTTTGAACAATCACTCAAGACACTCATCAAACTCACTCGTTCTCAAGTTGATTTATCTATAGGTAAGACTGTGTACTTTAGTATGATTTTAATTCAGTCTATATAGCCTATAGTCAACAACAAAACCAACTTGCACACGAATTTATGTCGTTTGCTCATGCGCAAGATGATCCTATTGTTGGTAAGCCATAGCATGTGTCATGTTTGTTGTCTCATTTAAAGTGTAGCTCAAGCACTTGAAAAGTTTGGTAAATCCATTGAAGAAGTAGAGAAAAGTCGACATATGTTTGTAAGGCTAAAAAACAACAAGAACAACAAAAAAAAAGGGACCTAGACTGACCATGGATCTAGAATACACATGTGGTGGATACATTTATTGCTCCTTTAGATCTCTTCCTGAAGAACACAGTGATGCCTATTAAAGTAACAAATTACATTTGTACAAGTTCATTGATTAACATGTTTGTAGGAATTAAGAAAGAGATTTGAAAAATCAAGCGACGATGTAGATACTGCACTATCTCGTTACATGAGTAAAAAACCCAAAGACCCTACATTACAAGAAGTGAGTTGTTTGCATCCTATCTAGTTGAGCTAAGCATAACTATAGGCTGCTAAAGAATTGGCTGATTCTCGTAAAGCATTTCATAAATCGTATATGGAATACGTAACTCAGTTAAACGATATTGAGGCTAGAAAGAAAGTAGATTATATGGAAAACGTACTTGCCTACATGTATACAGAGTCTGCATTTCATCATCAAGGATATGAGATATTAAAGGATTTGGAGCCTTATATGCGTGATTTAACTGGCTTATTACATGACGTGAGTATGTGTATGTGTGTATGTAAATGTATAATGACTGAACTAGTCAAGACAACGATATGAGGAAGAAGTAGAAGAAGGACTCGAATATCAACAGATTTGTAAAAATGTAAGTGTATTCTGTAGTCTTATACATTTATCAAAGTTAGAATGCTACTGAGCAATATAATCCAATGCAATACCCACTACAAGAAGCAGCACCCAAACCACGTAAATCAGGTTATTTGTTTGAAAGAAAGAATGGCAGAGTCTACCAAAGTTGGTCAAGAAAGTATTTCTCTATTTTTGATGGTGAATTGATCAGTACCACAAGAAAGGTAATGTGTGTCCGAGGAAGCATTGGAATACTTATCGTTGTCTAGATATCTTCAAAAGAAGAAGAAGGCACCCATGTTTATAACTTGAGAGTATGCAGTGTTAAATTGACAGAAGGTTATGATAGACGGTTTTGCTTTGAGGTGATTTCACCCAACAGAATATTGGTATTACAAGCAGAAAATGAACAAGACATGAATGAATGGATCAGCAGTATTCGTACAGCAAGTCAATTGGCCTTAAATAATGATGCACCCCGCTATGTACAAAACTCACCTCATCTTCGAAAGGTACATCAATCAGAAACAACGGGTTTATTGATACAGTCTATAGAACATACTCGAGTCGCAAAAAGAGACAGAGTTAAATGAAGATCAAAGAGAATCACTCTTGAAAATACGCATGATACCTGGAAATGCTCAGTGTGCTGATTGCAAAGTCAAGGATCCTGAATGGGCTTGTACCAATCTAGGCATTATTGTCTGCATTGAATGCTCAGGTATTCATCGTAGTTTGGGTGTGCATGTAAGTAAAGTAAGGTCGGTTGTGTTGGACAAATGGGAACCAGATGCTATTGAGGTAAGCATGGAATCCACGGCAACATTTTCTAAGAGATTATATCTAGGTGATGTTGAGATTAGGCAATGATGTTGGTAATCGCATTTACGAAGAAAATGTGCCTGCTCATATGGAACCATTTCGTATCCACCCCGATTCCAACAGGTAAAGAAGAAGAATAGGGCATAAATGACTGATGGATATCTTTAGAAATGACAGAGATTTATGGATCATTGAGAAATATGTCAAACGATCTTTTGTTAAACCAAGTGAATTAGACCAAGCAGCTCTTGATAAAGTAAGGCAAGCACTTGAACGAATGTTTATTCACCATAGAGAATAGGCATTTTGGGGTAATATGGTGGAAGGAGATTTAGAAAACGCATTAAAGAGACTGGCTCAAGGGGCTCATGTGGACTACAAGCATGATTCACAAACAGCCTTACACAAAGCAGTAGAAAAGGGAGATGAAGTTTTGGTTGAATTTTTGCTACAGAGGTTAAGTGATATTGATCAACAAGATGGTAAAGGATGGACAGCACTTCATTATGCAGCTGCCAATAATAATGTTCGATTGGTATTGGCCTTACTGAAAAGACATGCCAAAGCAGACATCAAAGACAATGCTAATATGGTAAGCACATTTAATAAGACAGTCATCACTGAAAATTTCTTTTAGACATCGTTAGATTTAGCTGTAGAAAAACAAAGTGTTCAAGCAGTAACAGCACTTCGTTTATTTGCATTTGATAAGCAACACAATTCATCACCCGCCAGTTCTTTGGACTTTGGATTTAGAGAAGCCATGTCTTCTTTCAAGACAGAACGACCCACTATGCCTACTACGTCTCATTCCGCTATTGACATTCGAGAAAAATCGACAGACGATCCCTAATTTTAATTTTTTTTTTTTTATTTATAAAATTCTTTTTTGAAGTCTAGGTCGACCCCGAGGTTTATGCTTTACATCTTGACAGCCTATTTTACCTGTAGCAACACAGCGACGACAAGGACGTACATTGTCACATCGTAAATGAGATCGCTTACAGTGGTTACATGCTTTATCTACATTGCGACCTTTTTTAAGCAGTGTGTTGGATAATGATTTTGTCATCTTTTTATCTTCTGTATCAGACTGAGCTAGGTAATAAGACAAGTTATTGTCTGACACATATTTCTTCTTTTTTTTCGAAGATTTTGTGATTTTTTCTTCATGAATAGAAGAAGCTGTTGATATAGAAGAGAAAGAAAACGAATTCGATAGCATAGGTGTTGAATTGCTCCGATATTCTTGAAAAGGTGGAAAACAAGTAAAATCCTATTGTTGTCAGCCTCTTTTTTTTTGTGGGTACTAAAATGATTTACCATATCTAAATGAGGTTCTGGTACATAATCAGGTAGACTAAAATCTGTAAATGAATGGAGTGGATAGAATATTTGATTGGATAAAGAAGAGACTGTTGTAGGCGTATTATTGTCCAAATAAAAAGGGGTATTGAAGAATTGATCGGATGGTGTATAATAGAATGGATCAAATTCGTTTAATAGTTGAGAAGGATCATTGCATAAACGTTGGCTTTTTAAGTCTGTTTGAACTTGAAGCGTTTGTTGTAAATGGTGATAGACAAGTCCATCTGGATGATAATACTTGTCTTGATTTTCGGGCTCAAATAATTCATGACTGTAGTTCATCATGGCAGCAAAGTAAGAGAGAGAAAGAAAGAAAAAGAGAGGGAAAGAGAATAAAGATGAAGAAAATTATAATAGTAACAAGCATTCTTTGACCCAAATAAAGGGATCCATCAACTACTACAGCACATACCAAACCTAATTACTGTCAAAAAACTGTCATGGAACTTTTTTTTTTTTGTCTCGCTTTTCATTTTACTCTTAAAATTACCAACTTGCATTTCTCGTTCAATAACAAATACATCCACTTGTTGAACCCTTTTTATAAAAAAGAAAATTTCATTTCAAATGCAACTACAAATCAGAAAATATAAATTAAGATATAGATTTTATTAATAATAATAATAATAATAATAATAAAGAGTAAGTCTAATAAAAGCCTTGTTTGTAAGCAAGACCGCCAATGGCCAAACCGAGACCATAGAAAACAATGGAGTACAATAAACGAACATAACGATTATCAACCACAAGTTCAACTACAAACCAAAAGACAGCAAAGGCAACAAAGAACCAAGCAAGGATCATGACAGCACGAGTAGAAGCACGGGCAAAGCTGTTGATCACAAGTAAACAAAGCAGTGAGAACAAAGCATCCTTGACAAGTTGATGGGCTCTGTCGACACGGACAGCGAAACTACCGTTAGCCATATTGAATTTCTTGTGAGAAGCCTCAGCATCAGTAGTGGCTGCTTCAGGTGTTGTAGAAGACAAGTCACCCACTAAAAAGTTACGAGCGACCCAGACGAGACCCCAAAAGACCCAAAGTGTCAGAAGGGCAACATAGGTAACACGGACATGCCAGTCTTGAACGAATTCATCAGTGTTAGGGAGAATGAAATTGTGAACAGGGAAATCTTGAGCAGACATTGGAAATTAAAAATATGATTTGATTGTTTTGATGAAGAAATTGAAAATCATGGAAGCTGTCATTTTTATATGAATGGATGGTAGTACAAATTGCCCTGATGCCATTAATGCTAGGGAAAATTAAAGTACCGGAAATGGTTTTCTTTGAACCGAAAAACCAGGGCCAATAGTTGAAACATCGTCTCTTTTCTTTGCATAATTGTTTGCAGTGGCGTAGCAAGCTGTTTCTATCTATCAAACAGCAGTATCCAAATGAACTATCTCAGTCTATATTAATCTCAATCTTGTTCATTTCATATAACGAACAGCTTGAGACATGACAGAAACAAATCGAAAAACAACTTCCGAAAAATACTCATTTTGCGGACTATAATAAATCCGACGAAAAAAATAAACTTCCCATTTCATTCCGTTGTCGAAAAGAAACAGAGGGATTTGTCTATTGTCTATTTCTTATACTTCAAGTATACACTGTTATATGGATAATTTAAGCTATAAATACGGGTTCTCTTTGAATTTTTATTGTTTATCGGATAACCATTTTAATTTCAAATGCATGAATATGAAATTAAAATCCAGCAATGTTTTGTCACGCCAATCCTTAATTTTTATCCAAATAATGTCACAAGAGAAAAAAGATAAACCAGTGCTGTACAATAATATCATTTCGTTACATCAAACTAGGAAAATTACGTAGTTGTTTAAATGAAACCAATTTGTATTCGTTGCTGACAAATAGTTCTCGAATTTACTGGTTATTTTCATTTCGGAAGAACAATCGTTCGGGTTGTCTATGTCCCGGTCGCAAAGATCTTTGGACGCGCCAGTTTTTATCTACATTGTTCATGCCAAAGCAGTATTTATTATAGTACAGTCAGTCTATTCTTGTGATATATACATAGGAAACAATCTTTTCTTCTAGGACACCATTCAATTTGTCAACGCCAAAGTTGATAGGATGAACGATAAGAGAAAAAAATTCTGGTAGACTTTTCTCTATGAATCGTTTACATTTTACAATACATGTTGCATCATATCTGCTGCAATAAGCTGCTTGCTGAAATGGCTTCATTGTGATAGGCATTGGCTATTGTGTATCAATATTTGGGTATAGCATGTTACGGAATGATTCGGTCGAGCTCGAAGTACTCTAGAACATTTGCGAAAGAACAAATTTTCCCATTGTAAGATTCAACACTGAATATCAGTTGCTGCAGCCGTTCGTAAAGCTAGCAGCAAAAAGAATACAAATCAAACTTTGTGGAATAATGATCAAAGGAACCTGAAGTTTCTACTATTGAAAAGAAGATTTATCGCCAACATCAATGCTTTTCTAAGCTACAAGAAGAGCACAACGATTGCCTCCTTAATTTTTTTTTTGACGAAGATGCAACTACCTACATTTGATATGCTCACAAATAAATTTGTCGGTCTTGAAATGAAAAGTGCATAAGTTTATGAAAAAGGTAACCTTAGTTCGAAAGAAGCATCATTGGCCAGAGGTCAGAGTGTGCACGACTAATATTGAGAACCAGTAGAAACTGTATATTTATTGACTAAGTAGGCTTTGATATTCATATGAAAGCAAGTAGGGTATAAACTTCTAGAGGAGAAATGGTAATTCAAGAGTATATATTATTAATTTTAAAGACATAACATAGAAAAATGGTCAGCAAAGACTCAGATATTATATTCGTCGATCACAATACGAATGCTAAAGATGCTCTATAACATTGTCTTTAATGTGTGCATTGCATACTGCTAAATTTTTACCAGCAATTTCAGCGAGTAAATGGAAATCAAGTTTAGTTCCAAGGATTGAAGAGGAAGAGAAACTTTTATGCTGTTTCTAGCAGAGTTTCTAGATGCACCATAGCCCTGAATGTATTGTAGAGAGTAAAAAATGTGCTTGGTACCATGAAATTATTATCAAACTCTTCGTGCACTATGCATAAAGGTAAAAGAAAAAAAGGGTAGTTGAGTCACCAAAGCCATAAACCAGTTGCCATAGGCAGGTCAACGATGTCGACATAGTCTAAGGTGCAGGGTTGCACATGGTTTTTGCTTTGCGATTAAAGATCCTTGCCGTCAATGGATGTATTGGTTCTATAGTTGTTCTTGTTTTAGGGTCAACTCTGATCGAGCTTTTTGCTTGTAAGTTAGCGAACATGGTCGATAATCAGCGATGAGTAATGATTAAATAATGACTAAATTGCTTTGGTTGACCTCTCTTTAGTCACTTCGGAAATGAGTAAAGTCGGATTTATCTGTTTAGTGAGTGGATCTGAGCATCGTATCATCCTTGTTGCGCGTTAAAAACTATATCTCGAATGTCATTTGTTTTAAAGCAGAATAATCTATCTTAGTTAGCAACCTTCATATCTTTATAAAGTAGTTTATGGCAACAATGAGTGGTCAGTCTATTAAACCTTTCAAGACTAGAAGTCTTGAATGTTGTTTGACATACAAAGACATAGATCAATTGTACTTGGGATAAAATGGCCTGTTTATTCACTCAAAATCAAGATGTTTACCAAGATAATAACCCACACACTCTCAATAACGAATTTGATTCTTTTATATACAAGTAAAGTATAACTTTAAAACAACAGATTCTTTCATGTTTTAAAAAATATATATAATGTAAAAGAAGCAAGTTTACTTTTTGTTTTCTTGAATAATGTTTACAAGCCTATGCAATATTAGAGACCATAGGCATGCAAAAATCAAACTTACCAATCCAAACCCTCTGTTAGACCTTCACCCTTTAATGCACTTGTTCTGTAGATGGAATATTGTCTGTTTTTTAATGTTGATAAACCAAGTGCATCAGCTACTTCTGCAGCAGATAATGCCCCTTCCATATCTTGTTTGTTTGCAAATACCAAAAGTGCTGCATCTTGTAATTCTTCTTCATCTAACATAGCATGTAATTCTTCCCTTGATGTCTGCATACGGTCCTTATCAACACTATCGACGACATAGATAATAGCGTCGGTATTAGAATAATAACATCGCCAGTAAGGTCTATTGAACGGTTAACACTACCCTCTTAGCGTCATACTGTACCTTATACTCGTCTGACCACCTAAATCCCACACTTGGAACTTGATGTTTTTATAAGCGACTGTTTCAACATTGAAACCAATAGCTACGAAAAGAAAAAGATGAGTTTGCTTTGATTCTGATTCAACAGACACACGTACTAGGAATAGTAGAGACTACTTCGCCAATCTGTTCAAGTCAGTTCAGGTCCATCTACTTATCTAACTTACCTGAAGTCGATAGAGAATCGTGGTCTTACCAGCACCATCAAGACCAAGAATCAATATACGAACCTCTTTTTCACCCCAGAGCTTACTGAAAAGACTACTAAATAAAGCACCTAATGTTTTCTCAAGTTTAGACATACATTACTTATTATGCAGTTACACTCACCCATAATATCGTTTATAGAAAGAGAGTGAAAAAAAGTGCAAACAATGACTATTGTATATAAAATACGCGGACTTGTAAGGAACTTTTTTTTTTTTTTACATCATATTTTTGCTTCTCAGCACCAAATTTTGGTAGTGTACTACGATTCAAATTCTGTCAAATGAGGGCTGTGTTTATGAGAACTGCTAGCATGTTATGCTATTTTGTTCAATAAACATAGCATTTCTTATTGACGCAAGTAAAATATTTTATAGGCAAAGGAGATCCAAAGATCACCACAAAGCTGATACAGATCAAATTCATGATTGGAACCCGCTATCATGATCCACTCCCTTTTCACCACGGTTGTTGTTGGTTATACCCTTCAAGGTGTTTGGATTACTCGTTAGGATTTTTGAAAACTTCTTTTTCTTTGTAGGCTCTATTGTATCTCTTATACACTCTACTACAGCCAATTTTTTGTTGAGAAGGATAACTCATATTGTCCTTTCCCGTCTCTCTTAGTTCGAAATCTTGTTTCTTCATGCTACTCCTTTGTCTTAATGCTTTTGTATCTTGGTATTCATTTAGGAAAGCAATAGAGGTATTTTAGAATAAAAAACGAACAATTACACAGGGTTACATAATCATATAAAGAGGTGGGGGTATAGAGTATGTTTCGGCATAGTAGAGCTTGCTGAATGCCTAAAACAGTGTTATCGACATCCATGGTACCTTTGGAGTTGAGATGGACCAGAAAAAGCGACTTGTAAAATTTGACCTAAAATCTCCTAGAACCCAAGGGTACTACTCAGGAAAATAGGTCATTCGGCAACTTTTGATTTTCTTTTGGATGCTACAAGATGAAAAATAAGGCTAAAAATGAACTTAAATTCTCAAAATGAGCACCAGACGCTTTAGCTTTTTAGCAAAATGTTTGCTTGTCAATTGTACTATGAGAATGGTATACTATGAGCGAAAAACCTCTAGAATATGTTTGCCTATTTTCTCAGTAGTCTATCACTAGACTTTCTGTATTCTTTACATCAATAGACTTTTAAAGTAACAACCTACAGCTTTTATTAATACACTAAAGCCGAATAACTACGTCTTCAAGCAGTTTTTAGCAAAAGGTCGATTTTTGATGTGGCTGTTCAATCTCCGCTATACGGCCATTTCGGGTGTATGGACAACACCTTCACATACAACACAGAAAAAGAGTCAACATACTCTGAAGCTTTATGAAACCCTTACAACAATGCTTTTAACATTGCTATGTCTTCTCGAATATTATGAGTTTCTTTAAAGCAAACATTTGACTGGATGAAGTGTTTCCCCTCTTAACAAACATAAAAAAAAAAAATAGCGGGACTATATTAAGCTGTTTATTATGATTCAAGGAACATATATATTTACACCAAAAAGAGAGAAAAAATGAATAGTTTATGCTTGTTGCTTTTGACTGATAGCAAGCATAGCAGCTAAAGCAGCACCAATACCATTACCATCACGAGTAATCTAATGAGCATTGTTAGTGCATGTCCTATTTTTTTTTTAGATTTGAATACTTACGCCAACATTAATATGTGCAACGCGATCTCCGTAGAAGCTTCGCAATGCATCGTTAACACGTCCAGGGAAATTAGGGAAGTGTTCATAAACAGTACCTTCCATACCTGCAGACATCCATATCAACACAAACGCATTCCATTTAATTTATACTTACTGATAGTTAAGCCTTCTTCAATAGCATTTCTCTTGTCAATAATAGCACTCATAGCAGCAGCTACAAGACGAGCAGCACGTTGAGAGACTAATTCACAAATGGTTCTGACAATTTGACGGTCAGACAAAGTGGTTGAGGGCAAATTCATGATGGATTCCAAGATATGCTTTGTACCTTCTAATTCAAGAGTTTCATCCGAGTTAACAGCACTGATATAAGAAGCTTCAAATTGATAAGGGGTATTGAGTTCAGGTGTATATTGGCCATCAAAGAGCAAGCGACGGTCAAGGAAATCAACCATGATAAGACGCACAATTTCACCAAGATAGAGACCAGAGACCATCTTTTCAAACACGTGAACACCAGGATTAACTGATTGACGATTCAAACGGTTGTCGTAAAAGGTACGAGGTAATAAGGTGGGATTGTTGTCACCAAAGGATCCCCATTCTGTATTGATGATCATATCACTTTCTCTACAGTCCTTTAATTTGTCCTTGTTCTTCTCAATTGATTCTACTTTTTCCCAATAGGCTGCGTTTGTACCTGTGCTGATAGTACAGGCAACCAATGTATCCAAGCTACGGTAGCTGTGTGCCAAGAGACAACCAACAGCACCATTGATAACAGCTTCTACATTCACATTGATATGACGACGTCTGAAAGCAATTTGCAAAAGTTCAGCAATGTTCTTGCCGTTAGCACCTGTGACTTCAAAGTCCTTGGTCCATTGAAGCACAACAGCCTTGTTCAATGCGTGTTGTTCAAGAGGAAAAGAGAGGACAAAACCAAGAGCTAAAGGTTGCTTAAGTTCGTATTTACCAACAAATGATAAGAAAGAATCCACACTTTCAGCCAAAAAGTCAATCATGGCTGTCACAGAGCCCTTCTTGAGATGGTCATGAACAACCAACTTTTGTTGACGCGTCGTAATGCGACCTTGGCCGTGCAAGTTGACAAGGTACATACGGACATTGGAACCTAACAAGTTCAGTTACACTAGTTTCGAATTACGTCAGGATTTAATAACTTACCATTTAATTCTAAACCGAGATACTCGCCTGTTTCTTGGCCTGTAGGATGCTTGAAGACCCAAGAGGGTAACATGGCCATGTTGGATTCGTGAGACTTAAGACCATGGTCCATTTCGACACGTAAATCATCGCGAAAACGCTTCAATTCTTCATCAGTTAACTTGAAATGTTGTCTCAAGTCATCAATAGCTTCAAGTTGGGCATCGGTACCAGTAGCAGGACCAGCAGAAAATGATCTTCGAGGTTGGGACATCTTCTTCTTTATCTTAAGAAAAGATGAAAGAAAAAGAAATGGAAAAAGGTTGGTTTATCTTAAGAATATGTAATCCATTTAGGCCACTGCCCCGAAAAAAAAAACTAACGGGATAATCTAACCAATCAAATCCATTTGGGACTTTCTCAAAATGACCTGACCTTGGCATTGTCGCATCTACTTTTTTTTTTGGTCTTATCAACCGCAATCTCTCATCTTGATATATGATGCATATAAATACAACTGTTTTCTAATAAATATTAGAAGCTAATATTTTTGCAAAAGAAACGGATATTAGAAGTACATACCGCTTTTTCCTGCTATGGGAAATCCGTATTATGCAGCTCAAGTACTCGTTTTATTGTACGCGTAAAAACGAATAAAAAGAAAGCATTTTATTTTTCGATAGATAAGGTACCGTTCCTGAAAACACATGTTCCTCATAGACTAGGTTGCACATAAAAACGCAGTAACATGATCACTTACATAATATATATCAAACAAAGGCGTATAAAGCGTTATGTTTACAAAGTTGCTAAAACAGACAACAATCTCTGTTGAGAACCAGACACAATAAATGGTGCCATGTTATACTAAATATTCCTTTGATAAGGTAACCAAGTATAGTTGTTTCTCTTCTTTAAAAGACATTTGTGTTATTTAAGAAAAATTATGAAGAGTTCTAACTCTTGTCAAATACTTATGAAATTTAAATGGATACAGAAAAAAAAGACAATAAACAAGACTTGATCATGAAGCATGGATCTTAAAAGAATACAGTAGCCATTGTTCCTAAAAAATGTGTTATGAACAATAGGTTGTGCAACCAAGCGCAGTAACATGATCTGTTACATAATAAAGGAGTGGCTATAAACAACTATGAATATCAAACAGAGGCAACTTTGTATATTTGTGTATGTCCAGAGTGCTACGATAAATTATCTAGATCATGAATCTATAGGCATGTGTTTTGTTTTGATCTTTTCTATTAAACAAAGGCATGACATGCTTTGTGCTGAATGATCAAGCGGGTGTAACCTTTCACCTGTCTGATTAGCACAAGTAATGACTATTTCTTTTTTGATTTATGATGTTTGATAAACTATAGATCAAGTAATATTCTAAAAATTGAATATATGCAATACTATCAAAATATACAAAGAAAGAGAAAAGATCGGAATATTACTAAAACTAGACACATTGCTGTCATGTTGCCTATTTTTTCATCATGTTATGTTGATTTTAATAAAGTATATTGAGATATAGTTTTAGGTGATACAATTCATGTCAACTATCATAAAATTGAAAGGCCTACGTCACAAATCTAGAAGTAACAATTCAACTATCCATCCCTTGACTCCGTGTTAAAGAGAACAATAGAACAAGTAACACAAACCACTACTTTGTTTCGAGCAAGAATGTAACTACATCTAGACCTTAATTGTTCTCCGACATATGACGTAAAATCAGATTGGACGAAAGCTTGCTGACAAGATCGTCCGCCAAATGAACTATAATGTAGTTTCCCGGTTTTCAATCCATGGTACATAATTGGGCTTAGATTTTTTTTTTTTTGATCTGTCATTGTTATTAAACCACATAATGATATACCAAACAGCTATTTTTTCTCAATAAAAAAATAATAGTAATCATAAATTGGATTTGAATTAAGTTGCCTCTTTTTTAGCCTCAAAAAAAGAAGGCACAAATTTACTGTAAATCAATATATAAATTAGTTGTGCCTTGATATACAATAGTTCCCGCACCGTTACCCACGTTTCACATCATTGCAGATTCTTGTTTATTTTTTATTTTAAGCCTTGATGTATACACCACCTATCATTTTCGCTTTCATGTTGACAAAAACAAGTCGTTTCATCTCTTTTTTGGGTACCTGAATTTCAATATGTTTTAGGAAATAGCCGCCTTCTTTTTTAGGCAAAACAAAATATAAAAAAAACGCCACCACCTCGATTACTGCTATTATGCATTATAACACAATAAAAAAGAGATTTCAAAAAAAAAAAAAAAAAAAAAAAAAGGACAAAGAAAAAACAAGTAGTTTAGTGAATGTGTTTTTTTCCCATCCTATCTATCTATTTTGTTGCTGCAGTTTTGTATTGTTTACCGCGCAAAAAATGATACTTGTCGTACAGCTTAAAGAGACAAAGGCGGATTTCGAAAAAAAAGAAAACTAGTCATTTATCGTTCGACAAAAAGTGTAACCTTTGTTTTCTCTTGATATTGTACCCTTTTCTCATGACCTTTCTTTTTCTTTTTACTTTATAAAAATAGAATGTATAAATTTATGCCAAGCTTTGCTTTTTATTTTTATCAAGTTTTATTTTTATTTTGATCAGAAGGATAAACAATGATAAATGAAAAAAAGGGGGAAAGTGAGGAAGAGAGACAAATATTACAAAACATAGCATCGGGAGTCTAGGTCGTTAAGGAAATAAAAAAAATGCTATGAATTGTTTGATGAGGCATGATAAAGAAGCATTCAAAACAAAAAAGAAAAAGAAAAAGGAGAAAAGAAGAGACTTGAAATTTATGCTTCATTGCTTCACTTTTTTCAAATTGAGTATGAAATCTATTCTTGTACCTCTTCGTTTTCTGAAAAGGAATTTTTTCTACACAGCCACCACAGTTGTCTGATGGATAAATCAGGCTGATGTTTTTAGACATTGAAACAAATATGGAATTCCTTCTTTTTTTGTGTGCGGTTTTTGTACAACAAAATGTTTATGATTAAGAAAAAGTTTTTTTTTTATTTACAACAAGTTCTTTTTTTGAGGAGTCAATGTTAAAGTACAAAAAAGAAAAGGAAAAAATTATGTAAAGGAAAGTGAAGGGGTATGAACAAAAAGGAAAAGAGATAGTATATATATATATATATAATAATGAATAAATATGTGATATGTATATGAAGCGAATATTAAGAAATGTCTTTTACAAGTGTACACCAGTGCAGCCATTTTCCATACGCAAATGTCTATTCAAAGCGTCCATACGAGCAAATGATTTGTGACAATGGTGACAGGCATAAGGACGAATACCCCAGTGTAACTTTTCGTGTCTGTTACGATCATGTTGTCTAGCAAATCTTCTACCACAATGAGAACAGGCGTAAGGGCGTTCAGATGTGTGTGTACGCATGTGTGAAGTAAGGTTGTAAGGTCTTGTGAATGATCTACCACAGTTGTTGTGTTGACAAACATAGAGTGCGCCTTCGACAGGTTGTTTTGATGATTCCTTGGTACCCAATGCAGCCAGTGCCTTTTTGCTAGGGTTCTTGTTCTTGACACCTTTACCACGACCACGACGACCAGGTGTAGGTTTAGTGACCTTCTTGTCTGTGTCCTTATCAGATGCTTCTTTTTCTACGGGCTTGATGATGGGAGAAGAGGGCATGGAAGTAGAAGTAGTGGTAGTTGAGATAGAAGAAGATAGACCTTCTGATAGAATTTCGGGCGAAGTGCCTCTTAAAGAAGCATAATTCCAATGAGACCAGTTGGTAGTTTCTTTCAAGACTTGTTGTTGTTGCTTTGAAGTAGATGCTGAGGAGTTTAATGCAGCTTCATGCTCAGCAATGAATCGATCAATCAAATCAATGGAAGGTGCTTTATGTTCAGGAAATTCAGGTACCATCATGAAAGGGTTGGAGAGAGGATCATATTGTCCAAGAGGTGGGACCATCATCATTTCAAAGGGCTGGTTGAGTTGTTGATTCAAATCATTCATCATGTCAGGCATGATCATCATTTCATTTGATAATTCATCAGAAGGTGGACTAGGATAGTATTGATAATCTAATTTGCTGGTTTCATCCATCATCACAGTGGGGAACAATAAGTTGTTGTTTGTGGAATCAAGGTTATGAAGTGATGTGAAGTAACCTTGATATTGATCTGAAGAAGGAGGAGATGTAAAAATGTCTTGAGTGTAGAATGTGTTCATTATATGTGCAATAAGTTAAATATATATGTATAAGAAATGAAATAAATATATGAGGGAACAAAAAAATTAGGGGAGAAGATGTTGTTTTTTTGATAAAAGACAAAAAGAAGAAGAAAAGAAACAAAAAAATTCAATCTGTTTATATACAAAAAAAAATAAAGCTGAGATGTATTTTTAGGCTTTTTGTTTTTTTTAACAGTGTAACTTGTAACCCGTTTCCGATAAAAAAAGTAGCACAAAAAAGAGAGAAGTTTGCCTTGTATTCATATGACCGACATACGCGCATTTTGTCACTTGCAAAAAAGAATTTATAACACAGACAAGGTTTTAAGTTTTCATTATTTTATTCGCAGATAAAAATAACCAAAAAAAACACCTGAACAAGATACAAAACAACAACAACAACACATTCATAAATCGGCAATTATTATTACGAGTGCCACTATATAAAAAATAGGATATAAAATAAGGAAGCAAAAAAAGAATATTTTTTTTTATAACATAGAACTGAAAAAGAAAAAAAAAGACAAATTTGGATGTTGGGTTTGTTAGCCACCTCCGATTTCCAAATTGGGATACAACCAGATTGAATGTCCTATTAAGTAAATGGTATTATGAACTCATTGCTTCATTCCTTCATTATTTTTTTAAACTCTTCTTGACGTGTTGTCAAAACGAAATGAAAATTAAGGGGGAAAAGAGAAATGAGATCACTGAACTTTTTTTTTTTTTTTTGTGAAAGGAACTATCGCCAAAGAAGTTCCCGCTCTTTGTTGGGGTCAATAATGCTACTCTTATACAAATAAAGATCCATTTTTTATTATCTTTTCTCTATCTCGCGAGTCATTCAAACATGTATGCGCTTGTTTCTTTAATTGTGTTTGACATGAACAAACAAACAGTGAAGAAGAATGAAATTCAATAGCAAGTTTGAAAAATCTTGGTATTCTAGATTAGTGTATATGTAGCGCAATGGCGAAGTAAAAAAAAAAAAATCCTCCAAACTGAGATACACAATACCCACTTAAAAATCTAATTGTTATGAACTGATTGTACTCCCTTTGCACAACCAAGGAATAAACTTCGGTATCCTATAGCTCTCGCTCTCTCTTCTACTGTGCAACAACCTAGAGCAACGTGGGTGATTTAAATGGTGGATAAGACATTATTGACCTATGAGTCTTCCTGCTGTTGCTAAACCAACAAAGAAGACAACAATGAATATATGCGACACTTTAAACTAAATAGCCTAGATCAGGTTCCTGTCATCTAAATCGACAAAAATGAGTAAGATAAACTCTACGCCTCATAAAAAATTCAAAAAAGGAAGCAAGATATGGCTGAATGAAAAATAAAATCAGCCTCATGTTAAAATAGTTCAAAGAAGTATTAAAAAAGGATGAATACATCAAAAGCCTCAGTTTATAACTTTATTTCGTATATGGCAACTGCTTGAGGCGCCCATAGCCTTCTACTGTATATGTGCTATAGCGGATTTTAAACTTTGACATGCATAATAAAGTTGAAAGGTCATTTTCTAGATCATCCGTTAACTGGCATTGAATGGCCATTAAGATTATATTAAATGTTGTCTTGTTACATAAGACAACATGAAACAATAAGAAAAGCTATTTCAGCCATATTCATGTTTCATCAAACAACTTTATTTGACAACAATCATTTAATGTTGAAAATGCATCTTGAATTCAGCTCCACCAGGAAAACCACCACCACCAAATGGGAAACCATTTGAAAAAGGAAATCCTCCTTCATGGAAAGAGAAACCACCCGTGTTTCCTCCAAATGGACTGTTTCCTTGCTCAGGATCATAAGGATCGAATCCATTATCATACTGTTGTCTCTTGTCTAAATACATAAGAACAATGCACTTGATAGAATAACTGTACTTACCAGGATCACTTAAAACTTCATAAGCTTGGTTGATTTCAGCCATTTTTCGCTCCACTTGTTCTTTATCAAGTTCCCCACTGTATTTATCAGGATGCCATTCATGTGCTTTTTTACGATACGCTTTCTTAATCTCCCGACTATCAGCATGGGGTGACACATCCAACAACTTATAATAGTCTCTCTTTTTTGATAATTTGTGTTTCTGTTGAGCTTGTTGTAACAATTGTCGAACACGATAAAGACTGCCTTCTTCAGCCACTTGATTTGCCTTTTCTAAATCACGTACAGCTGCTTCATAGTCTTTGCGGCTCAGGTATACTTGTGCTCGATACACCAGTGCATCTACATCGTCTTCTTGTAATGACAATGCTTTTGAACACCATGTTCCTATCTTGTCTTCATTTTCGTTTTGTTTGCCATACAGTGTGCATGCCAAATGATAGCATTTAGCATGTAATTTTCTCGGTAAACGATGCGTAAACACATCTTGTTTCTCCAACAGGTCCATATCAGCATCAATCTGACTCAGTATGCCTTGCCGACTGGGTGTACCCACCAAACGATTAGAAGCTGTTGCAAATTTCTTGAGTTCAATCTCTTTCTCAATCGCTTGAATATCTTTGTCTAGTTTTTTTATTTTCTTGAAGAGTGCTTTACATTGTTTGTGTTCAGGGTCGTAATGAAGACATTGTTTGATGTGCACAAGTGCAGCTTGGGGTTCAAAAAGAGAATAAAAGTTGATTTTAGTGAGCAAGATCAACAAGGTAGGATCGTTCGGATTTAATTGTACCACTCGGCTAAAACGAACAATTATAAGTCATGCTTTAACATAAGGGTGAACTACTTACGCAAAATCACCAGCAGCTTCATCCATTTCGCCTAGCGCAACATGACACTGAGCTCTTAATAATCGTGCATTAGCCAGTAACGGCGAAATTCGAGATACAGATGTTGCAAGTGAAATACATGATTCAAATCGACCCTTTTCTTTTTCTATTTTTGCTTTTTTCAATTCCTGCTGTGCTTTTTTTGTAGATTCAAGCTATAAGAAATGTCAGTCCTGTATACAAATAAACCTTTAGCATACCATGGTTTTTGCTTTCTTCTCTTTTGATTTAGACATATATTTCTCGAGATCTTGCATGGCTAGATCATAATTGCCTTGTTTCAAGTAGATGCCTGCTCTTTCCAATAAAGCTTTCTCGAAATCTGGTTTTAATGCAAGTAGAGTCGTAAAATCGTCCGCTGCGGCACTATGACGTCCTAAAGAAAGATAGGCAGTGGCTCTTTTAAAATAAGTCAAGTAATTATCAGGTTCATTGCCTATATATTTTCAGTAAAGGAAAAAAAAAGCGTACGATGATGTTATCACTTACGAATAGCAGCATCAAAACTAGTAAGTGCATGATTAAATTGGCCACTTGTTAAAAAATGGTTGCCTTCTGTCAAATACTGTTGTGTGCTTTTATCAGCTAATACAGAGTAAGGCAATAAGAAAGGAAGTACGCAAGCAATAAGATAATGCCTCATAGTATAACAAAAGAAGAAAAAAGAAACAACATTTTAATTTTTTGCATGTGGATTTTCATGATTGGCAGATTCCAGAAACAGACAGAAAGATCAAGCAAAAAGCGGTAGCGAGTCACGACTCGGATAAATGATTCGACCTTGGTAACTTGTCACCAAAGAAGTATTTTTTCTTCTTTTATTAAACAAAGATTACAAGGCTACAAATTCCTGTGTCCTCTAAAATAAGCCAGGCGTGCTGGATGACGTCTAGAGATGCTAATCTCTATATACCTATTCCCGTAGTCTCAGAATACAGCACAATCTTAAGGTTTTAGCTACTCAGGGTCGCTCTCAAAAGGGATATTATCATTGATAGACACGCCTAAAAAAAGCAAGACAAGCAGCTTAAGGCTTCGGATCCTATCACTTTCAAGAAAAGGATCAATACCAAACATTACAAGAAGGTCGGGCTCCTTAAGAAAAAAAAAAGACGGGCTTGTCTCCACTCTCACACAGAAGTTAGATTTAAGATTTGGGGACAAGCTAGAGGAGCCACAAATTCTTTCTCTAGGATCAACAAAGTACTAGGGACATTTATTGCAATCGCATAGGTATCCTTAAAATGTTGCTTTGTTGGATGCATATCTTCTTTCCTGGCACCATTAAGGAAGAGGAAGTCCTGCCTTTGCTTGTATTTTATGACAAGCAGAAAGCTTCTAGTTTCCTCTTTAGCAGTGTTGTCTCTAAGACAATCTCTCAAAGATTAATATATCCAATCAAAAGGGCCTGTATCCTTTGTATAAAAATTTCCCCTCTCTCTTTTTTTGCGTCATTAGAATAAAGTGCTGGGTCCTTCATTTAATTTATTGGACACGCTCGTTATTTTTTTTTACTTTTTTATTTCTTATTATGTCGTTTTTACAAGACAAAAATGAGATATTAAACAACTTGCTTTCTTCTATTCAAGCTGAACTGCATAATGAAGCTATGTTGGGCTCATACACAGACCAAACAGTGGCTTTCTTTAAAGCCGTAAGAATAATAAAGATAAAATCAATAAATTAATTTTTATCAAGGTCAATTGGACTCAGCCGTGGATCCTGGGCCTTTTAGGATGTCATATGATGTGTTTCCTTATAGCCATACATTATAGACATTGCCATGATCAACTTGTGATCTATTTCTTTAGTTTATGCAAGTAAACAAACCATAATGTAATACCTGCTTACGCAACATCTATTTAGTGGGATTAGCAGCATTAACACAGCCATTGAATCAACTGGGAATCAACTACGGTAATCAGTTTCTGGATCAGGCTTATTTCGATCCTTCGGGTGTATTTATCGTGTCTGTGTACTCATTCCCCTTGATTTTCAATGGGTTTGTCACACTGGTAAATTCAACTAATTATTCTCAAATGGCTCATTATTCATAGATATTTATTCTGAAAGCAGTGGTCTCTATCATGATCCAGACTAAAAGAGTTCAACTCAAGAACAAAATCAATAAGAGAAATTAATTAAATTGACCAAACAAAAAAAAAGCATATAAAGCGTCTTGTTTTTATCATGTTGATATTATCATGCTCTTATCTTTATTCACTCTTTTACTGATTTGTATTGTACAAGTCAATGCTCTCTCACAAAAAAGCATTCAAGGTATCCTTAGAATACACAATAAACATAGATCAAAACATCATGCACCTGCCTTAAAATGGGATAAATCACTTGCTGCCTATGCTCAGAAATGGAGCAACCGATGCGTATTTGAACACAGCCATGGTGACTATGGTGAAAATCTTGCTCTTGGCTTCAATAGCTGGTCAGATGTTATTGATGCTTGGTATGAAGAAGTTAAGGATTACAATTACAATCAACCAGGATTTTCTGAAAAGACAGGTCATTTTACACAATTGGTCTGGAAATCAACTACCAAAATAGGTTGCGGTGTTCGTTCATGTAGTGATATTGGTGGTAAACTCTGGACTTGCTCTTATAAGGGCTATGGCAATATTATTGGCAACCATAACTTTTATTTTAAAAAGAATGTACTTAAAGCTTAACATAGCAGTAATCTGATCTATTTTCTTTTTCTCTTTTTTTCTTGGCTCCAACTCTATAATTAGACAATAAAGACAAAAATGATTGGACGCTTTAAATATGACACACTTGTACTTTTTTATCCGTTTGTTATTATCTATTCTTTATGAAAACCATGGTGACAAACATAAAGAAGCTTGGCTTTTACTATATTGTTAAACAAGAGGCGTAGAGTACTACTTGTTTAAAACTCAATAAGCTCAGCCCCTTTTTTCTGTCTTTCTTGGACTTGTTTTTCCAATAAAGACTCTCCCTTTTTTGAACCTCAATTCCTAATTATTATTATTTTCTTTTTTTTCTCTTTCTTTTATTATTTTCTTATCATGAGTGTTAATAGACTTGCTGATCTTCAAAAGGACACACTCAACAGACAAGACCAAGCCAGTCAACAGAACAACCATGGAGGGTATGAGATGAGACCTTTATTGTCTACCACAGGCGATATTTCCTCTGTCCAAGGATTTCTTGACGAAATTTCACATATCAAAGAAAGTATTCAACAAATCAATTACAATGTGAACCGTGTCAAGTCATACCAACAGAGCATGCTTCAAACAGCCGATGCAAACGAACTCTCAAGAAACAGACAACAAGTAGACGACTTGACGACCGAGACACAGACCATCATGACACACGTCAAGCAGAAATTGAAAGAAATTGAACCTACTTCTCGACACACAGACTTGGCCATGCGAAAGAACACATTCAGTGCTGTCACACGTTCGTTTATGGAGGCCATTGAGAACCACCGTCGTGTGGCTGTCGAGTTCCAAAAGGCCGAAAGTCAGCAACTCGAACGACAAATTAAGATTGCTAATCCAAATGCAACACCTCAAGATATTCAAGAGGCCATTGCTGGTGCAGAACAAGGGCGAAATGCGGTGTTTGCTCAGCAATTGATGCAGTCTGTAAGTAGTGACTATCGACGCCAAGGTGCACAGAACACATTGGATGCTGTTCAGGAACGTCATAACGATATTCGTCGTTTGGCCAAGAGTGTTCAAGAATTGTCTGTCTTGTTTGAAGAAATGCAACAAATGTTGGAAGCTCAGGCTAAAGTATTGGACACGATTGAACAAAGTGCTTATGAAACCACAGGTCAGTTAGAGACAGGTGTTCAATACGTTGAGAAAGCAAAGGCTTCTGCTAAAGCTACCCGTCGTAAGAAGTGGATTTGTTTCTTTATCTTTTTGATAATCATCATCATTCTTGCTATTGTCTTGGCTGTTGAAATTCCCAAGAGCAAGAGTAATTAAATTCTCTGTAATATCTCTTATACCTTAATAAAGTCTATATGTGTGAATCATATTATTTTATTATTGGGCTTAGTCCTTTTTTTTTGTCGTAAGAAAAGTAAAAAAAAAGAGGAGGGGGGGAAGAGAGAGGGGAAAAGGATTCTTCACACAAAAGCCACTTCTTTTGTATATAAAAAGAGTAGAGGAGAGGGGGAAGATGTTCGTATATAAAAGAGCTTAAAAAGAAAGATATATATTTTTTTTTCTTTTTTTAAAAAGATGAGGATGCTTGTCTATAAAAAAAAAATAAAACGGGGGGTATGTTCTGAATAATAAAATGCCTTATGTAGAAAATAAATATGTAGATGCAATGTATAGTCTTGATTAATTGATTTCTTTACATATTTCCAATTGAATACATGTTTTCAAGAGCTTGCTTTTGTAACACACTTTGTTGGAAACTAAGAAGGTGTTAGAAACTTTTTTTTTATAGTCGTACATTTTACATTACCTGCGGAGTTGTTCATTTTCCTGTACAAGGCGTTCAAGCTCAGCCAAGATTGTCATTTGAGTTGATTTCAAATGTTGAATATGTTGAACAGCTACAAATGATAAGTATATGTATAGCATGGTGCGTATCACTTACTTCTATGTAACAATGTAACCTTGCTCATCTTCTTGTTCAAACAGGCAGGCAATTCAGTACGCAAATCTTCAAAACCATCCTTAATCTGAGCACGACGTTTTTGCTCCGATTGAATATGGATCTGGCGTCTTAATTCAGAGACACTGGTAGCAGTGGCATCTTGTCTGTATAAAAGTTAGACATCATCATCTACTATCCAACACGATAACTTACTCAACTTTTTGCTTGCGAGCAGGACGCTGCTGTTGTTGTCTTTGGTCTTCATCTTCATCATCTTCATCAGAAGAGAATTGCTTTTGAGCCTTATCTTCATCCGATCGGGCACGCTTCTTACTGATACGCCCAGTTGTTTGTTCAAACGATTCCTTTGAGTATTGAAGAAACTCGGGATAAAAGGATTCAGGTAATGCTGAAGCTTTAGCAATAGTTTCATTCAAATAAGCAGTGGCAGCAGCGGAACTTGTGGTGCTACCATTCGAGCGGATCGTGGAGCTGGAGGAGGATTGAACAAGTGGGGGTGGGACTTGGTAGATGGGTGCGGAAAGAGACATTAAAGAATCTGGGCTTCCAGGACCAGCATGAATGTAAGAAGGACTGGTGACAAAAGACTCATTGCCATACATGACACTAGTAGGTGATGCAGAAGGTGAACTAGCATAAAAAGGAGAGACTAATGTCGTGGTTAGTTTGGGAGGGATTAAAAGAAAAAAAACTTACCAGGATACATCAAATTTGTTTGTTGTTCAATATCAGTCTTGGACATGTATTGTTGTTGCTGTTGAGGGACAGGGCACTCATAAGGATATTCAGGAGACCAGTGAAGCTTGTTCATTTTTTTTTAATAGATGTGGGTTATAAATGAAGGAATAGAAAACTAAGGATTGGTATGGGGGATAAGAAAGTGAATGTAAAAAAAAAGTGGGGGTATGAAATACAGAACTTTTTTTTTCTATTACTGCTGCTGAAGAAAAAAAGAAAAGAGAAATTGATTATAAGAAAAAAGAAAGAGAGAAAGAGAGAAAAGCAAAGTTGCTTGTCTTTTTATAAATACATGGCAAGTGCTACGACTAAAAAGCTAGTTTTGCTTCACGTCAAAAAAAAAGTGATCTATAAATCAATCTGGACCAATGATTTATGAGGCACTTCGCTTTCTTAATATTTTCTCATGCACTGATAATGTATTGTCCTACTTGTGTACAAGGTCTTTGCTTTAATTGGGAGTTTAAAAGAGATGTAATTGCAATATCCGACCGGAACAGATTCCTTTCTTCCTTTCCATATCTTTGTCCTATTAAATGGCCCTCTTTTTGTTGCTTTCTTTTATCAGAAAGAATGATAGAAATTTATTGATAGGAGAAAACAATTATCTTGTTTTTCTTAAACTAGGATAAACCAGAAAAATATTAGTTGTGTAGCAATAAAAAAAAAAAGAACGGACCTTGAAGTATATGTTTAGATGGCCGATGATCAGAGTCCGTTCACTCTCACAAAATGCTAGAGAAAGAAAGAGAGGAAGAAAAAAGAAAGAAAGGAGGACAAGTCGGATCATTGAAAAGTTAGACTTACTTTGTTAATTACAAATTGTTTGAGCATGAAAACTTAAAAAGTACCTTTTCAATTCACTCTAGTATCTTTGTATAACTATTAAGAAAACGTACGACAAGACACAACTCAACTTTAATTTGCAAACTCTATTTCGTTTTCTGGTCATATATAAATCAACTTGACATTTCCCAAGATACATTGTATATTTCTTTCTGTTTTGTTCTTTTATATAATACCGTTTTGATAAAATCACTAAAAAAAAGGTACTTTAAATTTTAAAGCTTTTTTTTTTTAGTATGGCAAAATCTAGCTTTAATTCAAAAAGGAACAGAAAAAGAGAAAGAGTGTGTTACATTACAAAAAAAAATGCAAAAACTATCAAAAAAGACCACTATCAGCACGAATTCTCGGGAATAAGATAGACATGCTTCTTTTTTTTTTTCTCGATCATTGTCTTCTCTGTCTCTCTTGTCTCCACTTTCTCTTTGATGATGTCTGTGCATTTTTATGTGTAGATCAAGTCAAATAAGGATCGGAGTAAGTTGTTTGCGTATGTGTACACAAAATAAAAAGAAAGGTGGTCCGAGACAAATATGTTTTATTACCAGCACTGTGTTAATCTTTCACCTGTTTCTAATAGGTCAACAGCCATTTGTAATGCATGTTCAATCTTTTGGTTTAATATACCGCCTGGTTGTTGTTTATTTTCGTTCTTTTTACTGTCTGAGTCTTCCAATAACTGTCTCTGCTTTGATTCTGCATTAATAATGATCGGAAGTTGTAACAACACTTTGCAGATAGTGATAGATAATTGCATTCGTTTCCATAAACTAAAATAACTCAAGGCTCTTAATTCATGTTGTAACTCGTACAGTTTCATCAATTCAAACTGAACCACTTTATAGTATTGTTGTGTGGCTATAGACAAATGAGACCAAGCCAATCCATGTCTGTACTCACATTGAAATAATTCACGCATTTTCCGAAAACCTAATTCAATTTGAAGAATCGCATCTTCTGTGATATGCATTCCAGGATTGGTTTCATTCAGTGCATCTACCATAATAATGTCAGATGATATTAGAGTGTTGTTTACACTTACGTATAAAAGCCCGCATGGTTTGAAACTCGCCATCCAACATTTCATTAAACAACTTGAATGTATCAATAGGATGTTTATGTATTAGTTTTTTGCTTACCTGATGCAACACTTTGTGCAATGTATCGTTTGGATTCGTATGGTTATGACAACTAAAATTAGAAGAGGTAGCTGATGTACCTTTGTGTTTCGATACATCGTATAATAATTTGGTAGAAGGATTACTAAGGGTTTCATAGGCTATAGACAATACTAGGCATCATATATGAGATAAAATCTACTCTATTTTTTTTTTTAGCTTACATTGAAAACTTTCTGTCGCTCGAGGATAGGAAGGCACAAATTTATCTGGGTGGCATATTCTACCTCGCTAATAGAATGTTTAACATAATGACTATCGCACTATTTCCTTACTTTGATATACGCTCTTCTGATATCTTCAGCAGGCGTATCTTTCTTTATACCCAATACACGGTAATAATCAGGCGCTGATAAAATTTCATCTACAATACGGTATTTCTCTTCTTTTTGATTGGTATTAATAAAAGGCATATATTTTAGATAAAGAAAAGAAAAAGAATAACAACAAAAGAAAAGGGAAAGAAGATAAAAAAATAAAAAAAGCAAAGAATTAACATGTGAAAATGGAGACTTTTTTTTTTTTTTTGATAAACACAAATACACACATACACACGCACACACATATACACACATTTTTATTGAACTTAGATCTTTTGCATAGCAGCAATATCGACAGATTGAACATAGTCTTCCAAAGCAAGGATAGCATCAGTCAAATCGTCCATAAGAACCTTGTCATCTTCGACAACACAGTTGATTTGGAGCTTCTTGATACCGTAACCAATAGCAACGAGTTGGCTACCACCCCAAAGGAGACCGTCCATTTCGATACCCTTGACACCAGCAGTCAATTCGTCCATGTTGGTTTCATCATCCCAAGGCTTCACATCAAGAGTGACAGTGGTCTTGGCAATGGTCTTAGGCTTGTTAGCCTTCTTGGCGTTGTATTCAGCAACACGTTGAGCCTTGATCTTTTCAGCTTCTTCATCAACTTCTTCGTCATCAGAACCAAAGAGATCAATGTCATCTTCATCATCAGCAGCAGCAGGAGCAGCGGCAGCAGGGGCAGCAGCACCTTGCCTAAACAGAAGTGTCAGTTATCTATATACAAAGAGCGCGTTTTCAACTACTTACTTGGCTTCCAAACCTTGAACAGCAGCAATGTGAGTGTACCATCTGGCCAAGTGAGGGTAGGCTTCAGCGTTGACACCTTCGGTCAAAGCAGTGAAGACAGCCTTATCAGCTTCGGAGGCTTCAACACTATCATCAAACGTAAGTTTCTCTATTTCCCATATGTGCTCTATTTACCCCTTAACGTAAGAGACGTTTTCAAAGTAGTTGTTGAGGATCTTATAGGCCAAAGGAGCTTCAAGAGTGAAAGACATGGTGAAAGTTAAAGGAAAAAGAAAACGAAAAACAAAATTTTAAAAAAATTTATTTGGTTCTAAATATTCTCGGTCACAGCCATGACTAAGCCACATGGATTATTTACATTTATTAGCATAAAAAAGATTTATAGACAACATTGTCTGTTTCTTCTTCATATTGATAGCCAAGTTGGTCTAAATACACACTGAATTGTTCAGTATCTTCAGGTGGCACTTGAACACCCAAAAATACTTTGCCCATGTCTATAGAAATGAGTGACAGGTCAATAACAAAGAACACTTACCATCACCATGGTTACGATAATGAAAAAGAGATACATTCCAAGTAGAGTCCAAACCTTCTAAAAACCTGACAGTGGCACCAGGTCGTTCAGGGAATATAAATCGAAACACACGCTCATTGGCTGGTCGACTACCCCCACCATATAACGAGCATGACATTTAGCCAGTTCATTATCACTCACATCAATACCCTTCATGCCTTCTTTCTCCCAAGCATCCAAGATCTGCTTGAGTTCTGTTTCTCGGTCCTTGACTTTGAATGAGATATAGATATGAGCTTCTTTAGGATCATTGTATCGATACGAGAATTCAGTGATCGTACGAGGCACAATCTTTTGAATCATCTTGATATAGCTACCAGGCTGTTCGGGAATAATGACTGTACAGAACGCTTCTGACTTTTCACCCAGTTCTGCACGTTCAGCAATAAATCTCAGGCGATCAAAATTGACATTGGCACCAGATACAATGGCCACATGGACATCGTTCTTTGCCTGGGGATGGCTATGGACGTATTTCTTGGCAGCAGCTAAGGCCAATGCACCTGTGGGTTCACACACACTACGGGTGTCTTCAAACACATCTTTGATAGCAGCACAGACTTCATCATTCGTGACCAACACAACTTCATCAATAAGCGATTGTGATAGACGGTATGTTTCTTGGCCCACAAGGCGCACAGCAGCACCATCCGCAAACAATCCGACTTCAGATAATGTCACACGTTCTTTGGCCTTGAGACTTTGGTCCATAGCACATGCATCGACTGCCTCCACACCCACAATTTTGATATGAGGTGCAATACGCTTGACATAAGATCCAATACCTGCAATCAGACCACCTCCGCCCACAGGAATGAAAATAGTCGAAATCTTACTCACATCATGCTGTCTGAGGATTTCCATACCAATCGTGCCTTGACCTGCAATGACATAGGGGTCATCAAAAGGAGGGATATCTAACAGTCCTTCTTCTTGCGTCAATCGAGCACATTCCTTTTTGGCTTCATCAAAATCATTGCCAAACAAGACGACCTCTGCGCCCAAGCGTTGTACATTGCGCCACTGAGATAGAACGATGAGTGACATTCATCATTCATAAAAGAGTAACTTACCTTGATAGCAGGTGTAGGTACTGGCATGACAATTTTAGCCTTGATGCCCAACTTTTTAGCTGAAATAGCCACACCTTGTGCATGATTACCAGCAGAGCAAGCAATGACACCTCGTTTCTTTTCTTCTTCTGTCAAATGAGCCAAACGGTTATAAGCACCACGAATTTTAAAAGAAAAGACAGGATGAAGATCTTCACGCTTTAAATAGATTTTAGTCCCTAATTTGGTATTCAAGTTGACAGCTTCTTGAAGTGGAGTTTCTTTAACAATATCGTATACTCGAGCTGTCAAAATCATACGTAAATAATCAGGATATTGTTCATCTTCTGTAAGAATGCCCATTGTATAAGAATAAGAATAATAATGAAAAAGAAAGAAAGAAAGAAAGAAAAGCTGATTATATAGTTTTTTTTTTTTTTTTTACAACTCCTAATGACTCAGTAAAATCGATTTGGTTTTATTGGTTCTTTTTTAATCCTATCTACAGTTGTTGTCTCTAACAATGATACAGGATGATCAAAAGGTATCTCAAACCGTCCTTTTTTTATCCATGTACTCTGTGTATCTTGTTTATAGCCTGGTTTCTGCCAAAAACAATCATCCCAAATATCACTTTGATGAATTGTACTATCATTCAGGAGTATCGAACTCGTACTGATCATTAAAGAAGGTACATCACTATCCATGTCTTCTACTATCTTAATGCCTGCTATATCTGCAAACTCTTTTGCTGTCAAGTTCTCTGAATGAACTGTCATACAACTCGATAGATGTCGACTGTCTGGTAATGGGTTACTTTGAGTGTGTCTATGTCTTTGGTATCGTTGTCTTTTATATCGAGTGTGTTCAAACAATGCATCATTCGCAAATGGATGGTCTGGTTGAAATCTTTTCTTTACATAGTCCATAAATTTCTGAAAAGTATGCTTTATCATCTTCATGAAAGAAAAGCAAAATAAATAGGGGGAAAAAGTCAACATGAGATTTCTTATATGCAAGAAATAGGAGACACGTTTCAAAACTATCTTCAAGAGAATGTTCTCTGTACCTCTTTAGCCAATCATTTCTATAGACTATAAAACGACATTGATTGGCTAACTTTTTATTCATTTATTTATTTTTTTAATGGTAAGTCAAACCTCTCCATGTATTTGACTGACATAAATACAAGGCTGATCAGTTAACTGAAGAACAAATTGTTGAATTTCGTGAAGCATTTCAATTGTTTGACAAGGATGGTGATGGTTCTATTACCACTAAAGAACTCGGCACTGTCATGCGTTCATTGAATCTGAATCCTACTGAAGCTGAACTTCAAGATATGGTATAGACAAATTGAATTGCATCTTGTACTCATCTGTCTAGATCAATGAAGTGGATAGTGATGGCAATGGCCACATTGACTTTAGTGAATTCTTGGCTATGTTGGCAAGGTAATATCTATAGATATCAAAATGACGTTCATAGGGCTTATAGGATATGATAGAAAGATGAAAGATACAGATTCTCAAGAAGAGATTCAAGAAGCCTTCAAGGTATTTGATAAGGATGGCAATGGCTACATCTCTGCTGCTGAATTACGCCATGTCATGACGTCTCTTGGCGAAAAATTAACAGAGGAAGAAGTGGATGAAATGATTCGTGAAGCTGATGTGGATGGAGATGGACAAATCAATTATGAAGAATTTGTAAAAATGATGGTAAGTGTCGATACAATAACCAACACACTGACTAACGGTTGTATTAGATGTCAAAATAATAATAATCATAATAAAATTATAACACGCCACGATCGCGACATAATTGCTTCACTTGGTCGAGTTGACGTTGAATGTAATCTTGATTCACTTCAAACAAACTAGATGAACTAGGTGTGGTTGGGTGTTGATCTGGAGCAGAGAGATATTTCATACGGGATGAGATCAACTCTATCAGTTCAGTCACATGTTGAGGTGCAATCTATAATCATCAATAACGCAATGGACTACCCATGACTTACACTCTCATTCTCCTTTTGTAGGTAATAAACGTATTGATGAACAAGTTCCAATAACAAGACTTGATGGGTGGCAATATCTAGGCATTGTTCTGCTACTCGGCTTGATTTCTGTAGACATTCAAGGACACGCCCATGTTGCCATAGATGAGACGAAAGATAGATGGCACGGGACTGATCGGGTCGTTTGAGTAACTTGGTACCTAGCAAAGTGATCTTGGTCACCAGAGCATCATCGTGCATACTGCACAAAAGAGAACCGATACAGTACACAATCGCATCAAACTGGGCTCGAGAATGCGATACGGATTTTTCATAGATCCTTAAGGCCATCCAATAGAAATCCAAAGCAACATCAGTATACCCACATGCGAATGCATTTTGTCCTGCCATCAATGAAAACTGTACAGATGCTGATGATGCGTCAGATTGTCGATGCAAAGTCATGATGATCTGATGAATAAAGGTATAGAGGGTGGACATCTGTTTGTCTGGGTTGACATGATGTGTATGGTATCGTTTCGCAAGCTTAAAGCAAGAGATGATCAAAGAAGGAAAGATGGCCTTGATTCTTTCGCCTGTATCTTTTTCAAGTTGTTGCCTCGCTGCAGAGAGCAATAAGAATTGGACATCTTGGTCATCTGAATAGAACAAATGAACTAATCGAGCTATCCAACCATGTTCATCACGATCATCCTGTTGTTCTGAAGGATACAGTTGTTGTGAAAACCCATTGTCTTTGATCAAGACATGGCAAATCTCGAGTATTTGATAGACTTGTTCTGGTTGATCAATCCGTCTTTCTTGCGTCAGAATCGTGTCCAGTATACTCAGGGCTACAGTTCTTCGTGTGCCATAGGATTGAATGGCCAGCAAGGGTTGATAGTATTTAAGCGAAATCAAGGTCAAGACATCCCATGTCTTTGTGGGTAACAAGAGTAACTGCAACACATGGGTATCCGATAGTTTGGAATGCTGTACATGATGAGTGCATTCATGCGTAAATTGAAGAATCTTGTCCATATAATCCAGTCGATCAGGATATGAATGCACTGAGAAATTAGCCAAAGAAAGAAATAGAGATGTTTGATCTTGTACAGGCAGTTGGCGTGTCTTGACAAGCTGCATGATCTCATCCCAAAATAGCTCAAACAGTGCTTTGACAGTCGTATGTTGCGCATAACTGGCCAGTCTGTCTAATAAGGCCATAATGATCACTTTGACATCCACATTGAAATGCAATTGAGCTGTCGTAGCCAAGAAAGGTGTCAATGTATCCATATGAAATTCGTCAGGGAATATCTACTATTTCATAGGCATAACAACAACAAAAAGCAAGCAAGCAATTACCTGAATAACAACATCCATTAAATAGGTTTGAGCCATCACATCACCACAACTTACAATTTCATTCAACATGCCTGGCAAGATATGCTTTTGAAGACATTAAACAACAGAATGATATTAGACTTACTGTTTGATACAAGGCAAGATCAATGTCTAACTGACTTAATCGAACAAGATTTGTGCCTACCAAAGTACCCAATTGCTTTCTTTCGGACTCTCTTTTTGCTTTGTCTCTTGAGTGGCCTACATGTTGCATTCTCACCCATAGTTTGTTCATTTCAACAAAATTCATTAAAAAGAACCCAATGGTTGCTTCTATATCATGACTAAAATACTATTATCAGTTCTTTATCTTCAGAATGAACTTACTTGTGAGGTAAAAAGTCTCTTGTCATCCCACCGAGATAATGCAACAAGAATAACCCACGTACAGGATCTTGTACGCCTCTTGCCATGGCCATCATATCCATCATGACTTCAGAAGCAGGCGGACTATCAGGTACACTCAAGTAGACAGTACCCACTGTCACCATAAGATAAAGACGAGGTATAATACGGCTTGCGTATTGTACAAGCTCATAAATATCACCTAAATGATGTTTGCCTGAAAGATGTGTCTCTGCTAAATAGCTTGTCAAGTAACGCATGGTATCAAACACAGTCATGTCTATAGGCTTTCGTTGTGAGTTGTCTGATGGAAACAGATACACCTACATAGCTCATAATAATGACGTGGCGCTAACAGATCCGTACGTAATTCAGATAGCAGATGAGAACAGTATTTAATGGCGTCCATCAATCGATGTTTATCCTATCCATGTCAGCGATTGTATCAAGATAAACATGCTTACTAAACACTTTTGCATTAGTTTAGACTGTGCCTTGACTCTATCAATGGCTTCTTTTAAATGAATAGATGGTTGGTCCACATGCGTCATGGTAAAACACGAAAAAGGGGAATGCTGCATTAAATTGGACAACATTTAAAATTGAGTCACAAAAAAAAAATCTCTCTCTCTCTCTCTCTCTCTTTTTATGATGAACAAAGAAGAAAGACGTCGACTGTTAGATTTGATTCCTGAAGCGACTGATATTACTCGTTCAAAAGAGAACATTCAACCTAGTAGCAGAGGCAGATCAGTAGCGACATTAACTCATCTATTCACACAGGATCCTTCAGAACGCGAATCCACATTGGAATCAACTCACACACGATTCCAACAACAACTGGAGACATTGGATGAACAAGATGATCCTTTACAGATCTATATTGACTATATGGATTGGATTATGGAAGCTGTGCCTGAGACAAATACACTACTTACCAAACTACTTGAGGATGCCACAGATCAGTTTAAAGATGATGTACGTTATCAATATGATCCTCGTTATCTAAAGATATGGATTGAATATACCAAACATGTACAAGAACCAAGAGAGATTTTTACATTTCTAATGCATCAAGGTATTGGTCAATCTCTGGCTTTGTTTTATGAAGCCTATGCAGATTATGAAGAAACCTGTCAAAAGTAAGCTACCTCGAAAATAAAAAATAACTAAACAGTATATAGATTTGATGAAGCAGCAGAGATTTATGCATTAGGCATTCAAAAGAACGCCATGCCTTTAAAACGACTCTTAAAAAACTATGGTCTATTTCAATCTCGAATACAACAAAAAACGATTCACAAAAGACAACCTGAAGCCAAAAGGCAAATGGACACCTTACGAGCCACAGGACAACGTACCTTACTGGGCCATAAATTTGATAGTCAATCTCGCGTGTCTGTGCCTGCCAATGTCTATGCTGGTATTCAAGCCAATCAAGGAACTCTCACAAGGCCTCGACCGTTTGGTAATGCATCGACATCGATTGAGACGGATACTTTTGCCGTCTATACAGACTCATCACCCACTCAAGGAACAACGTATGCACCCCTTTTTATTACCCCTTCATCGTCTTCTCGAATAGAAAACAAACAAACAGTAGACACGTTTGCAGGATCTACACTTTTACAACAAACATCACCCATTCAATCTGAACGATTTGAAATATACCAAGATCCTCCTAGCTCACGTCGTCGATCAGTAGATCATAACACAAGGAAGCGACCGAGACATGACAAGAAAAAAGAAGCTCAGTTTATACATAACAAAGATAAATACATGAAATCCAGTAACTCAAGAGGGGATGTTGAATACATTATGCATTTTCAATTTGGAGATAAAAGTGCACAAGAAATGAGAGCCATGCAGCATGGTTATCATGATGGTAAGTGTCTTTCTTAATCAATCCATCTCATCTGTGATTAGCCTTTTCAAGATACTGTCGACAAAATAAAGAACAACCTGCACCTGAATACACTGCAGAAACATTAGCAGCTATGGCTTCTATAGGCGAATTATTTCATCCACAAGATAAAGAAGAAGAAGAAGAAGACTTGACTTGGACAAATCCATATCAACAATTTAAACCCATCCAAAGAAGAACAGTGAACGAAAATGAATAAAAAACCACGTGGCATAGAGGGATGAAACGTATAAATACCCTTTCTTTCTTTTTATTGTTATTGTTTGTCTTTATGTCTTCTTTTGTTAGTTTGGCTGAAAAATTACCTTTTATCAATCAAGCTTGGTATAGGGCTGAATTGCCCCCACCTTATGAACCCAATGCTCGTAGGCATCCATTGTCTGATTTGGTTCGATCTAGTTTTATTAGCCATAGTCCTGTTGAATCTATCCATAAAGAAAAGATGAATGAAGGCATTACATTGATTCAGATGGCTACAGACATGCATGCTTCTAATAAACAAGTATCGATTGATCTATACATGATGGGATTAGACAAGCTTCTTTCTTCTTTACCAGGTAAAAAAGTACTACTGTGTCTATCTCGCCTAATCATCTTCTAGTGGACTCGGACCCTATGTTAAAAAAGAGCTTGGAACAAAAGCTAGTCGAATTTAAAAGGAGAGCTGGTCTCGTTCTGTTGGATGCAGAAGAAAAGACATCTTTGTCTGAACAACAGAAAGCATTAGGTGGTCTTTCTGAATTGGTCATTCATGCTGCTGTCTTATCTGCTATCGCAGTTAAAAAGAGTCCTCTTCCTGGTAAGTAATTCATCAACCTGCTTTTTATTTTTATTCATTTGTAATTTAGGCATAGCTTCCACTCTGTTTGGCTGGACAAAGACAAGTCTGGTTAAAATAGATCAGATATGTTCTATTCGAGAAAGAACAAGCAATATTGCACAACTAGGATTAGCCAAAGCCATTGAACTTGATCAACATACCCAAGCACATCAATGGGTTGCTCAATTATTTTATCTAGGTAGTACAGCCATATTAAAAGCAGGTATTGCATACGCCGAAGCAGAATAAAATATTTTTCTTTGTTTTTTTTTTTTTTTATAACTATGGAAACCCTTCTGTCTCGTCCACTTGATTTAGTATATTTTATTTACTTTAGTTCTCATATCTTGGCTACTTGCTGTATTGATTCACAAGCATTTCTTCCTTCTGAATGGTATCCTCAAGTCCTTAAAGACCTGTTGTCTTTCTATGTTCATACTTACAAGGATCCTTTTATGGGAAATCCTGATTATTGGTTCAAGAGTTTTGTTGTTTGTGAACTTGTGTTTCAACTCCCCTTTTTTGTCTATGCTTGTATTGGACTTTTGAAAAGTAAAAAGTTAAACTCTTTTGATTGAGTAGGTCATTAACTTATTTATAGATACTCAACACCTTCGTTTCCCACTTGCAAGTAAGATATAAGCATATCTATGTATGTTTACTTACTTTTGAATAGTTTATGGTGCTCATGTAGCAACAACTGTTTTGCCTTTATTAGCTGAAGTCCTGTTGAATCCTGAACATAAGTTAAATTGGACCGAGAAGGTTATCTTGTGTGGTTTCTATGGTCCTTATTTTGCATTGCCCTGTATCATGTTGATTGATTCATTTATCCGTGTCAATACGACATTAAAAGCAGCCTATCATCATCATCATCATCAAAAGACACTATGAAAACAAAGTCATACGTGATGCAATATATAAACTTCTTTTTTTTTTATTTATTTATTTTTTTTTTTCATGGCTGAAAATACAACATTGCCTATTGAGCCTATACCCTCTGTTTATCATAGCGACTGGCTTCCTTTAATCATAGCCACTGTTTTATTATTGATTGTTGTCGTCTTTACACTCTCGAGATATGGTAATATTAAAAGTCAGGCTTGGTATGTGAGTATGGTCTGTACCATAGGTTGGTTCTTTCCCTTTTGGATTGTGTTTCTATTACCACTTGATTTGGCTTCGGTAAGTCGCCTTGTTTTCTTATGTTTGGCTTAAGCAAGATATAGACTGTCTATGATGATAGGAAGGGTAGAGTGCCCTTTGCTTATGTATCAGAGTCATTTTTGTTTGTTGCTTGGCGAGTATTGTATTGGACTTCTTTTTGTTTAACTTGGTAACGAAAAAAAAAAAAGGGGGGGCAGATAAGCTAACCAGCAAGCGTAGGTTCACTATTCCTATGTTACAGGCTTATGTGAACACAGGTGAATTTACGATAGCAAAGCGTATTAAATCAGCTATTCATGTCAATCTTCGTTTTTATTCCATCTATCTTGTTGTGGGTCTGGTCGGATTGATTTATTTGGTTTTCGGCAGTGGATTGACAACGAGAGAAGGCATCCAGAGTTATGTGATGGCTGCTGCTAATAGTTGGGGCTTGTTCTTGGTGATTGTGTTGATGGGCTATGGGCTAGTATCTGTGCCTCGTAGTTTATGGTATACAGGTCATTATACAGCACGCTTGCATCATCTGTATGCCAATGCTGCTCGAGTAAAAGAAGAATGTATGGATAGTGAACTTGAATTCAATGAATTAGCCAAGGTTAGAAAATAAGTATGCAATAGCCCATCTCATCTTGTGTTAGACAATGAATGCCATTGCTAGAAAAGCCATGACACAGCCTTCAGATATAAAAAAATGTATCACGACAATGAACAGACGATTCCCGTTTATACTCCATGAAGCCTTTGCAGAAAGAACTCCTTCCATTCAACTTCCGACTGTCTTGACTGAAGAATACCTTGTTAAACTATGTCGACACATGATTTTGGCTATCCGTATGAAAGATAGGAAAACAGCGCAAGTATGCTAGTACATGCCTTATTGGATTATACTGATACACATACACAAACATACATATATATATATATAGGTTATGGAAAAACTTGCTTCATGAAGCATTTTATCTTCAAGACATTGTACGCAACAAAGATAAAAGTAGCCGGTAAGTAACCCCCATTTATTAAAAAAAAAAAAGGGGGGGTTAAATCTAAATTTCTCTCTTTTTGATCCTGCAAGTCAATTTACCTCCACGTTGAGATCCAAAACAGATGTATCTTTATGGCAAAAGTTATCATCTTCTGCAGGTACCAAAAAAAAAAAAATCTATATTTTTATGTGTACTTATTGTTCTAGAATGGTGGTGGACAATTCGTATTGCACCTTTGCTTGGTAAAATAGGTGCTATTGTATTTGCCATCATGAGTGTGTGCATCATTTGGTCTGAACTTGTGTTTAATGTTCGAAAACCTGCTATTATTTCCATTGCCTACTACATCTTAAATGCATGCGGTACAAATTATGCTGCATTACAGGTAAGAATAAAAAAAAAAGTATAGAGGACAATACGTTCATCATGACGATAGATCATTGCTTTCTTTACATTGATGTACATGTGTATCTGTGTCTATTCTTCTTTGTTCAAGATCCGGTTCTTTAATCTATATCTTCTTATTCCTAACCATCATACAGACGAAAATAGTCTACTATGGTTTACTGGTTATATGTGTAAAATGATGTAAGTGAAAACAAAGAAAGTGTAGAATGTCTTATGTAGAATAGGGCTCCTTTATGTTACAACTTTATTAATTTGGCTGTGGATGCACCAGGCGTGAGTGAAGCTGTATTTACAACCGTATGTACTCTCGTGTTAGCAATAATCATTAATAAGAAGGATTAGTTTATGGGCAAGGCAGAATATATCAAGTTTTTAGGTGCTTTTGCAGATTGGTTTCCTGTCATTATCTTGATTCCTTCATTGACACTGTTGTTTAACATCCAGGGCAGATGTCTTGGCTTGTGTGGTATCAAGAGTCCGTATCAGGCAAATGATGAAGTGGATCTAATGGAAGATGATCCCGAGTCTAACCAGCGAGGCATGATGGACTCTGATTATGAAGAAGGCGCCCAACTCATCAAAGAAGGTAAACAAGGAGCAACACACACACACACACACACGGCTAACTCATACATCATCCATTAGAAAGGCGAACCAGAGAGCGTGAGATCAACCCAAATGCAAGAGTGAGTACACAAAGTACAAGAAACAGTGTAAGTTCGTTTTGAGCGAGAGAAAATTTTGTTATTTACATTTTTAGGAATATGTGAATCGTAAATACAAACGCACACCTGCTCCTGATTCATTAAGAAGTGAACGAGATAGACGTGTGGATGAGATTTTGTCAGCCAGGAGCAGTATGGATCGATATAGAGACAGTCCTTCTTCTTCTGCTTCTTCTACATTCTCGGGTAACAATGATGCAGTCAAGCTATCTTCTCATTTTACATCCTTGGGTGAGAACCTCAAGCAGAAACTAGGAGGATTCTTCAGTCCGTCTATGAAAACGAATCCTGAGAGCATGCCGTCTTCACCAAGAGCTGCTACACCCAATGATTCAACAACACATCATCATGGAACGGGTGGCCGTGTTTTTGGACGTCCTGTAACAAACGAAAACCATAGTCCATTTGGAGACAATAGACATGAAAATAGCAACCCATCTTCAAGACCTACGTCACCTAACCCTTTCTTTATTCCACCTTCAGGTATCAATCAGAATGCATCTCCATTTTCTCGATTTGAAGATGCTAGTAGAAGCAACAACATCTTTGATGATATTTAGAAGAAAAGTCCCATGTACTACCTAATGATCAAAATAAAAGTCTAGGCAAATCCAGGCACATATTCCATCCAACATATTCTCGAATGGGTACATTGACGTTTCTTTGTATCATTTTTGAATATAAGGAGAAAACTGGGGGGGTTTCTCTTTCTTTTCTTTCTTTTATTTTAGAATGCCTATTACTTGGATGATCGTTTCCAACACTTTTCTTATTCCTTTTGATTCTGAAAATCAAATGTATCTTGAGAATGCACATTTATTGGGCCAATCTCAAGTCAAAGTATGTCACAAGAAAAGAATCACAACTAATTCAATCATTAGCTTACCGATTCTCATTTTCCAAACAAAGGGCCAGTGCTAATTGACTTGAGCAGTAGTACAGCAAAAGCAGATAAATGCATGACTTACAGCATTTGTCGATGGATTGTCTAATTGCGTCTGTCATCAATAAATCATGTCTCATGACATCGTTGTCACACGCATACACCAACACCACATTGAAAAAAAAAAATGATAGCTTTGTTCTTACTAGAAACTCGTATATGATCTACTTGATCTTTTATTCATCTCAATTGAGTTGTGATGAGGTAGTTGGATATGAGCTGCTGTGTGCGTTCGTGTGGATCCTTGTCGATCTGCTGATCTAATTCGTATTGCTCAGCATCCCAAGTGGTGTCAAACGCAATAGTTTCAGACCTGAGCTGGCTTCCAAAGTTTGAGAACCTTGCATGATGAAGGGTTTGACCTGAATGTTTGTCGGACACAGTAACGTGTAGTACACCATACCCCTTTGTTGTTGCAAAACACCACACGTTTGTCTTTTGCCAAACATGCTCTGAATAAAGGCAATACATGTGTTTGATGTAGTTCTGTTATGATAACATAATGGATCATGTCTTTAGGATAGGACTGAGTTACATTCAAACAAAGCATGGTTGGATCTAGAAGTGTGTTTGTTGTACGCACAAGTCTTGGTTGATAAAACATCATAGACATCCGCTTCTTCTTCTACAAAAATAATGTCGAGTTCATGCTTATAGAAATGAGCAAGTAGATAATTATATGTCTCTTCTCCCACTAAGCTCTTTGAACAGACTTTAAAACGGCTATGTGTCGACGAATGATACGATGGTGCAATCTGCCACCATAATACAATGCATTTTCAGTTATGTTGAGTTGAACATCAGCTGATGTGTCTGAAACGACAACAGTAAGATGAACTATGCTCTAATAAAAAGATACATTGAATATCATACTAGGTTGGTCACAAACATGCATTACATCCGCAATACCATAATAAAGTTCAGAAGCAAGATCAATTTAGCGAAATAAACTTAGCAAGTCTTGTTTAAGAAACAAAGGATCGGTCGAGTTCAACTGAAAGGGACTCGTATCATGATGTTGTGTAGATAGACATTGTCCAAGACTGTAATCATAGAACATAGTAGGAAGCCATTGCTTGAGTGCAGTAGTTGACGTTTCATAGACGAGTTTGGATAGCCAGTGGATTGTATGAGGCATATTTGCATGCTTGCTTACGATAGATATTGCAGCTGTTACATTGACTACTGTTGCCATTGTCTTTTTGAGGGTAATACCGCACAAGTCAATGCCAACTGCAATAAGCTTGTAGCTATAAAAAAAAAAAAAAAAAAAAAAAAAAAAAAAAAAAAAAAAAAAAGCGGCTGCATCAATGATATCGAATATAGACAACAACAACAACAAAATCTTACATATAGTTAAATACATTGAGGTTATAAAGTAAGAGGTCGAGTTGAGCCGTGTTAAGAAACTAAAGATCAAAATCAAAAAATACCGTGTGAGGAAAGCGAGCAAATGCATTAAAGAAAACCAAAAAGACATCACACTAAGGTGAATGTACGACCTGTATGTAAGACACATTCGGATTCATTAACGCGCCTTTCCCGAAATGCCTACCCGAGATAGTACTAGCCGTATGGCTTTTATGTCAATATTAGGGTACCTGATACATCTAAAGGTTCAACTAACATGAAACCTTCTCTTTTTCCCTTTGTGTATACCTTGAACGACGATACCACCAAAATATAAGATAAACCAATAATTAACAACAGAAGAATGTAAAGATGATTGCAATTTTAGAGAGATAGACACAAATTTAAATCGCTTAAATCGTTCAAATCGTTCAAATGTAATTTTAGACAAGAGAATATAGAACAGTAAACATAAATTGCTGTGATCTTCTTGGTTTTATTCGATAAATATATAAGTTAAATTTGATTTCAGATAAAACATTATTAGATTTGATGGATTGTATATCAAAGGCTTTTGTTGCCAAGGGTGTATTGAAGTTTTCATTCAAATAGGAGTTAGCAATGCCTTTGGGCATCTAAATCAAAGATCTCAGCTGTTTAACGCTGTCATCAATTGTCTTATCCACGTTCGCAGTGTGTTCTCCTGATGAGCCTTCCAAAACCACTCTTTCAATGCCATTTTTTTTCATGACCAAGATTATCAACATACCATGGATTTCCCTTCTGAAGCCACTCATCCATATCATCCAATGCATGATAGATGGTTTTAACTTCACACCAATTGAATAATAGCATTCCTGTTTGCTTCGAGAAAACCCTGGAAGATAAGCATGACATGTTCAACCCAAAATGTGCGCTCGTAGTCCTTACAAGTTTTGATATGAATTGCTGTAGTACGTTTATTAAAAGGTAAAATACAAAATGACTTATAACGTCAGACACACATGAGAAAATCTAGTAATAAGTAATGGTTATAAGCCCAATTGATACATTTTTCCCAAATAATGTGTCAATTCCCATGAATGATACAACAAATTGCTTCAATCCAGCACTCAAAAACGATTGTATGGCTGGAAAGCTTTGCAATCAATCGAAGTTTTTTTTATTTGCTGTGCTTGTTTCAATGTCCAGGATTGGTTTGAGGGCGTCAACCACATTTTGGAGGAATATGGCGAAATTTGGCGGGTTTAAATATGCTGTTGTGGAATGATGATACTTATTAAAAGCGGTAACAATGAAAACAGGTTGTGATGTTTGGGTTGTGAATGAAGATAGAATAGAAGATAGAAAGAAAACAAAGAAATACAGTGAGACTGTTCAGTACTTCTTTATTACAAAATAAATTGATTGTTCTAAAATATATCTTTTCCAGGTTGTCTTTTATACTACCTGATTTATTGACTAATTATGATTACTGATTATTGATTACTTAACACCTTGACAGCGTGTGCCTGGGAATTGATTATATAAATTCTCCTTTAATTCTCCTTGTTACCTAAAAGGTACAATTATGGTTTCCTTATTTGTAAATATCCATATTATCCCAGTTACCGTTATTTACTGTCATTATACAGTGCTTACTTTATATTTATAATGTATAGTGCTATAAGTGATTATTCATTTATATGATGAAAGATTATTTATTATATTTTGTATTGAAAGTGCTCAGATCACCACACAGGTAAAGTGATAGTTAGTGGCAGAGAATCTCTCAACAAGACTTTGACCTCTTCAATATCATTTTGAATCTTATCCATGGCTTGTTGGTTCTTTGGAACGATCATAAGGAGTTTTGTTTTTGGTAGTACTTGCTTTAGCCATATTATTCAGTGATGATTCCTGGTCGTGAGTTTCGACCCGCATGGGTACGGTTACATCGGACATTCTTCGAAAAATCACCCGGATCAACAATGTTTATACAATATAATATTTTACTAAACTAAATAAATATCTGAAGTCGCTTTGTCCGAGTGGTTAAGGAGTATGACTAGAAATCATATAGGCTCTGCCTGCGCAGGTTCAAATCCTGCAGGCGACGACATCTTTTGCTTTTTCGAGATGTAATAGAAATAGAAAGGCTTTTTTATGATTTTGTAAGGAAGTCTTGAAAAATAAAGGGAGTAAGGGGAAATTTTTGCTTCTGAAAAGCACCATTAAAAAAGATGTTTATCTTTGTCAGAGGAAGCATAGAAATGTAGTATAGTAATTTGTCGAAAGTTTCCATATAGATTATCAAAACAAATGAATCAGGCTTCTAAAGGGCTAGTTAACATTAACCCTTTTCTTTTCTCAAGTTTTATTATCATGCTATCATAGAACACTATTACAAAAAAAGAGTCTGTTTTATTTTCAAACAAACAAATATTTATGGCTTTTGCAAAATGTTGATTTCAAGTACAAAAAGTAAGTAGACCTATTTCATGTTAGCCTCTAACTCGTCTATCCGCTCTTTCAGTAAGAGAAATTCGTTCTCCCAATGATCAATTCTCAGTTTCAAGACATGAAGTTGAGTGGAGCATCTGCATTTTATATTTTGACATGTTGCATAGTCTTTATGTTCTTCTTTGAGACTGTTGTAAAATATTTCCTTTGCTCCTCTTTTAGGCGCATTCAATGATTGTTCATTACCCATAAAAATTAAAATTCAACTACAAAAAAAGGATATTTTTTTGCATAAAAAAAAGCACTTTTATATCATGAATACAATAAATCATGTTTTTTTTTTCTAATTATTGCATAATTTTATTTTAGATTTACATGTTAAGCAAGCCAGAAAAAAAAAAAGAGAGAGAGACTTGAGATTGTTGAGTATATTGTTGTATGAGATGAAAGAAAAAATGGTTAGATGTCGAATAAAAGAGGTCTGGGAGGAGGAATATTGTTTTTCATTGACTTGTGAATCAGTTTGAACAAACCAGTACCGATAGACATTGGTATACCCTAATGAAGGAAAATAGTTAAATACAATGAAAATCACTTAATAGCCTTCCTACCATAATGATTTGTTCAGAGACACCAACAATACCATCCTTCTTACTGTACAATGCTGCTTCAAACAAGTGATCCGTTGTCTTTTCAAAAGAAGCAATACTAAGAACACTGTCCTTCATCTTGGAAATACCGAAACGAGTAATACCCAAGACTTCACCTTTACTGGTCATAATATCACCAAGCAAGAAGACGTGACGATGATCAATGGTCATACCGTGAGAGGACATGGTCATTTGAATTTCGTTAATGATTGTATTTCTATTCAATGGTAAGTTGAAAGCACAATAGAGATTCTGTCCTTACCTTGCAGCTTCAATACCCAGCACATCAGCAACTTCCATAACGTGATTAGACGTAGTTTCTTGACCAATAATACCATCTGTAGTCATGACTTCTAATAAACCATAACCTTCAACCAGCAGTTGCTTGGCACCTCTTCCACCTTCCTTTTCACTAATAACAGCACGGACAACGTCAGGTAAACCTGTGATCACCACACTGGATAAGACACGCTTAAGAGCCTTCAAACTATAATACATAGATTCATCTTGTTTGGCATGAACATAGACACGAATGATATCAGGTCTACTTGTTTGAACATCCTATAGTACAAAGTGTGAATAGAGATATACATATAGCTTAGTACTTACTAATTGACCCATCTTTAGCTTGGGAGCAGTTTTGATAGCATGTGCAATCTGATGAAGATTGGTTTCTAATTGAAGTCGATTAATGGCATCTAGATCAATACGAAGCAAGATATATGTTTCATTGGGCTCATAAACTTCATCCATATACATGGCGACATCACCCAAGGTTGTCTTTTCCACACGACCCTTAACCACACGAGCAGCTCTTACATCCTTATTTGAGTGAAGTTCACACTTGATAATGGGCGTAGAAATGACCTTAGCAGCGTTAATAATTTCCTTGATACGAGGTACACCAAGCGTAATATTCATACTAGCAACACCGGCAAAGTGGAAAGTCTTCAATGTCATTTGTGTACCAGGCTCACCGATTGATTGAGCGCCAATAGCGCCTACAGCAGTACCAGGTTCAATCTTAGCCTTCAAGTACTTGGAAAGACAGACATTCAAATAATCACGTAATTGGCGTTCGGTCACTACAAACAAGTTACGAACAGTTGTCTTGACTGCTTCTTCTTCATCCTCATCAATATCAATATCCATGTAATCTTCATCAGGCATAGCAAGACCTGATTGTAAACCGTGCTTTTTACGAATGGAAGCCAATTTACCAGCCATCTTTTCACTGACAAAAGCGAGTACCATATCAATAAAGGACTGAAGACAGTTCTTCTTCCAAATATCTCTTTGTACTTCCTTTTGAGTAATGTAGTTGATTTCCCAAGGAAGAAGACCTCTTTCACTACCAGGAGGAGTAATTTCCTTGACGTGACGCAAATTACGAGCAAATTCGACAGGAATACCATCACCTTCAATTGTCATAGGATCCAAACCATCAGCACCATAACAGAATTGCAACATAGCACCTTCAGAGTTACGAACAGAGAGATCGTAGTGTGTAACCAAATCTTCAAAGGCCTTCATCAAACGTCTAGCCATATAACCAGTTTCAGCAGTCTTGACAGCTGTATCAACCAAACCTTCACGACCAGAAATAGCGTGGAAAAGGAATTCAGTAGGACTAAGTCCAGTGTAGAAACTGTTTCTCACGAAACCCTTGGCTGGTGGACTCTTAGAGTGCTTCAAGAAGTGAGGCAAAGATCGATCTTGGAAACCATTAGGAATACGACTGCCACTAATAATCTGTTGACCGACACAAGCAACCATTTGCGATACGTTAATTTGTGAACCCTTAGAACCACACCGAGCCATGATACTGGGAGAATTGTACATGTTTAATTCTTGCATACAGACCTTACCAAGATCACCACGAACAGCAGACAAAATACCAGAGACAATCGATTCCATGGTCTGTTCTTCGTTACAACCAGCCATGGTTTCTAATTGACCACTATTGTATTGAGCAATGATATCATCACACTTGTCATAAGCCTTTGTTACTTCTTCATTCTTGATCTTGCTTAAACGGTCACCAGGTGTTACATCACTAATACCAATAGAGAAACCACGGTTAGCAAGCCAACGAGCACAAAGCTTGGCAAGACGATTCATACATTTAGCAGCTTCGATAGGTCCATAATCACGCAAAATAACATAGAATACTGAACTCTTATTACCATCACCTACAATAGCCTTATCCACAAGGCCACACATGATTTCACTATTTTGAACAACAAGCCAACCGTCGTTAGGACACATATCGGGCAGACGGCCTTCTTCTTTAACAAACGACTTGTTTTTTGTCTCAACGTTCAACATGACCTTGCTTTCTTTGTTGGGTCTAAATAGCACATTAAAGACTTGCTTACCAGTCCATAATCGTTGAGGCTTCCAGATGACAGGAGGGGGAAGGTCAATCTTTAATTCACCATCCATCATCATTGTACAGGCTTGAACAAATTCACCACGGGTATAGAAAGTGTCTTTGTGTGATAATAAATAAGAGGCTGTAATGAAATCTTGTGTGGCAGCAATAAGGGGTTCACCGTTACGAGGGGTAACCAAGTTGTTTTTAACACCCATCAATTCAATGGCTTCTGCTTTAGCTTCTTGAGTCTGGGGCAAGTGCATATTCATTTCATCACCATCAAAATCAGCATTGTAAGGTGAGCAAACACATTCATTGAAACGGAAGGTTCTCCAGGGCATTACCTTGGCAAAGTGAGCCATGATAGACATTCTGTGAAGAGAAGGTTGACGGTTGAACAGCACAACGTCGTTATCAGACAAGTGACGTTCGACTAAATCACCAATCTGCAAATCAGCAGCAATTTCTTGACGGTTACCAAACTTAAGGAAACGCTTGAAACCATTTGCACCTTGTACGAAATTAGCACCAGGATGAACAAAGGGACCATTAATGATATTTTGACGCAACTTGTGAATATTGTGCTTATTCACACGTTCAGGGAAAGTCAAGACCTTGGCAACACGTTCAGGTACAGCCACTTGATCAATACGCATATTGGGATCAGGGGAAATAACAGTACGACCCGAGAAATCCACACGTTTACCTGACAAGTTACCTCTGAAACGACCTTGCTTACCCTTCAAACGTTGGCAAAGACCACGACTAGGCTTACCAGAGGTAAGATTAGGTACACCAGGAAGTTCACTGTTGATATACATAGCAGCAGCCAATTGTAAGAATTCCCATTGTTCCATCAAATTCATCACAGTAACACCTCTCTCTAAGCCAGCACGAATGATGGCATTGGTGAAAATAATTTCGGTCAGTTTGGCTGTCAAATCATCTTCATTACTACTGTTATCATCTTGAACAACAGAGGGACGAACACAAGAAGGAGGAACAGGAAGATATTGCCAAATATACCATTCAGGTCTACCATGTTCTTCACTCAAACCTAGCAATTCACAATCTTCAGGAGAAATACGTTGAAAGAGTCGTAATACACGGAGAGGGTTGAGATCATCTTGTGCTTTACTGATGTGAGGTTTGATTTCAGGCATAGAAGCAGCAGCAGCTTCAAAGGTCTTTCTGAACTGCTCAGCTTCTGCATCAACTCGCTTCAGACGGTATTTATCGTGTGTGATTTTCATAGGACCGACTTTTTTAACAACACCGTTGACGGCATTACAATGAGGACAATAGGTAACTTTTTTACATTTATCTTGTACTTGTTTGATGATTCTGCCTCGTTGCAAATTATCCAATCCAGGTGCTCTCAATCTCTTCAAGTACATACGGCGATCTGCTTCTTCCAACATGACACGACTGCATGACTATATGAATGTATGAGATTCAATTCAGTCACTAGAATACACACTTGCCTTACAAATTTCTTGCAAAATATTAATGACAGGTCTAAAATAACCAATGTGAAAAATAGGCAAGACCAGCTTGAGATAACCCCAATGGCCTGCACATTCTTGCATTTTGTTTCCACAAGTCTCACAGAAAGCGTCTTTTAATGTGGTACCCTATATGCATCGTGTAAGTCATTCTTTCTCCATTGATTTATTGTTTTACCAATCTCAAATCCAGAACACCACCCTTGATAGGTGTACGACTTTCAGGCATGTAAAGGTCTCTCTGTGTGATTTCAAATTCAGCAATCTTCACCATGTTTTGTGGCGACATGACACCAAACTGGATGTACCGACTATAAAAACATAAATAACTGGGTTAAACTTGTATGTGTATTTACATTTTCTTGGGGGTATTATCGATAACTTGTTCTTTCATTGTTGAATTCTCAGTTGACTATGTACAAAAAATAAGCATTCAATGAACACAGCTATAATAAGCTTACCTAAAGGGAAAGACAAGAAAACGAAGTGGGTTCAAACAAGATCGCAAAAAAAAAAATCTATGGATTCAAGCTTTCCTGTTCTTTCTTTTTCCTTTAAAAAAGGGAATTTCTATCTTAAATAACAGAGCTTATGGAAGTGTATCGAAAAACTTGATGTTATATATCACCAAAGAAAAAAAAAGACAGGAGGGATTTTTTTACTGAAAAAAATTCAAAATTCATGACTGCTTGCCCCAAAAAACCAGTCCCAGAAGGGGCGCACGGTGATTCAACTAGATCTGTCAAAACGGAATTTGGCTGAAAATGCATGAATGTTGATGAACACAGACGTAATAGACTATACAAGTCAACTAAAGACTTTTTTTGACAAGTTATACCAGAGATATTTATAGCTTATCTTTAAGTGATAGCAATGCAAGTTGGTGTGATAGACTATAATGATCTGTGAATTCAAGAAAGTCAGAAACAGGTTCAAGTCAAAGCTAACCCCTTTTTTACAAGCCTGAAAACAGCTTGTTGCCCGTACATGTATTTAAAAGCTTACTAGTTTGCTTTCCCTCTTCTTCAAAAAGACTCATGTTTTCAAGACAAATTTACAGCTCAAACAGTCCTTTTTCTTTGTTGTCTTTTCAGACAAGAAGTATTATAACACAGCAGCAACTCCTATTAATTTCAGCTAAAAACAAACATTTTTTTAACAAGAGAGGTTTGCTGGGCCTAAACCTTACCTATACCCCTCCTTATGGTTTAATCAATCACTATCACGCAAGTATCCAAGACAATTCTAATACGCGTTATTGTTCGGTTTGTAAACAACCTTTCACAACCCTTTCTTACTTGAATAAGATCTCAAAAAATGGTACTACATGTATTGGTTGTGCTAGGTTTGTTATGTTAAATTTTATATAGTTTATCTAAATATTATAAAAAGGCTACTAGGTTCATTCAAGGAGTGTCCCGAAAAGCAAACCGAGATCATTGATCTATTGGTACTAGTAAGTCAAAGCATCAACCCAAAATCTAAATGTTTAGCAGAAAAAAAAGAAGAAAACCTCTGATGAAGAAAAAATGGATATAGAAAGTTTTTATCCTCGTCTTTATCGACTAGCATCTCGCAAGATTAAGGAGATGAGTCATAGACAAAAGCCCTTCATAACGTCAAATAAGAAAGATGGTTTTCAACATGACTTACCAACTCCAAAAGAATTAGTTGAGGTGCTGATAAGATCAAAAGGTAAATGCGCTATCAGTGGTGTCACAGGCCATTGGCCAATAGAACATTATTTGAAGCCTGCTCCTCTCTTGTTAGTGATCGATCATATTATTCCTGTTTCTCGTGGTGGTTCTTTTGGTGTTGGGAACATTCAAGTTGCTCTTAGCTGTATCAATCAGGTTAAAGGAAACCGTACGGATGAAGAAGTTAGAGTATGGCTAGAGGGGCTTAGGAAAAACCATAAGAAAAAGGATGAATGATAATGATGAAGACATTAATAAACAATAGCTTGTTTGTTCCTTGATCTATAGCAAAATACACAAGTATTGTTGTAAAGATACACCAATTAGTTCAACAAGATATTGATTGTATAAGTAAAAAAAAAAAAAAAAAAAAAAAAAAGATTTCTCACAAGAGATAAGTGCACTCAATTTATCCATTTATTGATACAGTGAAACTGGGAAATATTGGTTGATTAGGAAAAATAGATGGTGATTATGAAAAAATAACTTGGAGCTTACTAAAATTACACTGAGTTAAACTAATTTTACCTCTTATACAATGAAGCTGGAAACTATACAAATTTCAATGGTGATAATGATGAAATTATTTAGACTATGCAAAAACAGTGATTGATGGAAAACCAAATTTTGGATTGGTGAATTTTGAAGATTGGTCTGAGCGCTTTCAGACGATTAAAACCGATTATGTAATACAGAAAGATCACCAACGAAGACATCAGTCACTTTCTCAAAAAGAGTCTTCATACAGGGTTTCTCGAAATTATTCGAGCACTTGACGAAAAAAAGTTCAAGCAGTTACTGAAAGAAAATTCGTGCACAAAAAGTAGCGAAGATCGAGCATTGTTTGAACAGGAAACGTATTTAATAGAATTAAACACGCTTGATTTTTTTATCATTTTTCAGCTTGGATTGTCATTGCATTCATGCTTGAATTTTTATTTTTTTTATAAAGAAAGGACAACTTATTCTTATCTTAAAAACTCTATTTCTTTTGATACTCCAGCCAATTAAACGTGACCACTAATTATTTATCTCACAGTAATCAAGGAAACGCGTTTCTTGCTTCTTTCCTACTTTTTTCACTCTAAAGCAAGATGTCTAACAGTGGACCATCGAACCTCGTTGAAAAGCTAAAACAAATTGCTGAGAAGCGAAACAATTTGCAAGCAGATATAGAACTGAGATATCTGGAAGAGGCTACCTCTGTAATATTTGATCAACACTTTTAATTTTTAATTGTTCTAAATCGCGCCTTGCAAATTATAGATTGCTACTGATACCCGTTCCGCCAAAAGACAAAAAGTATGTATACTTTATAATCACTATGTATTTTATCATTGAAGTTACTAAAGCCAATAAAATAGACAACAGCAAAAGACGCAGTAAAAATCCCTGGACTTAACAAGACACTAGGCGAAAGCCTTTTGGATCTCATCCCTTTTAAAGAAAAACAGAGCAAGAAGACATATATTTCGACTAGTACGTAACATTTTTTTAAATGAAAAATAACATATTGCTAACAAGAGTTGTTCGAAGTTTGTCTAAAAATATGATTATTGATCTTACGGATGCCTCTTCTGAATCACAATTGCGTTGGTTCTCTGTTGACGTAGCAAACAAAATTAAAGAGAAATACATAATCAAGAAGCCTGAATTCAAGGACAACAATATCGACTGTCTCTTGAAAAAACTAAATAAGGTATTTGTATATGAATGCAACAGCTTATACTTTAATGATACTAAAAAGTTATATTTAGGCTAAAACACCGAACAGTCTTTCTCGCTTTTTAAATGAACTGGAAAGTTTCAAGTCGAATGATTTGAAAATAAAAAGTGTCAAAAGAATATATGAACACATGTAAGCTATAAAATTTGCGGTACAAGTAAGTTTATTTACAAGCTTTCTCCTAGCTTGGTGATTCATACCGAAAGAAACTGGCTCTTGAGTAAAGAGTCTCGATCGCACTTGACAGAATTTGATTATCAAGTCAAATTTTGGGGGCCAATTTTCGAGTCCTTTTTCTCCTCAGACTCAACTGTTCTTCATTGGTAAGTATTCTAATGTTCCTTTGCATATTACGTCTTTTAACTTGTATTGATTTTACATAGGGGGGACACCATGTCCACACCCTGCAAAAAAAAACAAGTTGAAGTTTAGACTGGACCTCCGCCTGTTAATATTCAACGATGAAGAAATAATAGCGGATGGAATGACGGGTGAGGTGGCTCGAATGGCTTCTAAAGGAAAGCTATATGGTGATCGATTGAAGTCTGTTTTGGCAACGAAATGCCATTTAAATAACCTTCTTTCCACAATTTCTTGCCTTGATGCTAACACAGCAAAAAGTATCTCTGTTCCCGTAGTGCAAATAATGGGGCTCAATGCACACGTCTTTGTATTGAAGTTAGTAAACAGAGGAATTTACACACTTCAAGAAGTATGCTCCTTTCGCTTTCCAGTGGCAACTAACAGCCTCAAAGACAATTTGAAAGAAATAGTTGATGGATTATCTTTGATCGAGGTAAAAAATAAGCGAAAGCGCTTTCATAACTTATATTTATACTAACACCACTGCGAATATGAAGTCGTTGGTATTAGAAATAAGGCAAGTTTATCAGACTTACCAGCTACCTCACGACGACCATATGGCTCGTATTGTCAACGAGGAGAGAAGGCTTAAAAAGTTTTCCCCTTCCAAATGGACAACGGATGTGATATGGAATCCTGATGTAGCAGAGGAGAAAGATGGAGAAGAAGAAGAGGAGGAGAATGAAGATGACGAGGATGAAGATGGGGAAGATGATGAAGAAGATGATGAGTAGGTGAAGAAGAAAGAAAGGGAGGGAGGGAGGGAGCAGTAGAAGAGGAAGAAAGAGAGGAAGGGAGGGCCTTCACACTTTTTGATCACAATAAAGTAAGTACTGTTGAACAAGTCATCAAACCCAATAGTTCTATTTGTATAAAAAATTCTGAAAATCCTCTGGATCTTGATGCCATCATATTTCTTGATCACTCATCAAACGTACCAGCTTCTAGACCGGATAGGCTACAACTCCGTTTACCACATCTATTTTAGCGCAAAAAATGCCGATTCGTAAAGTAAACATCTTACTGCCTCCATAGTCAAAGATAAAGTTCGCATTCCGATTGTTCACTCTACACGCAATAACATCAGCCATGGCCTCTTAGGGCTATTGCAGTCTGCTATTATTCATGTTGGATATAAAACTCAACACTACACAAAAAGTGACGCAACAAAGAAGCAACGAACTCTTACTACATTAAAGTAGAGTGCATAATACATACCTGTGTGTTCGAAAATTTTAATGATTTGGAATACGCTTACTTTACATTAGGTGATTGTAGAGCAAGCTTCTATACGAAGTCAGAATAATTTGACAAATAAAATTAAGATGCGTTTGATTATCTGTGGGAGATAACCACTCTTTTAAAGCATCCACAAAATATAAGCGTTTGCCTGAATTAAATTTTTTACTTTTGTGGATGCTTAATCTATTTGAAAAATATGCGAACAACGATGTTTCCCCCAAGTGCAAGCTTTAGCGAATTTAACTTTATAAAAAGTGACCCTATGTGGTGATCTGAGCTATAATATAGAAGAAGATTTGTGATATATACGCTTGAGAATGCTCGCAGAAATATTAATTGATTGATCATAATTTTGAAGAAAGTGAAAACCTTAAAAGGGTGAAAGTAGAAATGCCAAATTTTGATACTCTCTACAAGCTACGCGACCGAAATATAAAACGATTGGAAGTGTTTATTTATGAGACAAATTAGCATGTCATAAGCGGTAGATATCATAGTTAACAGGAGATGGCGTTAAAAAGTTTGGAATTATGAGGTTAATATCGTAATTTTCAATCATATTCGTTTCATATATTCAAGTAATCTTGGGAGTGACTCCAGGCTATACTAGTTTCCCAGGAATTACATATTCACACACGCAGAAAAAGTAGTTCTTCGAATACTGAAGTTCAAACAAGATAATCAAACAAACCCGCCACTTGAAGCGCGACGGAAAACCATCTAGCGTTGTTCACACCAAGACCATCATCTTGAATGCTATTTGTTCTATATCTCACAGCTAAACCTACACCTACTGCTCTTGGGCGTGAATGCATTGACTTGAATAGCCAAACACGGGGCTAGATCCGGCGCCTAAGACACACTATATAGTGATGGCCATATAATGAACTTAAGACATTCACAAAAGCAGCGTGTGTATGAAGACTTGACTTTCCATCGACCGTCTATATACAAAAGAAGGAAAAAAGATTAGATAGGATATCAAAACCTAGATCAAGTGCATTTTACCTTTAACACTATGCTCGCCGTGAACCAAGTAAGATAGTCAAACAAACCCGCCACTTGAAGCGCGACGGAAAACCATCCAGTGTTGTTCACATCAAAACCATCTTGAATGTTATCTGTTCAAAGCCTTATAATAACGTCAACATGTAGTGCCTTTCGCTGTGGATGCTTTGACTTTGAGAGTCCAAGAGATGTTTTATAGAGGTAGCCTTGTATTGAACTTGAAAACAATCATAAAGGCAGCGATTGCTTATTGGAGTTTGATTTGTGAGGAAATTGCTTATGTGAAATCATAAATTTCCACCGAGTGACGTCAGTCAGTCATAGGTCTACAAAATTGTCCGAGCCGCATCTACCTCCCCTAATTAATAATGGACCAATCATTTTCTATTATTTCGCCAAATTATTTTTTTATTATCACCAATATTTACCTGCCTTACTGTATCATCAAACTATAACAATGATATGAAATCTAAAATTATCATTATTTCTAGAGGAAGAGAGTACCTTATTATTATAAGCATACATTTTCTCTCTTTTTTGATTTGATTGTTTATTACTATCATATGCTTTTGTAAGTCGGCATTTCATCATTGTGTGTGTGAGAAAAAAAAAAATGGAAAAGTGTATGAATGGTATCATTTATTAAGGAGGAAGGAGGGGGGTATAGTATTAGAAGCTAACCTGTTCGGCTATAGAAGAACACAAGATATGATCAGTCAATTCTAGTTGATCATTTTGTTGATAACGTTGCATTAAAGAAGAAGACAAAACCCAAATGATACGTTCTATCTCTACCAACTTTTGAACGATATGATGTCCATTAGCGAATTCGTCACCGCCTTCAATATGGGTATGTGGTTGAATATGCTTGATTAAATGGAGTTTGCCTTCCTCTGAATTACAATAGAGTATTTTACGCTTATCTAAAGATGGACCGTCAAACAGGTTGACATTATGAAGCAATTGTTGTATTTGATCTTGTTCTTCAGCAGAATTTATCTGAATAAGAATGTAAATATCATATAGCTGAGATAGTCTTGATAAAAGGCTTAATGTGTTCTCATGAAATGCATGGTTGGGTCTATTTATGTCTCTGGAAGGATTCCATAAGATAGTCTATAAGAAAAACATAAGAGTATGTTTCGATTTCTAAAAACTTACGTTTTTTAAAGAGAGGGTCAGCTTCTTTTTCTTTCGCATGTTAGAAATAACATTATCTATCAGTCTTGAACTCCAAAAACCGAGAGGAGAAGTTACTCTAGGAGAAAGCTCATTTGTATGCATAGAATGTGGTGAAGTAGGAGGAGTAATCAACTGCGGACAATTAAAATAAGTTTTCTAGTTTTGCAGCAATGTTGAACGTACCTGTCTTCTTTTATAATCATGTTGCTCAACAAAAGACAAGTTAGAGAAAGTACTGATTGATCTTTTTATGTCTGTCGAAACTGACAATTTCTTTTGCTGAGCTCGGTACTTTGTAAGGCTGTTCTTCTTGTACCAATAAACTATCATGCCAAGTATAGCAGTGGCTAATGACGAATAACCCATCATTCTTAAAATTAGAACTGGCAGCCATTTTTGATAGGGATGATAGTTCAGCTTTTGTACAATCATTACTCTTTGTTCCAAGATATAAAGAAGAAGAAAAAAGGGGAAAGAAAGAGAAATATATATATAAAAGGAGTTTTATAGTCTATATTTCACATGCCAATTTTTTATATATATTTATACGGTGCCTCAGTTGATCAAGACCGAAAATGTGATACAGAGTCTCCGAGTTACATTACAAAAAATATGGGGTCGTCACTCAACATGCACTATGGTGCATGTGCTAGTTAGTACGTGCCGTTCAACTATGTTTATTCCACTAAAAAAAAAAGTGACCAGAATGCAAAATGCCTTAAATGATGTCAGCATAAATGCATGCAACTTTATCACAGTGCGATTATACATGTGAGTTTTGTCACGGGGTTAATGATAAAGAGATGGATTATGTAAGATCCTATAATTTATTTATATGAAAAACCATTTTAACAGAACCAAATGTTTTGTATCACAACAGATAAGAGATCAAATATGCTCATTGGTGGATTATCTGCAGTTGTCTCTTTTTAAAGTTTGTAGTCAAAGCAGAGCATTCACATGCAATTGCTTTGAGAGCAATAGACTGAATTCTTAAGTCTAAAAAGAATTTGTATAAGCCAACAATGGTTTATTTGTATATATATATATATTTAGCACTTTTGTCATTGTACAAAACATTGTTTTTTTTAAAAAATTTCTAATGCAGGTAGCCATAGAAAAGAATAAATCAATATACAAATAGCAATTATTGTATTAATTAAGTGTAATGCTTCAACATCAAAACTAGTTCGACTTATCAATGATTAAAGAGAAACAATGTTTAATGGAAACTTAAATTTTATCACAAAAGTTTAGTAAATGCATCAGACGCTTTGGTGATTTATTAGAAAATAGGTATTTGAATTAAGATAATCAAGCTCAAACATAACGAGAGAGCCATTTCCGATTGATTAGCAAGAAAGTGTATCGTATAAAAGCATTTGTTTCGGTAGAACTGATTCAGCAACTTTAGACCTTTCTTAAACCCACACAACTGAGTTCAAATAAAAGTTCTGTAGTCATTCACGCATGTATTCATCCAATCATAAGCAGTTATCATGCCTGATACACTTTGATTTTGTAACATTTTAGGAAGACTATGATAACATAGCCCTGATTATCATGCTATTTTTCAATTTTTTTGTTCTTCCTTTTTCTTTTCCTTTAATTTTTAACCATGTTGAAAAAAAGAATAGGTTTCTTGTTCAACAATGAAGTGAGCAATAAGCCACGTACTTCTTCTATAAAGAAAAAGAAGGCCCAGACCCTAACACCAGTGATTATCAAGGCAGAACAACCAGAAGATATCTTGGCAGACTGCGACATATTTAAACAAAAGACTTCACCTATTTGGAAAAGAAAACGATTTCATTTTATTATTGGTTTATCTATGGGTTTATTAGCAGCGTATGGTGCTTCTACTACACCTGTGGCTCAAACGCATTTAAATGAGTTTCAGACTTATCTAGCTCTCCATTTATCAGAAATGGATCTAGCTAGAATGTTGCCTATGACAGAAATAGTCGATGAACTCTTGGGTAATGTGACCAATTTCTTTACGCCTATACCTTCAACGGATCAAGCATTTATGCCTGCCTTGTCATTCAAGTAAGAACTAGCCTTATCAAATCAATACTTATGACGTTAGAGAGGAAATGGACTTGAAACCTCATTTTCCGGTTGTTTTGATTCCAGGTATTATTTCTTCTGGATTGGAATCTTGGGGATCAGCAGAAAAATCAAGAAGGTTTTTTAGAAAGAGAATGTGGGGCACAACAAGTAAGACGTTATCTCTTATAGGCAACAAAGTTTACACCTTTAAATAGCTATGTTTCGGTCGGTATTGCTGGATAAAGAGTTATGGACAGAACACTTGAAACTCGACCCTGTGACTGGACTAGATCCTCCTGGGATTAAGATTAGAGCTGCTCAAGGTAAATACAATAGGCTAATCGAGGCTTTTCTTACACTATTTAGGTTTGGATGCTGCCGATTATTTCGTCACTGGGTAGTTATCTTTTGCTCTTTTGGTATAAGCACTAATACAGAAAATAGATATTGGATTTGGGCCAAAATCATTGAAAATCTTGCATTCATTGGCTACGACAACAATAACATGTATTTGGCTAGTTACGATTGGAGATTGTCTTTTTCTAATCTAGAAGTACGAGACCATTACTTTACGAAACTACAAAACTTAATCGAAACATCTAAGAAGACCACCCAACGCCCTGCTGTTATTGTTACACATTCAATGGGTAACATATGATGACAACTTCACATGTAGATGCTTATCAGTACTCATAGGATCAAGTATGTTTCCTTATTTCTTGAGATGGGTACAAAGCCCTGAAGGTGGAAATGGCGGTGAGGATTGGACAGAGCGCCATATTGCTTCTTTTGTGAATATTGCAGGACCTATGGTGGGTGTTCCCAAGGCATTGACAGCTTTGCTCTCAGGCGAAACACGGGATACTATGTCATTAGGCAGTTTTAGTGCTTATTTATTGGAGAAGTTCTTTTCAAGAAGAGAAAGAGCAAGTCTGATGCGTTCTTGGAGCGGAGGATCCTCTATGTTGCCAAAAGGAGGTGATGCTATCTGGGGCACTCGCAACGGTGCTCCTGATGATGAAGATAACAGTTATCATTCTTATGGCAACATTATTTCATTCACAAAAACAAACGAAGAAGAAGCTACGGCTGAAGAGAAAGATAAGAATAAAACGATTGAGAAAATGATCGACAAGGACGTAGACCAGAACTATAGTGTAGAAGACTCACTAGACTTGTTACATCAGTCAGCTGCTGGTGATTTCTCTCGAATGCTCCAGACAAATTATTCTTATGGTATCACTACATCCAAAAAGCAATTGAAAAAGAACAATCAAGACCCTAGAAAATGGTCGAATCCTTTAGAGTCCCAGTTACCTATAGCACCTAGTATGAAGATTTATTGTATGTATGGTGTTGGCAAGCCAACTGAAAGAAGTTACTATTATACCCGAGTCAATGAAGATATCAAGACCAGCTCAGAAGAAGATGTAGACTATAAGGATGTTTCCAAGTTGTTAAACGGAACAGCCATTCATGAAGAAGAGTTTATGGATGCTGTGGTAAAGGATTCTATATATAAAAGACGGCCCGAGGAAAGCAGTAGTACGGATGATGTGCCACATCCACCTTCTATTGTAAGTAAACAAAATTGACAAGCATGATACTTACTTTTGTCAGTATATTGATAGGGCAATGCATGAACCATCCAAAGGGGTTGAAACAGGTGTGCGTTTCTCTGACGGGTAAGTAGTCCTTCGCACAGCTTGTTGTTCTTATATTTCGTTTACGCAGTGATGGCACTGTGCCTCTATTGTCTTTAGGTTACATGTGCGCACCCTCTGGTGGTTGGACAAAATATGCAGATCTTTACAATCCAGGCCGTAGCCCAGTTGTAGTAAAAGAATATGTACATGAACAAAGTGATAGCAAGTTAGATGTTCGAGGGGTTCTAAAGCAGGTGATCATGTTGATATTCTAGGCAATTGGGAAATGACAGTAAGTAGAGCTGACATATTAAAGGCAGTGGCACTAATCGCACTGTAGCTCGATATTCTTCAAATTGTATCAAATAAGGGAGAAAATGTCACACAACGCATTGTGTCTAATATTGAAAATTATGTACAAAAGATTAATCTTGAACCATTACCGTAAATTTAATTGAAATAAATTGCCACTTGTTTTTATGAACTTTGATGCCTTGTTTTGTTGAAGATAGGAGAAGACGTCTTCTCCCCTTGAATAATACCTGTTCATTACCGAATACCTTGGCAAACTCGGAGCAAGCCTTTTTTTTTTTTTTTTTTTTTTTTTTTATTGAGGCTATTGCTATACAAAATAGTGAAGTATTTGTACAAACAACATTAGTTAGGGAAAATGTTCTTTATTAGAATTGTAGAGTTTATTAAGTTTAAGCTTTGAGCGGTAAAAAAATTAAAATTGTCTGAAACAAGGTTAAAAGCATTGCTCAAAGAGGAGTCAACACTAACAGCAAAAGATACTTTTCTTTTGTCAAGTATTAGTTTGTTGCAAAAAGCAAGATTATTACTACGCAGTTCCCTTAAGTTTTGAGTGCTTATGACAGATATGTATCATATTCGTGTGGGTAGAGATAGTCAACATGGTTACATTCAAGAATGAATAGAAATTTGGACCTACTGATTTTAAGTCTTAAGCTCATTTTGACCCGTTCTTGACGTAAAGCTAATACAACACGTTGAGTCTAATATTGAAGAATATAACACTAAAATAGAGATACACTTATCGCCACATATTCTCCTTGGTTTTAACATGCGTCTTGCACATTACAGCATAATATTTTCGACATTAACATAGTGTACCAATGCTCCTATTGTATTTTGAACCTGTTTTTTTCTTGCTCCCATTCTCTTGATAAAGAAAACGCCCCTTAAAAACATATAATGACCAGAAAGGTACGATTTCCATATTAAGCAACATGACTGTTACTTTTGCCAGTGTATAAAAAAAGAACGCCTTCTTTTATTTCTATTTTTTGGGCTTCTTTTTTCCCTTTTTTTTTTTTTGAAAAAACATTATGACACTTTCACCCTCCTCTAGTGATCCAATCACGCCACCAGCAACGCCTATAGGCAATCAATCTCAGAGCAGCCATACACATACCTCTATCTATCCCAGTCCAACCAATTCCACGTCACGCTCGAGTTCTTCAGCATCATTAAAGCCTTCTTTTTCAATTCGAGAAAATGTGCAAGTGATGGTACGCTGTAGGCCTCGATCAAAAAAGGAATTAGAAATTGATGAAGAGCCTTGTTGGCTTATTCGACCTGAAGATGGCACAATTGAACTTGCACGATTAAAAGCACCTAAAACAATCCAAGGCTTTCAGTTTGGTAGTATAAAAATAAATCAAATTACACATGATTTAATCTGTATGATAGATAATGTGTTAATGGGCATGGACAACTCACAAGTACATAAAGCTGGTATTAGAGATCTCGTGAGGTAACAAATAGACTTATTTATTATTGTTACTTATTCTACTGCGCCCATTGTAGGTCTGCCATGATGGGCTATAATGGCACTGTATTTGCTTATGGTCAAACAGCCAGTGGTAAAACTTATGTAAGTCATTTTATTATTTCCAACAGACTTACTCACTTATTCTTTAGACGATGGTAAAAAAAAAAAAAAAAAAAAAAAAAAAATTGTTTGTTCCAAGACTCACCTCGCTCATTTACATTTCAATTTGTAGATGGGTAAGAAGTTTAACAATGCAAGTTTTTATTTTTAATCGCAGTTTGTTTTTTCCTTCTCCTCTCTCAGGTACCGAAAAGGAACCGGGAGTTATACCACGTGCAGTACAAGACGTCTTTTCTTTTATAGAAGAGGTAACAAAAACAAAGCAAAACAAACAAAGATGTAACAACCCTATAGGAAACTTCTGGAAGAGAATATTTATTGCGCGTTTCATATATGGAAATCTATAATGAAAAGATCAAGGATTTACTTAATACTGAGAACAAAAACCCAGAAATCATTGAAGACAAGGTTTGTGTGTTTTTATGCAACAACTTGTATCTTACCAGGAAATAGAAAGGTATTTATGTACGCAACTTGAGAGAAGTGATTGTAAAGACACCCCAAGAAGTCATGGACTGTATTAAAGAAGGCGAGGGCAATCGTCACATTAGTGCCACTGATTACAATGAACACAGTAGTCGTAGTCATACTATTTTTCAATTGGTGATCGAGAGTAAATCAAAAGGTGGAATGATACCAGCAGGTGCTAATCGTGGTGTTCGTGTATCTCAGCTGGTAAAGACATATCCTGTTTTTTTTAATATAGGAACTAAAGCATAAGAGTTAGAATTTGATTGATTTAGCTGGTTCAGAAAAAGTAGCAACAGATGTTGAAAGAAGAAAAGAAGGTGCCTTTATCAACAAGAGTTTATTGACATTGGGAAATGTCATTTCTAAATTGACAAGTGATGAACCGTAGGTTTATATGTTTATACTTCATCTCACTAACATGTATAGTGCTGTTCATATACCTTTTCGAAATTCAAAACTAACACGTATCTTACAAGCTGCATTATCTGGAAATGCACGCATTTCTGTGATTTGTACTATTAATCCTACGTTGGCTTCGAAAAATGAATCTCTGAATACGTTGCGTTTCGCTCAACGCGCCAAACTTGTCAAGACAGCAGCTAAAATGACAAGAGTAAATGGTATCATTTCATGCCATTCAGAGTTACTGACATATATGTCTAGATTTTGGATAACTCAGAACTGCAAAATTGCCTTATCAGAATTGCCGAGCTACAAACAAAGATGCAGGAGAAAAACGATGTAAGATATATATAAATACGTCAATTTAGAATCATGCTGACATACATATGTATATCTAGCTGGAGGCTGAAACAAGAGAACGACTTAAGAGCTTATTAGGACTTATTCTCACCAGTTCAAAAGCAACTGGAGATGATGATCATATTCATAATGACGAAATGGTATACTACTCGTTTATATCTGTATATACTCATATATTATAGTTTTCTCGATTGTCAAATCTTTCTCAAGACACATTAGTGAATGAAACCACTATGCGTGATGTTGTGGCACGCTGCGAAGAAGGTTTTGCTGCACAAATCGAAGCACATCAACGACAAATGGAGAAGATGGCCATGAATATCGAATCTATGCAAGATACATTACGTGTGATGGAATCTGTGAATGCAAAGCAAAACGAAACCTTGTCTAAGCGTGAAGCCCATATTGAGAAATTGAAGCAAGAATTAGCTGCTTCAACGGCCGCTGCTGTTGCTCAAGCATCCTCGCTTCGAGCTTCTAAAGTACCCACAACTTCTTTATCGTCGAAACAGAAAATAATAGATGACTTGGAAGTCAAGAAGGCTCAGCAAATAAAAGACGAACAAGAAGCCATTGAAGCATTAAAACAAGAAAAGACAGAAGCACTTGCAAGAGCTCAAGACATGGCTGAATTATTGAAAAAAGAGAAAGCGGAAGCACTTAGACGAGAGCAAGATATGGCTGAAGCTCTCAAACAAGAGCAAAAAAGAATTGAAATACTCAGACAAGAAAGAAATGAAATTCTTAAAAAAGAGCAACAACAGATAAATGAAGCCATGAGAAAAGATCAAGAAGAACAGGAGCTCAAGATGGCTGATCTGACAATTGCAATCTCATCAGCTGCTCAGATGATTACAGACGCAATTTCAAACGGTATGCAAATCAGTGTAGAAGAGGACTATGATATGATGACAACTTCCTCCGTATCCTCAGCGGAAGATGTCAATCAAGCTATCACGCATACTATTGAAAATGTCATAGCGGCCTCTTTATCTACAAAATCAACAGTAGATACAACAGCTATCACATCTGCTATTCAAAGTGCCATTCAATCTTCTATTTTGTCGTCTTCCATGTCGACACACAGTACATCTGCATCTACACCAGAATTTACGACGATTCAAGAAGCTATTTCATTCATTCAATCTGACCCTATTCAGCTGTATGAATCATTTTGTATCGTCGATCAAGATGATGATGTGCCTGAATTAATACTTCAAAATTCTCTTCAAAAAAGTCAACATTGGACTACTGAACAGTGCCAAAGTTTTGAAATTAAACCCATCAGACAAGACATTCCTTACACGGACAGAGCAATAGTCAACCATGATTCCATGACAACACAAGACGATATATATAAGCCCTATTCAGTCTCTATTGAGCAACCTTCAGTATTTGGCTTTCTTTTGAATCGCTGGACATTTCTCTTTGCTGTTGTCTACTTTTTCTCTCAATACTTTTAGCTTTTTTTTATCTACCCATTTGTACATATATAGCAACAACATCATTTATTTCATTTATGACACCCAATATACACTCATTTCATACCCCTCGTTTATTGTTACGCTAAACTATATAAACAGAGATTTACAGAAAGTCTTTCTATTTTTTATTTATTCTACAGTAACAGAAGAAGCAGCGGTATTATTTTTAGTAGCGGTATTGTTGTTAGATGACTTGGTCTTTTGGTGATTGTTTTCACGAACAGGCACCACACAATCATTGGGATGAACAAACATACATCTATCACCAAACATGCAATCATCTCCGGCACTACAAAGAACAATCAATCCTCCCTTTTTTTTCTACTAATTAATCCACACTTACCGACAAGCTCTATAAGGGTGGAAAAATTTACAGTTGTTATTTGTACAATGGGGCCAATGACTGCATCTAGCCTTAGATTTAGGAATATGATGTTGTCTTTGTTGTTCAATCAATTGCTCACGAGTCAAATATTTCTTGGTAGACTTCTTTTGCTGTTGAGATTGTTGAGCGGCCTTTGGAACAAATTCAGGAGCAGTAGCATGTAATGAACTGTTCAAGACAGTAGGTGACTTGCTAGCAGGGGTGCTTTTGTCGACAGATTCGACGACAACAAAATCTTCTTTGAGACTTGACATATCTTCTTGAGTATCCACACTTTCAACAGATAGCTCCATAGGTTGCTTCTCAATAACAAGAGATGCTTCTTCCTTCATAGCAGACCAATCAATCTCTTCCTTAATTTCCTCAACCTTTTCGAGTTCTTCGATTTCCTTAGGTTTTTCAGTTTCCTTAGGTTTTTCAGTTTCCTTAGGCTGTTCAGTTTCCTTAGGCTGTTCAATTTCCTCAAGTTGTTCGTGTTCCTCGGGTTGCTCTAATACCTCGAGTTCTTCCTTTAATTCATCAGTAACCTCCACCTTTTCCTCGTCTACTTTCATTTCGTCTAAGTTTTCGGTGACAGTAGATTCTTGTTGGGTATTAGTCGTCATGATAGAAGCTGGTTCAGATTGTTTCACGTCTACATTAGGTTCAGGAGTACCAATCTCAGTCTCTTCGCCTACAGTAATGGTGGATACAGACTGACTCTTTAAGCTCAAAGATTCATCGAGTTGGATTTCTGTCACTTTTTCTTCAATAATGACATTTTCAGCATTGCTTTCCTTTTCAACCACAACGGCTACATAACCAGGGTGAGCTATTTCCCTCCTCCATATCCGTTCTCTTTTTACCTTGTTCTTCTATAATGATCTGTTGCGTTTCGGCTTGTGACTGCTTTGGTTTTATGGTTTCGTTATTATCAACAGTAGTTACTTTTCGTTCTTTGACGGATCGTGTGACAGGTTCCTGGCCTTTTTTGCTGTCTAAAAAAGACACATGAGATTTTTTTTTCAGCATGTTTATTGACTTACTGTCTTTTTTGTTGTTAGAAGCTTTCCAAGTCAAAAATGTACAGGCCGTGATAACAATAACAACACCTACACCAATAAGTGCGGCTTTTTTTGTTCTCAACTGATTTGCGATATTAGACATGCCGGGTTGTAGCAACAGATTTTTTTTTCGAAAAAAAAAATATATATATCTAGAGACGTTGTTCAAAGAAAGAGAAAAAGAAAAAGAAAATATATTTTTTTTTCCTTTGTGCGGGGGTCACTTAATACCAAAAAAAAATATTTTTTGTCACACCGCCAGTTCGAAAAAAAAAAAGTGACAGAGAAACCCCCTTTTTTGTTGTTTGACTCCTGATTGTGCCTTACTGCTGTAGTAAAAAAAAAGACAATGGTTATTACAAGGAAATGATAGTATCGAGTAAAAGAAGGAAGAAAAAAGGAGACTGAAAAGAAAGTTTAATTGTGAGGAAAGGAGGACAAAAATTTACTAGGAGAAATCTATTTGACAGAGAATAAAGAGTACTACAGTTTCATGCTTGTCATTATCGCTGGCTAGGATCTATAAGACTAAACATAATGGATAAAGAAATAAACTTTTCTTGATCAGTCAAAAGAAAAAAGAAAGTCCCAGCAAAGACCTTAATGTTCACATGCTGTTTGTCGCGAAAAAAAAAGGTTACTAAAACAGTGTAAAACCCTTTTATGATATCCATGTTAGTACTTCTGAAAGATCTTTTCTCTAGGATACGTGAGCAAAACGAAATTGAACCAAGCTCATATGTATCTTGAATAAAATCTACAAACCAACGTCTAAATATCAAAAACATATATACTTGAGCAAAATTAACCATACATACTATATTTTTGATGTACTTTAATTCCTAGTATGTACCTTTTTCGAGTATTAAGCTTATTATACAATCTTGATTCATAGAGTAACTTTCCTTAATATCACCTGTAGATTAACAGCCCGCTGTAGGCGCAGGTATTTATCAAAACTGACCCTAATTTCTATCTTCCAATTCTCTTTTTTGAGTTTTCTATGTTTGAGCATGCGTACAAGAACATATTTATGCAAAAATAGAGCAAAAAATCGTCATTTTGCCCTTGATCCCCTTTAGAAATTTTCATTTTTCACTATTTTGCGATTGGTGGTCGATAGAGACATTGTAGACATGAGATGTTTTAGTATACAATGTTTCTCTAGGTCCATAAAACAAACTCAAAGTGTCATATCTACAAAGGTAATATGAACAGTGCATGTTGTGGCACAAAAACAAGAAACGTGCTTTTGAAGAATAGCTTATTATTTTGGTAACAAACATGCTACGTTCTTTACATTTCTCCATTTGCCGCATTTATATCTACCAGCTTTGTCAATACACTTTTTTGATATCTCTTCTTCTTTAGGTAGTTTTAGTCCATCATTTCTTTTGACGCTTTGATTCTTTCATTTTTTTGGATTCTAATTTTCGTTTAGAGTATAACAATTTTCAATAAAGTGTATGCCATAGCATTACACAAAAAACTCAAGGCAAGTTTTCTAGAACTAAAAGTTCTTTACATCCTTTATAGAGTATCAGAAAACAAAATTGTCACGGTGATTGACTCTCATTGTGCATCCCTCTCTTTTTTTTTCTTAGTAATTGAGCATAGCGAATAACTCCTTCAAATTAATCAAATCCTTTGACACGCTCCCTTAACGTAAATCAACCCTGCATAGAGTACATGTCTTTTACCAAAGTAACAAAAACTCCTTGCATCCATAGAAATCAATAAACAAAAGTTTCTGTTGAACCATGACAGCAAAAAAAAAAAAAAAATACTTGCTTGACGCAGCGTAAATCATGACACTGTATATCCTTTTTTCCTTTTCCCTCCTCTTTTTTGTCCAATGAAAGCGAAAATCACCATTTCAGAACAAACAGAAGCCACTGATACTCTTCTTTATGAGCTTGCAAGACATATTAGCAGTAGTAAAAGAGTCCTTGTTATTACAGGTGCTGGTATTTCCTGTAGTAGTGGTATTCCTGCAAGTAAAGGAATTCTCCTTCCTATTCCTCATTTTTTTTTGTAGGACTTTCGATCATCCAATGGACTTTACGATCTCATCAAGAAAAAATACCCGAATACAGTACTAAGAGGCCAAGACTTGTTTAATGCACATTTATTTAGAGATCAACATCAGACGAAATGCTTTTATACCTTCATGGCAGAACTCAAATCAGTCGTGTCAGCAGCTGAGCCAACACCCACGCATCTATTTATTCGAACCTTACAGGAAAACGGTCAACTCATGCGATACTATACACAAAATATTGACTGTCTAGAAGACGCATTAAAACTATCAGTCGTGCGACTCCATGGAACTATCAACAGAGTCAAATGTACACTTTGTACAGCCTCTTTTGATTTCACAAGTGACTATCAAGAGTCCTTTCGAAATGGATTACCACCCAGTTGTCCACAATGTGTGCTGTTTGATCATGAGCGTAGTAAACGAGGAAAGCGTTCACTGTCCACAGGTATCTTGAGACCTAATATTGTATTGTACAACGAAGCACATCCAGAAGGTGACATGATTGGTAAACTACAGCGCATGGATCTAAAAAGAAAGCCAGACTTAATGATCATTATGGGGACATCATTGAAAATACCTGCTTTAAGGAAATTTATTAAAGAAGCAGCCAAATTGATCCATCATTCTTCTAAAAAGGGCAAAGTAGTATTTATCAATAAGACAGCACCTACAAAAGAATGGGATGCTGTATTTGATTATGAAATCTTGGGCGATACAGATGACTGGGTTAATTTGACTCAAGACAAACTAAATTGCATAAGAGAATGTAGGCATAAACCACATTTCTTGGATAATGCAAAAGTAGTGATAAAGAAACGGTTTAAAAAAGGAAGCCATAGTCGTGACTTGAAATAAATCATTATTATTTATTATCCGCCTCTTCATTTCAAACATCGCAGTGGAGGTGTTTAAAATATCAAACAAGTGATATGGCTCCCTTTTTTTTTTTACTTTAAGACCAAGATGATAACGGATGACCAACCATTTGAGTTTGCACCCCAAACAGATGAATATACACAACTCTTGACCGAGTTGCATAACGAATACTGTTCAGAGCAACCTTCGGATGTGCTTCAGTTCTGTTCCAACTTCTTCATCCGCAAGTTAGAAGAACAACGTTATGTTCATCGCAATGCACAACGCCATGATATGTTTCAAAGTAAGACATGGACGCGTCCTTTAGTAGATATTAACTTTGTATTAGCCAATAATGCCAATGATTTACATCCTTTATGCGATACTTCAGTACCTCAACCTCCTGACTTTTCAGAACCAAACGGATTCTCATGGGACACACACATGAGTAACCAAGATGATAATGATGATGACGAGTTTGATGAAGATGATGAAGCATTTGATAACTTTTCAACCGAGCCTTTGCCTTCTTTGCCGCCTACCAATTATAATCGTGGTCGTCGTACCTCTGTCAGTGCTGAGTCTATGGCACCCAGTACCAACCAAGAATTCAAAAAAGTCATTATTCCCAAGACACCTTCTCAAGCAGAACGTATCAAGGTCAGTATCGGTAACAACTTCTTGTTTCGAAACCTAGACGAAGAGCATTATCTGGATGTCGTCAATGCCATGTCTGAAAAACGCGTCACCAACGACACGACTGTAATTGAACAAGGTGGTGTGGGTGATTTCTTTTATGTGGTTGAGTCTGGTACACTTGATTGTTTTATTGGCGATAACAAGGTGACAAACTATGAAGCTGGAGGTAGTTTTGGTGAATTGGCCTTGATGTATAATGCACCTCGTGCAGCTACCATTGTAGCTACATCAGATTGTGTCCTTTGGGCTCTAGACCGTATTACATTCCGTACGATCTTGATGGAGAACACGTCTCGAAAGCGACGCATGTATGAATGCTTCTTGTCCGAAGTGATCTTGCTCAAATCACTTGAGTCTTATGAAAAGCACAAGATTGCAGATGCATTAGAATCTGTCTATTTTGAAGATGGACAGGAAGTTGTGAAGCAAGGTGATGTGGGTGACCAGTTCTATATCATTGAGTCTGGAGAAGCTGTTGTATTAAAGACAGACAGTGGTGTTCAACAACAAGTGAATCGACTTGAAAGAGGCTCTTACTTTGGAGGTAAAGTACACACAGCTTATAAGCAATGTTAATGATAGCATAGAATTGGCCTTGTTGAATGATGCACCTAGAGCTGCTACAGTAGTGGCACATGGTAGACTTAAATGTGCTACACTTGGTAAAAAGGCCTTTACCCGTCTACTTGGTCCTGTATTGGATATCCTTAAGCGTAACTCTGAAAACTATCATGCTATCATCAGCCAACAATCAGCATAATCCCTCTCCTCACCCACCCTCCCACCTCTTCCCTATAGAATTTACAGTGTGTACAATAAAAAGAAAGATTTATTAACAATAGTTGTACCAAACAATAAACAAACCAATAGCGACAACGAATCGCATAGCATACTCTATATTGTCATATTCATAACGACTAGGTCGACCACCACTTGCAAGTTCTTCACAAATATCTTCTAATTGATCAGCAAAGGCTTCTAAAGAAAACTTAGATTTGACGTGCTCACGACCTACACGGCCCATGACTTGGCCATCGTATTCATGGGTCATAAATGCACAAATCCCTTGGGCCCATATGTCAGGTTCAGGAGCCAAGATGAGACCTGTTTCTTTATCCTTGACTGTCTCAAGAGGACCACCACTATTGGCAGCAATCACAGGTAACGAAGCATACATGCCTTCTACAGGTGTAATACCAAAATGTTCATTGGCAGGTGTGTACAACAACAAAACAGATTCACTGAGTAAATAAGTACGTTGGGCATCATTAAACGAACAGAGAAATATGACTTGAGCTGTATTAGGAGGGCGTTCTACTGAATGAGGAAACAAGGTAAATGTCTCTAGACCATATTCTTTTGCCATCGCATCTAATTCTTGAAGGTATTCTACATTTTCAGCAACCCGTCTGTCATAACCACCAGCCAATACAAGGCGATATTCCATAAACTCTTGTTCAGAAATCAGCTTGTTTTTCTTGAGCAAGGCAAATGCTTTTAGGCCTAATTCTACGTTCTTTTTCTTTTCAAATCGATTGATAGACACAAGCGTCTTTTTATGTCTACATGACGTATGAGAGACCAAGGTCAGTATATATATATATGTCTATATACTTACGATTCAATCAGTTGAACAGAAGGGTCTGAAAGGTCCACTTGCTTATCATAGGCCTTGAAATTAATAGGAGGGTATAGCACACGGGGTTTCTTCAAGATACGAGGAAAAGAACGTCTAAACATACCACCTGTAAATTGACTGTTGACCGTGATGGTATCTGCCATACCCGTGGACCATTCTTCCAACTTGTCAATAGGCACTCGATAAAGTTGTTTCAGTGCTGAATCACGTTTGGTCAATAGCTTGTCTGGGAAATGACAATAAAACAAAACCTAACAAGGTAGAAATGGTTACGTATATCATTCAAAGCAGTATTTCCTTACTCTTGCAGAAGAAAACCATTTCAAAATAGGCACACAGGCACTCAATTGATCGACAAAGATAATATCATACGTGTCTTTTTCATGCTGTAAAATCCATGCGACCAGGACGAGTTGACGCAGAATAGCAAATAAGATGTAAAACCGACCTAGAAACTGACGTGGAAGCCAATCCCCATGCACATGAACAGAGAGTGTGCCATCCCTTGTTTCTTCAAAGCAGTGATTTGGGTCATGATGACTTGTGTACATGGCCACTTTGTGTCCTTTTGATTGAATGCCTACAGCAGCATCCACAACTAGCCTTTCAGCACCACCTTAAACAAGAGATGTCAGTCTAGATTCAATGAGTTGATGTATACCTATGCCGAGATCAGGATGGATGAATGCAATGTTTAGTTTGGCATCTTCTGACATGTTGTATATGCTAAAAAAAAAAGGAAACACAAATAGCACTTTGGTTCGTTTTATATATATAAATGACTTTTTATTTCGAATTCAGCCATGCTTCCTATTCATTTGTATCTATTTTAATACTTTAAATACAAAGAAAAGAGCATAAGTTTATATGACATGACTACTTATAAAAGGGGCACAATGCATAATCATCATGCCTTATTGAACATAGAAAGTAACCAAGAGAATCTATCTGTTCCCCGGGGGGGGGGGAAGGCTTAAGCTTAGTCCGGTATAAAAAAAGAAAAAAAAAAACGCGTCTTGATATTTTTTTTTATACTTCTTAATATATTATGAGTTTACTTCAACCCTATATTGATCGTATGTCATGACAAAAGAGATGCAAATGACTTACAAGTCTTTTTCTTTTCTAGTTACTGTTTTAGTTACAACAATAGATGGTCGTGTTTTAGTGGTAAATGATATACATAGATTTATACGATCGTACTTAGTTTTTTGTTAGGGCAAGTTAATAGGCACTGACCAAACATCAAACATCATTTTACAGAACTGCAATGAACGTGTCTTTTCAGCAGAAGGAACTGAAATCATTCCTCTTGGATTGTTTTTGTTAAGAGGTGATAATGTGTAAGTTAATTCAACTGACTATACCAATGTATATTCATAACATGTTAGTTGTACCATTGGAGAAATTGATACCGAAAAAGAAGAGACAATAAACTTTGCAGACATTAGAGCAGATCCACTACAAGAAGTGGTATTGTAATATATATATATATATATATATCAAACATAGGACAGAGAATTTGTATTATAAATAAATTATATATATATATATATATATATGTATATGTATCTAAATGGTAATTTGGGACAACAGTTTGGAAAGATCTACATGACGATAACTTGAACGGTCTAAATAGTGCTCAACAATGGTTTGTACTGATTCAAGTGCTTTAAAATGCTGATTGACTAAAGATGTCACTTGTACTACAGACACTTAGAAAAAAAAAATATTGTATTTGGACTTACCAGAATCATGCTTGTCTCTTGCTTTCATAGGATGAAACAAGCTAGACAAATACAAAAGTTGGGTATACAATGCCTTGTCAGGGTACTATAGCATATGTTAATAGTCATCCTAAGCATCATAACCTACCTCTCGTTTCATTAAACCTCGACAGTCTTCCATCACACAACGACGACCAAACGCAGACAACATACGCGTACGATGATGACATGTCACATCATCACACACATACCATCCTTGATAATAGCGTTGTATATAGCTACGAACAGCAAGTGTCAATTGTACCTTGATACTGTTGATATGGATAGTCAAATGACAGTTTGTACAGTTAAATCCACATTCAAACGAACCATCTGGCATGGGTCGAGCAATACCTTCAAACACAATGTCCTTTTGGCCACATGAATTACAGCTCAACTTGAGCTGCTCAACAGATTTGAAGCGTTCCTCATCACTAATCTGAGAATCCAATGTGGCAAATTCGGCATCGTTGGCTTCTCCTTGATATGTACGCATTATATTGAACCGTTGAGGATCTAAACCCAGACACTGAGCCAAAAGAGCAGCATCTGTACCATCAATAGGAGAACAAAGACGGGCAAGAGGAGGATGGACTTGTTGATGAAGATACCACTCAATATCCAGTTGCATATGGTGCTTGACGACCATGTCTGGGTGATAAGCTCTCATGGCAGAACCCTTCTTGTCACCATTTGTCTCATCGTCGACTTTACAGATCACATAAGGTACTGTATCACCACTTTTGACATTTTGGCCTGCTTGAATCATGCGCAAAGCCACTTGGACATGAGGCTGACTCTTGGCATCAGAATAGTCTTGAGGGCGTTTGGTCAATTGCTTGTTGATCACATACTTTTCAAGAGGAATATCACCCTGACGAATCTGTTCAGCAACGACTTCCAAGTAAGCATGGACTTCAGCTACCACATCTTCACGGTCTCTGTCAGACAAGATCAAATTCAACACATGAGAAGAAACATCATGCGATAAATCACACCAATCTCTACGGACTAAATCAAGACCTTTTGTTTCAACAGACTCTACCAATTCACCATTCGGTTTCTCTTCTACCAAAAGAGCAGCATATTTCTTCTTTTTGAGCAAGAGCATATGTTTGAAATAGCCATCAATACCAATCTCAAGCAATTTGTAGTGATTGTTGACATTGCGTCTAAGCAACTGGCCCATTTTCTTGACTTCAGCAAGATCTTGTTGATTTGTGTAGACCATGATGGAATCAGTATCACCATAAATAACATTCATATCCAATGTGCCTGCAAGGTTCACTGTACTCTGAAGAATTTCACGACCCTTGTGTGTGATCAACATAGCCAAGGGTTTAGCATAGAACCGAGAATAAGTAAAACCAAGACAACCATACATACTGTTGGCTGTTAACTTGAGTGCTTTTTGACGAATATCCAACTGTTCATAATTTGATTCAGTAATGTTGCCTTTCATTAAAGACTTGACTTGTCTACGGCGATCTACCAACGTCTTGATCAGACGGGGCAAAATACCTTGAGCCAATGAGTCGTCAGGTAGTTCAGGTACTTTTTCTTCACCATTATCCTATCCATATAAGTAATGCATACACAACTTCTCTTATTATTGATGTATACCTCTGTGCCTTCTACAAACGAGTTTCGATTGACAGTGGTGAAGCAGACATTGTATTCTTGAATGATGGAAGGATACAAACTGTTGAAATCAAGCAACAAGACATATTTATCATAAAACCCTTTCTTGGGCTCCAGCACAAGACCACCAGAATAAGCAGGCTTACGACGACCCCCTGTTTTCTTTTTGGTACTTGAGGCCATAGCCACAGCATCTTCATCATCGTCTTGTTCAGCAGCTTGCATCACAACCGTAGCCGCCATTGTCTTGGGACCAAAGGTCTTTTCAGGACAGATATATTTGGCCTTATGGAACTCATGAAGCAACAAGAACTCATTACGTTCAGCGCGAGCACCTGTCAATGTTCTGGCCCATAAATTACCAGCCAAATTGGTCAATTGATGGGTCAAGGGCAAGATTTGAAGTTTAAACATCAATGCAGTAGCCAAAAAGGCGTCAAATGAACAATGCTTCAGTAAATGAATCAGCGAGTCTGTCTTGTCAAAGTAGTCTGCTGATTTACCAAACTCAATATCTTCACGATGAATCTTGAGTTGAGATTGAGCCAAGTCTGTCATACGGTATGATTTGCTTCGGATCAAGTCTTTAGAAGCCAAGTAAGTGTCACAGACAAGACGACCACTCATAATAAGACGTTCTTGGTAAGTAGATTCACCTGCACCACCTGCACCTGCTTGTAATTTAGGCCAGTGTTTACGCTTGAGTCTACCGAGCCGATGCCAGTGTTGAATGTTCAAAGCCTTCATACGATGTAAAAGAACATCTAGATCAAAACCAGCAAAGTTATGGCCCACAATCACATCAGGATCACACATATGAATTCTCGCTATCATAGATCATGTCAGTTCACTATCTATTTCTACGGCTTTAAGACTTACCAATCAAATAGTTGAGTAAAGAAGTCTCTGTTCTTTCCACTTGAATGCTGAATCCATTCTGTTTTCTTTCTTTGGCTACTGCTTCCATGAAATTAGCAGGATAAGGCTTGTTAGCCAATTGTCTCACAACAGTAAATCGTGACTTGGACTGCTTTTCTATAGGTTGACTATCATCAATCTGTACTTGATCACATACAAAAGCACTGGCGGCTATGATTTCGTTCATGTTCTTCTTCTCGTTCAAGATGGTTCGAAGACTCAAGGACATGACAACAAGAGGAGGTACATGCAGAGGTCTGTTGCCATCTTCATCTTGAAGTGGGTTGACTGTCTTGGGATCATCTACAGTTATTTCAATTTTACACCAAGTTTCCTATAGATAGATCAGTATCCTTATCGATCCTTATGCTATGACTTACACTTGTCGAACTGATCTTGGCATCTGCAAAATCTAACCAACAAGGTCCCATCACATCACGCTTGACTAAAAAGTGTTCAAGGGGACCTGTATTGGCACCAAAGACTCGACTGAATGTCTTGCCCTTTTCTTCTCCTGTAAATGCAGGCTGTTCATAATCATAGAGTACTTTCAAGTACTCAGATTCGGCAGGTACATCTTGCAATTCAAAAGCGTATTTCCTTGTCACTTGTTTCGATGCAAATTTAGTGATCCGTTTCTTGGAACAAAGCTCAGAGACTTCAGCATACAAAGCAGCCATGTCTACAGGCTGTGTTGTCTCTTGACCGTTTTCGTCCAAGGCATGTTGACGAGGCAAAAAGAATAAGTTGCGCTCAATGTTCTTGACGACCACACAACAACTCACGTATTTGTTCGTGCCCTTATTCAAGACTTTACCAAACAAGTATACATAGCCCTTTTCTTTACGTTCATAAGCATCGTACCACCACATATGTAAATGGCCATTATCTTCAAACACATTCATTTTCTGCGTCTCTTCCTTGACTGTGTCTTGTGTGAATGTTTCTATCATGCTGGCCTCGGTAGTTTGCCAACTTTGAAGGTCAGGACGCACACTGTCTTTGTTGGTGGTTGTAAAGTTAGGCTTCAGAGGTTCTTGAATGGTCAAGGTGTCAACTTCTTGTTTGATTTCTTGCTTTTGATCTAACATCATGATATCGTCACCCAAATCATCTCCAAAATCAAAATCGTCATCGGAATCCATGGCTGTTGTTGGAGGAGAAGCAAGTAGTTCACTCTCTGGTTCTTTTTCTTCTTTTTTGACTGAAATAAAATGGTCTGTGCTGGCATTCAGTCGAGAACGAGAACTAAAAGAAGGTGTGCCCATGGTCTTTGGCTTCGTGGTAGCTATGGTGCTTTTAGGTGTTGGCTTTTTACTCGAACTAAAACCTGACAACAAGTCGGCCATAAAATCTTCTGTTTCCTTTTCGTCCACCTAATTCAAATGGTGAGGCTCAATCCATTTTCTTAGGAACTTACAGGAGGAGCAGGTTTTGGCTTAAAACTCGATTTCATGGTAGAATTATTAAAGAAGCGGTTGATTTGTTGATTTGGTTTGGCTAAAAGAGCTTCTTTTTCTTTTTTGATTTTTCTTTCTTGCTCTTTCTTTTCGTTTGCCTATGTACAATGAATATTGTCTTTCTTTTTTCTGTCTCTTTAGCGTACCTTGATCTGCTTCATGTTCATATTCATCAGAGAAATGTTGATCGTCCATGCCATTGTCAATGTATCCTGCATTGTCATCGTCCTCAACGAATTCTTCGTCTACTTGTCCATAGTCGTCCTCGACTTCGTCGTAAAGATCTTGTACTTCCTGAATCACAAGGCAAGGGGGTGTTATTTTTCACCAAGTTTTGTAAAAGCAATTACCTCTTTTGGTGCTCTGGACTTGTTTTTGCCAAGTCTAGCTTCTCTTAGCTGTTTTAAACGATCGCTTCTTTGTGATCGAGAGTCCATAGCGAGATAGCTTTTTTTTTAAAAAAAAAAGAAGAAAAAATAAGAGAAATGGTTTTTATTTTTATTTTTTATTTTTCGCGTCTTTCGCGTTTAAGACACCGCCGCGCGTGTGTGCCTGATGGTTGGAAACGCTAATACCTTGACAACCAAACACAACATCAATCAAGGTGCCTGTGTTTTCTTTTTCATGAAGATAGATGTGCTTCCTTATTGATGCTGCTATCTCTTTAATTAATTACAAGAAAGAGAGGGAAATGGATTTATTTCGACTTTAGAATGAATACAGTGTATGCTATTTCCCCTCTTCTTTCCTTTGTTCTCCATGCATGACAGCACATGAGGTCAGAGGGAATCGAATAAGATGGCTCAATCCTCTTTTTTTTTTTTTTTTTTTTTTTTTTTTTTTTTTTTAATTGTATCTGTGACTTTTTTTTCTTTGCCAACATATTTTTTTTCTTTGGCTGTGTTTTCACCCTTGCTCAGAAAGAATAAAACTGGGTTACTACTATTTTTTTTTCTACTCTCAATATACACCCATAGTAGAATGGCAGCACTTTTAAGAACTGTTTGCAGACAAACACTTCAACGCCCTCTTACTCGTTCTTTCAGCGCTACTGCAGCCCCTGCTTCTTCGCATGGCTTACTTCGACTTAAAGAATACTATGACAGCACCCTGTCTGAAGACTTGATGGTCTTGGGTTACGATCACACTCGTGTCGCACCTCCTACTTCACGATTTCCCGATATTGAAGCCAAGATCGCCAAGGCTTTAGAAGCAACAGAACAAGAAACACCAAAAATAGTTCAACCTGAAGTCATTCGTACTCGCAAGGGTGGTAAACCTGTCAAACCCATTCAGCCTCTTAAAAGTCCTCGTGTGATTCCCAGTCTTGACAAGATCACACTTCATGCTATGATTAAGGACTCTATTCACAACAAGAGTCATTTGCTTTCTGCTTTTATGGCTTTTCAAAGTATTACAGGTGTGCGTCCTGAAGTTGTTCAAGCAAGAAACTCAGTGGCCAACTGGAAATTACGGTAAGTGGAACATAGAATGTGTTTTTATCGTTAATAATGATCATTCAAAGTGAGGGTATGCCTGTTGGTGTGAAAGTGACGCTTCGTGGTGAAGAAATGTATCAGTTTATGGATAAATTGGTTGAAATTGTGCTTCCACGTTTGAAAGAATGGCCAGGATTATCTATGACAGCTGGTGATGGTAATGGTAATATTGCGCTTGGTTTCCCTCCTTCCGCTCTTGCTCTCTTTCCTGAAATCGAAGGTTCATTTGATGTGTATCCTAAAATGACTGGTTTCGATGTCATCTTCAACACTACTGCTTATACAAACACAGATGGTCGTTTGTTACTCTCTGCTTTCTCTGTACCTTTCAAAAACAAAAAATAGACTTCAACTTGTGTAAAATATCGTCTTTTAAATAAAAACTACAACTTAATGCATCCTTTTTTTTTTTTTTTTTTATGGCCCAAAAAGGGGACATCAATGAAAGGAAAGACTTATTTCTCATACAAGGTACTTATAATAGAAAAAGAAAATGCAGAAACAAAGGTTTAAGATAGAAAAATACGAATTTATTAAAATAAATCAATGAATATACAATTGAAACTTTAACGTATTACACTATAATAGAATAAAAATTAGTAAAAAAGTTCAAAGAATTATGCTTTTCTCTATAAACTTTCTGTTTGTTTTTTTCATTCTTCAGTTATGAATTTAGTTTCTTTCAACGAATATCTCAAACTGAGCTGGGTTTAGTAGCATTTTGGTATTCATCATTTGAATGAAAAAGAAACAACAAGAAAGCCGATAAAAAGCTTAATTTCAAGTACTTACATTGTTTATCCATCATTGAATGAAAGAAAAAGGAAGAAAGAGCAGAGACAGACATTTGCTTTTTTATAGTTTGACAAGAAAAAATTTTTTCACTGCTTTTTTTTTTCTTAACGTGACGGTGTCTTCTTATGTCAAGTCCGCTGTTGATGGTTGCTATAGGACTGTTCTTTTTGGAAGTACGCATAGCTTTTGACAAGCCTGTGTTGTGTGATACTCGACTCAGGAATGAAAGACATTATGCTATAAAACACATCTATTCACAAAAAAAAAGAGAACAACTGAATAACATAGTCTTGGCATGAATATATTGAATGCCCAGTCCTCTCTTTTTTTTCTTCTCTTTATAGAAATCATGATATATATATATATCTAACTCAACTTTTGATCCTCTTAGATATACAATAACTCGGGGTGTTGGCTTTCCACATTCCAGCTGTTATCATATAATACATTGAGCCATGCATTAGATAAACAGAACAGTGTACTTTTTTTTTTTGTTATTTGTTTTATTCAATGCATACAAAAAGGAAACAACTTAAGCCTTGTTAGCAGCCTTTTGGAATCTGAATCTGGGAGGAGGAAGACGGTTGCGGCGGTCGACAGCAGAACGAACGCGGACAACACGAGCGTGAATAGCACAAGAGACACAGTAGTGGAGCTTGACATACAACTTGGGAATAGCATATTCCTCATAGATGGAAGCTTCTTGAAGATCACGGACAGCAGCAGCTTCTACCATGTTACGGATAGTGAAACGCTTGATGGCCTTGTCCTTAGGGACACAACGGTAACAGTTGATGCAACGAACAAACTTGTTGTGACCACGACCGTGCTTGTTACGTCCGTTGTTTCTTCTTTTACAGGTCTAAATATATAATGAGTGTCTTGGGGTTTATGCATTGTCATGTTGAATAGAGAGAAAAAGAAATAAAATGATCGTCGTTCATCCATCCATCCATCCATCCATTGAGTGTCAATCGTTTATTTTATCTCTCTCTATACAAAATGATTGTCATGGTTGATTGCTTACCATACTATCTGATGAAAGATGTTTCGAGAGAGAGAGCTTCTCTAGAGCCAGAGCTTCTGTCTATATTTTGAACCAGTGCGCCATACTTTAAATTCAGCGTAAAATAATTCAAGCTCAGACAAAAATTCGAATTTAGTAAAAATGTCTCTACTTTAAGTTTTTGTAGAGAATAATGAAATAATGTTTAGACAATAAGATCAGTTCCTTTTTTTTTTTTTTGAGAAGAAGTAAGGTTTATAATAAGATTACTTACCTATCGTCATCTTAATCGTTCCTCAGGGAACAAAAGCTAGTCTTTGTTAGGGTGAAGAGTAAAAAAAAAATGTGGCAAATGTCTAAACCAACTAAACTATCCTGAATGATCATTGTTTTGATGTAAGATTTAATGATAATATTAGAAAATGCTTTCATTTGCCAAACTGTCTATCTTAAGTTTATTAGACATTTCTAGAGGACTGCATCATCCTCTACAGAAATTTAAAAGTGAGAATCAACTACAAGCCCCCCTTTTTTTTTGTTAAAGGAAGCAGATCAAATTAGGTTCTCTGTTCTAGCATTCATCGCAATACGACAGAATGTCTGATCTAGTTATTTCAAGAGCTTTGTTTCTATTTCCGGTTCGAATTAAAAGTGAAAATGTCTTTTTATTATGAAAATGAATAAGTTCTATGTATAAAAAATGATTAAGATGATTGATGATGCTTTTCAGTAGCAATGGCTAACAAGTCTTCATATTCTCCTGAACGCTTACACATTTGATGGAAAATACTGTCTTCTTGTGTCATCAAATGATAAGGTGTATCGAATTCTTTGACTTGACCATGATCGAGTACGAGGATACGGTCATAATCAGCCACGGTACGAATACGGTGAGCAATGCAAAGCAGGGTGGAATTGGTAAATTCAGTACGGATGGTCTGTTGAATCTTGTGATCGGTATCAAAATCGACAGAAGAAGTAGCTTCGTCGAGAATAATTAAACCTGTTTTCTTGACCAAGGCACGGGCAAGTGCAATCAATTGACGCTGACCTTGAGACCAATTGGACCCATTTTCAGTCACAGGCGAGTCAAGAGTAATGTCTTGTTGTTGTTCGTCAATCAAATGAGAGCGTTTTAAAGCAGCCCAGAGTTGAGCGTCGTCGTATTGATCAAAAGGATCTAAGTTACTACGCAATGTGCCTGAGAAAAGAACAGGGTCTTGAGGAATAATCGTCAATCGAGAGCGAAGGGAGTCTAAACCAATCTTATGGATATCCACACCATCAATCAAGATACTGCCTTGTGTAGGTTCCATGAAACGGAAAATGGAAAGGGCCAAGGTGGATTTACCAGAACCTGTACGGCCTACAATACCAATCTTTTCACGAGGATGGATAGTAAAGTTCACATTGCGAAGCACAGGAGGGTTTTCAGGAGCATATTGCATGACCAAGTCCTTGACTTGCACAGAACCATGTTCGGGCCATTGAGGACTAGGCTCTGTTTCAGGGACATGCGTAGGGGGTTCTTGGTCCACATCAAGGTATTCATGCACACGTTCAATAGCATTCATGTTCATTTCATTAGCAGAGTACATTCGAATGATCCACAAACTTTGATGCACAAATGTCAAAGCGTAACTCAAAGACAAGCCTGCCAATCCAGGATCAATCCAATCACGACCAAGAACAAGCACAAAACCAGTACAGAAGGAAACAAAGGCACCCAACAAATCAACACGAGAATGCAACCAACGATTAGTAACCCACATCCATAAGAAAGGACGATTGTTACTATCAATCTTGTTGTGGTTTTCAATGATGAAACGTTGTTGAGAACCAAAGGCACGAATAGTAGCAACACCATTGACGCTTTCATTGAATTGAACATAGATAGGACTACGGCTGACAGAATTCAAACGCTTCATGTCACGAGAAGTACTGAGATAGTAAGAGCCAATAGCAGAGAACATGATAGCAATCACAACACCGGGAACAAGGAAAGCAGGAGTCACGCTAGAGATAAGCAAGGCAATAAATAAAGTAGCCACAACAGAGAATAGCAAGAAGGAAAGAGAAGGACCTACTTCTTGATCAATGGTAGCTAAATCAGCAGAGAATCGATTGACAATACGACCTAAGGGAGTGGTATCGTAGAATCTGACTTTGGCACGCAAGATACGCTCTAACAATTGACTGTGGATACGACGAGAGGCTTTCAAGCTACCATTGAAAAGAACAGCCATACGCAATGCAGTCATAACAGCAGCAATAACACCAATCAAAGAATAGATACCTAAATAGTAAGCAACATCGACTTGTTGAGCGGGATTTTTTATGGCTTCAGTATAGACTTGAATCACTGTGTTTTGGCCTAGAACAGAAAAAGCAGTGTTGTCGACAAAAGTAGCATTAGCATCAACTTGAGGATGATTACCATAAGCAGCTGACCAAACTTTAATCCAGTAATCTTGTGCTAAAACACATCCTTGACAAAGACAGAACAAGAAAAGAACAGCGATCCAGAACCAATAGCCACCAGAAGCAAAAATATAAGTCTTGTAAACAGACCAAGTAACACTACCTTCAGCACGCTCTTCATCTTTAGTGAGTTTACCTCCATCGTTCTTGTTTTCTTTCTTGATGATAGTCTTGGGGACAAGAGGAATGGGTCCCTCAACAGCTTTTTCTTCGTTGGTAATAGCCTTGGCTTCTTCTGCCTTGGCCAATTCTTCTCCGAGAACCCCAATCGAACCATATCCTTAGGTGAACCAGCACCAGCCACTTCACCATCCTTGAGTGCAACTACATAGGAACTACCATTAAGACAAAGGCCCACTTGATGAGTAACAAGAATAACAGTACGGTGTCTCATATATTCGCCTGTCAAACAATGTTCATACAAGTGCTTTGCAGTATGAGCATCTACAGCACTAAGACAGTCGTCTAAAATCACTGTGGTTGCTTGGGAGTAAACGGCACGAGCAATAGCCACACGTTGCTTCTGACCACCACTTAAAGTGACACCTTTCTCACCTACTTCCGTATCATCACCAAACTCCAAAATTTCCAGATCACGAGTCAAGGCAGTCATGTACAATACTTTCTCATAGCGTTCTTGGTCAAAGGGTAAGCCAAACAAGATATTGTCACGAATACTACAGTTTTGCAACCAAGCAGTTTGAGCAACATAAGCTATACCAGAAACAGCACCACCAAGGGGACTTGCCTTGTTGGGAATAATACGGGGCAAAATAGCCTTACCAGACAAACAGAAAGTTTCACCCAATAAACTAGAGATCAGTGTTGTCTTACCAGATCCAGTAGGACCACAGACAATGGATAACTTGCCAACAGGGAAGCTCAAATTAAGGTTCTTGATAGAAGGCTTGTTGTTTCCATCCTTGTTATGATCCCAACTGAATGTAGCATTATCAGTAAAGCCAATAATGACATTGTTGTTGTTGTTGACAGTGCTTGTTTGTACAGGCAATTCAACTTCGTCTTCAGCCAAGAATTTTTCAACACGCTTGACAGAGACATTAGCTTGAAGTACAAGTGTGATCAAAAGAGGGAATTCATCAAGAGCAGCACGGAATGTGTTGAACAAAGCCAAAGCAGTAAATGCAACCGAAGCAGTCAATGTGTTATTTATGGTGTAGACATAGAATACAGTAACCATAATCAAGATAGGAATTAAGAACCAAGCACAAATCATCCACATAAACATCATTAAACGAGAGCGAATAGCACCCAGTTCCTTTTCTCTAGCATCGATAATACGCTTCTTAAATTCGTTTTCCCAGGCGAAGAACTTGACAATACGAATAGCAGACAATAATTCGTTCATCAACTTGAGACGCTTATCTGTAGCAGACATGACCGAAGAATGAGAAGATTCGAAACGAGAACTGAGCAAGTATGTGACGGGTTGACAGCAGAGCATCACAAGCACACCCCAGAGAGCAGCATTGCCCAAAAGCTTGTATAAACTCCAGATACTGAATATAATCTGAAGAGGGTAACAGTACAAGTAAAAGATATAAGCAGCAATTTCAGCTACTTTTTGAGCATCCACAGATAACAAGTTGTTGACATTGCCCTTGGCATCCTTTTTCTTTTCATCCTTCTCTTCTTCTACATTACTGAATCCACTATCATCACGGCGTCTGAGAGACTTGGAAAATACTTCACCAATAACAATCGACTGAATACGAATACCCAAAGTACGACCAATATAAAGACCTTGTTGTAATAGTAAGGATTGTGCACCGTTAGTGACAAGCAAACCAACAACATAAAGGAATGCTGTTGTAACAGGTTCGCCTTTAGGATTCTCAATGAACTTGATGATCAAATTCAAAAAGAAAGGAGGACCAAAAATGAGTACTGACCAGCCAAGACAATACAAGGTTTGATAGAACAATTCCCATCGGAAAGTCTTTGCCAATGTCCAGACAATGCTTGGGGACGATTTGTGGCTGTTGTAATTGATAAGAGTAGTCTTGGCTCTATTATTGGCAGGTAATTCAACAAGATCCTTGTCATCCAATGTACGACGATAACCTTCTTTCATCATCACATTGACCCAGCTAAACATGAATTTAGAGTAGAGTGAGGCCCAATTTTCACCTGATAAGGTACGACCCTAAAAATAAATTAGAATCATCATTTTGTGAATAAATCCAAACTTACGTTTTCAGTGACAATGGGTTCCGTAGGTGTGAGACGACTTTCGTTCGCAATAATAATGATTAGCAAGAGATCAATAGCGCCAGATTTAAGGAATAAGGAATAACCGTCTCCGGCATTTGTGCCCAAATTGTAGTAAGATCTCATGTCGATCAAAATAACGAGAAAATCCACAAGATAGAGCCAATTCAATTGATTGCAAATCTTATTAGCCAATTTGCTAAAGCTACTTGACAAGTACATGTTGACAAGAGATAAGATAAGGGCAAATAACTAAATTCATTTCCGATGAGTCTATAAGACCACTACTGCTGTTATTTTTACTTACCCAAAGACCTGTACGAGTGCCAAAAGAAAACAAGAGGCCATGTAAATTACCTTCATTTGCCGAGAAATGGTATTTTTGATCCAAGACTTGCTTGATAGCAGATACAAATAAACACAATTGAATAAGAGATAAAACAGTTCGGGAGCAGTTATAAATAGTCCAGCGAGATGTCTTAATTTCAATATCCATCACAGCCACGGTGTCGTCTGAGGCTGTATCATCATCATTATCATGATGGTTAACAGTGCCATAATAGTTGTTGGAGTTCGTAGGCAATTTACTCAACAGTGGTGTGTAGCCTGTAGAATATGACTTGTAATATTTGATAGTGGCTTTTGCAATAATAGCAACAGACCATGCCAATACCGCAATTAAAACTGCACCGTCAAGAACGCTAACATTCCTTTATGAGTTGCTTTAATCAGCAAGTGTTATATACTTACGTTTCTCTAAAACACGGCACAAAATCATTGTCTATCCATGGATTCTATCACAATTGTTAGTCTCTACTATACAAAGAACAGCTCAATAGTTACGGATAAACTGCAATGATACGACATTATCTCCTGACGATAAGGGATAAAAGAGAAAAGCAAAAGATAGAAAATTTTTTCAATTTGCATTTTATAAGTAGCTTCTTTTTTTTACATTCAGCTACTCGCCAGTTTTGATCGTTTTTTCTTTTTCTGGACATTTAAACTTCTTTCTTTTGAGCGACGCTTCGGACAATGGAAACCTCATTCTGCCTTTTCTTTTTGTTGTGTGTCACAGTAACTGATAACATTTGATCAGTTTTGTTTTCTTAAACCTAATCATTTGATAACCTTCTTCTTTTAAAAAAAATAAGGAGAGGAGGCATTGAGTTGTCTATTTACAAGAAAGTAGTGTTGTCAATATTCCTCTATTCTCCTCTTATTCATTCCCTTCACTCCCTTTTGTTCTTACTCCTAATCATCTTCTTTTTCGAATGTAGTACAAAACTAAGTATATTGTAATACAGAAACATAATATCACCTGCTGCTGCGCGCAATATTCAATTTGGCAGCTATATTCTTGTGCATTAAACACACACATATATATCAATCAAGTCGACATTTTATTTTTTTATGCATTTATATAGTTTGTATCAAAAGAATAAATGTAGACATAATCTTGATATGAAAAGCGATTACTTATCACATGGACATAGCTAGACTTCGCACTGCCCCATTGTAGGTTGTACATGAAAGATGTCCTATAATGGTAAATTAACCTATTTCATATAATCAGCAAGCACTTACAGAACAATAGGAAAGGGTTTGAGATTGCATGGGAGCAGCTTCTTCTGTTAAGGTCACAACTGTACAAATTGCAGGATTCTACTCAAGTAATTAAAACGGCTATCTTGATGAACAGACCAACTTACCACATCAGTCGCTGTGTCAAGACCCCCTAAGGAAGCATATAGACTAAGCGTATTTGCTATTGTTTTTGTGTAATGACCTGCATGATCATGGATAGGCAAAATGACAGTGTTTCCATTTTGATCAATTGCAGTCACTAGACCAGATGCCTTTGGATAGCTTTTGGTTGCAAGATAGCCATGGTATTCAACACTTCCATCGTCTCCTATACAAGTAATAGTTGCATCTTCTGTGCTCATGATATGGTCCATCGTCCCCAAGTGTATATGATATTCTGGTGTTGCTGTGATAATGGCAGTGGTTGTAATGGTAGGCTGAGCACCAATACGTTCATATAGACTCGATAGACATGAAGCCGCTTTTTCTCCTACTAAGAGACCGTTTTGGTAGCTACCCAAGATGGACCTGCATGCATCATTTTCTAGTACAAGTGTTGTGGTAGTGTAATCTGTCACGGTAGTGCTCACAAAAGCTGTCTCAACGTGAGAACCTACATCAGTGATCGTCTCTGTCATCAAGATAGGCACTAGATTAGTGATGTTTTGAACAACAAAAATATACTCGGTATTCGTTTTGTGTTTTCTCTTTTTATATGCGTTGTGAACAGTTTCTGTTACCAGTTGGGTGTTAGTAATCGTTGTCAGACTGACAGGCTGCTCAATAGTAGCTGTCACAATGTGAATATCAAGATCAGTTATGTGTCGTATCGTTGTCAAGATATTTTCAATGGTTGTTGTTACTAGGGAGATATCTGAGATCAGTTTAGTTATTGTGGTTGTATCTACATAAGTTATATTCTGACTGATGGTAGCCGTTGCAATAAGTATTTCATGATCTGTAGTAGTAGTTGTAGAAATATCTATAGTATGATCTGTTATTGTTTCCGTCGCTGTCAGAGTATTCTCAATCGTCACTAAGCTGGTATCGATGTATGTCATTTGGTCTATAGGCATTTTAGTGACAAAAACAGTGTCTGTAATCGACAGAGTTTGGTCATTGATGACTGTGATAAATTGTGTATCTAAACGAGTTGTCATATCCGTTGTTGTGGCTGTGAATGTATTGTCAATGGCTGTTGTCATTGCATGCGTACTTTGCTCTGTTAGAGTAATTGCATCCAGAGTTGTAAAGATCTGACTAATGGTAGCAGTTACAAGATGAATATCTGAATCAGGGGGATACGCTGTCACTGTGTTAGTTGTCGTAAAAGTATTATTTGAAATGATAGTAACTAGATGAACGTCAGTGTTTGTGACAGTGAAGGTCTTTTCAGCTGTTGCTGTAACAAAAAGCGTATCTAGAGATGTTGTATATTCAGTAGTTGTTTCTTTCAAGGCTATGATATCTAAACTTGTCAAGACTTGACTTAGAGTAGCAGTAACCAAATCCAGCTCTGTCGTGTGTTTTGTGATAGTATTGACCTCTGTAGCAGTTGTTGTTAATGTATCCTCAAATATGGCTGTTACTAAAACAGTGTCTGTATCTGTTATATGTTCAGTTGCTGTATTCACCAAAGTGGTTGTATCAAGGCATGTCACTGTATGATCAATGGTTGCTGTTGCAATACGTATGTCGATATCTGTTATGCGCTCCGTAACAATATGCATGTTTTCAATTGTAGCTGTAGAGAGATCTGTTGTATGTTTAGTAGCAATATCTGTTACAGTGGTCGTATCTACACTTGTAAGGATTTGGCTGATGATAGCTGTTGCAATACGAATTTCAATATCTGTTGTATGGTCAGTAGTGGTAGCAGTTGTTGTTTCTATAGTAGTAGCTGTTGATGTTTCTGTGGTATGATCAGTGGTAGTGGCGACTGATGTTTCTGTTACAGTGTATGTGTTCTCCACCGTTGCTGTTGTTAGCAGGATGTTAGTGTCCGTTGTATGTTCTGTCATGGTAACAGTATCTATACTGGTCACAGTTTGGTTGAAAATGGCTGTTGCAATACGAATATCAATGTCAGTTGTATGTTCTGTTGTTGTAGCAGTTTTGACAATTTGATCTGTTGTAGTAGCAATTGTAGTCTGTGTGACAGTCTGAGTATTCTGGACTATGTCTGTGGTATGTTTAGTAGCAGTATCTGTGACAGTGATAGTGCCTAGACTTGTGATGGTCTCATTGAATGTAGCAGTTGCAATACGGATATCAATGTCTGTAGTATGCCCAGTTGTAGTAGAAATGGATAGATCAGTTTCTGTCTCAATAATAGTACGCCAGTTCTCTACAGTGGCTGTCTCAAACACAGTATCAGTATCGGTTGTATGTTCTGTTAACATATCTGTTACTGTCACAGTATCTGTGCTTGTAAGAGTTTCATTAAACATCGCTGTGACAAGACGTATGTCTAAATGTGTGGTATGTTCTGTAGTACGCTCTATAGTTGTATCTATCTCTGTCACTGTCAGAGTATTTTCAATTGTCTCTGTTAACATTTGTGTGTTCATGCTTGTCACCGTTTGATTATATGTAGCAGTGATTAAACGGATATCCAAGTCAGTCGTATGATCTGTCACTGTATCTGTTGCAGTAGCTGTCTCTGTGACAAAGATCGTATTATCCATGGTTTCTGTCACTAATTGAGTGTCTGTATTGGTTTGATATTCTGTTGTGATATCTACTACAGTAGTTGTATCCAGATTTGTCACAGTTTGATTAAATGTGGCAGTGACTAAGCGGATATCCAAGTCCGTTGTGTGTTTTGTCACAGTATCTGTTGCAGTTTCGGTCGTCGTAAGCACGCTCTCTACTGTCACTAGCTGGGTATCCGTATCGATCTGGTGCTCTGTCGTGGCTTGTATGAATGTTGCTGTTACCAGACGAATGTCCCAATCTGTCGTATGTTCAGTAGTAGTAGCTATGGCCGTCTCTGTTACGATTTGAGTGTTTTCTATTGTTTCTGTCAAGAACTGAGTAATCATATCAGTGGTGGTATCTGTCACAGTCTGGTTAATTGTAGCTGTAATCAAGCGAACATCTATATCGGTAACATGTTCTGTCACAATGTCTGTGGCTGTTTCTGTGGTAGTAAACATATTGCTTATAGTTATTAAGGAAGTATTCACGCTGGTTTGATACTCTGTTGTAACATCGATGACAGTTGTTGTATCCATGCTTGTGAGTGTTTGATTCAATGTGGCTATAATCAAACGAATGTCTAAGTCAGTTGTATGCTCCGTCACAGTATTTATTTCCGACTCTGTTGTGGTAAACATGTTATCCACTGTCATGGTGATAATTGAGATGTCTTTGTCTGTTGCATGCTCTGTTGTAGTGTCTGTCAAAGTGACAGTGTTTAACTTGAAAAGCGTATTGTTGATGGTCACAAACTGAGTGTCGATGTCTGTTAAAACAGCAGTTTCTGTCACAGTCGCAAATGCTGTTAAACTACTTACAGTGGGTACTGATACGGTTTGTGTGACAATGGCACTAACAGTTGTCATTGGTAAATGAATATTAAAGTCGATTGTTCGTTGCTCTAAATCAGTCTTTGTCTCTCGCTTTATCTTGGTCACTGTGTTACTAACAGTAACCAAATGTACATCAAGATCAGTCGTTGTCAAAGTAACAGTAGGAGCATCTTGCGTCATTGTCTTTGTCTCGCTCACAGTGACCTGGTGAAAAGCTTTCTTGATAATCTTCTTGATGATTGTGTTTAAAAGAGTGTCTGTTGTTCTTTCAGTATTGGTTACAGTGAATAAGGAAGTCACTGTTCCAAAGGAAACGTCGGTCAGTGTTTGGTTGATTGTGGCTGTGACAAGGCGAACATCCACATCTGTTTGGGTGACTGTAGCTGTGTCAGTTAATGTAGCCATTTCTGTCACTGTCGAGGCAAGTTCTCTTATAGTTGTGAGTTCTCGCATTGTTGTAGGTTCTCTTAAAGTGATAAGTTCTGTGGCAGTGACATGTTCTGTCAAGGTACGGAATTCTGAAACGGTCCTAACCTCTATAGCGGTGGTGAGTCTATTGACAGTAGTAACCATTGAAGTTAAGGGTTCTGTTAAAGTCGTCAATTCGGTTACAGTTGTAGGCTCAATCACCGTTATCGATTCTGTCAATTTTGTGGACTCAATTACTATTGTGGGTTTAATTATTGTTGTGGGCTCAATTACTGTTGTAAGGTCTCTTATAATGACAGACTCTCTTACAGTAAAGGGTTCTGTGATAGTAGTTGGCTCTCGCGCGATACTGATCTCTTTCACTGTAGTAGGACTCAAGAGAGTGCTAAGCTTTGTAATTGTTGAACTAATATAGGCAGTAACCAGACTAACATCAAAATTTGTTTCGGTCATTGTGATAGTACTTGCATCAAGCATTGTTTTTACTACTGTGGCCAACGAACTGACAGTGACTTGCTCTGTTGTTGTCATTGTGGTATAAGAAGGCACTGTGCTAGTAACCGTCAAAATAGACATGCTTGTACATGCTCTCGATCCTCCTTCTGAACATGGACAAAAGGCTTGACTACCCAAGTAGATGGTTCCACCACCTTGATCATTATCTTCAGCATCCTACCATACAACTAAGTATATACAAACGTATATGTTCAACTTACTAGATCAAGATAATATGTTGATGTCGCTCTAATAATCTTAACATTGTCTGTTGTAATAATCTGGGTAGTAAGGTCTGTATAATAAAACTAGCCATAATATGTGAGCTAAGTTATGCATACAAAGATACTTACGCTTTTTGTTTGAGTGGATGTTTGCGTAAATATATCTGGCCTTTCCCAGCCTCTTTCTTCAAGGTATTCCATCCATGCAGTTTCTTGATCTAATCGTTGATCAAAGTAAGAGTGAACAATGCCCAGGAGTCCGACGCAACCACTTTCTGTCTGGTTGTTTAGACAAAACACCAGTAGCTCCAAATCAACTTCTGAGAGATAAGAGGTTTCTGTAGGCATGCTTGTTGGAATTGTAAGGACGTCCTCATTCGACGGTGAAGAAGAGACAATCAATGTCACTGTTTGAGTAGGAAGTCTGGTTGGAATGGGTAATGCTCCAGGAGAAGATACGACAACTATCGCCCAAGAAGAAGATGTGGTTGGAGGTCCAGTGACAATAGAGGTCACTGTACTTGTTGTTCCTATGAGTTCATCAGCGTCTGCTTTTAATGGTTCATCTGCCACGGTTCTAAGCATGGGTAGATTAGTACATGCTTAGTGTCATTATGTCACTTCTTTTTTTTTTACCCTTCAAAAAGCAATACAAATAGATATAGATACAGTAAATAATGATATAGCCTCATATTAGAGTTATAATTCAAGTTAAAAAAAAAAAGGATTACTTTATTGAAAGTTCTTGATTCAACACATATTTGTTTATTGAATTAAATGAAAAATGAATCTTCTTTATGCATAATTGTTTACCACAAATATAGAAATGAGTAGTTTAGATAGACTTTTTACTTTTAGATAGAGTTTAACTCTTAACTATACAAGTCAAACTCACTTACGACTTTTATTCTTTCAATAAATCAAGAAAAAAAAAGTTGATTTTGTCAGCATGTAGTAAATAGAGAATGGAATATTTTTTGAGTCCTGATTTCTCTGTCGAAACATACACTCTATTTTAAAACACAAAATCAAGGAATGTCATTTTAGCAAAATGAATTGATTTATTTCATAACTCATGTTTACAAGAATAATCAAGACCAAAGAACATGAATTGCATTTTTAGGACCATTGATCTTTTCAGCGTATTTGCAATGATAGGCTATATCAAGGAAAGATTTGCAGCAATGATCAGTGTCATTGCCTATGCCTTTCCATGTTATTTCAACACATCGAATCGCTTCTGTAATGTCATCTTTTAGATCTGAAGAATGAGCAAATGTAGTAATATGCTTTATAGCCAAATGAATCAATGGCTGAGTTTGATAGACATTCATACCAATATCCAAAGCCAATTCTGCAAGAAACATGACAGCTTGTATATTAAATACTAGATAGTGAAAAGGTTTTGCCCGCTTTGATTCAGAAGGTTGATCGCCTGTCTTGCTATCGACTTGATTAGTTAGTTTGTGTGTAAAATAATTCACCAGTGTATTATAGACAACATGAGGGGGATACAGCAAATGCTCAATAGCACTGATTTGAACAATATACCAAGTATGAATATTATTAGATGCCTTTGTTGCTTCTAGAGCTATAGTACATGTCTTGAGCCATTGTAGATATGCATTAAACCAGGCATAGACATAGGGTTTGACTGTATTGTAGGCATCTACTGATTCCAAAAGAGGCAAGCAATTTGCAATACGTGATAAACTATACAATAAGCAAAAACAACGAATTAGATTCTACTTACCTGCGTGAACTAATGACACCTTCACAACGGCCCATGCGTGTACGGTTTTGAGAGCCTCGAACGAGTTGAGCATACTCAAGATGAGGATTCATGCGTGTCTTTTCATCCACAAAGAAGGTATTTAGCAACAAAACGGCGTGATCAGCATAATTTCTATTGTTAAAGAAATGATATCCCAGACATAAAAACATAAAGTTCTCAGCAAAGGACTCTAATTGAGCTTGATCTTTGACTGAACCTATATCTGTTTACATGTTAAACAAGGTATAGACGCATGGTCGTACCTGGATTTCTTTTTCCGTCTCTTCTGACGTATTTTGTGTTTGGGTCATTGGGATTTTCCTATTTTTGGTCACAATGAGTTGGCTTTTCTTTGTTGCCACTTACTGGCCACCAGTAACTAAAGACACACTATAAATACAGAAAAGGAATAAAATAAACAGCTTACGGTGCATAAGATAGAAAATCGCGACAGTCACCCGAGGGAGCGAGATGAGGAGCAGCTTTATCAAATGTGATACTGAAAGGCCCATTCTTCAAAGCAGCGTTGGCGAGTTTTTGAAGACATTTGTAGCCTTCTTGAGTAGCTTGGTCAGGTCCTCTTTGCTTTTGCCAAGTCAATTTTCTTAATGAAATATATTCAACTTCAGGTCTTCTTGGGCCCATAAACAATAAAACAAAAAAAATAAATAAAAAAGGGGCGAAATTTATTTGTGCCTAAAGACTTTTCATATCATTGTTGGGTATCCAAAAACTTTTTTCTGCTAGTGTATTCTGCATTGGAAGCAGATCTATTGCATTCTCTCTAATCTTGGTCTCGCCTTTGTCTACATCACTCTTTGCATTCTGATACATGTATAAGCCAAGGAATGTCAAAAGAATACCAATGCCTTGTGTCCATGTAATTTGTTGTCCAAACCATACAATGCTCATTACAATCACAAAGATACGCTTTAACAAGGACAGAATAGAATAGGTCACAGGTGAAGTCAAACTAAGCGTTGTGAATGCAAACCAATTTTGAGCAAAATTCATGGTGCCATTGACAAAAAAGTAAAAAAGGAGAGTGGAAGTGGTCATATCACTGTCTTGTTTCTGTGTTGTTAAAAGACTGTTACCATCATAAAAGAGCCACAATGGAGCCATAAGTAAGAATGACAATAAGGAAGAATAGAACAAGACATTGAGCTTATCCAGCTTATTTGGATTTCGGTCACCTAACTTGGATTCTTTAAACAGTAGTTTTTTGCTAAAGATATTCTGTGTCACAAACACAAGACAAGAACCCAAAGCACAGGCCAAACCAACAAAATTATTGGAAAATGTGAATGAACAGGCCAGAATGACACCCAATGTCAATGGGCACAATGAAATATAGACTTTTTCTGAATAGCGTACATGGAAAATAAACCTGTAAAAAGCTACTGTAAACAAAGGAGCAAGTGCCTATCCAATCATATCTATAAATGGTTTTCTTTGTACTCTTTCTTCCTTACCTTAATTGTGTGTACTAAACTCACAGGTACTCGACTGATAGCCACGCTAGAGAATATATGCCCCACAATAAGGAAAATAGCCAATGGTGCAATTGTCTTTATGATTTCATGTGTAGGTGATCGAATATGGGTTGCTTTAAACACAATGGATACAAGATAACACCAAAAAGCAACTAAACCAAATTGCACAAAAGTAAGAGTGACTGGAAACTGAAATGCATTCATGATGGATTTGCCAATGTTGTTTGTGAGTGAAGAAGACAAATACCACATACAGCAATTCAATATAAATTTGAGGTTATCTGATACAGTAAAATGGTTTCCTAAAGATAAGCGGCTCTTTATGGCCTCCTTAAAACGGCTATCGTCATAATAATTCTCTGTATGGCGTGTAGAGAGGTCGTTGTTAATATCAGGTTCCTTTGTTGGTTGGTCTAAGAAAGACAATAGACTGCTATTCTGAGTCTTTGAAAAGGCTCTGATGGTCCCAAAAGCCTCTTGAGTCATCTTGGAGTCATGAAGTAGATCTTCTTGTGGTTGATAGCGTAGTTTGGCTTTGTTTATGTCTTCATATGTTGGATATCCTTCAGCTGCTGAAACCATGTCTTTTCGAGGGCTTATTTTGGTTGGAGACATGATTACGCCAACAACTGAAGTGTTTAAAATCTTATTCAGTTATCGGACATGCAATATAATATGTGACCGGGCAGAAAAGGATGATGAAAGTGAGAGTCATGAAAGTAAATCTAACGCAGTAACTAACTTGTTACTTAAATACGGAGAAAATTTAGCTGAGGGCATCAAACAATGACGTGCATTAGGTTTGGCTATCGCCAGTGAGCGGGTAGTTAATGAAAAGAAATGCAGCATTTCTTTATGTGTAACGACTCCTTGATTAACAATTTCATTGTTCTCATTTCGTTAAAAAAGCTTCTCAAAAATAAACTTCTGCATCTCTTTTTCTTATAATTGCTTCAACCAAATGTCTAAAATGCTTACTTTTGTCCAAGAATTTCCTGCTGATCGCTCAAAAGTGGGTAATACAGAGCGTACGGTACACGGAACAACCACTCCTAGGCCACTGAATGCATTTTTTTGCTACAGACGAGAAAAAATGAGAAACCCAGATCCGTCTTGGATAAAATTACATCAAAGCGAGATTTCAGCACTTCTTGGCAGGATGTGGAAAGACGAGCCCGAAGAAGTAAAAAAAGAATTCCACATGAAGGCAGATAAAGCAGCAATAGAGCATATAGAAGCCCATCCAGGATACAAGTTTTCTCCAAAACAAACAAAGAAGGTCAAGGCACCACTAGCTAGTAAAGTGTTCACTACCGAAAAGGAATTATCTCTAGTAAATAGAGCAAAGAAGCCGGATAGAGCAGTGCCAATTGCTATGAACGAGACCACATGTCAACTATCTGAAAGACAAATAGAAGATCTGTTCACAACTGCAATTAATGAATTAATTGATCCAACTACGCTTGAATTCAAAGAAAGCAAATTTGATCATTTGGAGGAAGTTCCTTCGCTTCCTTCTGATATATTAAGCAATGAGTATTTGCTTCAAGAGAGTCTAAACACAGATATGCTTACTAGATTTCTGATATTCCATTAACTTTAAATAAATGTTTTAAACTTTTTTTTTTTTTTTTTTTTTTTTTTTTTTTTTTTTTTTTTTTTTTTTTTTTTTTTTTGTCTTTTAAGATAATGGGCTCTCGAAAGCATTGGAACGATATTGACTGGGACGCAGCTTTGTGAGCATAAAAGATAACTTGTATTTCACTACATATTGACAGTTTGTAGTTCTACAGGACCAGCGGTTGTAAACGCTACTTTAAACTCACTTACAAACGAGTTCGAAGTTTCTCAACCAAAACAAAACTCACGCGCACGCTCCAAGTTCGACTTTGGCAACAACCAACCCTCTAGCACTTGGATCGACGACGCCCAAGTGAGTTGGAACACAAATGGCGCGACATCCACTCAAAATTGGTCTGGCGAGTTCAACGATCCACCTCAAGAACCTGGCAAGTTTAGTACAAAAGAATTCACAGCAGAAACCACGACGTTTCGATTGAATTTTGATATTGATGATGAGACACCTACGTTCTCTAAAGTGACAGACTATAGCTCGTATCGTACACAAAATGTCGTACCCGATTATGAAGATATCATTACGGCAGAACAACTTAAGGATCCCCAAGAATGGGAAAACCGTCATTTTCGTGACCCTTTTCCTGATGTGCCTGTCAATCTGGTCAAGCAGCCTTATGAGAGTGTGGAGCAGTACTTGTATACCCATTTTGAGTTAATGAGACAGGATTTCTTGATTCCTTTACAAAATGCGGTTAAATCATACAAGGAAGTGTATCATGCCACCAAAGATGCAGATGATGTAGGTATAGCTATGGAAAATGCAGCATCTTATCAAAGACCTTATCGTTTATATGAACATGTAAGTAAACACCTATCTATATATACCCATATGTTTATAATGCATTAGGTTGGTTTGAATGCGATTGTGTTTGGTAATCGTCAACCGCTTTATCGAATCAGTTTTCGTTTGCCTTATTATGTACGTGTCAATTGGGCTCAATCAAAGCGTTTAATGCCTGGTACATTGGTCTTGTTGTCCAAGGATCATTTTGAAAAAGACTTGAAGATTGCTACCATTGTAGAGCGTGGAGAAGAACCCATGCGAGGTGCAAGTCGATTTGAATACCTGTTGGACTTGTATCTCGAAAGAGACAATGAAAATCAACCTTTAGGCTTTGGTGATCCTAGTTTGACTTCAGAAGACACTTATGTCATGTTGGAAGCAACCGATGGTTACTTTGAAGCCTATCGTCATGTACTAACTGTGCTTCAAAAGACATCTACAGGTGGCTTACCATTTTCTCAATACCTTGTGAATCTATCGAACAATGTGCTTGTACCTCATTATGCAGCCTATAAACGTTACTATAATATTAACGTGCAGACAAAATCAAGAACAAAAGAACACTGGCCTATTGATATCCGAAGTGAATGGCCACATTATAACAATGGCATGGATGAGACACAGATGGATGCCTTAAGAACTATCTTGTCACATAACCTGTCGATTGTTCAAGGTCCTCCTGGTACAGGTAAAACGTATGTGGGTACTTATGCTATGCGTGTCTTGTTGAACAACTTTGAAGGATCGATTGGTCCTATTGTCTGTATTTGTCAAACAAACCATGGTAATTATCTATAATGAATGAGAAAGCCATGATTTATAATATATAGCACTGGACCAATTCTTGGAGCACATCTTGGACTACAATGATAAAATTGTGCGTGTAGGTGGTCGATCCAAGTCTGAACTGCTAAAAGAACATACATTGTATGAGCTCAAAAAGGCACACCAAAGACCTCGAGGACTCGGCAGACTGTATCGCAGTAGAGACCAAGTAGCTAAAGAGATTAAAAATATCATCATTGAGCTTTATGAAGAACCTTGTGTGACCATTGACTACATTGCTAGCATCAAGGGCTTAAAGGATCGCCAACTTGCTTCCCTGAAATACATTGCTGAAAAAGAAAAGAACCGAAAAGACACATCCAATACAACTATATTCAGTACAAATGATGGGGATTCAGATGATGATTGGGAAATCACTTCAGTAGAGCCAGTAGCTAAACCCAAACCTACGAATCAACATAAAAAGGGTAATCAACAGCGCGAACGATTCTCGAGAAATCCTAGAGGATCGAAGGGTGATTGGACTGGTGGAAATCCAAACTATGTCCAAGAAGTGAAGGAGAAGGAACCCAATCCAGTCGAGATATGGTTGCGTGAGGCCATTGACTATGTCGATAACGCAGGCATTACTACTTCTTTAGCTGATGAAATGAAACAAAACTTTTTAGAACAAGAAAAGGGCCTTGTGTTTGAAGAAGACCCAGAAGAACGAGATTTGATTGAAGAAGAAGAATTCTTGGATGTACAACAAGCTTTTAAAGGTGAAGACCAAGACTTACAAGGCAATAAAAGTCCTTTTATCCAGATTGGTAAAGCCTATCAAAGACAGACAGAGCCTAGTTTGGGTGAAAGACCTGAGCGCAAAATCATCAATTATTCTAAAATCAGGCCTGTGTCTACATTTGATTCCAAGAAATTCAACTTTTTCGAAGATACTGTCAATCAGCCTGTGTTTGATGAAGACCATGCCAATCTTTCTTTAGAGCGATGGAGAAAAGAAGATGATGTTTCTATGTGGCCCTTGCCTGTTCGTCTAAAGGCCCACAAGGAATGGGCAGAACGTAGACAAGCAGAACTCCAATTTAAACTCAATGGACTCATGAGACGATACCAAGCCATTTCAAATGATATCCGTAAGTTAACAGCCAATTTCGAAGCCAAGATTTGTAGAGAGCACTATGTTGTAGGCATGACAAGTACTGCTGCTGTAAGATGATACTATACTGTTTAACGAGTGTTGACTCTATTAGGCTAAATACCATGATCTGTTGGAAGAAATGCGACCTAGGGTCATGATTGTGGAAGAAGCAGCAGAAATGCTGGAATCACACATCATTTCTGCTCTCACAGATTCATTAGAGCACTTGATCTTGATTGGGTAAGAAATTTCCTTTGTGTTTAGATTAGCTTATTCTTTGCAGTGATCATCAACAACTGAGACCTTCAACTGCAGTTCATGGATTAGCTGAAAACCATGCGCTAGGTGTTTCTTTGTTTGAGCGTCTGGTCATGAACCAATTCCCTTTCACAAGACTTTCTCATCAACGTCGTATGCGTCCAGAAATCCGTTCCTTAATCAACCCTATCTACAAAGATCCTCCACTCAATGATCACTCTGATGTCTATCGATACCCACCTATTCGAGGCATGGACCAATCCGTGTTCTTCTTGGCCCATAGTGAAGATGAAACTCATATAAGTGAATCCGCTTCTAAAGTCAATGAGCATGAAGCTAAAATGGTAGCCAAATTATCTGTCTATTTACTTCAACAAGGGTATGGAACGCAAGACATCACGATCATTACCATGTACTCGGGCCAAAAATCCATGATCAAACGAGCCTTGCGTGACGAACGTCGCCCCAATGTGGATCCTGAGCCTATTCTTGTGAGCAGTGTGGATGGTTACCAAGGCGAAGAAAACAAGATTATCATTTTATCACTTGTCAGAAGTAATGCCAATGGGCAAATCGGTTTCTTAAAAGTGGCTAATCGTGTTTGTGTGTCGTTATCCAGAGCGCAGCATGTAAGTAATTTACAGTCATTTTGTTACTTATTGTATTAGGGTCTTTACATTCTTGGTAATGCTAGGTTGTTGTGTGAAAGAAGTGACTTGTGGAACGAAATCGTGGGAAACATAGAAGATCAGAATGAACAAATGATTGGCACTAGACTTGTTCTCAAATGTGAAAAGCATGGAACAAGAACTCAAGTTCAATGGCCTGTCGATTTCACTGAAGCAGAAGAAGGAGGCTGTAAAAAGCCTTGTGCAGAAACATTGCCCTGTGGCCACAAGGTAAAGTTTTTTTTAGGCTTGTTTCACACTCATTTTTGGATAGTGTACCTTAAAATGTCATTCTTATGATCATGAAAACTATAAATGTAAATTACAGTGTGGAAAAATACTCCCGTGTAAACATGCTTGTAATCGATTGTGCTATGAACGCTGTGGTCCATGCACTGCTGTCTTGCCTGTTCGTTTACCTTGTGGCCATACAATACCAATTGAATGTGGTCAAATTCGAGCCATGGCATTGAATCCAGGAAACCAAAGATGTTCAGTCTGTAAAAAGCCTTTAAAATAAAGTTGAATTGTGTGCAACAAATATATGTTCATCACTGATAAGTTGAGCGGTGTAGAAAAAAAAATATTTTTCTGATAAGCTCTAAAATGATTAGAAAAACAAAAAGCTGTTATTGGGTAAAGATGATGAATAAAAAAAACCTTTTTTTGTGTTACTCTTTATAAATGGTTTTTTTTTTTTTTTTTACAAGGTATTTTCATTGTAATCAAGTACTTATTCACACACACACACACTCACACACATAAATATAACATATATTTATCTTTTCTTCATTTTCTTCCTTTTCTTCCTTTTTTTTTCTCATTTTCTTTTAAATAAAACTTTTTCTAACAAAAAAATGCCATTTGACACACTTGGACAAAGTCAAAAACGTATTCGATTTATTGAAGAAGAAGAGGAGGAAGAAGACGAAAGTTTATTTATCAACCATGACACTTATAAAAAAGATTGGTTATTCAATTGTTGGGATACCTCTAAACCCTCATTGGACATAGAAGAAGAACTCACAATGGCCTCTTCACCAGCTTCAGATGTATTGGACCCAACCGGTCAATTTCAATCCTCCGTCTATTCCCTATCATTACCCTCACCCAAAAGTACTTCCGCCTTCTGGAACCAGACACCTTCCATTCCCAGTTCTTCAGAATTAGACATTTGGTCTAAATTTAATCTTTCTTATACAGATGTAGGCATTAATATGGAAGCCAATGTCACCAGTGCCTCAGATTTACATTTACTCATCGATGCCTTCAGTAAGCTTTGTAACACCTCTTTGCCCGTGGTGGCACATGACTCAAGTCCATCTCCTGTGTCAGGTGACGACGATATCAACAAAAGTGGAATTAAAATGTGTCGCAACAAATCCCATAAATTAAAGCCTATCAACTACTTCGCCTCTGTTGGCAGACTCGGTCAACTACCTCGGCCTCATTCGAAGCATGGTCAAATCAGTCTAAAACAAGTCGCAGATGCCTGTGTGGATACTTACTTTACTTGCTGGATACGCAATACACCCATCTTACGACGTGATGAATTCATGACATGGTACAATGCACAACCAGACCCTACCAACACACTGATTGTGAATGCTATCTGTGTCAGCACATTTCGACATATGGTCTTGCACCATTCTCGGTCGGGATTAGAACATTTTGTCGGAGATCAAGACAAGATACAGGAACAAGAAGAGTATTTCTTTGATCAAGCACGTGAGTGTCTGTCTCAATCATTTGATCGTCCAGATCGATTTACGGTCATTGCACTACATCTTATTGTATTTCGAGCAGAACCTAGTCGTCGTCATCATTATGCTGGTATGGCTGTCTCTGCTCTTCATGAGCTTGAAATTTACCCTCGTACGGTGGATGAAGCAGACGATGAATCCTATGAAAAGGAAATGGACACTCGCCTTTGGTGGTCTATTTGGGCAATGGATTTTTATCTATACTCTGCAGGTGGTGCACTCAAGAACACACCTCAGCCTCGTATCCCAGGCATACAAATAGACTTACCCCGTGTGATGGAACAAGACATTGATGAAGACGAAATATCTGTGATTGCCTTTATTCATTGCTTACGACTCTGGAAAATCCAAGCTCATTTCTTATCTGTGGTCTATGAACAAGAATCAGACATGACGCTAGAACAGCTGCAAGAATACGATCGTCAATTACTTGATTTTTATGCAGCTTTACCAGACTATCTCAAGTTTGATAGTGGGTTTGTCTATGGTCACGAAGATCTCTTCTTGGCTTGTATACGTGTCAATATCGAGTACAATGCGACACGCGTCATTCTCCATAAACTGTTTGTGCCTGATGCCAATGATCCTCGACCCAGTCGGTCTTCACTCGAGTCGCTCAATATTTGTCTCAGGATGTCATTGAAACAATTGCCGGCACTCAATTCAGGTGCCTTTCTGCCAAATGGTCGATGTGCATTTGACCGTGATGAACTATGGCGTGCGAGTGAAGTGATCTCCATGGCCATGGATGCCTATCGTTCCTGTGCTTCTATTCAAGACCGTGCCTTGATCCTCAAAGACATTCGAGCCAACGAATTTGAAAATGGTCTGATAAAAGCCTTGGATATTTTGAAGAGCACCATGGAGTTTGAAGCACAGAGTCGAAACTGGATCCAAGTCTCAGACTGGCTTGAAGTCGAGATCAGAAGACATCAACTGTATTCTAATCCTCGTCACAAGACAGAACCACCAACACAGACCCCCAAACTCGATTATTTCTTGGCTAATTTGAAATCAGATGCTGAAAAGAAACGACAGGCAGGCATGGCAGATACAGATAAAATCAAGCATGATTTGCATCGACGTATGTCTGTCTCTTCAACCAGCTCGAATTATAGCACATCGCCTACACTCAATTACAATTTCAGCAAGTCAAGTTGGAATGACAATGAATCTTCCTTTATCAAGAAACCAAACACTAATATGCAATTTGTATCTTCTCATTTTTCACCTACTTCTACTACTACCACTACCAACAATACTACTTCTTTTGTACAATATAATCCCAAATCATTTCATACGCATCATCAACAAAACAATAAGAATCAGCCTAAATTTAGATATTTTAGTCCAAAAAAAATGAACAAGTATATGTTTATTGACGATAATCCAATGTTGTAAAATAAATTATCTTTCTCTATCATTTCTCTCTCTCTATCGCATAGTGACCTAAAATACGTATATATATGAGCATAAGCAATGAATACGGGAAAACTTACCAATTCTTCAGCAGCAGTAGGATGAATAGCAACACAAGCATCAAAGTTAGCCTTGGTAGCACCCATACGTACAGCAACACCAAAACCTTGAAGGATTTCATCACTGCCTCTACCCAAGATATGAACACCCACTACCTTTTCATCAGCACCAGCACAGACAAGTTTATAAGCGGTAGGTTCTTTATGTTCAAGCATAGAGAAGTACATGTTGATAAACTTGGAAGTATAGACCTTGATGTTCTCATCACCGTATTTGGCACGGGCCTCATCTTCTGTAAGACCAACAGTACCAGCAGTAGGATGAGAGAATACAACAGTAGGAATATTTTCATAATCAAGCTTGGATTCCTTGAATTGTTCACCACCAAACAAACGATCACTCAGTTTACGACCAGCAGCAATAGCCACTATGAAAACAGATAGAATGAATACCCATCTTTGGATGACTCTATTACTTACCAGGTGTTAGTTCAGCACGACCACAGGCATCCCCTAAAGCATAGACATGTTCAGTAGAGGTGTTTTGATATTCATCTACAGCAATGTAACCCTTTTCAGTCAACTGAATACCAGCAGCCTCTAAATTAAGCTTCTTGATGTTGGGTAAACGGCCCACAGCCCAAAGGACAGTATCGACTTCCAAAGAAGCAGATTTACCATCAGACTCATATTGAACAGTGATAGGTCCAGCATCTCCTTCACGCACCAAGGCCTTGACTTGAGAGTCAAAAGCAAAGTCAACACCGACAGACTGCATTTCCTTTAATAAGTTGTCACGAATGATACTATCAAAGCTACGGAGGATATGTTTGGTACGAGAGAACACAGTGGTTTTGGTACCCAATGTGTTAAAGATACCAGCTAATTCGATACCAATGTAGCCTGTACCAATCACAGCCACACGCTTAGGTTGATGTTCCAAGTCAAAGAAACCGTCTGAATCAATACCGAGATGAGCACCGGGAATATCAGGGATCAGAGGATGACCACCTAAGTTTATGGTGAATAAAGTGTTCTATCGAATACGATACGTACCTGTAGCAATCAAAATGTTCTTGGCCTGAACTTCAAATGATTCAGTCTCGGATTGTTGCACACGCACAGTGTCTTTATTGACAAAACTAGCAAAACCCTGAAGATGCTCCACTTTATCGTTACCCAAATTTCTTTCATAGATACCATTGAGACGCTTGACATAAGCATCACGCTTTTCCTTGATAGCTTCCCAGTCAAACTTGAATTGACTATGGTCACCAAATCCATAGTGTTGAGCATCACGAAGGGCTTCAGCAACAGAAGCTGTATTCCACATCACTTTCTTTGGCACACAACCTACATTGACACAAGTACCACCCAAGCGATGTTGTGCTTCAACCAAAGCAACTTTGGCACCATGGATACCACTTGCACGACGAGCAGAGGCAAGACCACCAGAACCACCACCAATCACAAGGTAATCGTAAACTGGTTTTGTAGAGAGCATTCTTCTTGTTATATAAGACACTTTGGAAATATTTTTTTTCTTTTTATAGGAAGACAAAAAGAAAAAGGAAAGGGGGAACTAAAAAAAAAAATTGATGGCTTTATTTTACTTTGACATTGAATCATTATCAACCAATCAGATGCAAGATGACAAACAAATAGCTTGATTAATAATACAGCAAATGTGTGCCTGATTTCTTTCACTTGATCAAGGTACTGACCAGCCTGCATGTTTTGGTTTTTTTTCATGTACCTATTTTAGACTCCATTTTCGGACACTAAGTTTTTTTTTTTGACATGAATAAACATCAACACAAAAGTAGCAAACAAATAATTTTTAACATTTGTCAAACATGTACATCGTGTAGCCAAACAAAAAAAAAGAAACGGCAAATTCATCCCAACTTATGGTCCGGACATTGAATGGACCGGAATTTTAGATCCCCTTCCATCAAGGGAACAAGGGCCTGCAAAGTTTTTTTTTTTTTTTTTTTATTTGCACCATGTTGAGACACACCACCCAAAGCCTTGTTAGAGCCAATAGTTGGAAGAATCAAACTGTTTATTCTTGTATCAGAACTTATGCAACACCTAATGATAAAGAACCCAAGGCACCTCTCTCACAACGTTTAGGAGGTACTGGACGTGGTCGTATTCTTGATGGCGCCAGTGATCCTTTTGCTGCTTTCTTGGCTAACGCAAAGACTAACCGTAACCGCAATGGTAACTTTGTTCCTCGTCACAATAAGAAAAAGACCAATGACAACAAGGATCAATTTGCTGATGCTGCTGAACCTGTTGAAAAGAAGCAACAACCTCGTCAAAACAGAAACAGACCTAATAATAACAACAACAACAACAACAACAACAATAGAAACAAACAACAGTTGGGTGAATTCAAGAACAACAACAGACGTACTCCAAACAACAACAACAATAAAAAGTTCAATGTGCGTAAAGCAGCACCTCAAGAAGTCCGTACTCGTCGTGCTACTACATTCATTGATAAAGACATTGATTGGACATCATTTGAAACTACTACATTGTCTACAGAACAACAAGCAGATCAAGTTGCTGATGATAACAGTGAATTAGTCATGAAGGATATGGCGGGTGATTATGATAGATACTTGAGTGTGGGTACAGATGTTGCATGGTCGAATGTGATTCAGGGTAGCACTGTGAGTAATTTGGTAGGCAGTAATGCTACTTTTGATCTTCAACAAAAGACCGCCTTTTTAGCTGCTGTATCAAAAGCAACAGGTGGAAACACAGTTGCAAGAAACTAACTTTATAAATAAAATAAAATGTATTTTTTTTTCCTTTTTTTTTTTTTTTTTTTTTTCTTTTGCTTATTAAACATGTTGCGATCTGTTCAATCTTCCATTAGACCCTTGATAACCTTACTTCCCAAGTGTACACCACGTCCCTGGGTTACAATACCAAAGCGACTCGTATGGCAACCACTTCAAACGAACACTCAAAGTGCTTGTTTCCATGCATGGACACCCTTACGTAAAGAACAAGATCCTGACACACAAGACAATGTCTATAAACGACAAATGCTTATTGGCTTTACTTGTAAAGTTTGCGAAGAGCGTTCTCATCATACCATGTCCAAACACGCCTATACAAAAGGTGTTGTGCTAATCCAATGTCCAGGTTGCAAGAATCGTCATTTGATTGCAGACAATCTCGGTTGGTTTAGAGACAGCAAGACAACAGTGGAAGATCTTGTAAAAGAAAAAGGCGAAGCTATTCGTAAAGTGATCGTAGACGAGCATGGTGTAGAGCGCTTAGGTGATTTAATGGAATGGTTGCCCGATATTACAGAACAAGAACGATTGAGAATGGAACAAGCAAAGAAGAAGCAATAAACTTTTATTGTATTGTATCATAATAAAGATAGACAAACATAGCCATGAATAACTGACAGTCTAAACGGTCTGAAAGACCACCATGTCCTGGTATAAAACTACCAAAATCCTTGAGTCCACTTGCTCTTTTGATAGCACTGGCAAAGAACCCACCAAAGGGTGCAACAAGGGAAGCATAAAGTGCAAGAATCACAGCATGATATTGAATACAATTATAGAGTGTGTTATACTTGTCTTGGATCAAACCATCAAACTTGATTAACCAAGCTGAGAACTAGAAAAAAAAAATAAGTGGCCTATCTTTGAGACAGTCTCTACTTTACTATATAAGCAAACAAGATGGTTGTCATCAAAGCACCTATAAATCCTTCCATTGTCTTTTTAGGACTAAGACTTAAAAGCATCGTCTTGCCAACATATTTTCCCCAAGCATAAGCTGCTATATCATTGCAAATCACTAAACTACAAGGAAATAAAAACCTAAATGAAATTAATGATGTTGTAGATTGATTATTTTACCAGAAGATACCACCTTTCAGCATATTATGATAAATCAACATGGGCTGTGATAAAGTATACAGAATACAAAGATGTACCCAAGATGTATGCAAAACATAAGAACCAAGACTTGCTTCATGCTCTTTGTTTAAAATAAACAAGATCCAAGCAATGAACCCTATTTTATAATCAAGTTAATCTACATAGAGATTTCTAAAATAGTCTACTTGCAGCTATTGTAGAATAAAAAGCATCCCAACAGACTCCATTGATTAGACCAAAAGACGCTCAGTATGCTTAAAGCACAAACAACAAATAAACACCTATGCAGAATATGAGCAAGAGAGGCATTTCCGTTTTATTTTTATTTTTTTCCCTTTACCAATCGCTTTTGATTTGTCTTTTTTCAAGATGAACATTGCCTGGTACTAATCCAACTCGACGTAACTCCTACTTATTTTATTCATTTGTTTGATCAATACATGTCTCCTTTATTACCTGAAAAATCTTTACTTGAAGTAATGCTACTAGAAGTGAAATCAATTGAAGATTACCTGATAATAAAATACAGGAAAACAATGCTATCATCAATATGCCTGCCTTAAGTCTCATTGATTGAATCATAAGAAATGCAAAAGAAGAGAAATGCAAATGGTTTATAAAGACATTTGTGTTTTCTACTATAACAAAAAAAACAAGCGTGTTGTAACTGATGGATGGACAAGATTCAATCAAGAATTTTGATGATATTGAAGGTCGTATATCAACTCCTTTTCTGCTTGTTAAGAAAAAGCAATAGAGCGACTTTCTTGGCTTGAATTCATAGATTGGAACTCTTTCCATACTTATCGATCCAAATCATTTGTGCCTGGTAAATCCTGTATCATTTTCAATATTGTCGGGTTAAAGAAGCCAAACAACATAAAACCAACCCGATTGAAAGAAAAATAGAATCTTTTTTTACGGCCTAGGAAGGGTGCTCAAGCTCTAGGAATGGAAGAGGCAATGGGAGTATTGTCTGGTTGATCAGCTGTAGTCATTAAGAGTTGAGAATGATTTCTATCTAGTATCTTGGCTGTCATCACCGTGTATTTATCAGGATAAACAGCACTAGGACATAGTCTGCGTATAATGTAGCCTACAGAGAAAATAAAGCGTTCTGTATGGAACCCATCTCGGTTGACCACTGTGCCTAAATCAAGTATATTGATCGAGCCTACTTTCAAAGGTAATTTGGATTTGTCTATTTTGATTGAATAGGTAAGTAAGGGTTTGAAAGCATAATGATGGTTTTATTCGATAGTTTGTTGTGATTGTGTTGTGATAGAATATAAAAAGGAGCCATGTTTACTTGATATCAAACGCTTAGAAAAGCTTCTTGTTTTGACCATGTTTCTCAAGAACATTTTTTTTCTTGAGAAATGATGATGAAATAGACATTACACATTTATAGTCTCTCTTTTTTTAATCCATCAGATCTTGTTTAGAACAAGATATATATACTTTGTTTATTATTATACAAAAAGAGCTTCTTTAGTCTAATCTTTTTCAGCATCTTCCTTGAGAGAAACAGTACGGTTGACAACAATGTTCTTCAGACCTTCCTTAACCTTGCCAACCTTGATTAATTCAGTGTCCATCTCAGTATCCTTATCTAAACAGAAATAACCTGTACGGGTGAATTGCCAACGCATGCTTTCCTTGTCTTTGCCGCCTGTCTTCTTGACCCAGTCAGCAATATGGTCATAAATACCAACTTCAGCAATAGCACCCTTGACAACTTCCAAAGAATGGCTGTTGAGATCATTCAGATAACCACCTTCAACAGTTTCAGGATTATCATGCTTAAACAAACGTTCATAGATGCGAAGCTCATCCAAGGCAACAGGAGAGTTATGTTGAGGAGATTCAGCAACCCAGTGGATATACGTCTTGGGCTTCTTGAACTCGCCTTCGTTTTCATACACACATTCGATTTCGACAACTTTACCTTCAGCATCTTTCTTGTAGTTGGTGCAACGAATAGGATGCTTAGCGTATAAGAGACCGACAGATTTACCGGGAGCAAGACGGAAGTAACCCTTGGCGTCTTGTTCACGGAAATCAGAACGATCGATATAGACAACCTTGGCAAAAGGAACCTTGTGTTCACCAAAAGCAGGATCTCTAGGCTTGTTGGGAACAACGACTTCTTCAACAAAGTCGTCAGGAAGGTTCGTCAAGACCACACGCACAGGGTCAGCAATGGTCATCAAACGAGGCGTAGACTTGTCCAAGTACTCACGGGTCTTGGTATCAAAGCGGGAGACTTCAATGGTCGATTGAGCAGTGGTTACACCAAGTTCAAGCACAAAATTATTGATGGCTTCAGGAGGAACACCACGACGACGAATACCGACCAAAGTATAGAGTCTAGGATCATCCCAATCAGAGACGTGCTTATTATTGACCATCTTGAGAATCTTACGCTTAGACATGATGGTACCAGTCACATTCAAACGACCGTATTCCCATTGAACAGGCTTATAGACTTCAACAGCGTCCACTAGCCAGTAATAACTTTCACGGGATTGTCTGAATTCAGTTGTACAGAGAGAATGTGTAATGTTCTCAAATGAATCGACTAAACAGTGGGTAAAGTCATAAGTGGGATAAACACACCATTGATCGTGGGTTCTGAAGTGAGGAGTGTAAAGGACACGATAGGCAATCAAATCCCAGAATTGAGGGTTACCACTGGTTAAATCCATCTTCATACGAAGGGTGACTTCACCTTCCTTATAACGACCTTCTTTCATCTTCATGAATTGATCCAAACTTTCCTCCATCGGTCTGTCACGGTGAACACAGGCTCTACGCTCACCATGGTCTTTACCACCACGACAGGCATTGATTTCTTCACCTGTACATTGACAAGTATAAGCCAATCCCTTCTTGATCAACTTGACAGCTAAATCAAACAATTCTTGGAAATAATCACTGGAATAAGTAATCTTGAAAGGTTCAAAACCAAGCCATCGAACTGTGTCTAAAATAGAAGTAAAGTACTTTTCTTCTTCTGCTTCGGGATTGGTATCATCGTAACGGAGATAGGTAATACCATTATGGGCTTTTGCGTAACCGAAATTGACATTGATAGCCTTTGCATGACCAATATGGAGATAACCATTAGGTTCGGGAGGGAAACGGGTGACCACCTTACCACCGGTTGCCTTTAAATGTTGTTCCATCAATTCAGGCTTGATTTGAGGATTGCCTCCAGGTTTATGTAATTTACCCAGTTCACCTTCAAAGAAGACTTTAGTGAAATCCACTGGTTTTTCAGCTTCTTTAGGCTTTTGAGCACCACTGGTAGGAGCTTGGGGCTTGGCTTCCTTCTTCTTTTTTTGAGGAGCATCACGTTCATCCTTGGGACCTAATAAAGCCAGGTATTGGGCTTCGACTTCGTTCTTGACTTTACCACCCTCTGCCCAACGAAGGGCTTCCATCTTTTTAGCATTGGCAAGGGTAGGACCCAATGTCTTGTACCGGTTGGCAACAATCTGATCCTTGTTGGCGTTGATATATTCAGCAATAGCAGCACTGATTTGTTCAGGAGTGACAACAACACCTACCATCTCATCAGTATAAAGAAACTCACACATAGTCTATACACTTTACCAACACCAGTAGCAGCATCGAATTCATCTTCCTTAAATCCGGCTTCACAAAACTTAATGGCAGCTAAACAATCGATATGAATAAGACAATACGCGTATTTTAGACTTTACCAGAGATTTGATCTGTGGTCTTCAAGTCGCCGTTCATGATTTTCTTGACCATGAAACTCAAGTGGTCTTGAGCACCCTTGGTGACAGTGGTAGCTAAACTGTACAGGAGAATACCGATATCCTTGTTACAGCCTGTTTCGCGTACTTGAGCTTCATCAATCACTTTTTCAAGTGTAGGAGCAAGTTTCTTGTTCTTAGCAGTATCCTTGGCTTTTTGCTCGGATAAACCGATTTTGACAAAGAGTGGGACTAAATCTTCCATGGTATATGAAAAAAAAAGAAGGAAAAAAAAAAGGGGGGATGAAAAACAAGACAAAGGACGAAAAACAAAGTCACTTTTTTTTTTCTTTATATATTTAATTCAGCGACTGCGGGTTTGATAGACTTTGAATCGCATGAATCCTGTGAAGCATCAAAAACAGCCCAAAAGCATCGCTATTTTGCTTTTTTATGATAACAAAAGTTGTAGATTATTTTTTTGCAAGTCTATGGATATAAATAACACCACAGCTCTGTAGCAGAGATATTGAATAAATAGTCAAACATGTCTATAAGGTTTCTTGCTCCTATCTCATCACTTTCATAGTAAAATTAGCAAGCAAGCACATTTACCAAAGACTAGATTGTCTGAATATATAGGCTTGTGAATAGATCTAATATTCATCTTGTAACGTTCAAAAGAAGAACAAAAGTTGTCGATAAATGATTCTCATGAATAGTAATTTTACATGTCGCTTTATTTTGGTCTAAATTCATAACAAAAGTGTGTTGTATCATACTAAACATTGTTTATAGAGTACTTTTTATGAGTGTATAACCATCATTTTCAGTCCCTTTTGTATATACATGGAAAAAGGTACTTGAAGAGTTTGATTGCATGATCAAGAGTATCGGTTAACTAAAGTAAAGTGGCTGAGAAAAGAGAAAGTTCATTTAATGTTGTCCTACCTTTACTTTACAAGCAATAATTAATTTAAAATTATCGATTGGCGAATGATTAAAGAAACACGATTTTCCTAGTTGCTAAATATCGAATGATTTTTAGCCTCAGTGCAACCATATTGTTCTTATCCTTAAAAGACGAATCTGAGATTGCAACTCTGCAATTCATTTATATAGTCACTCTCTATGGGCATTTGCTGTTAATGCCGAGATCAAGTTTCGGAACTACTTGAACATATATATATATAGTTCCGATCAAATCATTCTAAACAAGTCCTTTCAAGGCGAGTCTTTTTGTTCCTTGACATCATAGCTTTATATTTAGACTGGAGAACGCAAAATTAGATCTGGGAGCACAAATATGTACATGAAGAAAAAGGATTCTTGCATACACAAAATATACACAAGCAAGGAAAACATGTGTTGGTACATTTCTTATAGAGGCGGAGCAGTCCGGTCCATAAATATGTTATCCGTTCCAGTAAACAAACAAACAAATAAAGAAACGGTTCATCCTACTTGAGCCTGAAACCAAAAAAAAAAAAAAAAAAAAAAAAAAAAAAAACTCGGATGATATGCATAAAATTGCTATAATTTTTATGTAAAATAAAAGCAGAAACACGAGTAAAATATGCATTGTATCTTCTTGGTCAATTCAAGGACAGCTCAGCAACAAGTCAGCCAAAATATATTCTTCTTGGCTTATGGAGTTGAATCCTAATGGATTGGTTGTACAGTGCTTTCTTATTTAAAGCCTGTGGGAATCAATTTAGGTATCAATACCAAATAAGTTTGTTGTTTCTGTTACAGAATGTTTTATTTACAATAAACAGGCTGAACTAATAACAATAATTTGGTTTGTTACATTCATAGCTGATTTTATAATTTAGATTTTTTTCCCCAACACTAATAAACCGATTAGGAAAGTGAACGACCTCATGATTAGTTTAGTTGATACAAGATATTGTACTATGTTACACTGGATAGATAATCAGTGAAGTGTGTATATTTATTTATTCTTTTGTATATGAAAAAGTCTATAGTGAAATGATGAAGATGCAAAGAGGGGGAAGGGATGAGAATATAAATATAAAGTATTTACAGTATTAATTTATATATATAATGTCGTAGTAGTCTAATTATGATTTTTTTTTGGTATGTGCTAAATTTTTAAGGAGATGTTGATGCGTCGCTGTAAAAGAATTCGTCTGTTGAGGTTTCTGATAAATAACGGTCGAATTCAGCAGATTCTCTTCCATCGAAAGGTAGCATTTCATTTTTCCATTTACATTGAGAGCATTCGTATCTTACTCTTGAGTTGTCAGTAAGTCGTTTATTAAGAACAATCAGTGATTTTTCAGATCTTGTTAACTGGACAGAGTTTTGATTTTTACAGCGTGGGCATGGGTGAGAAGCGTGTTCAAGGCAGATCTTCTTGCCAGAATTAGATACAAGGACGAATCCAGTCATGTTATTATAAAAGAAACAGAGAGATAGAAAGAAAGAGAGAAAGAGAGAGAGAAAATGAGTGAAAAAAAAGTTAATTAAACAAATTAAAATTATTGCCGTATTTATATTTTAGAAAAAGGGGGGAGAGAAAAAGTGGAGTTTACAATTGAATGTCCACGTTTTAAAAAAGAGAGATGATTCGTTCAATTTCAGAATAATAAAAAAGGGTGATGTATATAGTAGCCACGTTTCGCTTGGTTTAATCAAGTCTGTGTTACCCTAGCAACCAATCAAGGATTTAAATTGCAAAATTTTCATCTTAATGTAACTTTTCGTCATAAAGACGTCGGAGCGAAATAAACTTTTGAAATGGAGCTACAAGAAGGAAAAATTTGTGTTCAATTCGGTATACAAGAGAATAGACAGAAAATCTATTTTAGAACGATAAAAAGAATATATAGATATTAAGGTTTTATGCCATCTCTGAGAATGTGTGTGTGTGTGCCATATAAAATAAATAGGAGCGGAACTGAATCTCTTGGCTGTCAGAAAATTGTGTTTTCAAATGTTTGAAAGAACGACCTTGAATCGTTAACCCAATTGAAAACAAGAAGGGAGTTATGAATACATGACAACGTCAATTCGTTCAATGCCTATCGTTATTTCAATCATTGTCTAATGAACTAAGGCTGGCAAATTATTTAGGACGTCTGAACTAACTCAAGTCGGGTCATGATATTTCTTCTATCTGTGGGCTGATATAAATGTCATTTGCTAATTGATTGCTGTATAAATTTGAATATCTTTTAGTCACACATTTTCTAATTGCTTAGCTTAATAATAAAGTGTGCCAAGCCATGTGTCATTTGCCTTTGATTTTTCCATATTGCATCATTCTCGCATAGTCTAAAGCTTAAATATTATTTGATACTAAAAAGAGTACCATTGTGTACGGCCCTCAATAGCGCATTTCAAAACTCAATCAGCGGTTATTTAAAGGATGGGGGGTTTTTTTTTCTTGCCATACTTTACACCAAGTGGAAAATGAAAAATTACGCAGCAAGGATTATTCTTTTTATATATGATTTACTTTTATCTTATGATTATATTGAAGGGTTTACATAAACCAGAAAAAAAAATTGTTTAGAAAAAGACAGCATTCTTACATCACAATTGATGTCAAATATAGTATCATCAAAGACTTCAAATCTATTTAGACCAATGTGAAGGTTTAGTCAAAAAAAAAAAAACTTTTTAATCACAGTGGCTCATTCAGGTACACATTAGGCAATACGTAATGGAAAACAATGAAATACCACCGCATCATATATATGAACGCCAAACAGGCTAGCTTCATACTTCTGGTTTTCAAAATATTGAACGAGAATAGAGGGACCAGTGACTCGGCTCAAGAAAAGACAGAATTTCAGAAATTCAAAGGCAGAAAGTTTTCAGTTTCTAGAAGAATCAAAAGTATATTCAATGAAAAGTCTACAGCTTACTTATAAAGTCAAAAGACAAAGAACAAAGGCTCTGAAAAGAGTATCATTCAACATGTTTATCAAAAACTAACTGTGAAGCATTGATTTGATGGGTACTTTTAACCAGTCCTACTTATCTTTATTTTTTTTTTTTTTTTGGTTCTTTTTCTTTAAAATAAATGAGTGAAAAGAAAGAAAGAAAGACTCTTGTTGAATGCATTCGTAACTTTACTCCTTCATGGTTCTCAACCACGATGGGCACAGGCATTGTATCCATTTTGCTCTATAATTTTCCGTTTCCTTTCAAGGGACTGCATATCATTGCCATTGTTGTATTCTTTATCAATGTCACATTATTCTGTCTATGTACAATATTGTCACTAGCAAGATACATTATGTTTCCTTCAGTCATTCAACTGATGCTGAAGCATGCTTCCCAAAGTTTGTTTGTCGGCACGATTCCAATGGGACTCACGACCATCACCAACTTTTGTATTCTGCTAGGTTATGTTGATGTCGCTTTTGTACTTTGGTGTATTGAACTAGTACTTACTGTCATGAGTTGTCTTGTTATACCTTACTACCTGATCATTCATCACCATCATCGATTAGAATCAATGAACGGTACTTGGTTATTGCCTATTGTGCCTGCTGTTGTGACAGCAGCCTCAGGCGGTCTGTTAGCTCAGCACATTAATGTTACGCGAGGCATGGTTGTACTTATCATGTCGTTTATCATGATGGGTATGGGTCTATTTTTGGCTCTATCGATTATCGTCATTTACTTTTATCGATTGGCAATTCATAAGCTACCACCAAAAGAAGTGATCGTTAGCTCATTTTTGCCCTTGGGTCCGTTAGGCCAAGGTGCTTATGGTATGATACAACTCGGCCTAGCATCAGATCGTCTATTAGGAAACCGCTTTATTGAGGGATTTGGTAAGACCGTGAATGGCATAGGCTTGATTTCTGCTTTGATGTTATGGGGTTACGGTCTATGGTATCTTGTGGTAGCTGTCTTTTCTGTAGCAGTGACCACAAAACAAGGCATTCCATTCTCCATTGGTTGGTGGGGGCTGACATTCCCTTTAGGTGTCTTTACTGCTGCTACATTAAGTATAGGCCAAAGTTTGGACTCCATGTTCTTTTCAGTGCTAGCAGCTATCTTTACATGCGTCTTAGTCTTGATCTGGCTTGGCGTGATGATCAAGACGTTAAAGGGAGCATTGACGGGTGAGATGTTTTATGCACCTTGTTTAACTCCTGTCATTTTAAATCCATGAACAAAAGTTTAATGTTTGTTCATCTATCACACTTGTTCTTAAAGCAACCTACTGCAGTGATAGTTAAATGTACTGACAGTATGAAGATGTCAAAATAAACCACTTTATTATTATTATTGTTATTATAATTGAGATAATGAATCTTCTGCATAGGCTTCTTCAAGGTCTTTCACTAAGCGTTCACTTTCTTCTTCCATTTTGACTCGTTGACTTCTTATTTCATCATCTGTGGCAGCATAGTAAATAAATGCTGGATTGTTTCTACGATTACGCTTTTCAAACTTGAGACACCATAAGAGTTCAATTTCTGCTACTATCTCTTTCAATCACTATCAGTTGCTATGTTTAACAAACAAGAAGCTCACCTCTTAAATGATTCAGCCTATGTTTATCCTTGTTAGACTTGCTCTGGTTATCAATGACACTACTTACCATACTCTTCTACCGCGTTTGATAACATCTTCAATGGACGCAGACATAAAACCACTATAGTATACAATCAGACAATCGAGATGCATTTCTTAGACTTACATGACAATGTTGGAGAAGAGCAAGAGCACAAAAAACGAAAATAAAATGGCCAAGATGATGCTCATCACATTATCGGATGCATCACCGCTATTGATAGGATCCCAAATACCATAGATAAAGAACCAGACATCTCGAAAGGCTTTGAAAGCGTCTGTAAAGTCATTGGAACCGCTATCGACAACAGAAACCGTGGTGGCATTCTCTGACGTTGCGTTGGGTAGTGTCATGGTGCCTGTGTATTGTTCTTCAAAGTAACTGTCCGTCTTTCGCTGCAATAAGATGACAAACGCAAACGCAAACGCAATCACAACAGTCACCATGATAAGAATGATTTGAAGAACTGTATAAAACAATTGAATGATACTTTCAAGAGCAACGCCCTAAGAGGAAAAAGGTTAATTATCGTCTCGATGTGTATCAGCCCAACTACTTACAAAAGGTTGAATGGCTCTTAAGCGTAAAAGGCCATGTAACCAAATCAATAATGAACATATACTACTTACTTCATCCTAGAGAGCAAAAGAGTGAATACAGCTTCTATTTATAAAAGTATCAATTACCAGATAAGAAAGCCCATACACCAGCTGAATAAAAGTAGCCAACGACAAAATCAAGACCGAGATATCAATATAATTATAAACTGACCAGACATAGTTACTGCGTAATGAAAACCATTGTCGAAATTCTTGAACAACCAAAATGACTCCACAGACAAAGAGCACAATGGTACAGGCCAAATGTTGACCGTTTTCCCAGATAGACGATTCACCTGGTACAAAGCCAAACCTGCCAATAGAAAAAGGAACCACAAGGAAATAAGTCAGATAGAATACCAAGTGAACCAAGTAGGCAAGAAGGAACCGTATAAAGATAAACTCATTCCACTTGTAGAGCAATAGAACTGCAATCATCAAGTTTCCTTCATCAAAAATGTTGTGTCTGCTTTGGTCAGTCGCCATTTTGATAAAGCTGCTTGAGTTTTTGGGTAAAACGGAATGACGACTGCTAAAACCCATTTCTGAGCGTAGAGTCAGGTAGGTGTTGAGATAAAGAAGAGGTATAATGCACGGTTTGATATAGCTTCCTTTCAACATGGCATCTTCAGTTAAAGCGTGCTTCCGTTCTTCTTGAGTTCGCCATCTTGACACATATTTTGTTTTCCAAAAGAAAAGTATTTTGAAAAGCCATTCGTATTCAAGATCCTCAGGCTTGACTTGTTCAATAGTTGTCCAGCTATTTCGGTATGTGTTCTTATCGACAATCAGTTCTTGTTCAGTCGTCAGATCAAATTTTGATTTGAAACCAGGTTTAATGCAACCAGCAAGATTGAAATCGGCAACTGGAATAAAATCCAAGTCTCGAATCGTCTTTGACAAGAGTTCTATGGAAGTTTTAGTATCTTGTTTATCACTTTAAAAGATAGGCCTACCTTTATACCCTGACTTTTGTAAAAGGTAAAGGGCCTCCATGACTGGCAGCGAAAGAGTATAGGAACCCAACTTGTAAGCGTCTTGTATGATCTTGTTCAGTAGAAGTTTATAAAGACCATAGCTCATATTCTCAATCAAGATAGTCAGCGCATTTTCTCGTTCATCAGATTCACCACTTGATTCAGATGATGTGTATTTTGGATGACTGTAAATACAAATCGGAAGCTCTTTTATCTGGACAATCTTGAACAAAACTCTCCTTCCTGTTTCAAAAGAGGCCAGCAATGACAAAATGTTGTTTCCTGACATCGTCGCGAAATAATGAGATTGGTTCTTCTTCATGTTTTCCAGAGATGCATGTAAAAGGGCGTTGGTTTTTTCTTGTAAGATTCTTCTCTATGATGTTCATGTTAGCATGAGTCAAATGGAAATTAGGGTTTAACTTACCAAAGAACCGAAAAAGACCTTGCCAGTACTTTCATTTTGAGCATAAGAGAGCAAAGCTTGACAAGTACCTTCTAACTGATGACTGTGTCGATGAGGACTATCAAGTTGATCATCTTGCAACGATGTTTCGGTAAAAGGAAGATAGATATCTTCTACACGAATAGCATCTGTACCCTTTTGCTCGAGCTTTAAGCGCACAATCAGTCTTCCATCAATTCTTTCTTGTATGAGCTGAATCACGTTTTGTGTCTCTTTTAAGGAATGCAGACTCTTGGAGCGTACACTACATGTATAGTCTTTGATAGACCATTCTTGTTTATATAAGAAACCTGTCTCAGCGCAGCCGTACCCAAAGCACCGCGTATACACAAGTTCATAGCCATGATATATCTCTTGTCTAAAATTATGGCCTTCTCCACAGGCTTGGCTAGCATCCTTTTGGGCCCAGAATTCAATCGAATCTTCTCTCAAGATCAAGCAATAACGATTACCATTCACCTCCATAAAGTAGTAGAGATGATCAAACCAGACCATCTGAAGCGCAAATGGCACCATGTTAGGAAACGACCTTCTGCAAGTATGGTTCAACCTCTCTGTCTCTCTGTTGAATGCTTCTTGGATGATGTTGTGAAGATTGTTGCTACTTCTCTTCTTTTTGGCAAAATAGCTTTCTTGCGGCATATAGACCATGGGCACTTTTGTCTTCATTTCTGCAGTAAACCAAGAAAACTTGAGGCTCTCTATATACGACACCGTTGTATGAAAAGCGACAATGGTCTGTTCTGCAACAGCACATGTTTGTTCAGGATGAAGCTTGGTCACCAGGAAAGGAGGAATATGGTGATCAATAGGTACTTCATAAGACATGTTGGGATTCAGTGGTTTGTCCATAGAATAAATGAGTCTTTGGTGCATAATGTCCCAGACTCTGAAACAAGAAGATCGTTTGTCTTTGTAAGTACTGATGCCAGCCAGATTCAAGTGTTTTCCATTCAAAGAGAATTCCAATTGAGTGATCAGGAATTCTTCAGGGCCTATAGGAAATGGCAGTTTTTGAGTGACACAACCCTTGATGTTGTTGATCAGGTGCAGTTCGTTCCCAACATGGCATACAGAAAAGTCAAGGTTTTCTGAAAATCCCAGGATTTGCATTGGACTTTTGCTAATCACAGACAGGTCTTGACCTATAGCATAAGCAATGTAGCCATGAAAAGAACATGGATTCAGAAACATTAAGACACCTTGCTTGATACATCCAGAGATACAAAGCAATGTTTGAGCATCTATAGAGAAACACTTCTTGGAGAATTGGTTTTTTTCGTAGGTCGCAGCAAACGAAGGCAGGTTGTTGGATGCAAATTTGCCTAATGTTTTTCCTATCAAACAAGTAATGGGAAAGCGTTTCACAAGCTCAAAATCTTGATCAAAGACGTACAGATACTCCAGATTGACCAAGACAAACTGGCCATTGTCTAGAAAAATACCGCGACCCTGCAAACCGAGCTTCTTTCTTTGGTTGATTGCCGTGTTCACTTCAAAAATGATACAAGCAACCTTTGTAGGATCATTGGCAAGACAAGAGAGTGAGATGAACCTGCCATCGTTTGATACAGAAAGAAAGTATACCATAGAAAGGTTATTGTCTTCAGGAAGCCATATATAGATTCTCTCAGTCAAATGCAGAGATACTGCAGCCAGATCGACATCTTTCAAGTTACGAATAGTCAAAGAATACGATACTCTGTCTCCATAGACCGAATCAAATAAGCCTTCTCTCGGGACTTCTAGTTCAGAGACTTCCTCTTCATCATCTGGCATATTTTCAGTAACATAGACCAAGTACTTTTTGTTAGAGGACAAATCAAGCAATAAAGCAGGTATATTATCATTATAGTTATGGATGGGTCTTTTACATTTAGTATCTGTCATTTCAATAGACGACATTCTCTTTGATAGAGAGAGAGAGAAAAAAAAGAAGAAGGAAGGTAATAACTGTTCTTTTGAGATCAATAAAGAAGCTTAGGCTAAGCGTATGACATGTAATAGGAAACGAGTACCAATTAATGCAACAATCAAACTCCATCCTTATTTGTTGTGGTATCGACAATTCATTTTCGAGTGCTATGTGCGCCTCAATAGCGACCTAAAAAAGGCAGTTTTCCTTTTTTCTTTTTCATAGCGCCATTTTTCAAAAAAAAAAAAAAAATCAATGTTCTACACACATACACATACTATTCTCTCTTTCTGTCAATGCTATATACTTTTCACTATTTTTTTTTTTTTTAGGTTTAGTGACACCTTTCAAAAACAATGCTAACGTTCATTGAACTTGTCGATCTTTCAAGTTAGAACTTTGTTAAAAAATAAAAAAAAAAAAAGTTTGATTCTATAGACAAGTAACACGAAATTCAATACGAATGGCGCAACATGGATCAACCAAAATAAACAAGATAGGTTGCACGATTGTCAAAAGAAAAAAAAAAAAAGATTTCCGTAGTCTAATTTTTTTTTCTCTTTATGAAAAGAAATCAACGCTCAGATCCACAAAGAAACACCAAGAAAACACGTGTCTCAAAAGAGACTTGTCCGTTATGCATAGGCCAGTGTGTTGAACCCGACTTGTCCCCTCGTCTTTATTTTGGCTTGGCTTGGATTATGTCGACACCCACACACTATCGTTTGATAGAACATGAACCTACGCATGTTGTTTATTTGGCTGATCGTCTCATCAGTCTAACTACGGATCCTCATCTCCTTTCATCTACCATTGCACAACTACAAGATCTGGTCAAGACAAAAGACATAACCACACTAGCTTCCAAATTATCGCAAAACAAACATATTCATGTACCTCAAGAACTAGATTTCATATTCAACTTTTTACAAGAAATCAAGGTAAGACATAGCTTGATGATGATGATGGAATGTATATATTGATTCATCTTAGAGCTCAACCACATTTGATCTGATAAGCAGCTTATCTGATCTAGAATTTCTTTTGATGACAGATATTCGGTTTGTTCGATTGTTAGCCCTATTAGGCACACTTCCTAAAGATATTGTGATTATACAAGAAGAAGAAGAAGCAGAAGAACAACAAGAGCCTTCTACACGCATGATGCCAGATTATGAAGAACTATCAACACCTGAATTAAGAGCCAAACTAAAATCGTACGGTTATAAAGCAGGAGGACAAAGGAAACAAATGATTCATGATCTTAAACATATTTTCGAGTCACTTTATCGAACTTCGTCTCCTGTCCAACAGACAGTTCAATCTGATAAAGAAAATGATGGTTTAGATTTAGCCTTAAGGACTAAAATTGTCCAGCATTTAAAACAAAATAAGTCTTTGTGGGATCGTATTTTGCGTTATGAGGTATATAATCAGATATCATTTCTAGACTCATCGTATATCATGATAGCATGTCAGTATTCAAGAATGTCATGCAGGTCTTGACTGTAAAAAGAGTGAACTCAAAATAGTCCTGGATGAATATGTAAATAAGTAGCATAGTATATAAGTATGTATTAATATCCATTTGTAGGCAGCAGGTAATGAGTTCAAAAAGAGAAAGAAATAAACTAATAAGGTGGATTGACAAGAGATAAAGTACTTTGTGCCATAGGATTATTCCGAGGCAATGTGAGTTCATTTAGAAAGGCATTCATTTCAGTATTGGTTCGTTTAAGGGAAGGGTTTGAATTACTTGAGTCTGTCTCTTCATCTTCCGTGAATTGTCCTACAAGGGCTTCTTTCAGATGAGATACACCAATATTGTTCTTTTTATCTTGAGGCAGAAGGGATGATGGCTAATAATGAAATATGAATAAGCATGACCTACATCTATAGCCTTCATTACCTCATTAGTATTAGGGTATTCCCATGGACTGGCTAATCGAGGCTTAAGTTCATTTGTGTCTGGCAAAATATGCTTCCATTGATTTCGTTGTACTATCTTAATATAAGTAACATAGTCGACATATATCTATCTATACACATTACAGAAAGCGTCTGAATCCCATTCAGCAAACAATTTGGCTTCTAGTTCCAATCCATGCGTATCTGTCTCGTCCCGTAATTCTTCTTGTTGTGACATGATTTCAACAACCGTACCTCTATCCAGCCAAACTTGATGTGTATCCATACTTACTGAATCAAATGCTTGTATGGTATCAGGGATAGACGATTCGGTCAACACAACCTCACTCTGTCTCTGAGATTGGACCTGATGAACATAGGCAGCCAAGGACTCTAGATGATAAAACTCAGCTATCATACCAAACCAGTCTACTAGACCCGTCTGAATAGCCCATTGACGAGCAGTATTGGTGATCTGGTTTTTTTGAATCAGGTCTTGGACCTTAAACACAAGTGGTGTCAACAAGACCACGGCATCCATACGAAATATGCGTACAAGCAAACACAGCAAAGCATAAAATGAGATGAGATCTGACTTGTTGAAATTGTCTAGTGTGATCCAGTCCATTAAAGTATAGACTAATTTGCTGAGAAACATGTCATGGCGTGCATGGATAGGCACTGCTTGTAGAAAGCCATACAATGACTTGCTGAACCCAAGGCGAGTCTGAGGATGTGGGTCGTCCAATAGACCTAGTCCTGAACTCCAGGCTTCTAGAGGTACAGCACCAGTCGTGCATTGCTTGTAGCCCTGAACAACACTATCTAAACAAGTCAAGACCAATGCACGATATTTTTCAATAGGCATCTTGTCTACTGTCTCTAGAGAGGTATGAGGTCGTAATTTGGATATCAAGTAACCAATCATATCATTAAACTGGTTTGTATAATACAGTTGAGACCCAAGCCCAGCAATAGCATGGACAAGTGTGTCTAAAGAAGGATGTTGGACAACCAAATTGAACAAGGAATTCAAGACTTCCAAAACTGAAATGCCCATCAAGGAACTATGGCTATGGAGTATAGTGTCCAACATACTCACAAGTATGATGTGTTTCTCTGTCCATGGCTCTGTCTCTAAATGAGACAAGATGTCAGATACAAGTAAATACCGATACTGAGGTTGTAATGCATTGAGTACAAGTTTGATCATATTTATCGCAAAATTGGGAGAAGACCATGCGTTTTCATTGAAATAACTAATGCAGTGTCAACAATGTAGATGTGCAAAAAAGGTCTATCTTACTTGAATAGAGGTGTAAGAGAGAATCGAATAGAAGGGCCTGTAAGTCTGTTAAATAATAAAGTGGTTGTATAAGCAGCCAAAGATTCAATCATTTGAGGATTCAATGGTTGTTCTAATGCTGAATGTTGCACATCACTACTACTATTGCTCAGTTTAAATAACCCATTGTGTCATTTTTCGACTTTACCTTGCTACAACTAAAATTGTATCGGGATGAGCAACCAAAGTAGAAATAAGAGGGGGGAAAAGAATGTATAATTGAGTCTTGAAATTCGAAGCTTGTAAGGCAGAAGAAGTAATGGCAGCCTGAATAGCTCGATGACCAATATATTGCATTCTATCCATTATCAATCATGATAAACCACAAATAAGCTTACTTGGTCGAAAATTCACTGTCATTGTTGGTATAAGTACAAAATCCAGCAAATTTCTTTAATAAGGCTTCATAATCTAATGTGAATTCAGTATCCACACCCAATGTACTTCCATCATGATACGAACAAAACACAATAAACTAACGCAAGTGTCAATGAACAGTAGCTGTTTACATTCCTTACATCTTCACAGACAAGATCAATGACCTCTAAATCCCTTGTGTCCAATAACATACTAAAGATTTGAATGATAGATTTCGAAAACAAGTTTAAATCTCGGTGACATGATTGAATTAAGGATTTCACTAGGTGTAAAGAAACAAGATCATGGCTATCATTTTATCAGTATATGTTGGTTCATGTATGCTTCATTTACCCTTTTCGACCCTTTCGAATATCTCGAGCGACTTTTTTTTGTAAATAGGATCCTACTTTGGTCAATTTTTGAGGTCTTGAAGTCGCATAAAACAAAAGATAACTTTGTTCTGAGGATCGAGGTATTGTCTTTTCTTCCTTGAGTGAAGGATAGCAATTATTAATGAGGGCAATGTGCTTAATATGGACACAAGGAAGACAAGCAATAGAAGACATAAGAATGGGGAAAAAAAAGGAGTGTAGAAGAAGCGAAGAACAATAAAAAGAAAAAAAAATGGGAGATATACCTAAATTTAGTCTCGGAGTTTCTTGTATTCAAGCTCAGTTTATGACGTTCGATTGGCATTTTTACACTGCCTGGGGTTAATTTTTTTTTTGTCTTTCTTTATCTAATCTTACCATGTCTACTGAAAACAAGATTGCTAGTGAAGATATTTTGGCACAAAAGGTAAGGTTAAGTAAAATGACAATAAATTAATTGCTGTAGTGGGATCGTGCTATCTCCAACTTTGTTGTTAAGACAGGTCTTGGTCTAAGTGCAGGTATTGTTGCATCTGCTTTATTGTTCAAGAGTAAGTGTTATAAAACTAGATGCCATACTCATATTATATCTATATAGAGCGTAGCTGGCCTATTGCTATTGCTACTGGTTGGGGTTTTGGTGTTGCTTATGCTGATGCTCAAGTAAGTTGATTTTACAGCTACTTTTTCTCTTATACTTTCTAGCGTATTTTCCATCCTTCCAATGTTCCCGGTGCTAAATTTGAAAAACAAAAGCCTACTGCTCAATAATATGATAACAACATGCATGATGATTCCATATTTTTTTTTTAGAGAAAATGTCAATAATAATAATAATAAAAAAACAAATCGCGACTGCATTATTTTGATACGCGTTTAATTTTTCTTTTCTTTTTTCTTTTTGTTTATAATGGCACAACCACAACCTTTATTAGCACCACCACCATCTTCAGGACCACCTCTTATTTATAAAGCCACTTATTCAGGTGTGCCTGTGTATGAATTTATGTGTAATAATGTAGCTGTGATGCGAAGAAAATCCGATGCCTATTTAAACGCGACACAAATCCTCAAAGTAGCCGAGTTTGATAAACCACAACGTACGCGCATCTTGGAAAGAGAAGTACAGATAGGACAACATGAAAAAGTTCAAGGAGGCTATGGCAAATACCAAGGTAAAAGATAACACACATAACAAGTAACTTATGGATGGTAGGTACATGGGTACCTTTTGAAAGAGGTGTTGCTTTAGCTGAACATTACCATGTCGATGACTTGTTACGACCCATCTTTGATTTTGTCCAAGGTGATAAGAGCCCACCGCTCGCACCTAAACATGTCACAGCAGCTTCTACTCGACCCAGAAAACCTCGTTTATCTAATAGCGAACCCAAACGTAAAAAAGTACTTGTGAAGTCGATGGAAGAGAAACATGATATCAACCACCTTATGCAATATCCTCCGCCTGCTCCCCTTGCACCCACCTTGATGCCACCCTTACCACCCTCAGCACCAGTCTTGTTTGATACAGATTCGGATGAAGACACAAGTGATCCCTCTTATGCGCATCAACTCCTTCAGTATTTTATTTCAGATGATACAGGCATTCCTTCCCTCTTACTGAGGCCACCCATGGATTTGGATGTGAATGTGATCATTGACGATGAAGGCCATACGAGTCTTCATTGGGCTGCTGCTATGGGTCGCTTAAAACTCGTGAGTATCTTGTGTGATTTAGGAGCCGATATCTACCGTGTCAACTACAAGGGCCAGACAGCCTTGATGCGATCTGTCTTGTTTACCAACAATTTTGATGCCAAATCCTTCATGTTCTTGATTGACTTGCTCAAGAAGACAGTGTTCAATATCGACAAAAAGGATCAGACGGTCTTTCATCATGTGGCTGCTACAGCCAGTTGGAAAGGAAAAGTCCATGCGTCTAGGTATTATATGGAGTGCTTGATCCAGACATTAGCAGGCAGTCCATCTGAGTTGATTTCGATTTTGAATGTTCAAGATGTCTATGGGATACAGCACTTTCGATTGCAGCCAGAATTGGGAACAAGAAACTGGTGAGACTATTGATGGATGCAGGTGCCAGTCCTGAAATAGCTAATGAAGAAGGATTAACAGCACAAGACTATCTCTCTGAAGTAGAGCGTCATCATCATCATCGGTTTCATTCACCTACTTTATCTACAGAGATGTCGTGTGTACCAGAACTTCCTTCTCGGACTAAATTAAGGCAGTCTGTAGAAGGCTTATTCAAGCATATTATCGTGAATGACCATGCACAACCTTCACTTTCATCTCAAATATTTGATAGTTTTGCAGGCAATTATGAGCGTGAATTGATCCAGAGAGACCATTTGATTCGAGATAAACGACATGAACTTGACATGGCAAAGAAACGATTGGCAGGCATAAGACATACATGGGAGCAAATTCAGTATAACCCAGATCAACTATCTCGAGTAGAACAAGAAGCACATCAACAGGCTATGCTCTTGTTTAAGCAGCAATTGATCATTCAGAGACAGACATTGGAAAACTTGATGTTAGACTATAATAAAGAGCAAGACATGTCTGGTCAACAACAAGAACTAGCTCGTCTAACACATCAACTAGACCAACTGAAGCAAAAGAGAAGACAACAAACACAGATACTGATGGAACGAAGGCTACAGACACCTTCTAGACGTCATCAAGAATACAAACGATTGATTTCAATGTGTTGTAATGTGCCGTATGAAAATGTGGATATGATGTTATTACCCTTATTATCTTCTTTTGATGAATTATCAAGGTCTATAGAATAAATATGATGATTATCTGTGCTTTATTAAATGGTTTTGCCAGTCTGCTAAATGGGGTATGTCATTCTTGATTTCCTTGTCTGTATAGTTTTTAGGACGAATGGCATTAAACTTGAATCGATAGAGACTACATGCATTACAGAGTGAATTTTCACCTAAACTACTTGAACGAATCAAACTGGTCATATAAGGAGAACAACCACAATCTATACAACGCCATTGAGGACTCACAAAAGTATCTATAACAAAAAAAGAAAGAGAGTTATGGTATAAGCAAATACAAACAACCAAACATACTAGGTACAGAGGGTGGATTCACACTATCAGATTCTATCAAAGGAAGACCAGCAGCTTCTGCAGCAATACTTTGACGTGCTTTAGCAGCACTCTTTCTTTGACTATGATATAATGTAGGTTCAGTCTGCATACTTTTTAGGAATTGCTCATCTGTCATGTCTTGTTCTGGTGGTGTAGCAAAAATAGTACGGAATGTAGGAATATGTTCACGTTCAGGTAATGCAACCACACCCTTTCTATTACGCGTATTTCTTCTTTTACGTCTATTGTACCTGTTAACACATACTCATTGTAGCTTCAATTACCTGGATTCTCTTGTGCGATCCTTTTCGATCTTGTCTACTTCTGCTTCTGTTAATTCAATCAAGGAAGGTGTAAATCGTTCTACCGTTTGGCTGCGTCGAACAATATTCTGTAAGGGAGGCAAGAAACTACGTTTCAGTTCGTCATGATCAACAGGTGTTTGCATATCATGGTCTATCAATAACAAGGACTTCAGATAGATATGGACTTGTTCACGAATCGAGTGAGCAATGGCCGTTCTATTCAGTCATCAATAGGGACAGTTACTCAAGTGTATGACTTACTTGAATTCACCACCAAGACCTAATTCAGTCACCATGTTCTCTGCAAATGATTCTGGTGAATTCTGTTGACAGGCAATATCCCATTCAAACTGATCATGTAGCACTCGATTTCCCACTATGATATCAAGCTAACATATCACTCTATGAGCATGATATTATGGTGTTATAACTTACTTTGATAATAGTTCTAAAGTCTACTTGTTTATCATGTACAGGTTCTGATAAAGGAGGTTGGTCTCTTGATTCTATAAAGTGTTGATAAGGATTGACTTTCTCTTTTTGTTCTATCGTGCACTGTAAATCAAAGTCTTGAATTTGTTCTCTAATACTGGTTGCAATTAAGGGACTCATTGCAAGCACAGGCAAACGCAAATCCTCGCATGTAATCTCTGCAAACTGTTCAGGTGTAATAAACGTCTCATTCTTGTTCCATGTGAATGTATCTCGTATTTTATATCCATCGTGTTCCAAATCCAAACGAATAGGAACCAGTACTTCTTGTTTCTTTGCTTGTTCTTTACATTGCTCAGAAGGACTAACATAGGATAAGCTATCAGCAAAAGTATCATAGGACTTACATTCGAACCTGTTGTCGTCTATGCTTCTTTTCATTAGGATACATAACTCTTGTCGTATGGATGTCTGTCTTGCCATTACCATAACCATCATAACCTTTACCAAAAAATAATCCTCGTTGCTGCACTCGAGTCTTTCTGACACGATGAGCCAGGTCAATTTCTTGTTTTTTGGATTTGGCTAATTCAACATGACAATAATGCTGCTTGTCCAATGTCCTTTGGTAGGATTCATCACGATCTATGTATTGCTTCAAGTTGTTTTTTTGAGTAATAGATTCAACAAGCGTTGTATTGAGTTGAGAAGGAGTAGGTTGAGAAGGTTTTTTGAGTGCTACATTAGATTGTTGTTGTTGTTGTTGTTGTTGTTGTTGTTGTTGTTGTTGTTGCTGTTGCTGGATCCATACCATGTTAGACGGATCAGAGATCAAGGGTCTTTGTCGCATAGCTGCTTGTTGTTGAAGATAGAATGAGCTAGGTTGCATAATAAGGAAAATATTTTTTTTTTCTTCTTTCGTTGCCTGTCAACGTTGCTAGGCTTGATTCGGACTTTAAAGAATCATGGATTGGTCTTTTCGATATGGTTGCATCATACAAGAAGGCGGTTCAAAATAAAGGATACATCTATTTCTTATTGTGGAATGCCTTTCTGCCATTTGCTCACTCTACAAGTGAGAAACCCTGTATACCTCTGATTTGCTTTATTCATAGTATCCTCTAAGAGATTACTAGAGATACTTGAGAAATGGTTAGTTAATTATTCTAAACCAATGATAAATGAGAAACACTTTGTCTAAAAGAAAAGTAAAAGAGAATTGAGATAAACAGATTTGTTTATGACACAAAGAAACCTGTCATTTATCAAGTGCATAGTTTATAAAATAAAAAGTATAATTTTTTTTTTATAGGTCCAGAAGATTCTCACCGGAATGGAGGGGAGGGGTCGTTACTCTCGTAGTTGCAGTTCCTGTTTCCATGGTTTTTGTAACCTGACATTCAATTCCCGAAACTAAAGCTGAAAAACTCTGTTGTTGTTGTTGTTGTTGTTGCTCCTTTTTTTCTTCTTCTCAAAAAAAAAAGATGTCATCTACTACCATTGCTGAAACTCAAGCTACTGCTAACCTTTCTTCTACTAATGCAAAACCAAAGAGTGTTAAACTTGTGTTGTTGGGTAAAGTATCTTACTCCTTTTTCCTTTGATATTCATTTATTGTAGGTGAATCTGCTGTAGGTAAATCTAGCCTTGTTCTCCGATTTGTCAACAGAGAATACGTAGAGAACAGAGAACCTACGATTGGAGGTAAACAAGATGTGTTTATCTATCTGATGCTGACCTATCAAATAGCTGCTTTCTTGACTCAAAAGTGTACCTTTAAAGATCGAACCATCAAATTCGAAATTTGGGATACAGCAGGACAAGAACGGTTCCATTCTTTAGCTCCCATGTACTATCGTAATGCCCAGGCTGCTATTGTTGCTTATGATATCACTAAAGCCGTAAGTAAATATACATATATATATATACATGTATCTAACATTCGCTATTAGTCTACTTTGATAAAAGCAAAGAGTTGGGTCAAAGAACTACAAAGACAAGCCAATACAGATATTGTGATTGCACTTGTTGGCAACAAACTTGATTTATGTGAAGAAGACGAGGAGGAAAGACAAGTACCTAAGGAAGATGCACAAGCGTATGCAGATGAAGCCGGACTTTTATTTTTCGAGACCAGTGCTAAATCGTCTCACAATGTGGACCATGTCTTTACAAGTATTGCTGAAAAGATTCCTCTGGAAAACATGGCTCATCATAATGGAAGAAATGGTATTGCTGGTAGACCTGGTCAAAGTTCTGTTAATTTGATGCAACCCTCTCATCCTACTTCATCTGGTGCATGTGCTTGTTAATACCCCCTCTCTCTTTTGAATAAAGAATTGTACACTTTTTTAAAAAAAAGTGGAAAAAATGGATTGATCCGAAAAAGGAAATTAAGTCGCATAAGATAAATTATATCTCTGAGTAATACCAACAATAACCTTACTATTCACATCCCTAACATACTAGCAATAACATGTAAACTGATGCCAACATATGGATTGAGCTGACAAAGGACTCCTTTTCTAAATAAATAACAACAGCATTGAAGTCAGTTATCAACGGGAGAATCCTGGGTATTATCTTTATGGTGTTCAGAAAATCATCCGTCTTTCTAAATCGATGGATAAAAGAAGCCTTCTACAGGTTGCTGAAATGTATGCTTCCAACTGCTGATAAAAAAAGGGTATTACTTTCTTTCCCTTTGCATCCATTATTATGATGTTGATGCTAATCAAACTGTAGATATTTCGTTCAATACTTGATAAAACATTCTCCATGAGTTTTCAATCTTATCCTTGATTTAGAAGGTGCTACAGTAATTGAACTGCTCTCAAGTGAAGAGCTCAAAAGAAAAAGGTTATCTCAATTCGACAAGAGTGTAAGCTCTTCCTTTGAGTCTCTTCAGAAGAAACGTATTTTTGATAAATTACTCCAGCTGGTGTATTCTGACTAGCTTGGTTCAAGAATAAGTCTAGAGCTTTACGACTTCAAAAAAAACTATGTTGTCTTCTCTTGAGCTTTTTCTTAACAGCGATATACCTTGTATCATTCATGCAAATAAGCACGACACGATTACAGTATCTGAAGAAATATATCAATTGGAACTATGACCAATATTTATTATGAGATGTTTTCATGTATAAATCGTTTCATTATAAATACCCTCTAATAAACGGAAGTCTTATCCTGGTTGTACTTTTTCACTTGCTATTCATTGAAGCTGTAATCCTGATACACTAATACGCTCTCTTATTTCTGACTAAGCTTTCCAAGAGAGATATAGTCCGTCTTGTGTGGAATTGCCTCTTGAACTGTTGTATTGGCAGTGTCATCTTGGTAAATACAGAGACTGAAGGTGTCTCCTCAAGTGCATTTAACAATGCAAGCAGAAAGATTTCTTCTGTTTCAAGCCTAAGCAAGAAATTCTCTGGTGAATTACCTGACATATGCTTTAGCTATGCTGGTGGGCTTGAACTTGAAGCTCTGACGTTGTGTTGTCCTTGCGATATTTTCTAATCAAATAAAACCATATTTATATTTTTGGCAAACATTCTGTCCATTCTGCTCCAAAAAGAAGCATACATGTATAGATTTTAGAAATAAAATCGCTATTCGTTTTGAAGTATCTGTATTCTTTTCGCTTCATTCTATAATGCTCAACTAAACCATTTGTCTTCAACGCATTTGATAAATTACTGGTTTCTTTATGTGATAAACAACAAAAAACCTGCTTATTTTTACAAAACGATCAATTAAAATAATTTTCTTTCTCTATAAATGGCTACAATTACTTCTTTAAAAATGGATATTCGCGCAAAAGTGGTCGCTTTTTGGAGTGGAGAGAGCGTTTGCCATATTTTTCATGGCTATTTTTTTTTTTTGACTAAAGAAAAATCAACACTTAGTACAGCCAACCCTTCAGAAGTATACACAAATAACATGATATTAAATGACAGAAAAACAATGATTTAACAGCTCGGAATTGTATCATGCCTACTACTTGAATTTCAATATGTTGCATACAATTTTTAGAGAAAAAGAAAGGTAATAGAGCAAGAAAAAAAAGTATAATTTATGACAATGGCCTCTTTGAACAATTTATTCTAGTGTCTGTCATTGATGAAGATAGCCTTTTGTTAGGGTGATGATGTTGATAAAATAGTGTTTATGACAAAAATAATTCAAGGAAGGCGTTTGTTTCTTACATGCATGATTATTTATCTCTTTAATACGATATAAACAGGTACGTTTCCCCCTTTTTTTTTCTTTTTTTTTCTTTATGATGCATCTTGAAACTCAACGACTTTATACTCTTTATGAGATACTCACTCGATATTACACTAAACATGGCTCAGTCTTAAAGACTGCCTGCAAACTTACGATTGTATCTCTTATTGTCTACAAAGGAATTCAGGTAAGTCACCCTGTTTATTTTACACATGGCTTAGCGTTTATCTATAGAAACTCTATGATGCGTATTTGGGTCCCTTAAGGCACATACCAGGTCCTTTTATCTGTAAATTTATGAATATACCTAGTTTTGTCTATGATATGCCTATAGGCACTATGTAAAGTTGATATGATGATTGCCTGATTTACTCAATTGATCATAATAGGTTCAAGAGCATGAAACAATTGCATGATAAGTATGGTAGTCTCGTCAGAATAGGCCCCAACCATGTTTCTATTTCAGATAAAAACATGATGAAGCATATCTTGTTAAGTGACGACGTTGTCAAAGGTCCAGCTTATGCATTGTCCAGAGGTAAGGCTGCTTGATACTACTCTATCATTGAAAACACACAAAGTCAAGGGAGAAAATTCGTTCAATACAGAAAACAAATCATTCCATAAGCGTATAGTAAGTCGAATAAAAAAACAGAACGACGTATCTGAATAGATATCTGTTAGAGAAGACTTGCTTCACCAGCTTTTTCCAACAGATACATTAGTTCACTTGATCCTCTTTTCTTGGGTGTCATTCAATCCCTCATAGACCAACTGGACCAAGAAATCCAATCGACCGAAGATAAAGATGGGTTTGGCACTGTGGATGTTTGGAAACAGATTCAATATTTAAGTTTGGACATCATTGGCGAAACCGCATTTGGTCAGAGTTTTAACATGGTTCATGATCAAAGTCATTTTGTAGCCAGTGCTATTTTAAAAAAGATGAGAGTAGCTTCTGTGATTATTGCTTACCCTTTTCTTATTTACCTGACTCCTTTAATGCAAAAGTATAATCAAAAATTGGTGGCAGTAAGTGAATATCATGCATTTGACATGCGAATGACGTGTTAGTTTGCCCATGGTATATTTAGTGCGAGAAAACAAAGCGGGACAAAAAGAAACGATATCTTACAAGTATTGATCGACACACAAGATGCAGAAAACCCAGAGGATCGTTTAAGCGTACAAGCCATCGCAAGTGAAATATACCTGTATTTAGTAGCTGGATCAGAAACGACAAGTAACACGATTGGTTTTACAATCATTGAACTTTTGCGCCATCCAGATAAAATGGCCAAACTGATGGAGGAATTGAATGCATTGCCTATCCGAGAAGGCCAGACGACTTATGAGCATGAACAGCTTAAGCATTTGAGCTACTTGAATGCCGTGATTCAGGAAACTATGCGTATAAATCCTGTGAATGCAGCAGGATTGCAAAGACGACTTACAAAGCAAATAACATGGGATCAAGTTGTCTTTCCTGAGAATGTAAGTCTAGAGATAGCCTGCCTATTGATCTTATTGTGTTAGACTATTGTTACGTGTTGTATCTATCATGCTCATCGAAACGATACTTATTGGCCAAATGCGACTCAGTTTGTACCTGAAAGATGGATACCAGGAGAAAAGGAGTATACATCAAATGAACATGATGCCTTTTTTGGCTTTAGTATTGGGTAAGTACTTTCTTTTTAAGACATTAATACAAGGTGTGTTAGATCAAGAAACTGTATTGGCAAACAGTTTGCTATGCATGAAATGCGTTTGACAATAGCCAACTTGTTAAAGTTATATACTCTGAAACCTATAACAGATGAATTGTCTCATGCTAAAGATACAAGACAATATCTTACACTTTCTGTTGCTCAAAGTAGGTTTTTAACCAAGATTAAGCGCAAATAAAAACATGATATCAGTGTACACTTTTAAACTCATTTTCTGACTAAAATTGAATGCTAATTTTCATGCAAATTATACAGTAAACAGATCGCAAGAAAGCCTCAATGAGTGATAAATTATTGACCTCAATAAAAAAAAAAGGGGGAGAGGGATTTATCGATATCCAAAGCAAAAAATGACAAGTTGGAATAAAAGTGGATTCAAAGCATTGATGAGGTTACTCTGCAGCATTTTGATGTTAAAATCAGCATCAAAGCCAGTCGTAATAGGTTGATTTTCATTAATGCTTTCACTGGGTTGATTTAGTTGTACACAAAACATTCATGTTGTCCATACACACACTCATTGCGTATCAGGAACAAGTCATCAGCCTCGTTTATTCTTAGTGAACTGCTCCTTATTAATTACTGGTTATTCTCCGCTTCCCTTTGGCTAAACTGTGATTATCCTCATTGGCTGAATTTTTTGATTTTTTGGGAGAGACACCGCGTAAGTCTTAAAATAAAAACTTATTTTTCTCTGTTCGTTATTATTATTATTATTATGCCAACAACACCAGTGGAGGTAGAGATAGAGAAAACAACCAAGACGTATCCTAATTAAATATAGGTTCCCCTTTGTCAAAAATTTGGTAAGAATAAATAGAGACATAGACTTTTAACTCAATTATTTTCGTAGCATGTGCTATTCAAGACTGTCTAAACAAAAATGACTTTCAAGAATCCCGGTGCAAAAAAGAACTAGAAAATTTGCACAAATGCTGTCAAGAACTTATAGCTAACGGCGGCAAAAGTGTCTGTTGTCCCGAGAAAAAATACAAAAAACAATAACATTGTATTCAAAAACCAACCGAGTCTTTCTTTTTTAAAAAGGAAATAAAAAGAGATAGTCGTACATAGATAATAAAGTTTCACTTTTTTTTACTTTTTTTTTTTTTTTTTTTTCATCTCTCTTTTGTATTATGAACAAATCAAACGGTCCTTTTCCAACGGAACTTTTACTTGCTGTCTTTAGCTATCTTGATGGTCCTACACTTGTGAATTGTAGTCAAGTGTGTAAAGCATGGTCTACACTTATTGTTCATTATGACGATCTTATTTGGCCAAACGCATGTGGACGTGATTTCGAATCTCCTCGGAGATTCTGGTCTCTTCAGTTTCCTAAACCTCAGTATCATTACCGTTGGCAAGACATGTATCGTATTACCAAGAATTGGTATACGGGTCACTGTAAAGGCTTTTACCCTACCCTTCGCTCAACCAGAGAGGGTCATGCAAGTACTGTGATTGGTGCACCACAAGAACAAGGGATGTTTACCAGTCTTAGTTTGAGTCTAGAGGGTCGAGTGATTCGTTCAAATCCAAATTACCATTCACCTTCTCATCCAAGCAGCTTAATGATTCAATCTCCGCATAACAATTACTGCTTCTCTTTTTTAGATCCTCAGTTAGATCAACCTATACCAGGCTGGACAGATCCTATTCGATCACATGCCATTGTATGTCATTACTCACATACTTCTTCTCCATGGTTAGTGACGGGTGGACTGAATGGTACAGTGGCTGTTTGGGACTTGAAGACAAAGAAACTTGCTAGAATGTGGCATGGACATCGAGGAAGAGTGCTGTGTATCCATATGAATGAAGACGGTAAGTCCATATTGGATGAGGAGTGACTGAGTTCTTGCTGTAGTGGTTGTGAGTGGTGGTTCAGACAACATGATCCTTGTGTGGGACCTAGACCATCGTCAGACATGGACAAATCATCATAGGCCTACAAGGAGAGGCATGATTAATATTTCATCTTATTTATCAGGCAGAAGTGATTGGTATCAAGGTGTAGGGGAAATTGCTGTCAATGGGCATCTGATTGCCTGTGCACCTGATGCTTCAGGTCCTATTCTTGTGTTTTCACTCTTGACAGGCTCACTTGTGTATGAATTACGTATGCCAGAAGATACAGAACAAGGCTTATTGACAGAGGATATCACAGCATTTACTCGACTTTGTCTGACGCCTTTCTTTTTGCTGACCAAAGGCAAAGTAACCCACACCAACCATTCAATCAAGCTTGTACCTTCCAACAATGTAGTTGTGGAACGAAAAAAACAAACATCAGCAGGCTATATAACTAAACTCAGTGACAGTAAAGTATCTGCACCTGCTGCTTCACAAATGACACCCTATCAATTATACCAATATTATCAAAGTATTCACCATACACAACAACAACAACAGGAAGTACAAATAATGCCTCAGACCAGTGCCTGTATCAATGTATGGGATTTACAGACAGGTAAAATAGCCTATCGTCTTCTGCCTACACTTGACTATCCAAGCCAAAACTATACCTTGACAGACGTCCGTGTGACGCCTGATTTCTCAAAAGTGTTTGCTTCTATAGAGATTCGGAAACAAAATCATTATGAAGAACGACTTTATTGTTGGGATTTCTCTATTCGACATCAAGACTCACCACAAGACTTTGATATTCTTGAACTAGACTCTATGGATATTGCAGCTAGAAAGACAGGGAAATCCTGGGTATGTTTCATTTAATCATTCTTTTGAAATAACACCAAGTGCTTCAATATCGTGGTTTTTTTGTTTCTCAAAGACTTCATCATCATCGGATTCTTCACTGGATGAACCCAATTGATACATGAGTGTTGCTCCAACAAAACTACCTCTGCTACTATATCCTTTTCGAATGACAGGTGCCAAATTAGTACTTGACCTTGGTCCTGCTTCTTTGGAACCTGTAATCCAAGGATGTAAAAGAGCCTCTTCAGCTGTGATACGTTTGTTTGGATCAAATGTTAAGAGTCTATCGATTAAGTTTTTGGCTAAGAATAGATGTGAGTCTTGTAATATAAGATAGAGCATTTTACCTGATTGTGAGATATCAGACCAGTATTCTTCATCATATTCATATTCACCAGACATAATAGACTGAAATAAACTGGCTTGATCTATGACATGCGCTTAATAATAGCAATCTATTTTTTTTTTTTTTTTTTTTTTTTTTTTTTTTTTTACCTTCTCCCCAGAAAGGTGTATAACCACTCAACAAGGTAAACTAAAAACACGGTTCATATAAATCCTATGGCATCTTATTCAGGGATAACTTACAAGCATGACGCCTACACTCCATAAATCCACAGGTTTATTATGGCCTGTCTGTAACAAGACTTCAGGTGCAACATAACCAGGTGTACCGCATGCCGTTGTTAGGATATCGTCATGTCCTTTAAGAATCTTGGAAAGGCCAAAATCAGTAATCATTAAATTGGCGTTTTCTGTATTTGTTTGAAACAAGAGCTAGGAAGCATAAGCAAATGATATACACAAACCACATACATTTTCTGGCTTCATATCACGATGAACAATCTATACAAAAATAAAAATAAAAAAGTCGTTAACCACGTCTAGACATCTATTGTTTCCTTTACATCTCTTTCATGCAAATACTGCAATCCTTCAAGCATTTGGCGGGTTAAGTTGGAAGCATCTTTTTCTGTATAACTGCCCTTTTTAAGTAACTGTTGAAACAGTTCACCACCACTGGCCAAATCAGTCACGATGTAAACAGCATCTTTGGATTCATATAAATGATGCATCGAGACAATATGTGGATGTCTTACTTACTTTAGAATATCTAACCATACTTTGTATAAGACACGTATCAAACAGAATTCCATAGGACATACCCAACTCACTACTCAACATATGTTCCTTGCCTAATGCATATATCAACAGACAGCAATCACAACACTGTCATTTTACCTGCAATCGCTTTTTTTAAAATGATTTTGAGCGCAAAGGAATGTCCAGTAGAACGATGAATACATTCTTTCACGACTGCAAACGAACCTACACCGAGTGTCTTTTTGGTAACTTTATAAGTGCTAGTCAAATCGGAAGGGTAACCAGGTTCTTGTTTCTTTTCATGTGTCTTTTTAAATAGAGCGACAATGCGCTTCATAATCGTAAGTTTGGTCATATTGTTTTTTTTTATATAAAAAAAAAGGGAGAGAGAAAAAAAAGGAAATAATAATAATAAAAAAAAAAAAAGAGCAATGTTTGTGTACACAATGATCTTGTACACCAACGTAACACAATTTTATTTAGTATCTTTTCTTGAATGTGATTTCCAAGTCTTTAGGACCAGCGAGAAAGAGGCCAGAGGTCAATACACCATGTTTATGGATAGAATCTTTGGGCAAAGACCAGTCATACTTTCTCACTACATAACTGTTTAGTTTATGTAGAACAGACTAAAAAAAAAAAAAAAAAAGAAACTTACATAACATAGACAATACAACACGCTGTTCAGCAAGACTAAAGTTCATACCTAGACATTGTCTAGCACCACTACTGAAAGATAGCCAAGAGATACCATGTTGTGTATGCTCATTTCCTGAGAATCTGTCTGGATTGAATGTTTCTGCATCTGGCCAAACTTTGTTGTAATGATGCATACAGTAGATATCCACAGAAACTCTTGATCCTTTAGGAATAAACTTGTCACCAAAGACACTGTCCTGTTGAGTAATACGAGGTACAACTTGAGGAGCAGTTGGATGAATACGAAGTGTCTAAATGATATGTGTAAACAATACTATTGTGTATTTTACTTGCCTCTTTTATAATTTGATTGATAAAAGTCATTTCTTTTGTTTGCTCCAAAGTAGGCGCAATATCTACAGGTTCTTTACCCAGGATATGCATCGCTTCTTCTCTTGCCCGTTGTTGAATTTCCTGCTCTAAATGAGAACAAAAGTCAAGATTCTTTTTTGTACTTACTGGATGGATTGCCAGATAATAAATGGCAAGGGAGAGGGCATTTAATGTCGTATCATGACCCGCCAAAAAGAAAAAGCAGAGGTTACTCTGTCGTAATGATGAGTTTGTCTGATCGTCCCTGATATAGCTTACCTTTAAGTCTGTGTCTGTTAAAATGCCTTCCCCTCTTTCTTCAGCCTCAATCATCAATGTCAAAATATCCTTTTCATGTTCTTCCAAATTATCATTGGTGACCTTTCCTTGCCTGATGTCTTTGCGTTTGGTGGTGATGACATTATCCATCATCTTGAGGAAAATATCGAGTTTATCATGGATGGCTTTACGTTTAGGAAACAACCAAAGCCATTGATGGTCAAAGGAAGGAAACATGAAAAAGAGAGGATCTTGAAGCCCATCATTGATCGAATCATAAATCTCTACCCACTTACTCTTGGGATCCACCGTAGCATTGAAATCAAAGCCTAACAAGCATAAGCAATGGATTGTTGAGAGCAAATATCTTACCAAATCCTGCTTTGCCAATGGCATCCAAAGTATAACGACGAATTAATCCTGTCACTTCAATCGTTTCGCTCATCTTGTCCATGGTCTTGAATAAAGATATGGCTAATTCACCAAACATACGAATAGGCATTGACCGATGAAAAGCAGGGCTGACTACTGTTCTCTGTGCCCTCCAATCATGACCATTGGCAATAAAGATATTGGGTCCACCTGAAAACTTGTAAAGTAAAGTGCCTTCAACGCCCTTTAATAAATCCATTTTAGGAAACATGTCTATATATGTTTTATTAGCACTTTTTTTTTTTTTTTTTTTTTTTTTTTTTTTTTTTTTTTTTTTTTTTTTTTTACCATGCTTGAATAAAACCTGTTTAGCATAGTCAGGATTAGCAATCATGATATCCCAGCCTTGATTTCCCGGTCGCTATTTTATGTCAATGAGAACGGATATGGACACATTTGAACTTACCATGTAAACACCATCACTGTCTTTTTGATTGATAATAGGAAGAATGTTCTTTTGTGCATAGTCAAAGGTAGACTGTTTGTTGAAAACAAACTTGAGAAACTGGAAATAATTAACATAGGGTAAATGACGAAGCCTTTTAGGTGGTTTGAGAATACGTTCTTGTATCACATATGCCAACGTCAAAATAACAGCAGTACGAATAGCTATGGACTTGTTCTTTTGAGACAGTCTTGAAAGAGCAAGTGCATAAGAACCAAGTGTTTGTTTAATGACAGAATAGCTTTGTAAGAGAGACATACAGAAACAAGAAGAAAATGAGAGAAGATGTAACATATATATATATATATATATATTGAGATCAACAAAATCGAGATGGTCGGTTTTCATCATTTCTCCGTCCCGAACACAAATTTCCATTCATGCATAAAAAAAAAAGAAGGAATCAGAGCTTCTGAGAAGAACTCATCGCCTCTTGTTTTTCTCATTGTAACCTACCATTCTATTCATGGCATAAAGATATGGAACAGATAAAATAACAGTCCGTCTATGAAGCCATATGTTGTCATACAAAGTATACTAGTCTTTAGAGTCATATCATAATGCTTGTATCTTGAGTGACACTAACATTTAATTCAAATTCGCAGTTCATTTAGCGAAAAAAGCTGGGGGGGACCCAATTTCGTGTGACTGTAGATGCCATGGATTAGTCATTTTTTCTCTTTCTCTCTTTCTCTCTCTTTCTTCTTTGTTATACTAAACTATGGCTTGTCGTATCTTATTATCTCAGCTCAGAAGAGTAGCTGTTATGCGCACTCCTCAAATTACTGCTTTTAGAAGCACACGATCCTTGATGACCAACAAACTGAACTGGGCTCATCGTATGAAGCCTCAACCCATTGCTTTACTTGGACGTCAACAAGGTTAGGATCACTATCATGAATGATTTGTCTAACGCCATTTTATAGTACGCACTATGTTTATCCAAACTGAACAAACCCCTAATGACGATTCACTCAAATTTATTCCCGGAACAACTGTCTTGGGAAGTGGCACAGCCGAGTTTTTGGATGTACGTTCTTCCATGAAATCACCACTTGCAAAGCAACTGTTTATGATTGATGGTATTACCGGTGTCTTTTTCGGCCCTGACTTTATTACGATCTCCAAGGATTCTGTAGCTGAATGGCAATTGATGAAACCCGATATTTATGCTGCCATCATGGACCATTTTGCTTCAGGACAGCCTATTGTATACGATACAGAAGAATTAGCAGCCAGTGATACCACCATTCATCCTGATGACCCTGAAGAAGTCCAGATGATTAAGGAGTTATTGGACACACGTATCCGTCCCTCTATTCAAGAAGATGGTGGTGATATTGAATACTGTGGATTTGAAGAGGGTATTGTCAAGTTGAAATTAAAGGGAAGTTGTCGAGGCTGTGACAGTTCAGCCATTACACTCAAGAATGGTATTGAAAATATGTTGATGCACTATATTCCAGAAGTACAAGGTGTTGAACAAGTGATTGATGAAAATGAAGCTGTTGCTTTACAGGAATTTGATAAACTTGAAAAGCGATTAGGCGAAAAATAAAACTTTTATTCTTTTTCCAAGTTGATGGCACTGCCAAATTTAGCATATAATTCTTTCTTTAATGCTTCCATCTTTTGATGTACACCATCTATTTGATGCTTGATATCTTCAATCTCTAAACCAAGTTTCTCGGCATCTTTCTCTACTCTTTCAACTGCTTCTGAAGCATGCACATGAATAAAAGCATCGCCTACTTTGTATCGAACGGCTTCTTCTTCGTCCGCTAATTCGAGTTCCATAGCAACATCATCTAAATACTCTTTTTCTTGCTATACAAAAGAGTGTCAACATAGGATGCATAGTCACATGATCATACCTTGAGTTTCTCGTATCTTTCTTCGAGGTCATCAATTTTGGCATTGTATCGACTGAATTCATTGATGCGTTGTTGATCAACCCAAGACACTTCTACATCGCCACCATTGGCTTCTTCTTTTTCATTTAGCTACATGGTGTTAACTTTTTGTTTGATGAACAGACCCATCACTTTACCATACGAATATTCGACATGAGAACAGATGAACGCGTTTAAAATAAAATAAAATAAAAAAAAGGGCCAATTTATGAACCACATGCAAGACATTCAACACCCGCCATCAGCCACCACTTTTTTTTTTTTTCGATGCTCACCATGGCGTTTGTTTGTTAATAAGAGAGACAAGTTTTTAGTCTATATAGATACAATAAACAAAGTGTGTAGATTAACCCAATAGAATAAAAAAAAAAGGGATATCCAAAGCAGTAGCAATTAAAAAAAAAAAAAAAAAGCAACTGGTTTTATTGGCTATTGTGAACCCTATTGTCTTTTTTTCAGTTTAACCCATAATGGATAAAGAAGCTCATTTTCTTTATTTTTTCGTGTAATGTGGACGATTTAAAATAGCAAGTTTGATCCTCTTATTTAAATTGGCGAACTATTAAATTGAAACTGGCCCTTTTTTTTTTCTTTTCTCTCTCTCTTTTTTTCTCTCTCTCTCTCTCTCTTTCTTTATTACTTACGCTCCTTTTTATTATATGACAGAACCAGAAATAGTGTATACAATACATAAATTTGTTGCTGAGAACGTAGACGAGATCTCGATAAACGTAGGTGAAAAAGTAGTTATTCTCGAAAAAGACGAAGGTTACAACGATGGCTGGTTCCAAGTAAGTTTCGAAATAAGCTGTCATGATCCATTGACCTAGTTTTAAAGGGACGTAATGAACGAGGCGAAATTGGTCTTTTTCCAATCACTTATACAGCCAAACATCCACCCATCCATGCCAATCATGATATTGAGACCAGAATTGGTTCATTAGAAGACACGATTTCTAAAATGAAGTTACCTCAAGACCCACCAGCATCCTTTATTGACACGAAACCAGTAGAAGAATGGACTTCAGAACAAGTGGCGATATGGTTAACTAGCTTAGGATTTGATAATACATTAGCAGATAACTTTAGAGGTAAACCTCCTCCACATCTTTTTTTTTTCTGTCTTTCATTCATTGTAATTAGATCAAGAAATCAGTGGCGATATTCTGTTAGAATTAACACTGGACTCATTAAAGGAACTTCAGATAACAACCTTTGGAAAAAGATTCAAGGTTCATAATGCTATCAATGCACTTCGACAAAAAAAACAAAAGGTAAATAAATAAAGAATTGTATTGTATTTATATTCTATGTGATAGCATTCAAATGACACTCATCCTATGGAAGCACAGGTTGCTTCACCTTTTCCAGAAATCAACAGCAAAAATTCAGTTTATAAACAACAAGCATATCCTGATGATGATGTTGTCTCTAACTACAGTACAGTCATACGTAATTCTCAGTTGAATGACAAGACACATGAACAATCGTCCTTTACACCTTCTATTCTGTCTACAAGAGCCTCTGTAGATACACCAAGATATCCTACTAAACTTCCACAAGACCGTTTTCAATATTTACAACAACAGCAACAACAACGCCCTACGTCTCACCAATTACCGTCTGCCCCTTTAACTGAATCTACTTCATCCGAATGGAAACGTAACACAATGAACAACCTACAGGAGGTAACAATGATGGAATCAATCAAGTGCTTATACGCTTCTTATTAGCCTGAAGGAAGAATATCCATGTCATCAGGTCGATATAGTTTTATGAAGAATTCACTTTTACCTACTGGCAACAAACTTCATTCTATTTTACCTCATAATACCATACGACGTTCTGAGGACATCTTGAGTGACGGATCTGCACAGCCCGATATGGAAGGATGGTTATACAAACAAGGCGATAAGTACAAGACATGGAATAAACGATGGTTTGTCTTGAAAGGAAGCAACTTGTTTTATTTCAAAAGTCCAAAGGTAAATTCTATCTCTATTGCGACCCATCTTAACTTGTTAGGCTGTGCGTATGAAAGGCATCATCAACCTAAAAGGTTATCGTATCGAAGTCGACGAGACAATACACCCAGGAAAATACTGCTTTTTAGCACATCATGAACGCGAACGTACTTTCTTTTTCTACACAGAACACGAAAAGCACATGAAAGAGTGGTTGAAGGCATTGATGAAAGCCACTATTGCCCGTGACTATACAACGCCTGTTATGTCTTCAAGCACAGTGCCTACTGTCTCACTTGAGATGGCACGTAAAATGAGACCCCGTCCTCCCTCGACAATCTTTAGTAACGCAAAAGAAGGTTCAAGGGCATCCACACCACATCTCTTCTCGGTCGATGAACATCCTCAGCCCATCATGCCTTACCAACCTGCTCACCGTATACCTTCTTCCATGAGTCTACGTGCGCCACCAGAACAAAAGCACACGTCTGACTATGCTATCGATCAACGGAACCGTCTTAAGGATTCAGGGTTCAACAGTACGCATCATGTCAGTGGAGGACTTGCGCGTTCCGTGACGCAAAGTAGCCATAGTTCTTCTGGAAGACAGAGTGTGTCTACTCTATCCATGCATCGACCTTACCCGTATCGCAACAGCCTCGAGACAAACACAGCTACATTTTATCCTGATGAAGAAGATGAAGACTTGATTGATCCAGAGAACATGAGTGTGATGGAATCCCATCGTCCTCCAGAAGATAGTGAAGAGGAAGATGTGATTGACCGCGCAATGTTAAAACAAGACAGTTATATTCAATGGGTCAATTCACATCTTCAGAATAAGCATATCAAGGCTTTATCTGAATTAAGTGGAGGAGATGTCTTGATTGACTTCTTGAGTAGTTTGAGTCGTAAAGAAATAGTGAAACCCATGCCCTATCCTACACAACATGCACAAAGAATGGATCGTATTATTATTGCTTTTAAGTTTATGACACTCGAGGGCATTGATTTGAATGGTGTTTGTTCTATTCGAGGTAAGGCAATAGAGGGACATTGGCTATTCAACTCATATGTATATAGATGTCTTGAATGGCAATGAAATCAAAATAATGCATATGTTGGATGCTATTGAACACTGGTTTAAATCGATTCCAAACAATACAAATGGCAAGAAAATGGCCAGTGGAGGTACATTTGGAGAAGAAGATCAATACAGACTACAACAACTTAAAGAAGAAGAAGAAGGCATTCTTCCACCTAATACATATTAGATTTATTTATAGTTTACCCCCCCCTCTTTTTTTTTCTCTCTCTCTTTTATATATTTAGTATATTTTTTCTTTTATTTCTATTCTTCTTAAAATTCTACTTGTATTGCATCAACATTATAAATTCTTCTTTATAGAATCACAATTTACTAATCAGGTAAAAATGAATACCAGCTGGTAGAAAGTGCCTAAAGATAGAAATATGCCTTTTTTCCGTTTTGCATGTATCAACCATCGAAAGTTTAGAAATAATCCAGAAAAAAAAGAAAACTCTGTTTGTCCAATCAAATTTGATTGTTTGTGTTCATGTGATCAAAAATGCAAGACATCAAGGGCTTCTCGAGTTTCTTGAATTGAATCAGAAATATATATAAAAAGGAAGATGGAAATGACGAAATAGCGTTTCTTTAGAAAATGTCTTTTCATGAACCACAACAACAAACAACAATCAAGTTTGATGAATCCCCCAAGAACAACTATCAAATTCAGCATAATGAAAAGTACACGCAAAAATCCTTGACACGATCTTCTACAGGTCAAAGCTCAACTGATTTTGATACAAAGTCAGTGCGTAGTGTACTCATGAATAAAATGCATTTGGTCAAAAGAAAAAGACAAAGCACAGATGAAAAAGAAAGAGTAGAAGGTCCTCCTTATCATACCATGGATCTAGAGACTGTCTCTCAGCTATTAAAATCAGATTTAGAAGATGGTCTATCAGAATCAGTAATTGAAGAAAGACATGCTCAGAATGGCTATAATGAAATGGAAGGTGAAGGTGGCGTAAGCCCTATTAAGATCTTGATCAAGCAATTCTTGAATATCATGGTGTTGATTTTGTTGATTGCTATGGTAAGCATACACTTATCGCATATGTGTGTACTGACTTGTTCAGATTGTTTCTTTTGTGTTTAAAGACTATGTAGAAGGTGCTGTTATTTTAGTCATCATGTTCTTAAACGCTGCTGTTGGTTTTATGCAAGAATTTAAAGCTGAAAAAACCATGGATTCTTTACGTCAGATGGCATCGCCTACAAGCCAAGTGATTCGTGATGGCCATCAAAAGACGATTCCTACGCGTGAATTAGTTCCCGGTGATGTATTGATTTTAAAGAGCGGCGATGTGGTGGGTGCTGACTGTAGAGTGATTGAATCGTTTAATATGGATGTGGATGAAGCCCTTTTGACAGGCGAAAGTTTACCTGTCAATAAAGTACCTGATGTCATTCAAGGGGACGATGTGCCTCTCGGTGACCGTATCAACATGTCTTATTCAAGCACTGTCTTGACCAAAGGTCGCGGTAAAGCCATTGTTACTGCTGTCGGAATGCAGACTGAAATTGGTCGAATCGCAAAGCGTTTATTAGAATCGGGTGATAACACAAAAACACCCCTTCAGAAATCACTGGATCGTATGGCGATTGCTTTATTGGCGATTGCTATTGTAGCTGTGATTGTGGTATTTGCTGCTGCTAAATTCAATGTCTCAAACGATGTGGTCTTGTATGCCATTGCTACTTCTATCTCTGTTATTCCTGAAGGACTGGTGGCTGTCGTGACTGTCACTCAAGCATTTGGTGTGCATGCAATGGCTAAAAACAAGGCACTGGTACGTCGATTGACAGCATTGGAACTGCTGGGTGCTGTGACGAACGTTTGCTCGGACAAGACGGGCACATTGACACAATCCAAGATGGTCTTGACTCGGTTATGGCGCCCCAGTACTGGTTTTTATGCTATTAGTGGACTTGGGTTTACGATCGAAGGTGAAGTCAAGTCTGAATCCACAGAAGAACGTGTGATGCCGGATACCATGGACCATGGTTTCCAAACTCTCGTCCATTGCGCTGCTCTCTGTAACATGAGTGAAGTTCGCAAAGACAAATCTACCGGTGATTGGACTGGTATTGGTGACCCTACTGAAATCGCACTTCAAGTGTTTGCCCATAAACTTCAGCACGGAAAACCTTCGTTGATCAAGAAGAACAAGCAGGATGGCTGGACTTTGATTTCTGAATATCCCTTTGATTCGTCTATTAAACGCATGTCTGTTCTCTGTCGTACGCCAGAAGGTGCTTATGTTGCTTTTTTGAAAGGAGCAACTGAACGTGTGCTCGAAAGTTGTGTGGGTATGCAACTGTCAGACGATGTTCAGACCATGTCTCCTCAAGAGCTTCAAGACAAGGTTCTGCCCAAAGTAGAAGAGCTGGCTCAAGGCGGTCTTCGTGTGTTGTCCCTGGCGATGCGCAAAATTAAACATGAAGGTCCTGTTGAACCCGACACGTTTGTGAGAGAGACAATTGAACAAGACATGATTTTTCTGGGACTTGTGGGTATTTATGATCCTCCTCGACCGGAATCTAAGCCAGCTGTTGAAGAATGCCATCAAGCAGGTATTACGGTGCATATGTTAACAGGAGATCATATTGCCACTGCCACTGCCATTGCTCGTGAAGTCAGCATTGTGCCTGCTACCTATGGTCTCGAAAACGACCCTGAACTCTATGAACGTGTCAAGCAACAAGCCAAACCCCATCTAGGCGATGGCAGAGACAACTTAGTCATGACGGCCCAACGCTTTGATAAACTTACAGAAGAAGAGATTGATGCCCTTCCTGAACTGCCTCTGGTCATTGCTCGGTGTAGTCCTGATACCAAAGTCAAGATGATTGAAGCTCTTCATCGTCGTAAACGCATTTCTGGCATGACAGGGGATGGTGTGAACGATAGTCCTTCTCTAAAAGAATCTGATATTGGTATTGCTATGGGTGAAAATGGTTCTGATGTAGCCAAGCAAGCGGCAGACATTGTGCTTGTGGACGATAATTTTGCTACCATTGTCAAGGCTGTTGAAGAAGGCAGACGTGTATTTGGCAATATTGCTCGCTTTGTGGTCCATATGGTGTCTGGTAATGTAGCTGAATTGACACCGCTGCTTTTGGGCCTTGTGTTTATTGATCAATCGGGTGGCTCTGTGTTTCCAATGACACCGATTCAAATCCTGTTTAACAATATCCTGACTTCCAGTCCACCTGCACTGAGCTTAGGCCTTGAACCTGTTCATAAAGACCAAATGCTTCTGCCTCCTCGTACTGAAAAAGACGGGTTGTTTAGCAAGTCCAACATTATCGATATCATCTTTTATGGTTTCTCTATTGGTGTTATTTGTCTTGCCAACTTTATTATTGTACTTTATGGTTATGGCACAGGTAATTTAGGTGTCGATTGTAATGGTCATTACAATGATACCTGTGAAGAAGTATTTCGTGCCCGTGGTGCTCTGTTTGCCACATTGACCATCATTGTCTTGTTACATGGTTTTACCTGTCGTGATCTTCGCCTGTCCACTTGGTCTATTTCTGCCTTAAGAGGACCCAAGAATATCTATCTTTATTGGTCTACTTTGTTTGGTTTTATCTTGCTGATCATTGCTCTTTATGTTCCGGGCTTAAATACCTCTGTCTTTAGACATTTACCTATCAGTTGGGAATGGGGTATGACTGCTGCCTCTGTTCTGTTCTATATAGCCGTTGTTGAATCCTATAAATGGATCAAGAGAAAATTCTTTTAGACAAAATAAACATTTATTTTCCTTTGTTTGATATAATAGGCTTAAACATAGACATCACCATCATCATGGATTCCTAATACAGTCTAAGTCAAGTGTTCCATGCTTATCTTTATTACCTCTAGTCGAACACTTCGAGTACCACTTTTGGCATTAGGATCAATAAAGACATCAAACACTTCAGCAGCATCTTCTCCTCCCACTTTTAAATCTTCGTCTGCTTCAATGGCTTCTTGAAGACCACCGACAGGTCCACCAAAAGTGATTAACAAATGACTAAAAAGTGAATAAGCAGACCATGAACGTTGACACTTACTCAAATGGCTTGATTTTCTCATTCAAGTCTGTTTGATACATATCTTGGGCATCACGATCACTCACACCGACAGTGACATCATACCCATCTGGATAAGGACATTCTGAAATCACACGGGAGATCGAAGATGCTAGTCGAATATTGTATCCCCAATAAAGACCTGCTTTTTCACGCGGTGTCTTGGGACTCACCGCTTGAGCAGCGATAGGTTTTTGGCCTTTACGTGTATCTGCTGCAGAGACAGGTTCTTTCAGTTCGACTGTCACACGCACCCCAGACTGGATAGCACGATCAATACGAGCACGTCGAAAAAGACCTACATCGACCAAGGTTGAGTCAGTTTCATTTGCTTTATCCAATGTCACGCCTTCACGATACGTTGTCCATTCTTCTTTGGCAGGATGATGAGGCACATCTAGAGGATGCAACAAGCCTGCAAATTTCAAATCAGGGCTGATAGGCACCAATTGTTTTCGAAGGTATTGAGGTGTTTCCATGTACTGAAATATTCTGGCGAGAAACAAGCTGGGGTTGATCTTGCTCTGAGTGGATGGGACTTTATCTTCATAAATCACAATCTCATCAACAGCAAAGATGACCAAGGCCCGAGCAATTTGACCAGCCAAGATCGTCTTGAGTTCCATCGTAGGTGCATTTTCGATGATGCTGCTAGGAATAGCAATACTGGTCGTGTATTTACGTGGTTGACAAGACAAGATCTCTTTGGCTCGCTTGATATCTTGAGAAGGCATAAAGCGTTTTGTAGGTCTTTCTTTTCCATAATCAGGACCCGATAGTTCTTTGTTTTCATAATTTCTCTTTTTTCTCTGTATTCTTGTGAGTTGGTTATGATGTGGTCTGTACTTACAGATCGATAGAAATCAGTCATGGTAATATGGAGATCTGAATAAACCCAAAAATGAAAACTTTTTTTTTCTTTGTTTTATCAAAGATTTCAATATCCGCTATCATTCATTCTTTTTTTTATGCGCATGGAACATAAGAAGAAGGGAAATTTTTTTTTTAATCAAGAATTAAGCGTATGGATTATTTTTACATGGATAACAAGTATTCAATAGCTGCTTCAACATTTCCTCCTGTTGCCAACAAGGCGCGCACATTAGCAGGTTTTTCTGAAAATCCCATTTCTTCTAATTGAGCAAGTTGATCTCTAAAGCGAACTTCAGGGGGTTCAGAAGGTTGTTGTTGTTGATTGGCATGAGGGAATCCACTATATATGATAAATAAATAAAATCGCAATTATTTTTACTTACTTTCCAAATCCACCTGAAGGAAATCCCATCATCATTTGTTGTAACAAGTTGGATTGTTGTGTGTTATTTGTAGTATTGTTGTTGTTATTTTGGCCTGTCATCATAGCTTGTTGTAATCTTAAACTAGCTTGAATAAAGTTAGGATCAGCCCAAAAGGGTGTTGTATTCTGTTGTTGCTGTTGTTGCTGTTGCTGCTGCTGTTGCTGTTGTTGTCCAAAGGGAAACATGAATCCATTATTGTTTTCATTACCAAGTAAAGCTAGCAAATATAAATGACTTTTTTTTTTTTTATATATTTGTATATATTACTTACAAGCAAGTGGGTTTTCTGACCTATTAGCACTACCAGCAAGTGCAGCAAATGGATTACTATTACTAGTAGTAGTGCTAGCTGGTATACTGTTACCATGGTTGTTTGTTGTGTTGTTATTGTTGGTATTGGCAGCCCAAGGATTAGGCAATGCTTGTGTATTAAGTGAATTTTCAGGTACACTTTCTACATTCAATTCTCTAGCTAATCGTTCGTTATTGGCCTCATCAGATACGCCATTAGGCGTCATGGCTGATTCCATAGGGCTTTGGAATGTGTTGTACATGCGACGTAAATGATTGAATCCACCTGGAATGGCTTCAATGTTGGATAAAGCGCGATCATTGTTACGTTGCATTTCGCGCATTAATTCAGGATTTCTAGACAGTATTGCTTAGTAAGAGAACAACATCATGGTGTTTACCTCATCATTTCCATGGATTGTCTTAAAAAGGCAGGATCACTAATAACATGGCCAAGTTCAGGGTTTTGTTCAACCAATGCTTTCATTTGAGGGTTGCTCATGATGATCGAACGTACAAAATCTGATATATGTAAGTCAAAAGACCATTTGTGTCTATCTACTTACCTGTGTTGCCCATCAAGTTTTGCATGAAGGGCGAATCCATCATTTGACGCATCAACTCAGGATCCATGTTGGGCATTGGCATATCAAAAGGTGATGCACTGGCACCAATACCAGGCAGATTAGAAGGACTAGGTGTAGGTGGAATAGGTGGGATAGGTTCAGATGATGTAGGTGGTGTAGCTTGACGAGGTGTTTCAGCTGTACTGGATTTACCTTTATCAGCAGGTGCTTTGTTCACACCAGAACGAACTACATGGACTGTACATCCATGAGTAATTTCTAAAAGGTATTAAATAATTGATATCTCAAGTTGTTACTTACTACAGTCTTGAACAATATCTTCATTCTTGAGGATGCGACCAGAAAAGACAAGTTTCAATTGATTAGCTTCCATATTGCCCATCTTTTGACCAATGATCTCCTTAAGGCCTTGAACAGTTGTTGTTTCAGCATCTAATTCTACTTGAAAGATTTGACCAGTAGAAGGTCGAATATGGATAGTGATATGAGTAGGCATAATCTAGACAAGGATCTTTTGTTTTTTGTTACAAAAAAAAAAAAAAGGGAATGGAGTACGTCACGTACTTTTTTTTTTTTTTTTTTTATTATCATCATCTATGCTGACCAATAAACATTGGTGTTGCACAATAGACGAATACTCAATAAAGAGAGAGAAAAAGAGAGAGAGAGAGAGAGAGAAATGCATCACAATGAAGAACATATTGACTGTCATGATGACTTCATTAACAGAGAAGAAAAAAAAAGAAACAAGGATTATTGGCTATTTACTATTGTATAGATCGACAATGTTCAAGGTAACACCACAAATCAAATACAATACATTTGTTTTTGTTAAAGAAGCCATAATAGGGAAATGCAACTACTTGCTTTTTCTTTCTTTCTTTCTTTCTTTTTATATCGTTATGGGTGATGATCTTGGTCCTCCCCCTGCACCTAAACCAGTAACCATGCCTCCAATGACAGAAGAAGATCAAAAAAGGCTTGGTATGTGTCCTCCTGTAATGATGCCTTGTTCGCCTCTATCAGGCCCAACAATGGGTCCTAATCTTGTCTTTAATTTCTATCAACCTTATGGCATGCCTATCGTCACTTCTGCACCTCCACCTCCACCTCCACCTCCACCACCTAAAGAAGAAAAGAAAGAATGTAAAAAAGTAATTGTTCAAAGTGATCCAACTTGGAATGATCCTCGTATGTTGGCTAAAAGGGGCAAACCTATTAAACCCAATGATGCTTGTCTGATTCAATAATGTGTTTATTCATTATGATATTCCATATAATCTGTTACAATCACACGCAATATTTGTCTAAAGAAGCCCATGTCTCCAGGTATTTCATTGTACGCCAAGTAAAAATCTAGCTTGTCCATGGGTTTAAGTTCTAATGTACCATAGTTTTCATGAATTAAAGCTAATGGCAACTTCATCAATAAAAATGACAACTTTTTTTTTCTTGCTTACCCATCACTTGTTCTGGTGTAGGGAATTTGACACCTTTCATGGCTTGCCATTCATCTAGAGCAGGCTGAAAATGATTGCAGATCAATTTGATATTATGAAATTCATGGTATGTGATAGATAGTGCTGTTCTTTCATGTTTAGGAATGGCTCTTGCTTGTTGAACTATACAATTAGGTGGGGGGGAAAGCATCATACGTTGATCAATACATACCATGGTCTGATAATCTGATAAAATCAGAGGCTGCTCGAACGATTTCATAATAAAGACTATCATAGCTTTTTGTATCTGTTAAAAATGTTTCTCCATGAGTGACACACATATTAAAGACACGCATGAGCTTTGTAAGTCAGTAAAGACAATCAACATAGACAACTTACAGAGGCCAAGTAAGCACCGAATTCATCTCGAGGAACAAAATAATCTAGTTTAAGTGCTGTAAAATGTAAAATAGATGTCCATGTTGACCAAAGTTCTGTCCAATGATATTCTAATCGCATCTTGTGCTTGTTTAAGAAACTCAATACACGATGAATGACTGAAAAAGCAAGTCTATCCTAAAAGTCAATGCAGAGCGAAATGTAAACAACTTACTTGTAACAAGTCAAGTCGAGCTTGTTTCGAATATTATGTCTAACAAAAAGTAACATGGTGTCCAGGACAGCACAAAACAAAGACCGAGGTGATTTCATCAATGGTAAAGTAGGCGATCTTTGTCGACAAAGACGCACAGTGGCCCATGATTCAGTCTTGGCCATATAGTTGAGTACAGCATTCTCTTCCATCAGTCTGAGTAAGAGCGTTAATAACAATCGAGCATAAATCTGGGTTCGTTCTGTACGGTTATTTTCAAACAGATACGAAGCAAAGGATAAAAGAGCATTCAAGCAATTCGTTTTCTTTTCCTTGTCTTCTTCAATACAGACACGAATCAGAGTATGTACAAAATGAATGTTGGTATGTATCAAATCAAATAAAGGTAATAACAAGGCTGTTTGAGCAGAGGGTCTAATGACATCAGTTGCGATTCATATAAAAGAACTTACAAATGAGTTAATGATTGTAGATTATCAGCTTCAGAAGGAGCAGCAGGTGTTGAAGCTGAAAACCATCTTGACATATAAGTCACTAATGTCTTTGACAATGCTTCTTCATCATCATACAGTTCTATATAACGACTTATTGATGGGTAAGCTCATGATGCTATATCGCCTATCTCACCTCTGTAGGCTCAAGAGTGTTGAGGTGTACATCTGAATGATATTCTACTTTTAATAAAAGATGAGTATAATGCTAATTCATCATGTTTGTACTACCTCTAATGCTTTCTTCTGCTTGATCTGTTTCAGGTACAGTAAATAAGGATTTCTTGCTTCATACTTGTTGTAGTTGGAAAGCATACCAATTAACATCATAATATCTCTAGTATCATTTTCTTGTTGAATCTCTTCGAGTTCTGCCAAAGTCTGATGCATGCATTAAGTCATCAAAAAAACAATAATAACAAAGAACTCACATTAAACAAGCTAACAGACATATCGTTTGAGATGAAATAGCCATTGAGACCATTCTGGTTAACATTATCACTACCAGCAGATAACACAAGGGCCAATTGAAGTGCATTTGATCGAGTCGAGGGCTGTTCAATCAGACGCTGAATTGCTTTCATCAATCTTGTAAACATAGCATCTGCTTCATCAAATCCAGTCATGATGAAAATGATATTGAAGTGAGAAAGTCTTTTCTTTAGAAACAGATGACGAAATACAAGCTTAAGTAGCAAGATAGCATGCTGCTGTCGCGTCTTTTCACTGACAGTCTCAACGACAACAAGTTCAAGTTTTTCCAGGCACGCTAAGAAAAGAGCACTAAAGTTATGTTTCAAAGCAAGCAAACTTTCCTCTGATGTTTTCGAAAAGAGATGAGCAATACATTGTGTGTTGATGGGTAGAATAAGGTAATTGTCCCAAAAGAATTCAGATGTGTCAAATCTTTCCTATGGTTTATGAATAAGATATTGCTTTATTTCTTCAAGTATTTACCCTAAAAAGGCTTTCACTTTGTTCGGCAAACTTTTCTTTGAACTTTGGTTTGACAGCGTTCATCTTTGCCTGTCCAGTGGCAAGCATAGTAAAAGTAAAGAAATGCTTTATCTGCTGTTGATGTTTTAATTAAGATCCCGCCAAAGTTACACAGAAAAAGACTATTTATTATGGAAAGTGTTTTCATATCGAAACTAGTAGAAGAAAATCCTGTGATTTGCATTTTTTCATGGCGGGAGATGCACCGACAAAAAAAAACATGACTAACCATACATACTCAGTAGTAAAGAAAAGAAATCCTGAGGCATTAAAAAAAATTGCGTGTTTTCCGTCCTTGAGCAAGCCCTTCAAAGCATAATAAATGATTTCTATAGACCTTGCATAATAAGAATTTAGATTGGTTATCTAAAAAAGAAAAAACATGTGGCGAGGCCAATCACAGCTTGACCAGAGTTGGTAGAACTATCAGTAGCATCACTAGTGTCAAGGCTTTATTCTTCAAGTACATCTGCAGTAGAAGTTGTATACAGTGAGATTTTTTTTTTTTTTTTTTTGCGTAAATGTATTGATTTCATTGTCGATCGTACAAATAAACCAAATACTTGTGACCTGACACTCTATAATTGATAGCAATATAGAAGTTCACTCGACTAAGATTCGAGTCATTTAACTCACCAGATTCAATAGATCAATTGTTTATATTGATAAGCTATTTTCTTTAAATGTGTTTTTCGATAATGTATTACTTGTTAAAGGAACAGAGCCACTGGACAGACAACAACTCAAATAAATTCTTGTCTTTTTGTTAGGCGTATGAAGATGTTCTAAAGCCTGTTTACACACACACAAATGTTCTAAATACCTACAGACTATGTTTACTAACATATATGATACATTTGGAGTTGATTTGATCCAAAAATGGCGACTTGTGAAAAATGGTCAAAAATGACCATTCGATCAAATACTCTTCGATTTTCTTTGAATAAAAGACAGGCTTTTCGCTCATAAGTTTACTTTACCTTTACTTTTGGGTATCATTCCCTGAACAACTTATCAGTTTATTTTTTCTTTATTTTATGTAAATCCCTATTTGAACATTATCTTTATTTTTATAAGGAACATTATCAAAGCAGGTCTATTCTTGCACACTATCATTGTTTATATAAGCATAGACTCATAAACCTTTAATTGAACATTATCTCATACTAAAATCTATTCATTGTGAGAACACTATTAACGGAAGTATTATAAAGAGCATTATCAATATTTACTCTACATTACACACCCAATCAATTATTATAAACCAGCCAATCTACATTGCCTTCCATTTCAGTCTTCGCAACATAGTTACATGGTAAGTTCTATGTCCATTTAACCCCACATTTGCATTATAAGATGCGTATCTTTCTATTTTTCTATGTTTCTTGACATGCTAGATAGCACACTATATGTCTTATATACCATTTGGAGTAAAAATGCTCACAACACAGCTTAAATGCATTATTATTTGATGGACCATTACTCGACAACCATACTACTAAAATGACCCTTTTTATCAACATGTTCTTTTGATCCCAGGAGTCAAATGGTACTATTGGTTTGGCTGTTTTGTGAAATTTATTTTTTGACTCATGGAGGATCTATGGAGGTCCCATGTAGGTCTGATCCAATTAAAATTAGGTAATACCGTCTCCAAATACTTCCAAAGAAAAGAAATCGAATTTACTAAGATAAAAAAGGCGATGTAATTTGAACATTGCCTTCAAATCTGCACTCAAAGCTTGTTGTACACTGTAATTGATGGAAAATCAGCCTTTTTTTTTTGGTAATATCGAATAGCAAACAGGCTCCAATTCTACCACCAGTAAATGCAAAAAATGTATACGAGTAAAATATACTATGATACATGACACTTTTGACGGCAAAGAGGGTAGCTTTGGACATAACTTACAATGAATATCATGCAGGAGACGGATTCGGTGTTTCAAATATTGGTTTCTTACGTATATACGTGCACGCTGCTCGAAGACCATTCTTTTTTTCTCTAGACTAATACTTACAAACCGCAATAAAAATGTAGAGGAAAAGACAAAAAGAACAGCACCTAGAACTCAGAAATACAAAAGCAAAACCCACTTGTCCATCATGCAATGTATAAAAAATAAAAGAGCTTCTGCCATTTTTTCTTTATATATGCGTACAAATTGAGTTTAGTGAGAATGCAATCATTATTGCCATCTGTAGTTTTGTGTATAAAGAGTTTTTATGTTTATGCAATCTATTTCCGGAAAGGGGGTGTAGATAGATATGTGTGCAGCTCAAGAAGAGCTTGGTGGAGGTGGGGAGGTGCAGGATCAGCAGAAGGTGGAGGAGGAGGAGGAGGTTGACTACCATCATATGAGGAAGAGGGTGGAGGAGGAGGAGGAGCCATACCCTAAAACAATAAAATAAATACCCAGCATTACAAACGATAAATAACTTACCCAAGGATCAGAGCCATCTCCTGCTGCTGGTGCTGCTGCTGGTGTTGGTTGTTGCCAAGGTGCACCAGCAGCTTGCTGTGATGGATCATAGTAACCATAAGCATTGTAATAGCCACCAGGTGCAGCATAGCCATATCCGCTCTGTTGCCATGGCGCATTAGCTGTATCCTTTGCACCATAAGCACCACTGGATGCTGACCATGGTGGTGCAGCAGCGCCTGCTCTAGGCTGTTGCCATGGTGGTGCAGCAGCACCAGGAACACCAGGAACACCAGGAGCACTTCTGGGTTGTTGCCATGGAGCAGCAGCTCTGTTATCATACTAATCAAAAGAAGGTAAATATAAACCCTTTATCCATACTTGTGTATACTTACACCTCGATTATCAGCACCGGGAACAGATTCACCCAATTCAGCCATTAGATTCATATATTCACTGTCCAACTGAGAATCACGCTCACGCATCTGGTTAGCCAATTCAGGATTATTACGCTGCGTACAATCACGAGCAATATGACCCATACCACCACAGATATGACATGTCAAACTCGAAGTGACATTTTGTCTTTCAGGACATTCATATCGTCGATGGCCAGAAGCACCACAATTCAAACACGTCTGGTTTTCATCATCACGCAAAGTACCGTTCAAAGCAGCCAATTCACGCAATTGATTTCGCTTAAGTTCATTTTGACCTTCAGGCACAGAAGCAGAAGTCTCAATCACCTTTTCAATCAACTTGACAGCCTTTTTGACCTTTTCTTCTGTATCTGCCGTGACGAGACAATGGAGATCTTCTTCTTGCCCGGCACTGGCAGCAGCGTCTGTTCTTGACTTGCCTTCCTTGACAGATCCTCGACCACGAATACTGATCTTGGCGCCGGATTCTGCTTCCATGCTCTTTAGTGTATTGCCACGAGGACCAATCAATTGACCGATAAAGTTAATTTCGGGGAACTCCTTAGCTGGAATGTAGACTTTTTCTTGTGTTTTTGTTGGACGTTTATAGTCGAGAGGAGGTCTAAAGTTGGGAATGGTTCGGATAGCAATCTCAATCAATCGATGACGTTCGTCTTCAAGCTTCTTTTTGACTCTGACTTCTCTTGTATTCACACGTTTACCTTCAGCATTATAGATGGGTTCAGGAGAAGGCGATCTATAGAGAGTAAGTAAAAAGACACGCTCAAGTAGGGTTTACCTGTCGCGTTCACTTGAAAAGTCATTGGTACGTATTTTTCTGTTGATTTCTTCAAGTCTGATTTGCACTAGAGACAATGATTAACTAGCATCTTTTAGGTTGAACTTACATAAATATTTCTCAGATTGATCTCTGTTTGCTTTTGAAATGGAAGTAGGCAAACCAGGAATAATCACTTTTTGAGATTCGTTACCCCAACGACTCTTACGCTTTCTCTTGGGTGTGGAACCATCCGTAGCTACTGTTGAAGAAGGAGAAGCTGGGATGGAAGAGGAAGCGACAGGTGAACGTGTGCCTAAGAATAAGTTTATACACCTTCCTTTTAATGTCATTATACTTACTAGGTGAATGTTCTCTTTTTTCGTTGGGTGAATCAGCAAAACGCCGTTTATTGCCCAAAGGTGTCACGTTCGTACCTAACATGTCGTTTAGTTTCTCTTTTGATCATCATGTGTGTACCTGTTGGTTTATACATTGAATACTAGGTTGAGAAAAAAAAAATACAAAACGCACACAAGAAATTCACAGGCGCAGCGTACTGTCCAAGATCAAAAAATACAGTCACAATCAAACATCCCTTTTTAAGATTAAGCAATACGATGAAGGATCACGTGAAAATGTGCCAACAAAAAGGAAAGCGTCTAACGCGTCCTTTTCCATTTCTTTTTTTAAACAATCAGGTAGACTTTACTAACGCGTTTCTATAGCTATTTCTTTTGTTTTTCCTCTTATTTATTTGAGTTCTATGAGCATTTTCTTTTCACTTCATTATCATCCTTATTCCCTAGTGGCACACATGATCGTCGGACCATGACTGACCTCGTTTACTTTCTTTTGCCATCCCCTCCTCTTCTTTATATTTTTTTTTCCCTTCTTTTATTACTTCAGAGCGACTAAGGTGCCACTTAGAGCGTCTTTGCTCTTTTGCTTCCTTATTGCACTTAGATTAGTATAGATCTCTCTCTTCTATTTAGTATAGTATATTAAGATGGCAGGGTAAGCTAAGGAAGGTCTGGCGCTGATTACGGCAATCTCTTTAAATTAGTTTTTGTTGTTTCTAATAAATAAAGTCTTGTTCTTTTGCCTTCCTCCCTAACATTGTATTGCTGCGGCCAATCTCATTCCTTGTACGTGTTCTCAATATCAATGGGAAAAAAAAACAAACACGCAGCCATGATTGGTCAATGTAAGAGAGAGAGATGCATGATGCTATTTTATTCTCTCTTTTTCTCTCTATTTTTTCTTCCTTTCTATCTTTACTATAGAAATGACACACAACGAATCGACCATCACCAAAGACAAAGAACTTCCTCAACCTCAAAATAGCAATCGCCTCAGCACTGCGCCTCTGAAAGACAAGTTATTAACGAATTCTTCTTATCTGGCAGCAGAAATTCCCCTCAAACTAGGTCATTTTATGTCCAATCTATGGACCTCTGGATCCGAACTCTCTAGCTCTTTTTTTGCTCAGCATCCCAATGAGACAGATATGATTATTTGGCTATTAGGATGTCCTTATTATACCAAACCTTTAGATCAAATGCAACAAGCTATTTTAGAGGCACAAAAAGATGACATGTTTAGACCAGATACACAGCAAGAACCACAAGATACAAATGCAGTTGCTTTGCTTTGGCCGCCTGATTTCTATGAGGATTTTACTTCCCGATTATGGATGACCTATCGTCACAACTATCCTCCTATTCGACCTTCAAGTCACAAGACAGACATTGGGTGGGGATGTATGCTTCGAAGTGGACAGAGTCTATTGGCAAACACATTATTGATTCATTTCTTATCCAGAGGTAATGGTTGGCTTCTTGTCATTATCTTTACTGATGTTGATTAGACTGGCGACGTCAAAGGCAAACACCAGCCACAAGAAAAGAATACAACAAGGTTAGACTAATGGGTCATGGTTACCATTAATCCTTTCAAGTAGATTGTGCATTGGTTCTTGGATGAATTGTCACCGAGAGCACCATTCTCTATTCATCGTATTGCACTTCTGGGTAAACAATTGGGCAAACATATTGGTGAATGGTTTGGTCCAAGTACCATCAGTCAAGTTATTCAGTAAGTATTGTTGCCTGGATTGTATCAACTCACTTTTGTTGGACTAGAGCATTAGTATCTGATTTTCAACCTGCTCATCTGTCTGTCTATATTGCAGCGGATGGTGTGATCTATCAAGATGGTGTTCAAGATGTAGTCACTGGGAAAAAACCAAGAGGTGATTTTACAAGTCTATGTAAATTAGGCATGGATGATCCTGCGTATCATGCCTCCAATGCACCAACTGTATTTGAGCAACAAACTCAATTTAAACCTGTCTTGATCTTGATTCCTTTACGCTTAGGCATTGATTCCCTTCATCCCACCTATTATCCTGCTCTCAAGGCATGTTTTGAACTACCTTGGTTTGTAGGTATTGCAGGTGGTAAACCGAATTCTTCACTTTATTTTGTGGGTCTTCAAGGAGATGATTTGATCTATTTAGATCCTCATTTCTCAAGACCTGCTTTAGAAACCAAGAGCTTAACAGACTATACAAGAGAAGATTTTGTCACTTATCACTGTGCTATACCGCGCAAGATTCCTCTTGCCAACATAGACCCTTCTATGATGATTGGATTCTATTGCCGTACAAGACAAGAATTGGATCATTTTTATGAACAGATTCATAGGGTAACAAAGAACAAGAGTGTATAGGTTACTTATCTCTTACTAGATATCTGAACAACATACGCCTATCTTTACTATTGAACAACACACACCAGAATATGATGAAGATGTACGAAGTGAACATGATTTTGGTATCATGAGTGATGAAGATCCATCTTCAGAAGCAAGTGCCTCTTTATAATAACAATTAAAATACCGTTCATACGCGCCTTTTTTTTTTTCATTTTTTATTTTTATTGAAACGATGGAAGAAGATTACGAGAGTGTTCTACTCATTATTCGAGAATGTTATGGTACATGATGGTTGTTCAACTTTTTCTTATTTAAAGTTAGTCTATAAAATCCCTCCTAGAACAGCAGCTAGAGGTTATAGGTAAATATAATAACAAAAAAAAAAAAAAAAAAAAAAAAAGAGAGAGAGAGGAAAGTATTGATATATGCTTAAAAAGAGCTGCAGAGTGGGGAGACCTTGCCACTAGTTTCTTATGGAAAGGTCGTTTGAGGATTGTAGCTAAAGGCAAACAATGTGAGATTCGTATGGAAGACAACAGTACAGGTAATTCTTCTATCATGTAATTCAACTTAAGAAATGTCAGGTGATTTGTTTGCTGTCTGTCCCTATCAGGTCCATTCAAATTCTGTAGAAGCTGTATTGGATTCCAGTCGTTATTTTGTATTGAAGATTGAAAGTGATGGTAATTTAGACAGTTGACAGCTTGAGTACTCAATTAATAGGTCGACATGCATTTATTGGTATGGGTTTCCAAGAGCGTTCAGATGCGTTTGATTTTAATGTAACGCTACAAGATTTTGTAAAGTAAGTGGACTGGATAGCATCGTTTGAATTCAATTGTTGGGTAGACAACTTCGAGCTGAAAAAGAAGCTGTTGAGCGTGCAGCAGACACAACACCTAAAAAAGATTATAGTCTAAAAGAAGGTCAAACGATCAATATCACCATTGGTAATGTCGGGGTAATGTATATCTATATCTTTAAACTGGCTATTTATAGTTGATGGTAGGCTAAAAGAACAAGACAAAAACCTGCTTCTACTTCTAACGAAGGTGGATTGGTTCCTTTATTACCTCCTCCTCCATCTGCTTCACAAGTTAAACAACAACAACAACAACAGCAACAGCAACAGAGACAATCCTTTTTTTAAGTCGTACAAAATAAACTATATATTTATACACAGGTTGACAGCATAACAATATGATTTCAAACTCCATTACTTGTCTGTTCACTATCAAACAAAGCATGTTTGATTTCTTTATGCTCTAAAGAAGATGGATTGGTTACTTTTTTTATATGTTGTACTCTTCATTAAAGAATAGGTTACACTCCATTTTGTTACGTAACACAGGCGATTATCCTTAGATTCTGTACTCAATAAAGTATGTGTATAGTTTATTATTACATTATAAGAATGGATTAGTATCTTTTTTTTAAGTGGGTAACAAAGAAATACGAAAAGGGAATTAAGCAAGAGCAACCAGAGCGGATAAAGCAACAAGAGCAATAGAAGCAGGAACAACACGAGGAGCAGCACTTGTACTTTCAGTACTTTGAGCAGAACTACTGGCGTTACCAGAAGCAGAAGATTTATTGCTGTTACCACCTGGTGTAACCGTAGTGGTATTGCCTTGATTAGTAGTAGTAGTAGTATTGGAAGGAGGGCCTTGAGGAGTAGTGACAATAGAAACATTAAATTCTTTAGCAATAGCAGCAGATCTTTCAGCAATCCATTGGACTAAACCAAAAGAGGCACCGCCACCATTAGCATTGGGAGCAGACACAGCTTGCCATAAGTTTTGATTGACTTCATTCATGGTCCAACCAAAGTTGATGCCGGGTGATTTTTGAACAATGGAGCGATCCCATTCAAGATCAGGCAAAAGGAATTCATGAAGAGCCAAGACACGGTTAGTTAAAGTGACATTGTTATACAACACACGGACAGTCTCAGTCAAGTATTTCTCAAACATGGCCTTTTTGTCATTGTTCTGTAAGAGACGGTTGGCCATAATACCACCGGGATAACGAGCTGGCCAGTCCTTGTAGGAGACAGAGATAAAGCCATTGCCTTCAGGTTCAGCCAAATTGACACCAAAGGTACCATCGAAATCTTGGTCGAGGAAGTACCAGTAGTTGTTTTCAACATCTTTATAGGCACCATCGTTGGTCTGGCCCATCCAGTAACCATCCCAGTGAGCATTCAGGTATTCAATCACCATGAAACGCAAGAAACGTTCTGTATCAAACATCTTTTCAAAAGTAGCAAGGGCAGCGTTGTCTTGGACATTGGTTTCATTAAAGGCCTTACATAAAGGATCCAAGGCTTCATAACCTTGAGCATTGGCAGGATTAGGGGCCCAAGAAGAGTAGCCATCTGTGCTTTCAGGGTGGTAAAGGAAATCAGCACCCGACATACCATCGTACAAGAGACCTTGAGTAGCAGGGGCCTTACCATCATAGAATTGTGCATTAATGTAGGAGAAATCAGTGATATCATCCAACATGTTGAATGTACCAAAACCATCACCGTTGATAAACAGTCTGACCATATTGGCTTCGTTGGCATAAGTACCTAAGGCATGACAGATATCGGCATAGAGACGTTCACGAATCTGAGTAGGATCTTCTTCCATATGACGGAGCTTAAAGAAAGTACGATCCGCAAGCACATCACCAGGAGAAAGCTTCCAGTTCCAGGATTGCTTGGCATTGTTGTTCTTTTTACCGGCACCATGGATACCAAAACTGACGTTGTTGAATGTATTGACATAGTCTGAACCAATGAAGGTCAGTGCACCAGTGACTTTGTCCTTAGGTACATTCTTGACGAGATTGTCTACAGCAGAAGCATCACCTGTGAAGAAGACAGTAGGGATATAGTTTTCATCGAAAATAGGTTCTTTGGCACCTTTACGAGTCCATTGAGGCTAAAGAGTATGCTTGTCAGTAAGGAGATGATGTTAAGGAGAAAAGTAACCTACCTCTTTTTCAATGGGCCAAGGCAATTGAGGGATATTGGCATAAGTGACAGGGCGATTGGCAAAGTCATTTAATGTAGATGATTTAGAACTATCAAGGGCGCGGGAGAAAGATTCTTCAACACCGCCAAAAACATACTAAAAAAAAAATGAGACAATCGGTCGATCTTTTTACTGCTTACCTTATATTCCTTAGCAGAACCCACTTCGGCATTACCAGTGTAATAAGGAACGTTGGGAATAGAGGCAGTAAGAGCTACTTGTTGGCCATTGACAGATACTTTAACATCAGTAGCATTGGGTGCAATGACATTAAATTTAACAGAGGCAGCTTCAATGGCTACTAATAAACAAGTAGAAACGAGGGCAAGAGAGAACTTCATAAGATGTATAGAAAAAAGGGAAAGAAATACAAAAAAAAAAAGGATTGCATTTAAATAGTAAATTTGATTTACTTTGTGTTTGTGCGGTAAAAGTTTATTAATAGGAGTTAAAGAAACAAAGGGGCTTTTTAGTAAATCCGTGTTACGACCATTTGGGAAAATCTTTTTTTTTGTGTAATTCTAGATGTAAACCAAGGTGATCTCATGTGCCTTTCTTTTTTAAAAAGGGGTAGATAACCGAGAAATATAAAAGAATAGCTTCCTTTTATGTGTCTTACCATCTAAAAAAAATTATCATTTTTAAATTGAAATATAAAAATAAGTAACCAATCAAAGGGATTCATTTCCCCTCTACTTTTTGTTGAGCTGGTTACCGCTTTTTTTTTATAGTTAAACGACCTTTTTCTAAGCCAAACCTCCGCTTTTTTTTTTTTAGTTAAATGATGTATAAAATGCGTAAACTTTTTTATTTTTATTTTTATCGCATGTTTGAATTAGTCAATTATGCTGATTTATGGAATAAAATGGATCTCCTTTAAGACATGAAATTTGCTTATCAGATCAAATAAGTTATGTTAAACTGTCAAAGTAATATATGGCGTGTATTGTCGTACCTAAACAAATCTACTTCGACTTCCAATGTGATACATACTTTCTGAGCAACGCATTGTTTTCCTTTTTTATCTGTATATGGAAAGAATAGAATATTGAATGCCAGAAGATGAATTCCATCGTAGAGTAGGATCGTCAAATGGACAAAAAAAAGTAATGAGGCAATACTGAAAGTCAGTAAACAAGTATGGACAAAGTCAGGCCACTGATGAATAAAGACTAAAACAATCAGCATGGAAGAATGAAAAGAAGGTGTGGATACTATTCCCAACAAACAGAGTCAATGCAATGGTAGATACCAAAGCGTAGCCTAGAACCAAGAAAGTTATTTTTGTTCTGCTGGAGAAGTATAAAGGCACCTGATAAACTGTAAACAAAAACAAAAAAAAAAGTGAATTCACAAGTATCTCATTAGTTTTATGAAAGTAAAGAATATAGGGAAAGAGATTTTTTTTCTCATAGGACTCTATATAATCAATGATATGTTTGTCCGACTTGAAATTGAAAGCGACACTCAATTAGCATAATTTGACAGTAACTAGATGTCAATAAAGTATTTATGGGGGGAACACCCCGTTTGTTTCAAAAAAAAAAGGGTATAGGCGTTTCATCAAGCTTTCACGATATTTCTTCTTGGCCTCAGCAAGTTATGAAGTACTCTATGATACACTTTGTTTAAAAATATTTGATAAAATCTAATTTTTTTTTTACGTAAAAAGTGAGACCAAAGCTATTTGATGGGTTGAAAGCAATCACCCCAAAAAAAAGCATGTTGATTTAAATAAAAGTGATTGTAATAGAACAAGCAAATGATTTCAGTATATACTAACATGAATATCGCTTGTTCTTTGCAATATGTTTCAAATGAGGAATTGAGAGGTAGGTGGTGTGACTTATTGCATATCCGAGGTATCTAAAGAACCAAGGAACGGAGCTCAAAGCTTCGACATGAAAACCATCCGTCGTCTTTCCGTATTTTTTGACCATGCTTTTCGCTTTTTATCGAGCTCGGATAGAACCGTTGTCATGAAAAATGTTTATCCCACTCGAACAAACTGTTCCTTTTATAAATAATCAATCATTCACGCTTGTTTTAGCATGACAGCTAGTTTGTTCATCATCATCTATCGCAAAGTGTTTGTTGAAGTATCTTGTCAAAGCAATTCTAGCAGGTAGAGCTAATATCAATAGATTGGTATTTGAAATGAACAAGTGCTATCGCCCTATTGAGCTCTTTTTTCCCATCTTATTGATCCATGAACCTTTATTTATCCTACAATATTATTCCTCTCAAAAATGTTGAAACAGTACAGTAAGTAGAATCAGTAAATGAGGCGATGTCAAGCATCTGTACAACTAAAAGAAAACACGACAACTTGCTTCTTTTGGTGACTCTAAAAAAAAAAGCGGCCAGCTTGGCATAAACGTATGATTGCTATGCATTTTAAAATAAATCAGTTTATTTTGCTTCATTCTACCATATTCTCTCTAGACACAAATAAACCCTTTCTTAGATAAAGAAAAGACGTATTAAAATATAAGCATCCTGTGTCGTTGCAATCTTAATCTAACAAGTATATTCAACAAAGCAGTTTGTTTCAAAATTTCTGACTGTGGACTCCTAGTGCAAATATGGGTGATACATATTCTGTTGAATTTGAGATGACCTACAAAAGAAGTCTATTGTCTACGACGGCAGTTGTCTACTGAAAGTCTAAATTGCTTCATGGCCCATGAAAATGGCTCTGATCTAAGCATTTTAAAAACGCTTAACAGAGTGCTGAGCAACATTACGAAGCATATTTTTTTTTTCACTGACGATTTCACTAGCCTTGTTGATTCTAGTAAAAATAAAGAAGGAGGTAGATAGCCTCTTTTTAATCATAAGTGTGATATCTAGCAAAGTTTGAAAGAAAGAAGTAGTTCCTGCCCCCGTGCATTTCTAATAGCGAGAAAGGTTATTCAAACATCAGATCAAAATCAAGTGAGAACTCATGGGTTGATCCTTTAGGCATTAGCGCTTAGATATGTGCAAGAGAACTTGATGCAATGATGAAGCCTGAACTGTGTTTATGGCTCAAGTATCCTTGTCTGCATCGGGGTCTAAATAGTGTTCAAAACCATTTTGCTTGTCAGTCTGACATGTCAGCTATTTCAGCTAATGTGCTTCCAATATGGTTCTCTGGTTAACGTTAAGATTTTTATGGGCAATAAGATGAGATCTTTAGGTCCCGCTTGATTTCTTCTTTGTACGAACTTGGGTTGAATGTGTCATTCGCTGAGTTTATCAAAATCTAAAAAAGCCACTTAGATGAAGAGTCATGCTTGATTTTATAAATATGCATTTGGGATCTTGTTTTTTTTTCTTCTCTTCTCTTTTTGTTTTTGTTTCATTACTTTTAACCTTTGTATTATGCACGACAAGTATCAATCTCCTTTAACTTCTCGCTATGCCTCTAAAGAGATGGCTTATAACTTCTCTGAAGACAAGCGTTACTCTACTTGGCGTAAACTCTGGCTTAACTTGGCTATTGCCGAAAAACAATTGGGTTTGACAGACATCACTGACGAAGCTATTGAGCAAATGAAGGCCAATCTTTACAACATTGATTACAAGGTTGCTGCTGAAGAAGAAAAGAAGCGTAGACACGATGTCATGGCTCATGTTCATACCTTTGGTCTTGTTGCACCTGCTGCTGCTCCTATTATTCATTTGGGTGCTACTTCATGTTATGTTACTGGTAAGTTTGCAATACGACACAACTGTTGTTGACATGCTGCATAGACAATGGTGATTTGATTATTATCAGAGACGCCTATGATTTAGTGATCAAGAAATTGGCTCATGTGATTGACATTCTCTCTCAGTTTGCTCAAGAATACCGTGCTTTACCTACCTTGGGCTTCACACATTTCCAACCTGCTCAACTTGTGACTGTCGGTAAGCGTGCTACTCTTTGGATCCAAGAGCTTTTATGGGATTTAAGAAACTTTGAGCGTGCACGCGATGACCTCAAGATGCGTGGTGTCAAGGGCACAACAGGTACACAAGCTTCCTTTATGGCTCTTTTCAATGGTGATCATGACAAGGTGGAGCAACTCGACCAACTTGTGACTGAACTCTCTGATTTCAAAGAAGCGTATCCTGTCTGTGGTCAAACCTATTCCCGTAAGATCGATATTGATGTCTTGCACCCTCTTTCTGGCTTTGGTGCTACTGCTCACAAGATTGCTACTGACATTCGTCTTTTGGCCAACTTGAAAGAAATCGAAGAACCCTTTGAAAAGGACCAGATTGGTTCTTCTGCTATGGCCTATAAGCGTAACCCCATGCGTTCTGAACGCGTCTGTAGTCTTTCTCGTCACTTGATGATCTTGGTCAATGATGCTTTGCAGACCAGTGCTGTTCAATGGTTTGAGCGTACATTGGATGACAGTGCCAATCGTCGTATTTCTCTTCCTGAAGCCTTTTTGACGACAGATATTATCTTGACAACACTTCAGAACATTTGTGAAGGTATGGTTGTGTATCCCAAGGTCATTGAACGTCGTATTCTTCAAGAACTTCCCTTCATGGCTACTGAAAATGTGATCATGGCCATGGTCAAGAAGGGCGGTGATCGTCAAGAATGTCATGAAGAAATCCGTGTGCTTTCTCATCAAGCTGCTCATGTTGTCAAGATGGAAGGTGGTGAAAATGACTTGATTGAGCGTATCAAACACACAAAGTACTTTGAACCTATTTGGCAAGATCTTCCTCAGTTGTTGGATCCTTCTACTTTTATTGGTCGTGCACCTGAACAAGTGGATTCGTTTATTGAAAAGCATGTGAAGCCTGCTTTGGCTCCCTATGCTGAAGCATTAAAAGAAACTAGCAAGGCTGAATTGTCTGTCTAAGCTTTTTTTTTTTATGTAAATTTTCTTTCTGTACAGTTATAAATAAATAAATAAGAAAAAAGAGTCTATGCAAAAGGACAATCTTTTACAAAGACAACTATGTTTGTATCCAACGAAGCGGGCTATTCCTGTCTTATGACCAAACAAACAAACACATTATACTATAGCCAATGAATACCTGTTGAATAGACATGCTTCTGTTATAGTTTGCATTGGCCTACATCTTTAAAAGAAAAATAAGCATCTTGTTTATTGTGATTGAATAAATAAATAAATAATTAAAAAAAAAAAGTCTAGTTTAGATTAATCCTCTTCGTCCTTTTTTCTTGCTTCACAGTCCACCTGAAATAGTTTTTGTGAATGTACTTCCATCGTAGTCAATTTTCTTCCATAGACACAACCACTGTCTAATCCAACTGTCTTGCCATGCACCTGGACACCAAGAGAAGCATCATGTCCATAATAAACAGTGGCATTATTATGTGCTAATGGACTCGCTCTATAGACTTCTGCCCAATGCTTAGCATCCGTGTTCTTGAGTTCCTTCATCTTCTTCTTGCTTGGTTGATTGTTTTCTTGCATGATACTTCGCATGTTCATAACAGACCAAGGATCATTGTCTACCAAGTTTGGAATAGCCGGATCTAAACCACCATGCACCACGCGTGCATTTAAGTTAGGAATATCCAGGATCAAGGGACATCCCATTAAATAATCAAATTCTTGAGGACCAAGTGCCCTATTTTTTTTTTTTAAAAAAAAAAAGATTAAATCAAAGTGAACATATATTTGTCTTTACTTTACTTGGCGACGTCTAGATGTCTATTGCCGAATTTCAATGGATCAGCCACACTACCTTCAGGAATCAATTCATTTGCGTCCGACATGGCTTCTAGTCCATGTTGATCAAGATAGAGTTTTGTACGAATGGCCTTGTCATCATGATTACCACGGACACAATAAGCGCCTATCTCTTGAGCACGACGAATGACACCGACAGGATCTTCTCCTCGAGCCACCAAATCACCTGTCAAGATCAAGACATCCTTGGCTGCTTCAAACTGCACTTGACTAAGTAAGGCATTCATTTCTTTCAGGCAGCCATGCACATCGCCCATGATGAACACACGGCTGTTGGGCGACACCTCCAGAACTTTGAGTCTTGTCAAGTTAGCATAAGGTGACACAGGATATGCATAGCTAGGTGGGCTCATGCTGGCCTGATGGTCGGGTGTCATCAATGATCGACTATAGGTCACAGGCGCAGAAGCAGCAGAGGAGGACGATGTTGCTCGTTTTGTAGGTTCTGGACTCAGGGAAGCTGCTTTGTATGGTTTTTCTTGTTCTGTTTGGATCTGTGGTTGTTGAGCCATGGGCACAGCAACAGCAATAGCAATGACCGTGGCTGTCAAAACACAGGCAACGACGGACAACAAGATCCATTTGATTTTTTTGTTTGATTTTGAATGCATTGAGGTCTTGTCGTTTAGAGTTTCTACACTGGATGTTGACATGTTATTTTGTTGTCAAATAAAGAAAATGAAAAAAAAGAAGGTTTTAGGAAATTAATTCATATGCACTTTCTTTTTTATTTTTTTATTTACTTCGAAAACAAGCAAGTGTAAAAAACAAAAGGAAAAACAAAGAAGAAAATATGAGAAAGATAAAGAAGTGGAGTCCTTTTTATTGATGCAGATAAAGTTAAGTTTAAAATGCCGTTTCAAAATAAAATACAATAAAAAAAAGGGGGGCGTTAATAATCTTGGTTGGCATTGTTGCGTTTAGAAGCCTTGATAGATTCTGGCATTCTCATTTGATAGTCTATAAGAAGAGAAATAAATAAATATATATGATAAACAATCATGATAACACAAACCTCCATTCTGTGTAATGTATCGAACCCAAGGTAATGCTTGATATCCACTTTTTTCAACAATCTTTAAATATCTCACTTGAATACCAGAGACAGTAAAATAAGGGATTTCAAACTTAATGTTAATAGGTGGTTTCTTTTCTGCCTCTTCAGCTATAGGAATGCATTAGGATCCAGTCAATCCAAATACGTATTTTTTTTTTTTTTTTTTTTTTTTTTTTTTTTTTTACCTGCTTGAACTGAAGGCAAACCAAAATGAGCACGCATAATAAACTCTTTACCACCTTGGAATTGTTTAATCTTCCAGACCAAACATGATCTTTCAGGCTTATAAGAGACAGAACCATTGCTGCACTATGATCCATTAACAAATAGATGCTCTTGAATTACATACCTTGAATTTAGGTGTATCAGCATCATCAGGAACAGGCACTTCAATTTCAACATTATTGGCTGAACTCTTTCGCTTGAACTGTGCCCTTGCTTTCACAAGGTATTCTACACGGGATCCTGAATATGTCTCTACAACAGCTTCTACCCAAATCAATGGCTTCACTGTTGTCTGAAGTCGATAGCTCATTAATTCAAAATCACCATCAGGAGGGATATAACTGATAGTACGGTCATTTTCAAATCGAGATAGTCTTACACATTGATGGAATTTGACATCTTCCATCTCAATGGCTTTGGAAGAAGCATTGGCTATCCTGTATGAGTTCTTCTCCTCCTTATATATGTAGTGATAACTTACATCTTCCTGTAGCTTCAAACATCACCTTGTCATTCAAACCTAAACGAAGTTCAGGCATACCAGAAAGATAACATCGCATCTTGACTGAACCCAATACTTCACTTCTCAACACATTACCATTTGAATTGACCTGAACTTAAGTTAAGTCTATTTGTTTCAGCCATTGGACTTACCAAAAGATTTACACTTTCAATCACGTCTAAAAAGACTTCATTCTTTTTGTATTTAATACCTTCTGAGCGCCAAGAGACAGCATTCGTAACAGCCATGGGTGGACGAACTTGCACTTCAAGCTTATGGGCGTCTTGTGTAATGTATCTATAGCCAAGTTGAAGCCATGTATCATGCTATCAAACTTACTCTTGTAAAATCTTGGTTTCTGTTGTTTGAGGATACCCGAAATCCATCATTTCATCCAACAATTCATACACGATAACAAAATTATCCCGAATCGATTCTTCTTCTAGTTCTTTAAAGTACTCTGAAAACACTTCGGTCAACTTGTGTAAATAAAGCATGATGGAAGCTGCATTCGTGTTCTTTCTGGTTATGGCCAAGACTATATTGTTATGAGTAAAACACGCTATAAGAAGAGTGTTACTTACGATAGAGATTACTGTGTTTGAGGTATAAATAGTTGATGCCTTCATGAGTAAAACAAGGTAAAGGAATCTGTTCATCTTCTGCCTCTGATATCTATTTGCTATACACGTTAGTCATGGACAACATCAGTAAAATACTTGCCAGTGGCATAAACTTTTCTACTGCACTCATAGGAATATCACCTCTATAATTACGAGAAATAAGCACCTTGCCTTTCAGGTCTAATATAAAGACTAACAACACAAGTCAATATTTTCTGTGGTTGTTGATGGCACTTACTTGCTGAAGCCATGATGAAGACTAAAAAAAACAAAAAAAAAAAAGCGGACGTTTCAAAATTATTTATAGGGTTGTACAATCAGTCTAAAGTAAGTTTATTGCTCCATCTTTAATATAAACAGGGGGAAGATGATGTTGTCTACGATAGTCTCTCCATCCTTCAATAATGATGGACTTGAAAATGGAATTGATACCACAGCCTGTGATATCCAACCAAACAAGCTCAGGACACTGATGTATCAAATGCTTGATGCCTTCCTCATTTGATCGACTCAAAAAAGACACAGAGACATATTTAAGTTGTTTGCCATGCTGAGCTAGTGTGTGCAGAGCAGCATTAGTGACAGGCCAACAACGTACAAGGTGCAGTAGTTGCAGATGAGGACAATGTTCTGCCAAAGACAGGATAGCATGATCCGTGAGTTGGTAGATAGAGTTCAGTCGGATATGCGTGAGTGATGATCCCCAATAACTTGCGATCTGATGGATGGCTTCATCAGTCATCAAGACTTGAAAGCCTAGATCGAGATGCTTTAATCGCTTTGGTAGTCCATATTGTTTCTCTGCCTGTATGAGTTGTAAAAGACCCCAGGGTGTCATGTTTCTCAACAGACTTAACCAGAGACCCACCATGGATTTACTCTGAGGCATGGATTTAGTCACAGCCAAGGTGGACATGATCGAGTCCCCTACATTTTCACAGCCGGATAACTGAAGATACTCTAGCTGAGAGGCATGTCTTAGCACACAGCATACTTGGTCGTCTGTCACGCTAGCCAGCCATTCAGATTCTTTGTGTGTGGTGTCGATTTCTGAATAATTCTCGTGTTCTTCGTTATCCAGCATAGGTGTCTCGATCGTCTCTAGCCCTGTCTTTTGATAATCCACGCGTTCTAGACGTACATATCCCCTGAGTGAAGGTTGAAGTGCATCATCATTTTCAATCACCCGTTGATTTAATGCACTTGTCAGTTGAGACGAGACTAAACGAGGCGAAGGTTGAAGGACCAATGAGTTGACACAAGGACCATAATGGCTTGAGAAAGATGGTTGGCTGAATGTTCTGACCAACAGTAGCCAATGAGGCCATGTTCGGATATACAAGTGTCGATACAAGACAGGCATGACAGTCGCATGCCATACTCTATTGACACTCGCAATGGCAGGTAGATTTGTGCGAGGTACATAGTCTACAATACGCTGAATAATCTCAGGAGGAAAATGAAGTGGACGAGGGCTTAATAAAGTCAAGGGATCATGTGGATTGTCCTTGTTAAAATAGAAAATACGCATCATAATGAAAAGAAAGTGAAAGAAAAAGAAAGAAACAAAGAAAAAAAAAATTTTTTTTGTCCAATCAATAGTCGTATTTTAAGAAAGTGCATGAAACGAACTCTGTTGAATGTAACAAAATGGCTATTTTCTTTAAATAGCAATCACATTCCAAATTGATTGTTCCTCACTAAAAATAGCGCTGTGTTTATAAAGACAGAAAAAATAAAATAAAATAAATTCTTTTCCTTTTTTTTTTTTTTTTTTTTTTTTTTCAATATTATGTCTGCAGAAGAAGTGACTGTAAGCTTATCTCGTCTTGCTTTAGCCAAAGCCATCAAGACCCCTGATGCAGGTGAAGAAGCAGAACATTGGTCAAAAAGTGTTATTTTCCATCAAGCTCATATTGATGATCAAATGCGACACTCTATTCAAAATCCTCAACTTTTGCAGCAACAGATGAGACGCACTCGACAAGCAAAACAGAATCCACAACAAAGATGGGTAGCACCTCCTATGAGTCGTGCACGATCAGATGAAATGCATTATAAACAGGCACCAGTACATTCTTCTCAACCCAATAGTTATGATCCTAGATTAGGTAAGCAACAACCACAGCAACAGCAACAACAGCAACAACCACAACAACAGCATTTGCCTACAGTCCATCCGTCCAAAACAAATCGTCGTTATGTTCCTAGTGACGATGAAGAAGAAAGTGAAGAAGAAAGTGAAGAAGAAGAAAGTGAAGAAGACGAAGAGAAAGAAGAGCAGAAGCCAGCGATGACATCACACGAAATCAAACAATCTACACCTGTTCCTCATAAACCACTCAAGGTACCCATAACACGTACCATCGAACCCAGTGATGATGATGATGATGATGATGATGAAAATGAACAAGATAAACAAGGTAAGCCAATAAAACACGTGGCAATATAGTCAGTGACTAAAAAAGGAAATGTTTCTTGATCCTTTTAGCTATTGAGACAGATGAACAACTCTATGCTCGTCGAATGTCTACTTTAAGACAACTTGAACGTGGTACCAGTCTTCATAGAAGAGCGCATTCTACAGGTGATATGATGGTGCCTCCTACTGAAGCATTTATTGAACCCATAACTCATTTGACAGATAACAATATTGAACAGTGGCGTATGACTGTGATGGAAGCAGACAACATGAGCCATTCTACTCCTCGTTCAAGTGAATATGTTCCTTCTCCTATGACTGAAGAAGAAGAAGAAGAAGAAGAAGATCTTTTAGAAGAACCTATTGCACGCTCTAAAAACAATACCATGATGAAACAACCCATGCCCACCAATACCAATAGAAGATCTACTTTGGGTGAATTAGACATGTTTTATTATCAACAACAACAACAACAACAACAACAACAACAAATGTATAATATGCAAATGCAACAAGCATTACAGATGCAACAAGCACAACAAATGGTACAAATTCAGCAATACCAACAAGCCATGCAAATGCAACAACAACAGATGTATCCCATGTATCCTCAACATAGTGATAAATCAAACAATCGCAAGAGTGTATCTGCTATGGACTTGATGATGCAATTAGAACAAGAAAAGGCTGCTTCTCGTAAATCCAACAAGAAAAAGATGCCTGACCCATCCAAAGCCAACCTGAATGAAGGTCTCTTAAGCCATGTGCCTAAACATGGTCAACACAATATCAATTTCCAACAACAAGTACGTAAAATGCAACAAATGCCTAGAGCAAGTATCAGTGACTATCAATTGCAACAAATGCAACAAAAAAGTAGTCGACCTAGCAGTAGTATGATGCGTCATCCTATGGTACGCAGTGATAGCTCACCCATGCCTACGTTGAGTATGTCCACACCCTTAAATCAACAACAAGGGTATTTTATACCTCAACAACCCATGATGTTGGCTCCTACCATGAATATGAGATCATCACAGCATTTGCCTTCAAAACGACAAAGTAGTCATATGAATAATAAATTTTAACTTTGTTTAATGTAAATTGTCAAATATCACAGTTGGCTTTTTAGGACTGACTTGAATGCCTGCTGCTTGAATGATGGCCCATTTCACGCGTGTCATTTCTTGCGCAATCTCATCATTCTCGTTGTGTTTACTGGTACGTCGTTTGCCTGTAGTGAGTAACTGAGGATAACAACAGATGGCATGTTTGACCAAATATTTCTCAATCTCTTGTCTTGAATCAGCAAATGCTTGTCGAGAAACTCTATCTCGTTTGGTCAAGATGACTTGGTAAGACAAAGCTTGTTCATCCAACATGCTCATCAACTGTTTATCTGTCTCTTTCAGACCTGCTGTAGGATCCACCAAGACAAACAATCGCTTGAGTCTATCTTGAGATAAGTTTATGTACCTATCTGTCGCTTACTTACTGTTGACGTGTCTTGAGATAATCAAGAATCAATTGACCCCATTCATCTTTTGATTTATAGCCATAACCAGGCATGTCTACCAACACGACTTGTTGACCAATATCAAAGAAATTCAATAGTTTTGTGTGTCCCTACCCATGGATGAGTTTCTTTCGGTTGAATAGATGACATACTGGCTTATTGGATGTCTTGACAAGTTTACTGTTGTTGGTCAATTGATTGATCAAGGTCGATTTCTATGCTTTAAACAATAAGAAGCTCCCTTTTTAATGTATTCTCTTACTTACACCCACATTACTTCTGCCTACAAAAGCAACCTAGGACTACCGTCAATTACTATGGTTGCTTGATATCACTTACCTCAGGCTTGTTGAGTTGAGGTGCTTGTTCACTTTGTGAAATACTCAAGAGAAATTTGACAGGTCTAGCAAACAGTCGATTAGCATCGGTTATCTGACTCGGTAACAAGACAGGTGGTTCAGGAAAAGCAACAAGTTGATAACTTTTGCTATCTTTTGAAGCTAAGTGACCCAATGATTTAAGGGACAAACAAGTAGAGAAGGTACGTCTTAAAAGCGTCATAAAGAAGAAAAAAAAAAAAAAAAAAAAAAAGAAGAAAAAAAAACTTTTTATATATATAAAACAATAAGCCAATCAGATTACATATAATGCATTCAACAGGAGGCTGTGTTTTACCATTGATCACTACCTACATGATAGTTCTTATCAAAATCCCAGCCTTGACAAATCATGATATCCTCCAAGTATTTAATCCGTTTCTTGTACTCGATTTCTTTTGCATACAGACTCTTCTTTTCTGATTCCAATACAGCATTACTCAAGACAAGTTTGGCATTCTCTGCCTGCAGAGCACTGACTTGGTTTTCAAGTTGATCGACCTTCATAAACTTCTTGAGTCGAGATCGTCTTGCAGCATCTGTATTCTACTCTTTCATCAATGAGGAGAGAGGATTGAATAGCCTATTTACCTTTCTTCTCTTGAGTGTATCTTCATCAATCGTACCATCTTCAGAGGGCTCGGGTTCTGGTAATTTACGAATCCCTCTTGGTTTAGGCAGTGGTCTGGTTAATTTGATTTCTTCTTGTTGAGGATCAGGATGGAGTTCCATGGGTGGTTTATCATCCCCACCCCATGAAATATTGAATACAGACCCATCTTCTTTGGCGTGTGAGGGTTGTTCATGAGAGACATAGTGTGGATGAGGTCGTCTGAAGAGTTCTTTGGCTAATCCTGTTGTTGTTGTTGTTGTATGAAGAATAGGTTCGTCTGGAATAGAAAACGTATTGACATTATGCCATAGTAAATCACCTTCTTTTTCTTCTTTTGATTCTTGTGTTGGTGTATCTACTAAGGGTGGAAATAACAAGGCTTGTGTGTTGTTATTATTCATGTTGGCATTTTTGAATTAAAAAAAAAAAAAAAAAAAAAAAAAAAAAAAAAAAAAGCTCCAAGAACAAGGCAGTGAGAAACCATTCAGCCAATCAAAGCACAGCATAAACATCGCTCTTTCTTTCAGAGCATGGTTGATCTTTTTCTCCGCTTTTTTTTTTGTATATATATATATATTTATTTTTCTCATACAACGATGAATGATATTGCTGAACGAACAACTGCTGCTAGAAGAGAAGCCGAATTGTTAAAAGATAGAATTAAACAAAAGAAAGAAGCATTGGCTGATACAACATGTAAAGGAAATTCGCTGTTTTGCATAGCTTTTTTATTTTTTATTTTTTATTCTAGTATATCGAGTGGCACAAACACTAGAAGGATTACCTCGATTGAGTATCAAAGTACGTCGTACATTAAAAGGACATTTAGCCAAGATTTATGCAATGCACTGGGCCACCGATAAACGCCATTTAGTGTCTGCTTCACAAGATGGGAAATTGTTAGTATGGGATGCGTTTTCAACACACAAGTTGAATGCGATTCCACTGCGGTCTTCTTGGGTGATGACATGTGCCTATGCTCCCAGTGGTAATTACGTTGCTTCAGGTGGATTAGACAATATGTGCTCTATCTTTAATATCAAAGCAAGAGATATACCTTTAAAACCGGCAAGGGAATTAACAGGACATACAGGCTATTTGAGTTGTTGTCGGTTCTTGAGTGATAGTCAGATCTTGACATCCAGTGGGGATACAACCTGTGCTTTATGGGACATTGATGCAGGTGTCAAACTATGCGAATTCACAGACCATACAGGCGATGTGATGAGGTAACCATCCTATCATACCCTCTATTGAGTTACTGATTGCTTGATAGTATATCTGTTTCTACTAGCCATCATGGTATGTTCGTGTCAGGTGCTTGTGATGCTACTGCTAAAATATGGGATATTCGAAATAACAAGTGTGTTCAGTCATTCAGTGGTCATGAATCCGATATTAATGCAGTCCAGTTCTTTCCAAGTGGGAATGCGATTGGCACAGGATCAGATGATGCCAGCTGTCGATTGTTTGATTTAAGAGCTGATCGTGAACTCAACATTTTTACGCATGAACAAGTCTTGAGTGGTGTCACTTCTGTTGGATTCTCAATATCAGGTCGATTGTTATTTGGTGGTTATGATGATTATCGATGTTATGTATGGGACACATTAAAAGCAGAAAGAGTGGGTGTCTTGACAGGACATGAAAATCGTGTCTCTTGTTTAGGCTTATCGTCTGATGGTATGGCTTTATGTACAGGCAGTTGGGATAATTTACTTAAAGTATGGGCATAATAAATAAATACATATATTTTTACTTGATTTTAGGCATTTCAAGTACATGTTCAGGCATGACATATTTCACTTCATCATTATCATCTTCAAATCGAACTCGATAATTCTTGATTTCTTTGCTCTGACAACACAATCAATCATCCTACACTTTATGGCTTCCTACTTACTTTACTAGGAGGAGCAACAACAGTGGCTTTATAAAAGCAAGTAGTACCAGGGTATAATGCGAGAACATCTTGTTGTGCAGGAATCTCGACAGACAACCTTGCTTCTTCAGAACTCAAGACAGGAATGACATACCGTGGTGGTAACATGTATCGTCTAAATCAGTCAGTACAAGGATTTTATGTGCATCCACATCTTATTTAACTGCTTTTGTCCATAATCATCTTGATCCACATCTTCTACTTCATATTTATTCTTGTCTGCATGATATTGAATCACAACAGCCAAAATCCATTCTTCATTCTTGTCTTTTGAAGGTTGTCTGGCAGCCACCTAATGACGTTTTGAATATGCCTACATTGCTTGTATTCATTTACTTACTGTGGTGCCCTTTGTAAACAGATGCATTCTATGAAAAGGTTGAGTTCTCTTTTGATTGTTTGTGACAACAAACTTTGTATCCACTTCTAGTTTCCTTCTCTTCTTCTTTTGATCTAAATTCTCTCTTAGTGCAATCAAGACTGAAATCTTTTCGATAATATCATGGATCATTCTGTATTGTTGTTAGATTTCGATGTAAGCCAATAGAATCCTACTTGCCTTGTCTCATGCGTGGATAATTCAATACCACGTCTGTAATTGTCCCTTAGTTTCTGCTGAATGAACTGATTGACACCTAAGACATAGGATAAACGCCTTGTTGTATGGATCCAATTTACCTTTTTCGTCTTCCATAGAGACTTGTATTTTATTAATGCTGCTGATAATCGTTTCTTCTTCTTTTCGTATGGTCTCTAGTTTGACAAGAGAAGAACATATTTGTTTCCAGAGATTAGACTCATCGTTCAAATCTTCATTCAATCTCGAAGAGCGCGATTTACGTTCCATGTCTTTTTACGTGTCGTGGGGCTGTATTACCTATCTAACCTTTAAAGAAAAAGAAAGAAAGAGAGAAAGAGAAAAAAGCGTCGAATTAAAATCCCGTAGAAAGGTGCTTTTGAGCAGCTTTAGGTGTGTTAAAATTTTAGCAGTCCTTAACCACATTATAAAGCTACCTAGCTATGAAATAGAACATCTTGACACAAAGCGTAGGTTTCTATTATGTGAGTTCACAAATAAGGCTATACTCAACTATAATGTATTCATTTGCAAAAGTCAAATTAAATGATATGTCAATTTTGATTTATTTTTGATGGGAGCAATGATAGAACAAGAGCACTAAAAGTATTCAGGCCTGTTGGTTGCTTCATTGTAAATCGATTGATTAAAGCTATCATCATAGTTTTCCTTTTCCTTTTGTATTTCTTGGCTTATTTTCTAATGGAAGCTACTCTTTATGACTTATTTAAAAATTGAACAAGGATTCTATAATGCATGTTGTGTTCAACAACGTTTTATGCATGGATACTTGGGTCACTATAAATAGTTTATACTCCATTGCGTTTATATTCTGGGCTTGCTTAGCTGCCACTACCGCTAGAAAAAAGGTGCGCGATGCACCAAGTTAAATGTGGTACTACTTGGCGCATTTGAGACAGGGATTTTTAAGTTTGACACCAAGTTACATGTAATACAAAACAACATTTATAGAATCGTATTGTTAAATCAAAGTACAGAAATGGGTAGGCTTGTCTTTCATAACATTGTATGATCCTTATCGCCCACTCATATTTTACAAAGAAGTACAGATACATGTTATCTATATAGATAGTTTAAATAGTTTATTTTGATCCCAAGTACTCACTTTTTTTTTTTTATGTTAGAAAATCGATATAAACAACAAACTGACCCAAACTCTAACTATCACAACGAGAACCTATTGCTTTGGACTCATGTTGTTAAATCAAAGAGGAAAGGCAATAACAACAAAAAGAATCAATCTATTGTTTCGTTTAACCCTACTTTGGTTAATCGTCCTGTTACAGAAGAAGAGTCATCTCAAAATGCTCTTAAAGGAATGGAACAAGATTCAGTCTTTATTAATCTTACCTCGATCAAAGATCGATCTTTATTAAACAAAGCTCTACTCAAGTTTAATGAAGATGCTGAAAACACAGGCTACTACGAAGATTTTCTTGGTTATCGAAAGCAAACACGCAACTATCTGGGACATGACTTTTCGGAGACGATGTGGCTTTATAACAGTGTTGGACGCAAGACACTTATTGAAGAAGGAACTACCTTGGAGGATGGTACCTTTGTAAAAGGGTTTCCTTCCTATCCAGCAGAAGCTACCATCGTCCACTTAACTCTTGAAAATCTTCCATTCCTCCCAGCCATCCAGTTGAAAGAGGAAATGGCTTCTCGTCTTTCGTGCTTTGGAGAAGTTCTAGATCATGGCATCTCGAGAACTGATGGCATCTTTCATGGTGAAGGGTATGCTACCTTGAATCTAACTTTGTCGGCTACGCCTGAAAATGAATGTATGGAATCCCACGCAGATGGATTGGAGTGTTCCGGGCGTAGACACTTGGAGCCCTTATCTCGCGTCATCATTTGGGATCCACGTGATAATGAACAGAGAAAAGTACTCCTACAATGGGATAAGATGCCTGACTTCTGTCGTAACTGTCAGAGCTCAGACCATTGTCGAGCTGATTGTCCCGACTACAAGAAATGGGTACGCTGCTACCATTGCAATGAGACTGGCCATGTTATGCGTAACTGCAGTCGTAATGGATCAATTGACTCCGCTCCCAGCAAGGTCCGTGCAGTGGAGAGATCCTCAAGTCAGCCAAAATCTAGAAAAGGGACAAACAAAGGTTCTACTGCCTCACCCAAGGCTGCTCCTAAGAAACCAATGACACAAGAAAATTCCCCTGCTGGCTCCCCAGTTCCTCAAGATTACAAGAATAATGAAAGAGATGCAACGGTTGCTCTCAATGGTAAAAACGGTGTTGAAGAGGACACCACTATAAATGAAAGCAACCTTAATCCGGTAAATGGTTCTGATGCGTTAAAGACTATCTCAAAAGACATAGTAATGGAGGATACTGTGATATCTTCTCCATCTCGATTTACAGATTTGGAGACTCATGATAATGTCAAAAAGATGGGTAAGTTCAATGGAACTGATGATATAAGTGCTGCTCGACGACAAGCTGCAGCTTCAGCTGCCTCACAACAAAGTGAATTGAATGAAAAGGTTAATGTAAAAGTTAATGTGCTCCAGCCTGATTTAATGGGCCAACAATCACCTCAACCTCAACATTAATTATGAATATTAAACATCATACAGTTAAAATCGCCACACCCATTAGATACCTCAGAACTTTAGGATATGACATCCTGGTGCTACAAGAAACTCATGCTTCAGATACTACTATTATAGATTTATTTAACAACCATTTTAACTGCAAGTCGAGCATTTGGACTCAACATTGCGGTATCATATCACTCTCATCACTTTACAATTACACCTGTCTCGGAAGGAATTGACAATGGTCGATATATATTGGCTGATATTCATTTAATTCGAGATTTGGAACATTCTTCTACTATGGCACCTATAGCAGCAATTTTAAATATCTATGGTCGTTCAGCGCTTCATTCTAATCGGTCAGCACTCTATACTGAGCTCCTGGATATCCCAATTGTCAAGGACACGATTATCAATACACATAACACAATATTTATTATGGGAGATTTCAACTATCAATATAAAGATCGCCGTTTAGATGGTACTTTACTGTGTGCGCCTCCTGAATGGACAGATTTACTAGATGACTATTACATTGATATTTTTGGGAATGAAAAGCAGATTGCTTGGCATAGTGGTAACAACTCAGGAATCTTGGATTATATTTTTTGTAGTTCAAGTGCTCATCATCAGATCACTAGTATCAATCAACAATTTTTATCACCAGAGTGGACGGACCACGACCTCTTAGGGTTCTCATTCAAGTATCAAGACTCATCTGATCGTGGACCTGGTTCTTGGAAAGCGAATCCATTCTTAGCTCGAAACAAAGAGTTCAGGCAAGCATTAGCACTTCATTTAGAATCATGCATGGAACGTTTTACAGAAATCAAACAATTTGCTAAACCGCAACAGCAATGGGATTGGATTAAAGGAGAAGTAAAGCTTTTTGTGAAAACCTATCAGAAGGAGGATCTGAACTGGAGGAAAAAGCAATTGCATAAATTGTAATCTAAGAGGAACAAAGCAATGCGGCATCAGAAGCATAGAGGACTGATATTTCAAGGCTTAAATCATATCAATTCCCTAATCCAGTCTTTACAACAGTCGATAGCAGAGATCGAGATTTTGAAGTCTGGCAAGTTTTGGAGAGAACATGGAGAGAAATCTGCAGGCTTTTTGAAGCGGACACAAGTATCTCGACAAAATCAGCAATCCATCATTGAATTGAGAGATCCAGTGACTGAAGAGCTTTGTCAAGAGCAACATCATATTTCTCGTATAGCAACTGAATTTTATACCTCGCTATTTGCTCCTTCTCCCACCGACACTGTAGCTCTTAGGGCTATGACTCGATCTATTCCTAGTCACTTGAAGATTTCATCGGAACAACAGGAGAAACTTATGCAGCCTATTGATGTTGATGACATACTCAAAGAGAGTAAGCATACCCCTCGTAAGAATAGTCCAGGACCAGATGGACTGCCATATGAGATTTTGTATTTGGTTATAAAATTCCCTCTATATCATGATCTGATATCGACTGTCTATAATGACGCTTTGCAGAAGAGTAAGTTTCTCCAGTCATGGAATGAATCAGTCATGTGTCTGTTGTACAAGATAGGTGATCCTGCGGATATGAAGAACTATCGTCCTTTGTCCTTAGCAAATACGGATTACAAACTGTTCACACGTATCGTCAATCGTCGAATCATGGAGGTATCTTCTCATCTTATTAGCCGTCATCAATTGGGGTTTATTCCTGGACGGTTTATCGCTGAAAATGATATGATCTGTCAATTGCTAATGGAAGACGCTCAAAGGAAATGGTCGATCGCTGAACAACTGGATAATGTTCCTGATATTAGTACCTTGAATGCTGATATTGGTCTTCTCTTGGATCAAGAAAAGGCTTACGACAGAGTGAATTTACACTACCTGAAGAAAGTGATGAAAAAGTTTGGTTTCCCTTCTCCACTGATTAAATGCATTTACAAGTCAATGGGCGGTAATCTTATCCGAATCAACATCAATGGTCATATCTCCTCCGAAGTTGCTAAATTACGCGGATTGAAACAGGGTGATCCTCTCTCGCCTATTCTGTATAATTTGGCTTTTGAGCCTTTCTTGCTCTCCATTCTCCATGATCGTCAATTTCAAGGCTACATAACGGGTATCAAGCATTTGCACTCTGTCGAAGATGATGAATCCTTAATTTATTTGGGTTTTCCATTGATACAAAGCCGTATTCAAAGAGTCAATTTTATGGGTTCTATGATAACAAAGGTTAAGACTGCCATACAAATCCACTCTACACGTTCATTGTCTGTAGTTGGCCGAGCCACTATCTTGAATTCACTGATATTGTCTAAAATATGGTATATCTTGCGGGTTACTCCGTTGACACTTGCTGACTTCAAACAATTGAAATCTTTGGCCATTCGATTCTTGCGTAAGAATATATTTTCTGTTATTCCTTGGAAAGTATGGACGCTGCCAAAAGTAAAAGGTGGACTCGGAGTAATTGATATTCAGGTTCCGGCCTCAGCTTTATGTTTTCGCTGGCTGCATCCTTTGTTGGCGTATAATCAAGATACTATTGATGCTCATCCGGTCTCGTACTTACTTAGCCTTCATATTCGTAATATCAATGACTGCAAATATCATCAGATTCCATTGTTGTTTCCTTCTTCTCATACACAAGGGCTGAAAAAACAAAGAACTGGCACTATTAATATGCTATATCGTGCCATTGATTGTCTTCCTCGATCATTTGCTAATGCTAGCCTTAATATTGTTACCGCTATGGTCCTACCTTTGCAAGCTGTGCTTTACGTTCCTCCTTCTTCGTCCTTCGTTGTCCCCCTACGTGCCAAGAAAATGATGGAGTCA